GAGGGATAATTAGCATAAACTTTTAGTTTCTTGACGTTTATTATATTATATGCTTTGCTTTGTTGAGCAAGCTTATATTGGATATGGGCTCTCTATCACATGTTGACGGTTGACCCCCCACCCGCAAATACAAGAATTCTATGATAAGGTCTAGGTTGACTTGTGGATTTCTTGTGAGGTTGTCTCCTTTCAATTCACTATGCACTATATGACTTACGGACCTCCTATTATCACACCTGAAAATAACGAAGAAGACTAAAAGCACTGCAGATATGTAGATTGGAAATCACGATCATGATTTTCATTAATGTATGATATGTTTTCATGATATATAATTTACTTCCATTCTAGCACGATATACATCAAGACGTACTCAATGCTAATTGAATTAATATTCACCGCATGTCATACCTATCAGAATTGGCATACATTGTTCACCCATCACCTGAAGATGAGGGAGTTATTAGTGATGGACTGAACTAAATTGAAGCTCGTATGAATAAGGAGAAGTTCGCACCTGGTTACATACATCGGTAAACCAAGATGATGAATCGATGTCGAGGTTTTTCTGAAATAGCAGCATGGCACTGGAGGAGGGTGCGCAGGGGCCTAAGAGTAGAGACGGTATTCTAGGACTGCAGCACTCGTTCGTGAATCGGGTGTATCTGCAGGGTCAGTGCAGCCCCTACCAATGGTGAAAACGTACACCAACTTGTCTAAAATTCGTGCTAAACAGGTCAGTGGGAGACTGTTCTGCATCATTGTTTCGTTGCAAAGGACACATATGAGTAGCCTCCTGGAGGTCTACTGCAATGTGCTCTCTACGTGAGGAGCCTGACAACAAGTACTAGAAGGTCTTAGATGGAATGTACGTAGTGAACAGCATTTTCTCTCTACGTTTGGGATGTTTCTAAGCATTCTCAGGCCCAGTGTGGTCTTGTTGATATAGGTCTGCAGATGTTGCGATATACTGCACAAAAGTCACTTCGGTAATATGACACTTAAGTCTACGTAGCCTGAAGCTGCATGCAGTATATTCTTCGATTTCTTCTATATGATTTAGAGTTGATATTTTGGAAATGAATGGTTAGTTATCTCTCACTTTAGGCTAATTATCCTTAACCTGTGTGGTCAGTTGGATGACGAGTGTATCAAGTTTAGTGTAACGGTCCCCAAAATCTAACGTGCTGCCTGAGAAAATAACGGCGAGGCTTGACCTTCCGACATCTCCACTGCTGCCGGAGCGTGCTTCTTGGCTAATGTGGAGCACTCGCCTACTTGCCTTTCATTGCGCTGTCTTGGGTTGCCATGGAGAGATGTGGGGTGAAGGATAATTAGCCTAAAGTGAGAAATAATTAACCGTTCGAAATGCATGATAAACAAAAGTTCCGGTAAATATATACAGATATGGCAACATGCTTGTAATACTCTCCATGTGTTCTCTCTATATGAGATTATCTGTTGTCTATGAGAACTGAGTTGAGACGAGTAGATACTTCAAGCGAACCAACATTAGAGAAAAGCATACCTCGCGCGCCGCGATGGACAGTCAGTGCGTTCTCATGTGACTCGGTCTATGGATTGTATACGGATTCACTAAAGAGGTCAAATTGCAGTTGACCACAGAACCCTCAACATCTGTGTCATTTTGTTATCATGACACTTTCACCCAAGTTTTGGAAACGATAGAGACAGTCGATGGCATATTCATCGTGCCTTTATCAAACAACGATGGTACATGCTCAGCATCAACAGTTTTGTCCAATGGCCCCAGTTGTATTACTATGGACATGGCAACAACACACCTTTATATACAGGATCACAGATCTGATTGCGTACATCAATTTACAACAATCGTGCGTTGCAGAATAGAACTATAATGTTCTACTGTTTGTCTTGAAACTTGTTGCTGATTGTTGTTAAGAGGTGGAAATAAAAGGTCGGGGCTTTGAAGATAGACCCATCAAACGTTAGATGATGATAGAGTAGTCCGCATCGAACATAGGTCATATAGATTTCAAGTTAATGCAAGAATGATCTGAATTTTTTATTCTAAAAGTGAATTAAGAATTATTTTTATTTTTTTTCAAGTCACTTTTATATATATGGGGAAATCGCATATTGGATACGCAATATATCCCAAGGTAAACCGACGTTCATGGAGATTTGATAACAATCCAAATTTCATTCCAAGGAAATTTCCCATTGATTCATGCATGTAATAACAGTGCATTCCCACGTGGGAGAGAACAAATATCATAATTTACAGGAAAGTTAATGGCGCCTTTCCTCCTTTCTCAAAGGAATGATATTTTTAGAATACTAGATAAAATATCAATACATATTGGCAAGGAACGGTAAATTGACGTGAGAATCGGGTCGCCTCCAGACCCCATCCTCAAAATCGCAGATCCAAGTGACTTCTAACTTTCTTCGCGAGTGGAAATATGATGGAGTGAGCGGGAACTTGTGCATGGCAGATGTTAGCTATGTTGGCAGACAGAGCAGTTAGTTGGCCGAGACCTGACATTCTTTTTGGAAGTCAATGGAAGTCACCAGGTCGTTACATACTTTACAGCTGCTGCCGATTTTTATTTGTCGAGACTCGTAAAGCAGCCAACTCCGTGAAGCCCGAGTCCTTCCGTTCTCACGGAAGTCAAGGACGGTCAGCTGCATGAGCGAAGGTACCTCTACGGTGTCTCGTGGTGGAAGGAAGGGAACCTTTGAGAGCATGCCAGTGGACGGAAGCGATGCATGGATCGGTCGCTAAGTTGTGAAAGTCCGAGGCGCAGCGTTGCTTTTAAAGGCGACGCCTCCGCTTGGATACGGTTTCCCGATGGGAGACCCCTGAGTCATAAACGACGGTTCCCCGGCGACGGATGGTAAGCGCAGCACATGTGTCGCTCTCCAAGCTGGACGAGCGAGTGTCATCATCCATTTCAGCGCCCATCCATCGGTCGATCAAGCCGGCACCCGACAGATGAGGGACGAACGGACATCAGCGTGCCATGTCTAGGACCGGATGCTGAAAAGATCCCTGCCGGAGGCACTTGGGTTCGAGCTCATCTTCAGACACGCCCTCATCCCTGGAGGTCGGGCCCTCCTCGTCTCCTTCGGAGAAGGGGAAGCCGTCGGCTTCGCGACCCTATAATTAGGAATTCCTCGCTCCCTGGAGACAAGGATACAGTAACTCCTAACTGCACGGTCACCGGGGGGCAGGGGGCAGGGTGCAACGCCCATGCCCGAACCCCATGGTATTGACGACCGCAACAAGCGACTGGGTAACTGCATCCGAAAGTGGGTAGCGGACGAGGTGGCCTTCGCATCTGAAACTCGCAGGATGCGGGCCGCGGGATCTGACATTGACTCAGTTTCACCTCCGTCTTACGGAGTCGGCCCCACTCGGACGAACTACCGCGGCCCAGTTGCCAGTAAAGGATAGGCGGGCGTGGCGCGGTAGGGAGGGAGGGAGGGAGGGAGGAGGGAGGGAGCGGGCAGAGGCCACCAATTGAGTCCGGGCCGACGGGTTGCGGTGAGGGGGCCCAGGCGATTACGATAACAAACGCGTAGAGCATGGCCTCCGAGTCGGTCTCCCAGGTCTGCCGCCCTCGCGCGATTGACCAGGGCGAGATGTCGGACGACGCGGTCTTGGAGCATATCGGACGGAATGCGATGCCCACCCCTCCGCACCGCAACCCAACCCAACTCCTCTTCTTAACTCTCAACTCCACTGCACTTACTTCGACCACGGAGCCCTGCCCGAATCCTCCCTCCACTCGCCCGTCCGTAGTCTTGCCGGGTCTTTGGAATCCGGAGACCTACGTCACAGGCCCCATGTCTACTCTCATCATACTCATTAAAAGTTGTGGTTTATTACACAATATTACTTTTGTCATCATTAAAATTACATCGATATTATAATTAAACTTCTGTTATTTTAACCGTCTTGAAAGTAGTCTATCTTGGAAAGAAATTGAAATAACCTACGATCACTTGGTGAATGTAATTTTTTGAAGAATAGAATATTACTTATATTACGAAAATTTTCTATAAATCTCAAACCAAAGTATTTTGGTTACGAAACCTAATTTTTCTCCAGTTCTAGGATTGAAAACAACTGATGTCATTCATCTTCTGCTGAGGTTTTGAGTAGTACAGTTCGCGTTTCTTGGAAATTGGCACTATTCAATTGAAGTCTAATATCCTCGAACTCATTTCTTCTCACGCACTAGAGCTCTGTGCTTTGAGTATCCTCACCGTGAATAATCATGGGAACTGGCTATGGACTCTTCTAAATTCACGTATCGATGGCTTTAGGTGTCCGGTGAACATAAGTTACCGGGTGGAGCCTAAATTACTCACAATGGAGATCTCACAAGTTCAATCTCTTATGATTTCAAGACTGCCACCAAATTTTTCAATACAAATGACACTTTAAAAAAATGTTGGATGCCACAATTCACGAAAAGGTGTCAAAAGTGACAAATGCCACTTTTAATGAGGCCACTCTCTCCGAGCCTGCGGATTAGGAATGCACGTTATGAGCCAGATGGAGGATGTTATGAACGAGTGGCCGACATGAGGAGAAAGGAGTAGGCGGTCACACCAATTCGGGCGCATCCCTACCCTACCCCGCCGCACCATCTATTCGTCGTCCTGGCGGATTTCCCACTCTTCCGGCGCAACCGCACGAGAGCACAACTGCAACTACGTTGCCAGACCTAGGCACTGCGGTGAGGTGAGCGGAGGTGGCTCCACCCGAGCCGGCGCAGCTTTGCTTCTTTACCCAATCTGACGGTCGCCCCGGTCCGATTAACTAACCAACTAACCAGTCCGGAATACCGTACTCTGAGCCGGAACCGAGATTGTTCTCATGCAGGCTTAGAGTATAATTTTGTCAGCTCCAATCATCCGGATGCGGATGAGGAGCGGGTGAGGACGGACCCGCAGACTGCGTAGCGCCTCTCTCACCCTCTCCCTACAGCACTCGTAAGCCCTCACGAAACTGGGAGGGGGGAGGGGGGAGGGAGGTGGTGTGGTGGTGAGGGGCCGGGGCCGAGGGAGGGAGGTCGGGTGGTTTTTGCTACCTGCTGCTCCTGCGACCATCCGTCCATCCGATAAGTGCGGGGCTTATAAATCCACTTTGCAGCCGTCCTTCTACCAGATAGAAGTTGAGAGTGAGTGAGCGAGCGAGGCATCGTTCCTCCCTGGGGCTCCAAATTTGCGGCTCTGTCAGCGAGCGAGCGAGCAAGCAAGCATAGGCAGAACACAAGGCCAGCACAACGTGGAACAGTGAGGAAAGCTAAGCAGCTCTTCCTGTAAGAGGAAACTCACGAAGGTCGTGGCAAGTTTTCTCCTGTGTTGTCTTCTTTCGTGGCGCCTCGATCACGAGGATTTTGCTTCTCGGGAGCGAGCGTTGTAGCTCCACGCTCTTGACGGGAGATTGATACTTAGCATCGAGCCCTCCTTCCCTCCCGTCTTCACTGAGAGATCACAGGTGCTGCTTTAGGATTTCGAACAGCGTTGAACTCCAGATCAGATCGGTTTTGCATGCAGGGATTCGGCCCGTCCAGCTCCGAGAAATAGCGATTTACAGGCATCCTACACTTTCGTAGACGGTACATAGAAATTAGTCACTGCTGTGGTGGTCACGAAGACCCGAACTCACGAAGACGGAGGTCTTTCCTCTACACATGATCCCAAGATCTCTCATTCTTATGACAAGTCGAAAACACGGCGACAGATCGATTCCTACGACATTGAGCTGAAGCGAAGGGAACGTCAAATGTCGCACTCGACTGCGTAAATAGGATCCTCCCTGCTTTGCTCAAGAGCCTTAACGCTTCCACTCCCGGCCAGATTGGGTGATTACAGAACAGAGGTGGAGAGGGACGAGGGCGTTGAATAGAGCGGACGGATTCTTCGTGAGGAGAGAGTGCCTGGAAGACGCGCTCCGACCCTCTTTCGAGCTCGATCGCGACCGCAAAGGAACAGGACCTACGAACTCGAACGGAGCTTGTCGATTTGCGACCCAGCGAGCCGCTCGCTTTCTGTCCGAGGCCACTCGATACACGCGCGCTCGCTCACCTAAACCTCGACGCCACAAGCGGGCCCGAGGAGGGAGACCGGAATCACAGCGTCACAGGGGGATCAGGGTCGTCGAGGGGTAGTACGACGAGCAGAGCTTCTCGCTAGGAGAAGATGAACGACACCGTCGAGGGTCTGATGAATGAGCTCCAGCGCAGGAACGAGCTCAATGTGAGCTCCGCGTCCACATCTCCGTCGTCCCCGCGCGCCATCGGCATCGGATCACAGCTCGAGCAACAGCTCAGAGGCCTGGTCTCAAGCTTGAGCACAACGTCGAATCCGGGCCCCGGCCCCATGGCGTCCCCGGCGCACAGCAGCGACAGCGCGGCGCAAGCCGCCCCGATTCCGAACCTGCCTCCTGCCCAGAGAGTCGGGCGCAACGGAGCCGGGGTCGCGGCGCAAGCCCCGAAAAAGCGCCGAACTCGCCCCAGCAAGCGGCCGAAAACGGAGAAGTACGAGGCCAGCGTCTGCACGTTCATGACGACCGTGCAGACGCTCACCGGCGGGACCTTCTGCTCGCAGGCCAACATTACGGCCTCGCCCATCGTGTCGTCTGCTCTGTCCGTGGGCGGCGACCGGGGGAAGGGCTTGGCGGAGGTTTGCGCTCCGACCTCGATGCCTTACGCCGGGCCGTCGGTTCCTGCCCCGGAAGCGTGTGTGGTGAGGCCGCAACCCTCGCGGCCGAGCGGACATTGCCCCGCGGAGGACTCCCCCACTGCCAAGGCGGAGGCCTCCGCTGGGCCAAGAGCAGGCGGCGGCCACGATTCTCTTCCGCCGAGCTTGTTCGAGAGCATGTTCTCGATGAGCTCGAGCAGCAACTCGCTCATGAACTCGATGATGGGTATCACAGATCAGGCCCTCTGGACGGAGTCTCCTTTCCTGTACACCGAGAGCGTGGGAGTCTCATCGAGCACTTCCCAATTCTCGGGAGGCCACCCGTCCGACAAGACATTTCTGAAAGAAAGAGGCCATTTCGGCCAGGCTTCAGGACAAGAAGGCCCCGAAATCGCTGCAAACGAGGACCCGTACGAGGTCGATCAGTGGCTCCTCTAGAGGAGCTTGAGCTCCAACCTGTAGACGTAGTTATGCCCTGTGAATACAGATCCCTCGCGTGCAAACATAATGTAGCTAGCATGTCAGACTTGAACAATTTTGTACTTTAGCCCCCTCTGTCACATAGGTCGGAGTTTGAAATAGCCCGGTGCTTGTATTTGGTAACGACAGTTATTGGAACCTAGATATTCTACCCCTTTGGCCGATTCCCCGGAGCAGAGTGTGTCATCCGTGTACCATAGAATTTCAATGACGAGCGACTGTCAAGAATCCCTTGACACAAAATGCCTTTATTTTTTTTGGCATTGGGTGTTTCTGATACATTGGGTTTCATTTTCTTTGTTGGTCGAAGCGAAACACCTCCATGAATGTCGCTGCCTATCCGACTCACATGGAATGGATTTCTGTCAAGTCTGGACGATTTCGCTTTGTAAGTTCAACGTGAATTACCCTGGTGGCAGCCTCGCCAATCCAATGTCTAATCTCCAGTGTCTGAGTGAGCCCAGGAGGGTCTGGGGGGTAATGCAGTGTGCGTATTGCTTGCACTGATTACCCGGCACTGCTGTTACGACTGCTTTTTGATAATTCAAAGACACAGAATTCTCGCGCCGGTATCAGAAGTCGATGTCGAATTGCACGGGGATGCTCTTCACGTGACACACGAGGAGATCAGTTGGCCGTTGACCCTTGCGATCCTAACCGATGGAATCAAATCTTCTTCATATAACATTACAGATGCTACTCATTCGCGGAGTGTCGTCAGGGTGATAGAGAGAGACCGTACACTCTTACTCCGAGTGTGGTTTGGCCCCAACATAGATTTCACCCTGTACGATCGATCGTTCTCAGTGGAAGAAAACATTCTGTACGCTGTACCGCATCTGACCTTCTCTCTCCTGCCCAATGTCCTTCCAGAGGGCTTCTATAAGGTTTGGAGACAAACGGCACGTTCCAGATTTCTTCCTTATGGATATACTGCAGTTGGTTTCTTTTCGGCTCTCTTGCTCCGTCTGCAACATCATCCCTTCGTATTCGGTCTTTGAACTGTTATCTCTGATGTGCCATCGCACTTTTGACATCATGAACCCTCCCTCCGTACACACTGCCCACCGAGTACTTCTAATCAACATCTCAACCTCAAGAAGTTGGCACATTTCTCTCTCTCTCTACACACATCCCAGAAAACTCATCGGAGCCAGAATTCCAGATGAAGATACGAAAACCCCCGAAACCTCTCCCGGCACGTCCCGAAGCTTGCTATCTGAGCGTCGGATCACCACCATCCTTACGGGTAAAGTGTATCTACGGCTATCCAGCCTGTCAGATTGCTATCCATTCTGTAAAGGTTCATCTTGGCTGTGAGGATACAAGTACCATGATAAGCAAAAGCTTTAACTCAAGTCAAATTACCTCATTCTTTCACCGGTTGAATCTGCACACCACGGTCGATACTGCAGTCTCTGTGTTTCAACACCTCCTCGTAAGCTATATAGAGCTCGGAACCGAAGCGTTTGGCCGTGAGATATTTTGAGCTTTTATTTGATCAGAAAGTGTAGGCCTGTGACATTGCTTCTCATTTCTGACATCATCCACTTTTGAGAAACCTTCAAGGAAAGACTTGAAGATTCTACAGGGCAAGGGCACGGGCACTGGCACCATCTTCGAGGGATGGAGAGTGCAATCCAAGCGACCAAGATGAGATGCGATTTCACATGCGGGTTAAAGATACTGTGAAGGCCAGTGACCAACGATGAAGCTCTCAAAAGCCCCAAATTTGCTTCTTCTACAAGCAGCCCGACGGCCGGCACATATATGTGATTCGTTGAGAGTATCCATGGTTAGTAAATTCGATATTGTTTGCGAGAATTATTTGAACATCTTGGCAGATATGACAGCTGTGTATTAGTTGTATTATTTGGCCTTCCTAAAAGGTTGTGTCTAGTAAGTATTGAGGCTTTCCTTTGACGCTCGATAACTTGACATAACCATAACATAACTTCATAAATGGAGTTATGTTATGTTTATTTCTCTATTCTCCAAGAGGTTGTGTATGTTATGCATACAGGCGTGCTTGACGTAAGGATATCCGAGCTATATTTTTAAAATTCTGAGAAAGTGATTGTCCGACATTGTAACAGTCAATACCAGCTGCACATCTTAGTAGTAGTCATGTTCAGCCACACAATAATTCTTGTATTGGCCTGACTGTGATGATGCCTGAATTTGTTTTTAAGCTGGGAATTATAGAAAGTCATGCATCTTTGGTATTTGGCTAGTTTTACTAACAATGCTATTTTCTGGTATGAAATCGGTGAGTATTTGGAGCTTTAGTTAGAGGATCCGTTAGTTATTTGTAGCTTTCTACGGTGGAAAATAACACGAAGGGAAATAGAACAACTGCTCATCGAGAGGTCTATTTGTGAATGAATACTTGTAATGGATGTTTCAACATCATTTCACATTTCAAGTAGCACCTTCATTTCATGACAATCTATACATACTCAAGTACATTACTATCGGTGATGGAGTCAAATGTATTAAATCTTGAGCTAAATTGTCTCATGTATGACATTCTATGCTTGAACACAAGATTAATAAATTTTTGACACTATTTGATGAAACCTAGCATTGATAAAATTGACTAAGACTTTTATGAACTTTGTGTTATGAGCAAGCATCATAGTCAAGCTTTTGATGTTGAAATTCATGATTCCAAAGAATCAATTGAATATATATAAAAAATGAATGTATTTATTTTCCAAAAATCTCACGACCTGGAAATTTTTATAATGTACTTTTTATTAAAATCATTCAAGATTTGTGTGAATATGTCAAGGATTTACATATACAATAAACATACATGGCATTAGCAAAGTTCTTGTACAAGTCGCGTCGTTTTGACGACTAAGCCATGTTTTAGAAACAACTTGAAGCAATAGTAGGGACAATGATGTTTTGGACTTGTTTGGAGTATATATAGAAAGTCTTGAGACATTTTCTCTCACTTTCATCAACATCAATTGTATCATGCTCTTGCTTTCATGATTCATATTTTGTTTTTGGACTTTAAAATCTACTTCAAAGTTGTTTTGGTATATATATATATATATATATATATATATATACCCTCAACTCTGATTTTTGTTAGTCAGAAATTTTTCAACATGATTTGATTGTTCACATCAAAGTTTGAACTTTTTACAACTTCTAACAATCGAATAGCTCAATGTGAAATTCAAACTAGATAGATTGTGAGATTTTTATGAACGTCCAATAAAAAAAGCATACCTTTAAGGAGTATCAAAAATTCTGCAAAGATTAGGGAATATTTTCAATTATTTCACCTTAGTTTATATTATGCAACAATACGTAATTTTTTAAAAGCTTAATCACATATTGTTGAAAAAGTAGCAAAATATGTTAAATCAATCTTGTTCATCAAATGAATGTTAGGTTGAAGTTGTTAATACCACAGTGTTTTTGATAATTTTTTCTTCTTCTAGTGCAATAATTTTTTGACACCGTATAGATTGAATCACAAATTAATGGCTGAATATGGCCGTTTAAGACTATTTGGTTGTAAAGTTCATACTCTCATACCTTATGCTAGTGGTGTGAAGATTTATATACTATCAGATCATATAAGAGGTAAAATTATTATCAATAGGGATGTCTCTTTTAAGGAGTCTAGATGATTAAAAAAATAAAATATTTCTCAGTTTTTTGATATTGAAAATTACTAGTTTTCACTTACAAATGTTGTTGAGTAAAACATTGATCATTACAAAGTTAATATTACGATCTAGGGAGAAACTCCAATATGAATTGAGCTAAATGATTTAGAGCAAGATCAAAAATAACACTATATTATTGATGAGCTTCAATTATGTTCATCAAAGGATAGAGATTAATTAGAATTTTATATTAGAAGATTATCAAATCGGATTAGTACAGTTCATATGAAATATAAATAAAAAGCATATTCATATATTTTTGAATGTCAGGATATTGATATTGAACATGTCAATGATATTTTGTTGATACTGATAAAATCTAAATCTTATGAAAAATTTGAAAATTCTTTCAAAACGCTTCTGTGGAATACTATTATAAAATATGAAATGTAGTTTTTGATGAATAACAAGATTCAAATTTTGAGATACTTCAACAAACACAAAAATCAACTAAAATTTGCATTTAAGATGAAGGCTTTGAGTAAGTTCAAAAGAAGAATAGATATATATATATATATATATATAGAAATTTGGAAAAAAAAAATACTATGATTGTGTCAATGCAAGAACGTTCAACGTGATCTTTACATGTTTAATATAGCTTACTTCAAAGTAATATGTATTTCTTTAACAACACATTTCAAATTTTGCACACTTCAATGTTCAATTGATGAAATGGACCAAAACAAAGAAAGTATTTCAATTGATTATATAGATCAAGCATTGAGATGAGATTGAATCAAAAGATTATCAATTTTCATGGTGATAGTCAAAATGCGTTAAAACTTGCTGCAAATCAAATGATGTATAGCAAAGTGAAACACCTCAACATGATGTAGCTAGGGGTTCTTTTGGTTCTCTCCTATGCTGGAGTTGGATTGTTTGTATTGTGTTTTTCAGACTTTTAACCCTTTGGATCCCACCAACTTGATCTGTTTTCCATTTACCATTTATCACTTTTGAAATCGGAGCTATTTGGCACCCAAAAGTTATTTCTGTTATAGATGCAAAATCTAATAAAAATATTTAAATAGTTAAGATGATTGTAAATTTAATCGAACTGATGTGTTGATTAAAATTATTTTTTAAAAAGTTTTAGTATGCATTGTGCTATTATGGAGTAGTGCATGAAAAGCACAAGTAAAGTTTACTAACAATATTTATTATTTCTTCTATTTTGACTAGAATTAAAATATAATTTGTTCTAATTTGAATTGTAATTATGTTAGGATTTTTTCTATAATTTGTTGCAAAGTAATAATATGAGTTCTAAATGATATTGTCCCAACGACATAAGTTAAAGTACAAATTGTTAGTATTCACTAGAATCAAAGACTAATTCTAATTAGTTTAATCCTAGCTAAGATGAGATTTGCTATTTACTATACAAAAGACAATATGTAGCTAGATTTGAATATTATTTTAGGTTTCTTAGTAATATTTCATGTTCGTGTGATCTACTCCAACAGAACTAAATCATGTATATGTTCTTGTAGTGTCTGCGTGCATGTGTTTTTTGAATATTTGTTGATTTTTTATTTCGTTTTATTATTCTTAAAACACATATATTTAAAAATGATTGCTATTATTATTATTAAAACAATCATTGATAGCTTATAGTAAAAAAAGTGATAAATATAAACAATGTTTCCAAATAATGATTAAACAATGAATTTCAAATACAACAACAATAAAATTAATCTCAACACAAAGTTTGAAATCTTGACTTGTTGAATGTTTTGTGATGATTAATATTTTACATACTAATAAATCTATCTGATTTTTATAAAATTCAAAATCAGAAGTAAAACAAGTGAAAAAGTTAATTCAATCATAACATATTCATAAACATTAAGCAATTGTAAAGTTCAAAATTAAATATCATTCAAAAGGAAAAATAAAAAACGCTCAATTTAGAAAAAATCATGCAAATGAGACATATTAGTATGATTAAATTTTTTTTAAAAATATATAGAAGATTAGATATTTTTCTAGTCACAAAAATTATAATTTCATATAAAATAATTGAATTGAAATTATTGCATAAAAAAGATGAAAAACTTTCATCTACACTAAAAAATTTTGCCATCAATCTTTGATGATATTATTTTCAAAATATTTTAATAGATTAGAACAAATTCATCGGTAAATCAAACAGAATTGATGAATGATACTTTTCATTTATTTTAAATATGGCAAAAAATGATGCATATTATAATGACAAAATCAAATCATTGAAAATTGATTGCTACCATGCATGACACTGATGATTGCATATGAAAAAACAATTTCAGATTATTGCATTAAAATATATTTTAAACCAATATTTGATTCATCAAAAATTTATTTCAAAAATTTATCTATTTATCTAATTTGCTAACTTATCATCATGTTTTCATTATAGAAATATTTCATTTTCAAATTAATAATTAATCCATGAATGTATATTAACAGATGGAATTCAATTAATTTTGACTGCAAAATTTGCAGTTGCGATTTTATTTTCAAATAATTAGTTGGAAGAAAAAAATATTATAATAGTAATATTCATGGATTATGAAAAATAATATCTGATCAAAACATAATTCAGTCTTTTACATGCAACGTTTATTTGGATAAATTTTTCAGAATATATTATAAATTAAAGAGAATCTTTTTTTACATTTTTCTTACCACATTTTAAATTAAACATACATTTATTAGAAAATATTAATTATTTTGATTATTTATTTCATTAAATTATTCATTATAATTGATAATGAATAATAATATGATCTTCATTGAATAATTGGTTTTATTACTTGAGTATTTTTTTTAAAGAAAAAAAATTAAGATTAAAAAAATTTTAATAAATTATCAGAATAAAATTTATATTCAAGATATATATTTATTTATCATTAAATTTTTTCATTAATAATCTGAATTTATTTTTTTTAAATTGCAAGCAGAATTTAAATCAATGATTCACAAATTAAATTTTTTATAAGGTTAAAAATGACATATTACATATAGGCCAAGTTTTTTGTTATATCATATCAAAAATTAAAACATTTAACTTCAAATAATTTTTGGACTGATATAGATTTACAGAAATTTATATTTTCTATTCAAGCCAATATCTATATGCTGCATTAGTTGAAACAGAAAATGTTGAAATTTCCGAAACATGAAAAAAATTCTTAAGATATTGAATATTTTTGTTTATTATCATTGGTTCATATGCATTATTGGTTCATAGTAAATCCAACTTACAGATATACCAATCTTGTTAATATCGAATCGTGCTTTTCAGTCATTTTAGTTTCAGCAGTTTTAAAAAAAAATTGTTAGAAATTTTTTATCATAACTTTGTGAAAAACAAAAAAAAAATGACACATGTAAAACATATATCAAACCAGATTCTTAAGAAAAAATACATAAATTTGCATGATTTATAACATTTATTGTGCACTAACACAAGTTTTATATATGTTGAAGATTGCATAGATGTTCTAGATTAAATAACACATGATGTAAGTTCGTATATGTTGAAGAGAAGATTTTGGGGAAAGGCAAACGAGGCAAGGATGTGTTTTCAGGTGCTGCGGGAGCTCACTGCGACTGTTTGGCATAATACAAGCCTCAAAGTTTTCCATTTCATTGAGTGCATTCCATTCTGAATGGGTGGATTACTGTAAACTTCATAGTTGCTTGAGGGCACAATATCCAAGAAAACGCACACCTGGAAGCGCCCATGTTTCATGAGATAAAAGAGAAGGGCATGTTCAGAATTCGACATGCTATGCGATCATAATCACAATAGTTCATGAATGAGGACAATTCGACGATTGATTCATTGACAGCCTCGTGCAATCATGTTAACATTATCAATCCTAAGTAAACGGGATCACAGATACTTCTTGCTTCCAGCGCCGAGATTCTGTACATGGTCAACGGTAGGAAATTGTGGATCAAGAATGGAAGGAAAAGCAGATTCACTTAATTGAAGGAGAACATCGAAACCAAGAAATGAATGGTTCGGATCACAAGTGAAACCTGTCTGATTCCTTCACGAGTGACACGGAACGTCCCTACAGTATTCACCACGATGAAACCAGACACCTCAAAGGGGAGGGGAAATATAAATAATTCAATAGTGATCACCTTCGTCACATTCCGTTCCCTGAACTTTCATAAATGGCAATTGATTGATAACATAGGACATGAGCTTCCATTTCCTTGAAGAAAGCTTAGCCGGATTATTCTGTGTGATATAATATGCTAAAAAACGTAGCTGCAGCTGATGCTTTTCAAGCTACAGAGTTTCGGTGAAATGCGGAAAAGAATAATGAATTAGACTGCAATTGTATCCATTGCTTTCCCATTTCTAATATTAGGGTTAACAAGTGAGAAAAGTGGGAGTATTGAAGAAGCAGCATGCGAATATCGCCAGACCCTAAGGTCATCAAGCACAACTGTCTGATGGGGTCTTCCCATCCTTTTTTGATATTTACTTGGTCTACTGTGAAAACTATGTGATACATCTGATGGTTTCTGACCACACACTACAGTCGTGCGTGTAAGATCTCCTCTGGCTGGAATGGACAGAGGGATGAGGGAAGAGAGCAGGAGATTAGGTTTGCAGAGCACTAGGATGTACTCTTCATTCTGTTCTTGTCTCAAGAGGAGGACCATTGCCGATTTCATGGCGTCGAAGAAGGAAGATGCAGAACCTTGAGATACAATAACTGAAATTTTGAGAATGTTCATCGTCAAGAAGAAAGAGAGTTACTGGAATAGTTAGCGGACTGGAATTTAAAAGATGGCAATTATGTCAGATGTAGAGTAGAAAGTTCAAGACACGTAATCAGTACAACTTGCCATCGGCTATGCTACGAAGACTGTCAATGAAAATCGGCATATTGTCACCTTTTTATGATGCATGATACAGTAGCATTCATCATCTTCAGCGGCAGAGATGTGAGTTGCGCTTGACTGAAAGGAGACCTGGTCGCAAGCAGTCGAGGGAATTGACGACTTTCCTTTTGAGACAGCAATAATGTGTAGAACAATATAAGATGCAAATCTTTGTCCTAACGTGTCCCTTCGTACCGTCAGTAAGAAAGCTTCTTGAACGATGTGGCCACTAAGTTGGTTGATCTGAAAAAGATCCGTCTACTGATTTTCGACAGCGTACTTTGGCGCAGAGGTGTCCGAGACTTTCAATAAACTACTTCGACAAGGACAAAGAGGTCGACGAAGACAAAGGAATAGAGGGACTGGTTCCCACTCCTTATCTTCATCTTCATGTGCAAGTTCTAAGTTGGTGCTGCTTCAGGCATTCCTAGTTTTCAGAACTCTGTGGATAGAGGCTACTGCCACGCGGTCGAATGGCCAAAAAATTCAACGGATGCTGCCTGGCAGCTTCGGGGAGAAACCTTTATAGTACTCACCTTACATATATGCCTCTTGTGAACGCGTTAATCACGCCCTGAAACGAATCATATCGATGCACAACCTTCTAGACAAGAGTGTACACCCGATGATACGTTTCTATCTTTTCTCGTCGTTTGGCTCCGTCGGCGTTGGGGCCTCCTCCTCCCTTCACCGCAAAGATGACACTTGGTCCTATAGGCACACCCTGAGAGTGCAGTCTTCCATTGTTGCCGGTAGCCCTCGTCACGGAGCTCGCCTTCCAGGGCAGGGTTGTTAATTGGAAGGACAAGCGATAAGCTTTGTTTTCCAGGACGACACACTCCCTCGATGAAATCGACGGCCTGATGGGCCTGCTCGGCTCATTGGGGTAAGGCCGATTGTCGCGCTCCAAAGTGGGAAGCGGGTGAGAAATGGTCTCGAGCCGTGACAACCATTCGGCCCGTCGAATCGTTCTCGTCGTTTTCCTCCTTATGCTGGGCGCACGACTTGATTTCAACCCCTAATTATAGACGCTGCTCGTCTCCCGCCCCCAGCGAGGTTCGTGGCCAGTTCTCTCCTCCATGAATTCGGAAGACCAGGAAAAGCTCTCGATCGACTGAGGTCAAGATGCCTGCAGATTCGGTCCACATATCGCCAGATTCACTCGATAGAGCGTAATCGCAGTTAGCGTGTCCCACCTCCTGGGGATTGAAACCCCCCGCATCGTGTACGACTCCGTTCCCTCCCTCCCCCGCTCTCGGCGAGATTGCCCGCGCATTGTTCGGCCGGAACTCGACAATCGGTCGCTCCTCTTGCCCTGCCGCACTGTCAGCAAACCTCTGAGTATGCGTGCACGTGTCGGTCGGTCGAGATCCGGCCCCACAGCGTCGTCTCGTCTTGCTCGCGTAATCACATGCACCACATCCGACCCTACCTCGTGAACCGACTCTTGCCTTTGCCCGACCGTGGTTGGATGTTGATTGAACCCAGGGTTACTGTGTTTGCCTTTGCGTACTGCCGTGGATCGAGGGTAAGGAACGAGGATGAGAAGACCCATCGAATCCTCGGGATAAAACCAGGGGATATATAGTATGGGGCTAGCTAGATCCAGTGGGTAACATACTCCAGACGACGTCCTTAACATTTTCGTTCTACGATATATACGCAAATGTAAGCACAATGAAAGTAGGTTTTACCTGACGAGCCGGTCATAGCACTCGCGGGTACCGAACTTTGCTTGATTTACCAGTTTTCCAAAAATCTGGTGTCTGGACTGACTGACGGTACGAAGCAAGCATTGAATTGTTAAATACCAGCAAAACGTGGAGGTGAACCTCCTTAATATAATCCCCACATACTTGTCACAATCATGACATCCATGAGACCTATTGATTCCAAGGTATATCCCTTGTTTTGATCACTATGCTTACATGAGTCTCAAATACATGGATTTTGAACTGGGAATTTGTACCATGCGAATATTTTCCACCAGGTGAGCTTATTTATTTCAACGATGAAGCATATATTCCTAAGATGGAACAATGTAAGGCAAAGAGAAGATTCGTCTTAACTACCTCGTGACAGGATTCAACTCTTTTCTTGATTACCTTTAATCAGAAGGAGGAATGTTCAATAGTTATAGATGTCAACAGGCCATATTCAGTGTTCAGTGACACTAGTCAATGGAAATTATCGAATCTTCTAATTGAAATTGAGTTGCAGTTAATCCTTCCTAATATAAACTCGCAATAGTATGTGTAGAAAAATTGGTTAGATTTTAAAATAACATGAGGTCGTCTTAGCAGCTTATTTAGCACGTGCTGAATAAAGGGCATGTTAGGAGAGACGCATTTAGAGAAAACTTGATTTGGTTTCTTGATTTCTTTTTGTTGCAGTCACTGTCTGCTTGAATGGAGCAATTTGGACGAGTCCAGCAGGCGAGTCGAAAACATGTCTCGTGACTTTCTGTGCATCGCGCAAAGTAAAAGCTATTGAACTTTCATCTTCATCCATCTGTGGTTGTAACAGACCTAAAACTGCATTTGTAAAATTGTCCCCAACAACAATGAACTCTACATTGATGGATCTAAGCCCCAAGGCTTTGCTCGATATTCGGCATCGCAAAGGAAACAGAGAGAGTTTCGAAAGATTGAATCAAGCTCTCACAAAAGCTATGGTTGCTATTCTCGCTGACTCTCCGTCTCAGCGAGAAACGACTGGATTGGGTCCGCTAGAACTGCGCAAAGATGGGAAGTGAAAGCAAACGTTTTAGTTTTGCTCAACAACTGGAACAAAAACGAAACATGAGGACAAAGCAGACATTTTTTCTTCATGTATGTCTCTGTTAATCTGCTCTCTACTAAGCAAATGGTCGTATAAAGAAGAGAAAAAGGACTTTCCTTGCCGATCTCGACTTTCAAACATCGGCAAGCAGCAACATATTGGGAATCAAATGGCTGTCGCAAGGTTTAAGTTTCTCTTCGATTTCCTTCATCTACTGAGCTCTACTACTAGGTGCTGAACGTCGATATAATGCAGTTAGAGACTTACAAGACTCCTGCATTTATATTACATTCCAAACACTCAATTGCAGTCTATCTTGCGGGTATAGATTGCTAAAGCAACAAGTCCCTCAGATAAAAACTTGACTAAACGTCATTTCTTTTGGTACACAACGTCCAGTAACTTCACTGCGGAGAACTACCTTAAAAATAGGAGGGTTCTGCAAACACGAAGTGGTGTCTCAAATCTGTTTTCAGAATGCCTAGCCAAAGTTATCAGACATGACTTGAGCCTGCGTTTACCGTTTATGAACGAAGTCACGGTGTCACCTGAAATAAATATTTTGTGAAGATTTTTCTCCTACTATTCTCCAAGCCTAAACTCTTCACATGTAGCACGCTGACTCTTCATCTTCTAATATTCACGAGATTCAAACTCTAGATGTAAGCATTATACTTTCAGTACACAAAATTGCGTAACTCTCTCACATCATCAGCTGTTGAAGCACGAATTGTCATGTCCTTCTAATTTGCACACGAGAAAGCATTGATAGACCTACGCCGGACGCCCTGACTTTCGAAATAACAAGAGGTCAGCTGCAAGGGCTTAACAATCAGTAAACCGATTAGAAAAGACACCGGAAGTGTAAACCTAGGGATTCAAGGGATCCACTAACAAGCGTCAAACGTTACACAAGCCCTCACTATTCATCAACTTTAAGCTGTTTCATGAGGTAAAGAACCTACAACGTCATACATCAATGGACATAGTATTAGTTATAAAGAGAACACCAAGCTATCCATCCATCAGGACGGTTCTTTGCAGTATATAACCCACAGTTTCTCTCCCTTGCTCCTTCTCTCTGTGCACTTAAGAACATATTAGGTTCAGGTGCTGAGCATCTCGGCACCTCACGGCTTAAAAAATTGAAGGATACTCGTTCAGTATCGCACTGGTTTATATTTACACATAACCTACCTAGAAGTCTACAACCTCTACTACATTCGGTTTCTTGGGTCCAAGATCTGACAAAATTTTATTATGTGCTTGATTTGGCACATTATGCTCAGCGGTCACGATAACTATCGTCGATGCAAATGCCTTCGAGGTCAGCATCACAGGTGCAACTATCAAAATTATAAGAGTTAGAACAGAATTTTGATTACATCTACCAATGGGGCAGTAATTGCGGTGTCATCCTATCCTGCAATTACTTCTCTAGCTTGCATGATGATTTTTCCTCCGAAGTCAACCCCTCCGATGGTTTCCTCCTTATCGCTAGTTTTCGTATCATCACATGCTCTTGGAGCTTGCCAATTCGAAGACACGTGAACCTTCTCGGAAAGTAGCTTTCCCTCTAAGCGTGAAGTTTCCAGAACACCGTTCTTGGTTTCGGCAGGAGTAGGTATGTTGGCAGGACTTAACTCTTCCACAAGCATCTGCATTACTTGATCACAAGTAGCATGTATTACCTGTAAAACGAGTCCACAAGTCAAAACTTAATTTAACGAAATTTCCCAAGCGGAAGTAGTAACTGCCCAAAGTAAGTTGAACGTAAGGAGATGGATGCATTTGAAGATAGGCCTAGTCAGAAAATTACGTGTTCAACGAGATCTCTCCTACAAGGAATGAAGTAAACGTTTTACAGTGAACATGTATACACAAGAATAGACAGAAAACATCAACCGAACACATTAAACTAATAATATATCCATGGAGTGAGGGTACGGCTCAATACCAAAGAAGCTCGAGAATCTAAGGGAGTTTTCTGCAAGTTCACAATAACGACCCTCCCTCCATTTCCCAAAATTTTTGCAGGAAAATCACAGGCTGGTTTCACTCTTAAACTTGAGCCCAGGACCAATCCTAAGTCAGCTTTCTGCGAGTGTTTCACTGCTGAGTTCAAGGCCTGCACACAATCCACCAGCGTTTTATACTTCTTCTAGGCTGGGTCAATTAGGCCATCGACAGATGGAAAATTACAGAAAGAACTGATTGTTGAAGAGAGACGTTACAGAAACTGGTTGTAAAATAGTTACAATAGAACGAACATCCGTTGACAATGTCCATTGTAAGACATTACTCCATTCATTGTTTGAAAAGACGTTTATAAGTAGAAAAGAACCTGTTTAGATATATCCTCCCCGAAGAGAATTACTGAATCCCGAAGATTGCCACTACATCCTTCTTTCTCGCACATCCTGCCAGTCTGATGGTTTGTCGCTGGAACGATTTCATCAGCTAATTCTTCGACAATCATGTCCATCTGCCTTGCACCTCCATCACCTCTGCGATGTTTCCTACGTTTCTGCAACTCATAAGGTTCGTCCAGATCTGGAAAATTCGCACCTGGTTGGGTTGTAGATGCTAGACCCGTCCAAACAGCATACGGCCTAAAGTAAGAGGTCTTACACTTTGGGCAGCTCTCCAAGCAGTAATTCCCATGTAGCTCACTCAAATTTTCAGCAGGAACTCCACTTCTCATATGCAGACCGTCAATATTTTGTGATACAACGTGCTTTATTTGACCTGCATCCAGAAGTCGTTTCAAGGCGATGTGGCTGAAAGTGGGTTGGACCTGCACAATATCACTTTAACATGTAAGTAAAGCCAAACGTTAGTAGTAAATGCATATTGCCAGAAAACCTTGTCAGCCCGCTCGAGTAACCTCCTCTTATAGTTTGTCTCCTTGCCCTAAGCATTGCCCCAACCCAATTCATATGAGCTGACAAAAGATGTTGTGAAAAGCCCATCATCCAAATCTTCCTTAAGACATTACAATTCACCACTTCAAACAGGTCCTAAGAATAAATTGGCTTTGCTAATTTCACAATGTTTTAAAATAAATACGAAATCTACGAAATAGCAGTGAACGGTGGAGATGAACCAAATTACGACCATGCATCAAATTACTGGAAGAACGACGTGCCCATCAAAAGTACACATGAATTTCCAACATTCTTTACATTCCGATCAACGTTGTCGGGTAGATTTTGTATATGCCCAGGTCTTTCACCAAACGAGAAAGAACAAAAGAGAGAGAAGGACAAACAAAGTCAAGACGTAAACAAAGAGTCATCACAATACGTCGCTTCAAGTCTCTCGAAAAACTTCAACATTTCCCAAAGTGCTTGGATAGCATCGACATAATACTTGATGAGTGTGCATCAAATAATTTCTTTTATACCAGGTCTATAACCACGGAAAGAAGCAAGGATTGGAAAAAGACTCATTTGAAAACTATCAGATTCGCTTGTAGACATAGCTATCATTTGAGTCGGAGTATGAGTCCACTTTTGCAACCGGAAAGGTGAATAATACTGAAAAGCCTTTACCTCATCCATTCCTGTACTAATTTGCTCCCTTCTATACCACCTCTTTAGTTATTCTTCCTTCCAATTACAGATACTACCAACAGCGATAAAATTTCGTATGATAAAATTTCCCCGTACTGATATCCACACAATTAACAACTGATATATTCGTGTCTCAAAAGAAAAGTTGCTAGTCTTTCATGTCCGCAGACAAACAGTGTTCATCGCTTTAGAGAAACTCATTCTTCCAGCCCGTGGATTTATGATAAAGAAACGAGGGAATTATAGAGGGTACCAAACCAAACAAGAAAATCATATTCACTCTATCCACCCAGGCAGGTTACCGAAGAGACTTGAATATAGGAGCACCTTAGAAAAATCAGGTTCTGTCAACTGTCTTCCTTTGGCTCTCAGCGTCCAAACTCCAGACGGTCCACGGAAATCAGGTATACCTGCAGCAGTCGATAGACCAGCTCCTGTGTAGACCTGATCACATCAAGCATATAGAAGTCACAACAAGAAGGCGATATAAACTCGGTTCATTACAAATCTTGGTCAATTTGGTTCAAATTTGTTGCGTGGAAGAATGTACAGACATATAGTCCACTTCTTGCACTGAAAACTCAACAGGTGCAACGGTAGTTTATTTACCACTGCGTACTTGGACGTCCGGATCATATTTGCAAGCTCTCTGGCTTTCTCGCGTACAATGTCCACAGACTCTTCCAGTTCCTCACCGGGTTTGGAGGCGCGGCTTCTCAATTGATACCTACATGAAGATAATAAAAAAAAGATCACCTCATAATCTTCCACATCCGTTTATACCATGTCAACTTAGCATGGAGCCAAAAGTGTTGATGGATTAATGTGAAGAAAATGTAAAAGGCCTTAAGTTGGAGTACATGGATGCTTCGGGCTACATAGGCCACAGAGGGTGAAATGGTACAGCAAAGTAAAACATTAGACCGGAAATCCTCAGCCAAAGAAAAACCTTCACAAAGAGATGTCCTCAATTTTAGTGGGTTACTCGCACACTAAAGTTCTAAGTTCACGAAACTAATAAGAGTCTACGAAACATTGGGATGAAACGAGGCTTTTCACGCCTAGAACAGACTAAATAATACGACATTTGGCGCGTTATCCTGGAAAATATAAAAGGTCAGAGGTTCTCAATGAACACATGAAACACCGAATATCGACATGCTATGTTGACTACTCTTCTCGAGCTTCTAAGAAGTCGGAAAATTGTTCTATTCGATGCTCCCTACACCTTTCCAGAACCACTCCTTCCACATCCTGAACTTCGACCAAGAAATATCTCAAATTTGTTATTTGAGTGTTCCAACCAACCAATAACGAATGAACCGTAATTGTACCAATGTGCGTCTTAGACAGCTTTTCTCCTCCTCATTAGGATTCAAAAGCTTTATACAGAAGCTGGATAAACCTGTCACAATTGAAAACGTCGACTCTACTATCTGTCTCCGCTACAAGATGATGAAGGCAGAACGGTCGACCAATTTCTTTGCTGGAAACCAAGCAAAATTGGCCGACACCTAGAACCCCATAATAGGCAGCCCTCAGAAACCAAATTTTCAAGAGCAGGGGTCAAGTCCTCCGAACACAGGTTGCATATTCTGCCGATCTTCTGAGGAAACTCACCTCGTCATCTCTGCTGCCGTCGATTTTTGCGTTGAGAAGCAAAATGCCACAGAATTCTCAAAACGTCCTCTACCGCCGTCACTCTCGAACGCAAAAGCTTATGCCCAATCCGTTATGACTATTCAGAATCAAAGAAGCTTTCTGAGAAATCGTGCTAAAAGCTAAAAACTGGTACAATCCATCCAATTTTCCCTCCAGATACTGATTCTGAAAAATTCCACTGCAGACCATAGTTAAAAAACTAAAACCTTCCGCCGCTCAAAAAACTCTGTCCTTCCGTTGCCTCACTCAACAATTGGTACACAAAATCCTTCCTCTGCCTTGCGGAGGAACGAAAAAATGCCCGAGAAACTCAGCACAGCCCAGCACAAAAGGGAAACCAAGGAGCAGGCAAAATGAATGCAATGTTCGTCTCTTCGGTGGAGCGCCGGAATGAAAGAGGAGGACGAAGAGTGAAGACGAATGAGAAGAAGAAGAAAAAAAGAAGAAGAAGCAGAGAAGAGAGGAGAAATCAGAAACCTGTCTTTCTACTCTTTCCGTATTTACTTCCCTGCCATTTACTTTTTGGACAAACCATGATACCATCTACACTGATCGTCCAATGGGACATACAATGGATGTTTAATTATTCTTCTTATTATGGGTCCATGCTTTCATAATTTCATAGTCGCATTCCCCCACACTTTTAATGCTTTTCTGTTGAGCCATGCTAGGATTGGACCATTCATCTCCTCACTCTGTAGCGGATCTTGGCATTTAATGTGTGAATAGGGTGCGGCTAGGCCCCCATGGAGCATACACTAGGGTCGCCCGGATGTCCCCATGTACGACCATTCCGAGCCACGCCCCTGGGTCGGCATTATCGGCTCTTATGAGGACGTAAATCCCTGAGACATTTCCGTCATGTCATATGTGCGCCTTCATCAATGCAAATGAGGCTTCACGACTTCTTTTATTTATTTGTTCGTCCTCTTCTTATTTAATCCATGTAACGGAAAAATCGGACCTTCAAGCAGGTTCAGAAATGGAGAAAAATAATGCGAACACCAAAAAATCATTACATGTGCTGGGCTGTCCTGTGCATAGGGCTTCTTTGTTTTCTTTCCCCCCATTCTTTGGCCTAGCTTTTGCTAAAGTTTATCAATCCGACATGAAATATCAATTACTGCTGCTTATGTTATTAACCTCTCAATCTTCACTTTTAAATCTCAAGTGGTTGGTGTCATTTGGAACATTTTTTACTTGAGGTTCTCTCAGTTGGCTTCAAACCTGCATGGTCGTATGTAGCGATCAGAGGGGTTTCTGTGAAGGTGCCATACACATCTGTGAACACTTCATATTTTCTTTCATCGAGGTAACATCCTCCTATTTGCTACCAAGGATAGAAGATAACGATTGTGTAAATCTCCCCATAAGTCATATATCAATGACGAGTTTTCCTTTCCATTAGATGAAATTTATGTGGTAGAGAAAGAAAAAACTTGAGGTAGGCAAGAGTATCGGCATAGACGCTGAATGTCTTGGAGTATGCTACACTATTGTTCTTTTTTAGGGAACGACTAGAGATGAATGACTGAGGAAGCAACCTTATTTCCAGTTTCTATTTTGGGTAGAGACAACAGAGAAGTCATGTGCAAACCTCACGAAGACATCCACTTTTCTTGCGAGCGTGATTTCACTCTGCATTATTACTCTTATTGCGTCTAGAGTTGCTGCTGTATACACTTTTAATTTGTCTTGTTTCTAAAATTGAGAAATACCTATCCATACAAGCTAATTCTTTAATCGATAACTAGCCCAAATAAAACGTTTTTTATTTTTAAATAGATTTCAAATTTTATCTATTAAATTTTTATTTCTAATTTTTTTTGTAAATAATTAGTAGAAAATAAAAAAATATCTACGACGTTTTGGAAGTCAAATATCTTCAATATATAAAGAATGAAATAAAGAGAAATTAAGTTTTTCTTCATTTTGAAAAATTGTATTCCTAAAAGTTTTATCAAATTTCTCTAAATGTGAAATTTATTTAAATCTATATCTAATATTTAAAAAAAGTACTCACCATTTTATACATTAAATTTTGATAATCCAATACCGTGCCAAAAGATATTTTGAATTTATAGTTAATTTATAATAGTGGTTCGACGAAAAAAGAAATGAAATAACTTCTAGCATTTTACTGCAAAGAGATCAAATCTTCTTAATTTTGCACAAAAGTCAGTAGAGAAGCCATTCCTAATTTTTTAATTTGATTTCTAAAATCTTTGATTTCCATCTCCATTGAGTAAAAGATTGATTAAATCTCCTATTTTGAAATAATGTTGGAGTTTGAATTATTTTTTATTATTTCATCTAAAAATTTATCTACTTAGAATCGAAATCTTTCATTTTGATATTGATTATTTTCTTCTATAAATTCTGGAACAATCCATAATAATAGATTAAATTTTTAAAAAATATTAAATATTAAAACATTTTTAATAATAATTATATCTATTTTATTAATAAAATATATTAATAATCTATTTTATCTTTAAAAAAATATTTTCAAGGTCAAAATTTTTCTCATTTTTATTTGATTTTCTCCATTGTAAGTTAATAAATTTTTTTCAAAAATTTTGATTACTATTTTTGGCTTGTTCTAGAGTAGGAATCTTCATAAAATAATTATTTCTACTGATCTGTTGATTAGAATTTAACTCTTTAATACTCTTTGACTTCTTAACGTTCACTGAATTTATTTATCAATTGCTTATGTGCAATTTTGTACCACTCTGTAGATGAAAAATTATGTAGATTTAAACCTTTTAGCCATTTTTCCCAATTTTCCTTTCTAAATTTTTTTTATGCTAGAGAACTAACGAATGCTTGGTTATATTAAATTAAAAAATTGGAATTTTTTTCTCCATAGATGGGATATCCGCTATTTGAATTAAAAATTTAAATAGAAATTATATTTTTCTTTTATTTACCATATTTAATCAAATAAATTTTCTTGAGAAATTGATATCATTATTTGTTTCAAATTAACTTTAATTTTCTCTTCTTATTTAATACAGTTGAATATCTTTTTCAATTATCTTCAAAAACTTGCTAAGGTTATAAATCAATCATTTATATTTTTTAATCTATGTAGATTATTATTTTATTTAAAAAACAGAAAAAAAATTTATTAGTGGAAATATACTTATCTTTTTATTTTTAAATTAAAATTTTCCCTTTTAAAATATTTTAATTTTATGAATTTTAATTATTTAAAATTGAAGATATTATTCATAACCATTATAACATAACATATTATATTATGACATAATATATATGGTAATTTTTATAATTTTGTGAATCTAACTTTCTTAGAAATTATTGCTATATCAACTTTTTTACTGAAAAAGTTTTTCAAATTTTGGCATCAAAGATTTTCTATAATTTTAATATGTTGAAAAATTTTTGAAATTTGAAATGGTGAAAAAAATATTTCAATCAAAAACAAATTATATAAAACTTATGATATTGTGAAGATGACAAAAAGCATCCAATGTTAAGGATATTTTAAGTCAATATATGTCTACTAAGTTCTAATAAAATATATTCCAAGCTTTGATGCTTGCCAATGTTATTTAATCACAAAAAAATGATTGATCTGAATTTTGAAATAGATTGTAGATATTTTGTGACTAAATGTTAAAGCGTTATTCTATCATTTCAAGATACGTCTAGTAAAAAATTATTTCTAATAAAGAAAAAATTATAGAAAATTAAGGTTTGAACAAAAATTAAGTGAGAGATTTGGATTATATATAATGTTTATTATGGATTATCAATCTAATCAACAAGAAAATCTAGTGTATGATCATCATATGGATTTTATAGTGATAATGAGGATCTAGATTTTATATATAATGATTTTTTCAAGATCTACTCAAATCTTGAACTTGATTAAACTTGATGTTTACTTCAAGGTGTGATCTTAAAGAACAATTATTGTGTAACATCTTTCTCATGTCATTAAAAAAATGTATATCTTTCAAAATACATATATCTTGAACAATTATTATCTAAAGATATGACAATCAACATTCAAACTGCAAATTTCATGTCTGTATGAGTTGTGAAAAGATTGCATTTTCACGCAATGTATCATGCATTTAGTATGAATTTACAACTAATTTTATAAATATGCATGTCATATTACATGCTAACTATTATGAATCTAAATCTAACAATTTGACATGAAATCTTGATTACATTTTAGTGCAATGAAGTAATCATCAATCCATGAAGATTTTTTCATGTTGATATATCTGATCCAAAAAATTGCATAAATGACGTTTGGTATATTTTCATAATGAAGTACTAAGTGGTTGATGAAAATTGACTTCATATTTGATTAAGTTGAAAGCTAATGTATATCTAGCATGATATTAGATTTTTATTGAATACAGATTATGTCTTATTAGGAATTAGATTTACAATGTTAAAGTGTTCCAAAATTTGATTGTTTATGCTTATGTTAATAATCATATGTATATTATAATGTTTTTTCTAATAAAAGACAAGATTAGGATGTCAAATGTAGCCACATACTGATGTTTATAAATATTTACAGCTTTATTGGTTATGTAAATTTTTTATAATCAAATTATATTTATTTGGATCAAGATGAATATTCAACTTGAAAAATATTTTGAATGAATTGAAACAAAATCATGAATACATCTAAAAAAGTTTTTAAAAAACACAAAATATCTTTCTTTTAATCTTAATTTCTATTGTATAGAACTTACTTTATCTTTTTATACAGCGTTAGTGCACTAGACTTGATTTAACACAGCTGAATTACATATCTATGCAAAATACATTAAATAACCATCATGTATACTTTGAAATTTAAGTTTATAGATTTTTGATATATATTATTAAATTTATGAATTTTTTCTCAATCTGTTAAATATATAGATAAGAAAAAAAAGAAAAAATTTAAAAATTAAAAATTGATTTTAAAAAACCAATTAATTTTTACTAATTCTGGTTAAGTTACAATGGTGTATCAAATTAACTTCTCACTATGTAAGAAAGTTGATAGGAACTCTGATTTTAGTGACACAAATAAAAATTGTAGTGAATCATAATTTATTTCAGATGACAAAATGCGAATGTGTTATGATTGTGGGTGAATGTATAGGTTTATGATTTTTATACTAATCAAATGTGATAATCAAAATTCTTGTGGTTTTCTTAAAAAATAAAATAAATGAGAAAAAAGAAAAATACACCACAATATCCAAATAAAAAAAATGCCTCCAAAAAATAACATGATAGACTATCATGCTATAATTTACTTTCAATAAATATAAAATTCATATAATTAGTTAAAATAATTCAATCTGATTACTGGATAATGAGAAAATCCAGTAACATTCTAATACAGTAAAATTATAGACAAAGGCTAGAAGCATTTCGAAATTCATTCTTGTAAGCTTTCATAATCTATGCAAGCCATAGTCATATGTACATATATTCTTATAGAAAATCATGATATTTAGCTTCAACTCGTGATTCATCAAGGATAGGTATTTGAAATATTACTCATGTGATCAATAATGTAGTAGATGTACGAACCAAAACAAAATCTCAATAGGTAGTAAAAGATCTCTGGTGGCGCATGCTGATGATCCGCCATCGCTGTCAGCTCCACTTTCCAGTCGTCGTACAGAGCGGGGCTATGAAGTAGATGAAGAATTAGATGAAGAATGGTCGACACGATAGCTGCTCCGTAGGTAGGTGGGCTGGAGTACATAGGTCGAATCACGAGTTTCAGCTGGCTTTCCACACGAGCTGCGACTGAGGAGTCCCTGACCACAATGCTCAGGGCTCCGACTCGTTCTCCATACAAACCATGTTCCATGTTCTTGGCGTAGCTCTGGGCGATGAAGGGTTCCCCAGCGACAAACCTGCGAACCGTGAACGTGTCGGTGTGCAAGCTTCCGCTGGAGAAACCCTGATAGGCGCTGTCGAAAAAGGGCAGCTGATGCTTGTCATTTCGGCTCACCTGTCGCAGGCCCTCCCACTCCTCCTGAGTGAGATCTACGCCAGTGGGATTGCACCTACAGCACCGATCCAGTGGGTGCTGCTCTCAAATTGTCGATCATGCCCTCGTGGTCCAGTCCTCGGGTCTTGGGGTTGTAATATCTGTAGGCTCTGGATTCCAACCCAGCGAGTGGGAAAATCTTCAAGTGGTTGCCCCATGTCGAAGATGTAATTCGAGACTCTTGTCAAAAACTTCTCCCCATACAAGCAGAAATGGACAGTTAGTCGAGTCTTTTTTTTGCTGAGGACAGAAACTATCATAAGTGTAGCATCCTCTACACCTGCTATGTCCACATTCTAATCCTGTGTACCATTACCTGCATCAGTTAAGAGGAAATCTTTCTCAATTTCATCCGCTGCTAGAGAATCTCCTACTTTCCCGGACACTGTACATTGAATGTTTCCTCCTTCACAACCTCCTGTTGGAGAGTCTTCAGAACCAGGTTCTGTATATTCTCCAGAACCTTCATAGTTCTCAATGTTATTTTCCTGTACAGAACCTTTGTAATCCTGTACAAAGGTATTGTTGACACCTTCCATCTTCAAGGACAAGGCGACACCTTCCATCTTCAAGGACAAGGCGAGTTTTCTGCGTCTAGTTCTACGTCTTCGCGATTTGGTTGGGGGTCTGAGGGTATCCGAGCGTCCTTCTTCTGCTACTACACCTGCACCTGATTGGTTTCCTCGTTCTAGTTCGCAATCAGCCATTAGTATTTTGAGGCCGGAAATGTCCTCCACGGATATCTTTCTCCTAAAAAAATTCTGTTGTACACTAGGGGATTGGTTTCCTTGTTCTAGTTCGCAATCAGCCAGTAATATTTTGAGGCCGGAAATCTCCTCCACTGATATCTTTCTCGCAGAAAAAATCTGCACTTCCTCTCCATCAGGATTAGAAGTGATATGTGCAGAGGGTATCTGAACATTTGTTGTGTTCCAAACCCTGCGGGCTTGGTGAAAAACCTCCACATCTCTGTGAGCTGTATACATAACTGGACTGCTTTGTGTACTTCTCTCTAGCAGAAGTGGAAGTCCTCTCGAACTTGAATACATCCCTGGATCCCTTTTTGTAAATTTGTCTAGGAAGCGGAATAGATATGAAGCCATGTCTCTCTGATAGATGCGATGATCTCAAAACAAGAATTTCTTTGTAGAGTACACTCTCTCAATGATTCCCGAACACTGTTACTCTGTCGATGAATCCGGAACACTGTTGATGAAAGATTTATTCTCTCAATGAATCCCGAACGCTGTTGATGACAGATTCATAAAAGCACATTTGTGAAAGCCGCGAACACTGTTGATGACAGATTTATAAAAGCACAATTGTGAAAGACGCGAACACTGTTGATGACAGATTTATAAGAGCACAATTGTGAAAGTCGCGAACACTGTTGATGACAGATTTATAAAAGCACAGTTGTGATAGCCGCGAAAATGGATGAGGATCTTGAAAAAACACAATGAGGCTGTCTATTTTGTTTGGAGCTAGTTTGGCCTCCTTTCCGTTCCCAAGTTTTCCTGACAAACGGCCAGATTGGTGATCGGTGAACCTTCTTACTTTCCAGTTCTTTCGTTTTGTACTGGTGAAATTCGATTACAAATTGAATCAAATTTCCTGTTCGTTAGTGCACAGATGAGGTCATCAGAGACTGACTGTAATTTGAATTTGCTATTAGGGTAATCTTTTCTCACGGTCCTTTATCCGATTCACAGCAATCTATTCTAATTTTAGTGGAGTGTTCGCTTCGTTCATACAAGAAAGTTCATAATCCTAACGGAATATCCAAACGTCAGTTTCGTATGATCGGTTTTTCAAAATAATATTTCACAATCTATTTTATCGATATATATTATTCTAATATTCAAATATATGTAGAATCATATTGGGAGGATTTGTTTCCAATTTGAATCCATATTTTTTTGTCTTTTATTATTTTTATTCATAAGAAATAGCGAATTACATGAGAAGAATAAAGAAACCAATAATTTACACAATTTTCAACATTGTGGGGGATGAGAGGTTACATAAGTGTATACTATTTACCTAGTAATCAAGCATATCTTCAATATCTACCAGCCATAATTCAAATTTTCACAATTATCCATCTGATAACCGTAAATAAATAGCTCATTTCATTTATTTATTTATCTATTCCCAATAATCCGGTTGAGAACCGTAAATACTACTTGCATAATAATCAAACTTCGACTTACCTGCCATAACTCATTTTTCTCAATAATCTGTTTGAGAACTGTAAATAAATTGTTCAGTTCTTATGAAAGAACTAAGGTGTTTAACATGGATACTAACATTTTCATGTTGTGTCAAATGATGGCAACCGAGACCAATAAAAAATCCATGAACGAAACTCAATCCAAACTTATCACTTCTATGATAGTAACTTACTGAAGGAAATACCTTCGTAAATACATGAATGATAGGATCAATTCATTTCATGGATGATTGGCATATGGTATCTGAAAAAGTTCGATGATCGAAGGGCATGACGATCCAGACCGCGTCGCGACGTTGCTCTCGAGCGTTGGCATGCTCGATGCCGAGATGGAATGAAATGAGCCCAAGTTTGCAATGGCGCACAATTTGCAGCAACTGTGTGCGTCGCCTTTGAAGACTGTGGGCTGTCGTCGTCCGGCACCGGCAAGACTAGGAAGCTCACGTTCATCGCCCGCAGCTGACAGAGTGTTCTGTGCTGTGGAATTCAGGCATCGTTCTTGTGCTCGTGGATTGAGAAGTTCTAGTGCGAATTTGGGTGATTCTCTTTGCGGTGGATCGGTCGTTGGTCTGGGCTTTGATCCCCCTGGTTCCAGAGCAGGATTCCGTAGTGGAGAGCAGATTGTGACGTCCGCGAAGATGTCTGAAGCATCAATCGTTCCTCCTCCAGGTGGCTGTCTGCCGAGGCTGATCGGTGATCGGTTTCTAATTTTTTTCCAGTGGAGTTGAATATGCAATGCTGGATCCGCTGTGTAGAACCAACTGTACAAATTGGTTCATGGAGTTTTTCGATTGATGTTCGTCTGTTGGTGGTGTAGGGATCGCCAAGAACGTGACTATCATTAATCAAGACGGGGAAAAGTTAGTGGGAGTTATTGACGACACGGGTTCCAAAGAGCTCTGTGTACTCTGCCATGGCTTTCGCTCCTCCAAGGTAGAATCTTGTGCCGGATCTTCCTCTCTGTATGCTTAATTCTTGACATTATGGACCCTCTGTTCCTGCTGAATTTACTTGTCATGGTGCTTTTCACCGAAGAGTTATGTGCACTTTCCTGGTCCTTCCTTTCTCATCCGTTTCAGCTGTGTAAGTTTACATGGTTCTACGTCTTCGGATGAATGTTGTGGAGTGTGACAGAAATTTGGTCATTTGAAATATGGCAGAAGAGCACTACCTTAGGTGTGGTTGCATCGACACTCGTGACTGCTGGCTTCAGCTCCTTTCGATTTGATTTTTCTGGAAATGGGTAAATCTGCCGTCTATCCTATCACCAATGCTCATATTGTGATGACGATGCACGATGAAGAGAAGTCTTCATTAGTTTCTATCGCTTTTTATCCGTTCATATTCATTCTTCCTCGTAAACAGGTTCCTCAGTTGCAATTTGTTCATTCTGCAAGCTCTGACTTTTGTTGCAGAGAAAGTGAAGGAGAGTTTGCTTATGGAAACTACTGGAAGGAGGTGGAAGATTTACGAGCAGTAATCGAATATTGGAGGAGTCAAGGGCGAGAAATAACTGCCATCATTGGTCACAGCAAAGGTTTTGCGTTCTTTTGATAATTGTATTCGTTTATCATATGCTTTTAGGGCCCTGATGTTCTTAGTTGTGTTGCGTGTGACATGAATAATTTCGTTTGTCAGTGAATCTTTTATTTTATCCGCAGGTTGAATATTGTTCATGTTTGGCATGAGGAAATTTACTTGGCATGAATCACAACTGCATGAAGCATATTCTCCATGTATGTAATAACAGTCCGTCAAATTGATACCATCGTCTGCTTGCTCTGATCTCATCACTTGTACCATTTTCCCCATCGAAAAATACGGTTTCAAGTATTGACTGTAGAGCTTTAGTATTCATAGTTGTGGAAGTTCTGATTATTGTACCTTCCCACCTCTCATTCACTATCTTTTAATTATCCTTTTGTCGCAGGTGGCAATGTTGTTTTACTCTATGCGTCAAAATACGGAGACGTGAGTACTGTCGTCAATGTGAGCGGACGCTTTGATTTGAATATCGGACAATTAGAGCGTTTTGGAGAGGCCGGGATGAAAACGCTGGAGCAAGAAGGTTTCTTGGATGTGAAAGACAAAGCAGGCAAGGCCACAGTTTGGGTGACACGCGTGTCATCCTATATTACTGCATGTTTCCGTGTATTTTCTTAGAGGTCGCCCGTAGTAATTTGCTAGTTCTTTTCGACCTTTTTTGGTTATCCCTCACGTGTTGTCTAGGGTTCTTTCTTCTCATGAGTTCCTTTCTGTATAGTAAGTTGAAACCTGTTAGATTGTTGATTTGATTCATGAAATGGGATGAAACTGGCCTGAAATGGGAATGGATTTAAAAGATTGATTGGTTTTAAAATGTAGCAGTGCTGTAAATGAAGGTAAATCATGTAAGAAGCCAACAACCACACGACAATCATATCGAAACAAATAAACTTTCTCTGATTTCGAGGCCACTTACAGGCTTTAGATCTCGTAATACAGTGTCAAAACCTGCTCAGCGTAATCGGAAGACTTGAAGTAGAAGAATGTACGTGATCTAGCTGCCGGTTAACAGTATCAATGATTGATTCACTTAAATTTGACTAGAGACCCTCAGTTTTAACTAGATATGGTGTTGTGACTGCTCGAGACGTCCTGTAATTACTTTTTTGAGTTATGGACGTCTCGAGGAGTCCGAAGTGCATGGAGCTTGAAGTAAAAAATTGATCTTTTGGTGCAGGGAATGTGGAGTACCGTGTGACGCTCAAAAGCCTGGAGGATCGTCTATCGACAGACATGGATGGAGCTTCCAAGGCCATCTCTAAAGACTGCAGGTCAATAATTTATTTTGTTTGGTTTCTGAGTTATCCATCATTTGAATTTATCATGATTCCCTAAAATCACAAGTGGAACTGAGAAATCGACATTTTTTATGGTGAGAGATTACCTGTATGCCTGACGGGAGAATTGTTAAGTCGCAAGTTAAGTTGGACTGAACAATGTATTATCTTTTCTGCAGAGTCCTTACTGTCCATGGTTCTCAAGATGAAATCGTGAAAATTGAAAATGCTCATGATTTTGCAAAACGAATACCAAATCACACACTCAGAGTCTTTGACGGAGCGGGTCATAACTATGAAGGCGATCGGAAGAAATTAGCAGATTTGGTTCTGGAGTTCATACAAGGTAATGTTTCCAAAATGTGAGCATATATCCTTGTGCATAGAATAAGCATTATTTAACAACGGTGATACTTTGCCGGAGATGGTTGTAATTTCAGATCTTCTGTTGAAGACAAATACTATCGAAGTATCTAATTTATGTACTCCTTTTTCGTCATTGATCAATCAAACAAGACTTTTTGTTTCAACCAGAACAGGGAGAAGAGTTAATTTTAATCTGGATTTGCAAAATAATGATAAATTATAACATTTTTCTATTATGTCCTAGATTATAGAAAGTTATCGTTCTTCTTTTACAAAGAAAGGCATGGAAGTAATAACACGATGTAAGAACAGTGGTGACTGTTTGGACTTATATGAAAATTGTAGCTCATATTTAACACCTTCAAAGAATTCAGCCGTATTTCAGCATCTAAAATTGTAGGGTCTTTCACTACATATACTACTTAAAGGGTGTCGCAGTCAACCTTACCAATTAGACAGATCAACCCGGAAGATAAAATTCTGGATTCATTGAATTTATCGAAGATTGATGTGGAGAAAGGAGAGACCAATCGTTTTAAGTATGTTCAAGCACAAGGAATTAAAACTTCTCAAGCTGATCCGCGCTCTTCAAAGCGAAACAATTTGGCTTTGCTTGTTGGAGGCAAACGATTTATTGTATGATGTTGACACGCATTGCAAGCAGTTTGCAAGTATTTAGAGGAAAAATATCAAATGGGCTGGTAGAGATGATAAAATTCACTGTACTGTCATCAGTTGAGAAGAACGATGAACTCAGACATTAGCAAGCAAACGGCTCTCAAATCAAGACGAGAGAGAAAATTAATTAATCAGCATGGCCAAATAAACTGTCTAAGTACAGATGAAATGAGGACAGAGAGCACTCTTTCTGTCTTTTTCATACAGCTGCAATGGTGTATTGATCGTAATGCTTCAAAGCACATACATGATTGATTTGCGTATGTTGAGTACTTAACAAATTTGTATAATTACGCTTACAACTTCAAAGTACTGAAACATCAATAAGCAAAAGGAGACAAATATCATCAAGTTAAGAAAGACATTATGAAACAAATCGAGTGTAGTATAATATTAATATTTCAAGGTAACTAATTTCACGGTTCGTTAATGATCAGAGAATGGCAAACATGCATAATCAAAACATGTTGCATCATATTTGGCAGTTTTTGTGTATAACATGATGTAAAGATTCTCATCATGTTTCATCAACAAGCATATGTTCATGCTTTTACTTTAAAGAAAAGCGCATGGTCGTATTTCCTCAGATCAGCTATATATTTGACACATCACAAAACTGACATTCCACATTAGAATTTGTTACTTTTTGCTAAGATAATATATATAAATGAATATCAGTTAGTTTTAATAGTAACTTGCAAGCTATGCTTGGATTGAAGTAAGAAATCTATATATTTTTCAATGTGTACTTTAAGTACACTTGACTTTTTGCAAACACTCCTGACAAAATTGATTTTAAAAATTACATTAGTCAAAATGATTGTTTTGTTTGGCTCTATAATTTTCTTCAAGTTTCATAAATGTGAATTGATATTTATTTTTTTCTAAAACCAAATCCATAATTTATGCAAAATAAAAATTTTATTCCTAAAGATCACCATATTTATTTATTAAAATTTTTTAACTAAGAAAAATAAGTAGAATAAAATTTTGATGTGGATATAATAATATATATAATTTAAATAGTTGAATCCTCTATATGTATTTTGAAAATTCACAAAAATAAAATGAAACCTTCAACAATTAATTATTGATAAAATTAATATAAATTAAATTTTTTATTGAGTATTCTTCACAAGAAAATGCAAACTAACGCAACCAACAAAAAATAATCGAAATTTTTTGGTGTTAGTAACTATATAGAAACACAAATACTTCAATGAAATTTCTACAACATTATCACTAAATAATATAATCAACTTTCATGTAGAATAACATTTTCATCATAATACATTCAATTAGAGTTACTTTGATATGAGTAAACAAATCTAAATTAAATTCAAAAGAACATAAAGCTCACATTGATTGCAATGCCAATGAATAAAAACGCAATATTGTGAAAAAATACAAATTCATGTTTTTGTAATAAGTGATTCCATAATTTTAACTCTTAAATTGAAATTGAAATTGCTCAATATCTAAGTTCAAAAACGGATCAATTTTCAAGTTCAACAAAGTATTGAACACTTGATGGTACTTGTAAGAGGTTTAAAATTATAAACACTCATACAATCAGTTAAAAAAATGATTGATCATTTTGATTTACATAAGCAAGGTTCATTAATTCAAATCCTAATTTGTGTATTTTTTACAATTTTCTTCTTTTTTCAATATAATGACAAAATAACTATCCTAACTAATCATGATAAAACTGACCAAAGTTAATTAAGAACTAAGTTAAACCTTAACAATCTTTACTTGATATATGTTTTAGATAATATAACATCCATCAACTATATAATTACACTATGTTAAATGAAAAATCTAAATTAGATATTTATAAACTTGACAAAACATGATAGAATAAATGTATATAGAGATGTCAAAATTGCTATTCAAATCTACTTTTAAGGTTTATGAAAAAATTAATAAGTAACACAATGTGTGCTTGAAATTTTCAAAAAAATTACTTTGATAAACGAATCAAGATAGTTAATTGGATGCTTGAGTATTGTGTTTTACAAACATTAGCGCATGAGATTACAATTAATATTGACAAGCTCTTAATGAAGTCATATATTTTTGCAAAATAAATCTCTAATTAATGAATCGAACATCAAGTTTAAACACATATCCCATTGTACATTTCTTCCATAGTTAGCATCAACAAATTTTAACAAAATTTTGACATTGTCTAATCTGAACATATTTGATATTGATTATAGATTTTTTTTGGAAAGAATTATGGTTATTTTTTAGCTTTTTAAGTATAAATTTTTAGAATTTAAAATATAAATCAAACCGTATTCTAGCTATTGGTAGGATGAAAAAGTGTATGTTAAATATAGTTGTTATTCTAGTGCTTATATACAAGTTTTTACTGAAAAAGTGATGACATTTTATTTAAATCAATAACATTGATTACAGATTGAACTATAAAACATCAAAAAATGTTTAATTCAAGATATTCATATTTTTCCGAAGTCTTTCAGGTTAAATTTTTTAACCACATGTTCAATAAACTTTACTTGATATAATCATGATATTGTCTTCTTCAAATACATATGAACATCAATTGTTAAGATTCGTTTGAAATTAAAAGTCTTTCATAGTAAATGTTGATGGTGTTAACTTTGGTCAAGGAGTAACCTCAGGTTATAGTTATTTATAGCTAGGTGTGTCACTCGTGTTGGGTATATATATACTACCAAGGCTTCTATTCGATGGGCATTTTTTTGTATTCAATTGTCAGTAAATTTTCTTGCGTGTTTCAGCTGTGGACATAGCTTTTTGAGGGTGAACCACGTTATACGAATGTCTTGTGTGTTCATACTTGACTTGAATGTTTCTTGAATCTACGTTTAAGAATTGCTATCAGAGCGGTTGGTTGGAAAAATCCGACTTGAGTATATTTAAAATGACAATTTTTTTTAACTTCCGGGGTGTTTGCAATGTCACGGTGTAGTCTCGAGTTATTCCTTAAGTTTGAAGGTTGAACTTGCAGACATGCATTTGTAGCTATCCGTTAATTTAGAATTTTTTGACATTTAGTTTTTTTGAAAAGACATTGACACTAGTAGGTTTCAAGCTGGGAATTATTCACTTGTTTTCACATGTTCCAAGAGCTGACGGTTTGTGGCAGTAAATTGATTTGTCTAAGTTGAAATTACTCAATTGATAGTGGTGTGTCTTGACTTATCAATCATGTTTTTGATTGTTTTCTACTCAAATTTTTAAGAAAAAAGTACCAATTTAAGGTCGCTTTACTAGTGTTCAAGGCCGGTGTGACTCATTGATTCGTTCGTTGAAGCTTTGTCTCTTCATCAGAAATCGGCTCGTACAAAAAAGCTTGAGAACATCTGAACTTGCACGTCCGAAAATTGACAGAAGACAAGTTGTTAGAGCTAATCCGTTTTCTGTAGGTAAGTCGAAGAGTATTCGAGAAAGATGGAAGCAGCGCTGTAAGACCGGATGTTGTATGTGTGAAATAAAACTAGAAGTAGCCAAGGATTTAATCATGGTTAGCTAGTTAAGACTAAATCTAGATAGTTATAACTATGTTTATCAAGTTATAACTATGTTTATCAAGTTATAACTATGTTTAGCTATAATGTATATACTTGGCGAAATAACTAGAGAAGTTCTAGAAGATTTGAGTAAGCAATTCTATTTTGTCTTGTACAAAAGTTTAGATTCCAAAAGAAAACAATTTTGAATTTATGTTTAGTTTTGATTGGTTTGATTAAACAATGAATACTTCATTGGTTTGATTAAGTTTAATGTTGACTACTAAGTCAACGTTGGCAAGTGGAGGTTTTAGAAGTTGGAAAGTCACAAATGGCATGTCATCACCTCAATCTAGTGATTAGTAAATATCTAGAAATTTATGAGTTTAATGACATGTTGCCACGTACTAGTAACTAGTCAGACTTACTATGATTTATCTTTGTAAAAATATGTTAAATAAAAATTTGTATTTGTGGTAACTTCTTAAGTAGTATATATATAGATATGTATATTACTTGAGTATAGTATATATAGAATAGACTTTCAAGCAAGTTTGAAGATCTCATGTGTAGAGACTTGTTTCATATATGAAAGAATGACGATTTTTAGTATCTTGGAGTGTCGATGTGTGTGTGAATCGCATTGATACATGGAGTGATTGTGTGAAAGGGTGTTTGGACTAAAAGTATGAGAAAAAATCATAATCTTCTAGAATCATGATGAGCTATCGCAAAATCATCTAGGCCAAAGTGACAGTCAGCACGAAGGGTGCATTTTTGGTTTCGTTGCTAGAGTCTCAATCTAAAAGACGAAATGTTTAGGATTCGATTTCTAGCTCAAGAGAAAATGTTCATGAGAATTCATATGGAATTACCATTAGAGAATGAAAGAGCAGAGAGCATGCTTGAAAGTGAGATACCTTTTGTTTATCCAGTACTTTCATATGAAATCATAGAAGTAATTTTATATGTTTTGTTCATTTGAGAATGTTCTTTTGAGATAAAAGTGGTCATAGAGATTGAAAAACATGTTATGAAATCATTTTCAAAAGTTTTTAGTGATCATAGAGTAGAACCTAAGGTATGTTTCAGTTTTTGTTTTAGGCCTAGATCATATGTATGTAAGAAATTATGAGTATTGGAAGTTGAGGGGTTTGCACGAGTACCAAAAGATAGCTATCGAGAAACTTTGTACATAGTAGATTACTTTTTATGTTCTTGAACTTAGACTTTAAAGCTTTGTTCGTGCAAAACTTTAAATTGTGTCTTGGAAGATAATATATGTGTCAATTAAATTTCACTGAGAGATCACGTCTATAGACAAAGTTATGTTATTTTGAAATTTAGGAGTTACAAAATCAATATAAGAAAGCAAAAGTTTCAAATTTTCTTATTCGCAGTTTTGCCAAGTAGATAGCGTTTTTTGGAGAATTATTTTGAGTGATTTTCACCTTATGAAAAATGAATGAATAAAAGCTTGGATGTTATAGTATCTTTAGACTTCAATACGAGAGAATTCAAAGTGGAATTTGAAAAGAGAGTAGTAAGTCAATGCCGGAGAATCAAACGTGAGACTTGCTTTTATTGTGAAGAGTAGAGACATAAGGTTGTCAATTGTTGCCTGCGTAACAAGGATAAAATATTGAGGAGCAAGAGTAACTTGGAAGAACTGAAACTTCACTTGGGAACATCATCGTCACATGAATCCCAAAGCACAAACTACTATGACAATTGTGTAATGATTGGACTACTGATGGAACACGAATACAACGGAGTGAAAACGTTTATATTCACAAGTGATTCAAAAATCATTTGTGGAAGTTATTGATGGTAAGTATAGTGCAAAGACAAAGAAATTGATCTCAACTGATTCAAGGTCCAAATAAAGATAGAGATCATCTTTCGGATGATGAAGAAGATAAAACTCATTGTGTGTTTAGGGGAGGCAAGAGTTATGACTACATTGGATTAGTCAATTTTTTGTATTTTCTTTGATGAATTACTCAAGTATAGAGTTAGTGTTATTTGTGTTGTATTAGGAAGTCTCATATAAATTTCCAATAGAAAAAAATAAAATATAGTTGGAAATGATGAAACTTTTGATGTTTTATGGGAATAAAAATGAATATGTACAAGCTTTTGTTAGAGACTTAAGTATGACTTGCATAGTAAACAATGTGAGGAAGAAGTACGAGTGACTATGTTTTTGCCATATTTTTTAGAGTATTCTACTCTCAAGTGATACAAAGAATACAAGAGTAAGCATTTGGAGTATTACATCTAGGAGACAACGATGGAAAACTTGATCAAAAATTTTATTCACAATAAAAATTACAAAAAATTGATGTGTGATGTCACATTCTTGAAACAAGGAGATAACGACAAGGTAATGATCTATATAGAGAGAACTGAGAAATTAGAATCTAGATCTTACGTGGAGTTGAGGAATTGTGGAGACAAAGTAGATGCTACAATGGTGGAAATACATGAAAAACTTTGTTACAGGTATGAGATTTGAAATAAGATGAGATATGAAAAGTCTTTATCTAAAGTTGAAGCCATTCAAATTGATATTAAAATGGAAGAAAACTTAGATGATTCTAGCTTGGTGGCTAGAGAAGTAGCTCCATCAGTCATAGAAAAATCAATTGGTCCAAATCTTGTTCACAATTATGAGTCTTGGTGTAGATTTCCAAAATGAGTTGAAATCTATCACGGAGACTCTAGCAGAGCTCAAGATCAATTTAGTGCAGTTGTGGAAGAAGAGTAATCATAATGTGAAGAAATTCTTTAGGGGATATGGAAATTATAATCCAAGAGTAAATCCAACTTCAGGAACTGTATTCCCTTATCAATGCACTTTTTGACAAACGAGAGAATTTGAAGTCAAAGGTGCATATTTTTGCTCATGAGAATAAACATGATGGATTTGCAAATGAATCAATTTCCATAGAAGACATGCCAAGTCGAATGAATCAAGTGGAATGAATCAACCAAAAATACCAAGTAATAAGTTGAACATGGATAATTTTTGCATTTTATTTTCTCAAGTTAAATATGACTTGGTAAAACATTTAAGAAGTCAGAAATCCAACATAAAAGTCGACAAACTCATTGTTTTAAATTCAAACACGGCGGAAGAAGTTGAGAGTAATGCTTATTTACACAAGAAACGAAGATCTAAAAAAATTTCCACATGACATATATATGAATTAGTATGATACATATTGCTACAAAGATACTATGCTATATTTGAAGAAACTTGGTGATGATATATAATAAAATAATCTCTAAAATTCTCTTATGTGGAAAATTTGAGTTCGTGCATAATACCAACAAAGATCAAAGGATTAGCATTTAATCGAATACACACACACACACACGAGATGTAAACTGTCCAATGATTCTTTATCATCTGTTGATCTTGCCGAAGAGAGAGGCATTGAACTTCAATGATTGGAACATACTTTATTCGAACGATACCCAGTGATATAGCGAAACGGATAATTCAACCCCGTGGAGATGAGTTTAAAGTGGGATGATCCCCAAATAAATGTGATGTATTTTTCTGTCGTATGCGCCAGTTGGGCACATCAATCTTAATGAGGCTACAGTACGCCGGACGTTGGTGCCCGACATCCAGTCTTCGTGCTACAACTAGAAGGTTGAACATCGGGATTAGTCCGCATAGTTTCTCTCTTGTTTGATGCGTCCGCAGTGCTTTGAGGTTAAACCGACTCTTCACTAAGAATGCTGCGACATGGCAGCAGCAAGGAGAAAGGTGTGGAAGATGAATCGGTGAGGCTTGATTTTCCGGTTGGGACTAAAGATGGCGAGACTTAGAGGCTTCCGTTCATTTAAGTGTCCGAAAACCATTCAAATGAACTGGAGAAATGGTAGAATTCAAGTAGCTGACATTTTTGTAGTTTTCCACTGCCGAGAACTTGAGGATACAGCACACTTGAGAAGCAAGTAACATGTGTAGGAGATAGCTCAGTTCGACTCATGTACGAAGCACAATTTCGACCTTTTGCTGCTCGTCGGGGTTTCCCCTTCTCTGGAGCTTTTGGATGTAAGGACGTCTCGAGATCTTCATCCCTTCTTTGCAATCAGGGACTCTATGTGGGTTGCGCCAAGTCCAGCAAATGTCGATCCGGATTGCATCCGCCAGTGTACATCCCAGTGACAGGTACTTCATACTGTCTTGTGATGCTTGTAGTCCCACGCTTGTTCTACAGTGTTGTCAAAGCTCACATTCACAATTAAGTTCGTATTGATCAGGTTTGCTTTGTGGTGCAAACTGCCTCGAGACTTCAGTCGTTTCTTGCAGACACAAGACCTGACAAAGTGGTGTATTAAAATGCATGAAAGTTATCGTTCTAGCGCTCTTGGCACTAGCTACGGATTGGCCTTTGGGGTCTTTTCCCTTGTTTGTGGTTCTCGCTTGTATTGTGTTTTTCAGCCTTTTGACCCTTTGGGTCCCCCGGGCTTGATCTATTACCATTTACCATCATTATGGGTTGTGATGGACGGTAGAATTCAGAAACACCGACAGACCTCAATGTGAGAAACAGTTCCTACCTGTTCGAGCTCCTCCAGCCAGGAATGTATCTTCACCCACGCCTCTGCATGTCTCTTTATACGGTTGGCTTCTACCTTGCCTCTACAAGTTTCTTCTCGCCACCATTGAAGAACATGGCTCTGCAAGACCCTGTATAACAAATGTCTTCGTAGTCATTTATTTAATCGATAGAAGACCGATTGTTAAGGAGTTTTCTTGAAAATATGGACTCTCGAGACAGAAGAAAGAAGAACTCCAGAAGCATGGCCTGGACTACCTCAGTTCGCAACGAGGCGGGTCCAACAGCCTGATCAGCACTTACGACTGCTACAGCGGCCTACAACTGCTTGTAGGTCCTTCTACTTGTGACAACGCCAAGGTTGTGATGCGTGTGGAAGCTATGTTGACATCAAGGAGATCATTTCTAAACTACCCAACTATCATGAAGCATGTCGGTGCAGAAACCTAAGGTTACCTTCGGGCATGTGCATCAGCCATTCTTTCCCGCTCCAGGACTTTCAATAGCTTGGCGGCTTTAACCACTTCAATATGATGTACCCAGCTAGACCAATAGTGCTTGAGAAGGCTCTTGACATATACAGCCACTCCACTGGTGCAATACTGCAAGCATCTTGAGTCCCACATGTTATTCACCGATTCCGGATCGGAGTTCATGAAACATTACTCAGCTTCAAAAAAGAGGTTTCACAACTAGTTCCAAATCTCATCTTCCCCTGAATCATGAAGCGATAGAGGTGGTCGTCAGCTACCGACGAGGTTTTACAAAAGCTCATAAAAACTACGTCTTACATTTGTCCATGTCGATAAACAAGAGCGCAGCAAACCCATTGAGTGGCAATTCACAGCCCTCTGCCACATGATCCATGGTTTCAAACAGTTTCGTTGCAGCCGAATGGCTTTGAAATTCTCAGCGCGCACACGCAGTAGTCTCTTATACATGTTGATTTTCCTCTGTTCGCTGGACAGTATAAGCTTCCAAGCTGGAAAGGACCCCCTCAACAGGTACAGATTTGACTGGAGAACGGCCTTCTGCAAATAGGACCTGAAAGAAAGTGCTATACACTTTAGAGGTGAATGCTTACTCGATGGTTTGAGCAGCTACTTAGTCGAAGGCGAGTACACTGATGAGTTTAGGCTGTTTCTTGGAAATGAGGGTGGATGCATGTGGCAGCGAGAAGTAATTGCGGGACGGAGTAGGTTACCTGGACATTTGCAGAAGCTTCAACCATGGACTCCATCCATAAAAGCACAGCAATCGCTTCTCGCAGTGCAAACGTGCCAGTTCCCACTGCTGAACCTGTAGCTCCCTCAGCTGTTGCTTCGCCCCCTCTCTCTGTGCAATTCCCCAGGAATTTATTATTACGCACGGAGGACAGACAAACATGGGACACCCGAGGGAGGATCCACACGCACAAATCCATCGCTAACTGACGATCAAACTTGGCATGTATGGAGGACCAATCGATCAACCAAACCAACCCCGAGTCACTTAATTATCTCTTTCTCTGTTTAACCTGATCCTCAGGAAATGCGTAAGAACTGTGGTCACCTGCAAGGCAACAAGGCGCAATGTCTTTTTCTCCTCGGCAACCACATTGGTCTGTACTCTCTCTCTCAGAAGCTTGAGTTCATCCTTACATTTCGTGCTCTGCTCGCTGTGCGTCGGACCAGATTGAGAGATCGCTTCCTAGTAGAGCCACAAGAAGCATGACAATCGACCCACATGACCTACTTCAGTCTGCCTTAAGTGAGAATCCAGCCACCGAGAATGAGGTACACCTTTGTGCGATGGGAACATGAAACTCGAGCTAAGGGCGGCAGGTGCAGAGATGAGAATACGCACCAGCTGCTTCGAGGCCCTAGGGCTCTGCACTTTCGGATATTGACGCAATTGCAACTGCCACTGTCCTCGGTCGTCCATTTACAGAGCTGGTGAAGTTGTGTGTCAAGGTGTACTCTTCACCGACTGAATAACCCCCGCACCATCAGCCTTCCAATCTAGAAGAGGTAAATCACAACTCCTCGACTACATTTCAAAGCATTAGCGACCTCGACCTTTGAGCTCACGAAAAACTGAAAAGTTATCTACATCAGCGAGTTCATCGCTCGCATCGTAATATGGAAGTGCGCAAGATCTGGAAGCACACGAACGCTAATAAACAGCAGCCTGTCGTGCATTCCTCGTCACCATAACGGGAGATTCATTTGCAGAAGAAACTGCTGGACTAGCTGCGACGGACGAACCGAAGCCGACGAGGATGTGCAGAACAGAGAATGCCATTGAATCCCAGGAGCAAGGGGACGAAGCAGCTTTTGATGGAGACAGCTGAGCATACACAATCAGATGCAACTGACCTCCTAGGCCCTGCGATTGCAGAAAATATGTCAAACACTGCTCTGTACATGACGCACGCTACTGAAACCAGCTTCCCATAAACGTTTTGAACTGCCACAACGAGCTCGGCCATTCCGTTGAGCTGTGAAGTGAGAAGTGGTCTAAAAGGCAGTTAGGCCATGGGACATAACCGTGAGCCTCTCGCCTCTCGCCTCTCGCCTCCTGTCTCCCTCCGGAAGCACGTGCAGTTGTTGGTCACATGGTAAGTTTCGTAGAGCGACCGTGAGAGGGGTCCGGCCAGGCCAGGCCAGGCAAGGAAAGGCAAGGAAGGATAAGTGCAATAATTCAGCAGCAGCAGCAGAGGCAGTAATATTTGAATCAGGCTGTCGGAAGCACCGAGAAGAGGAACGCCATTCTATCGTACAGAGAAAGAAATTCGCAGAATGAAAGACGTACCAATAAGTCTCGCAGTTTTATTCCAAATAGGCCACAACAAAAATCTTAATCCTACACTCATACTCTCGAAAAAACGTCGAGCCTCGAATCACTGATCTGGATATTCAGGAGCAATAACCTGATTAGGGCTACAACGACGACTTCGCGCTTCACCTAATTTATTGAGATGACAAGCTGAAATCTGTTCAAGTCTCTCTGTGTGGTGATGAAAAGGAGGAGGAGGAGCAGCGTGAACACAAACTTGCCACAATCGGTCCGCAACTGTGCCAGCGACTGGGCGAAGATCTAGCGCCATTGACCACCCCGACTCGACTCGAGGGGTCGCCACTGCCAGCTTACGGACGAACACCAATGTACACAAAAGTGGCCTCGCACTTCTTCCTCGACTCCTCCAAAAGAATTTTCTCGCTCTTTCTTTGCAACTCCAAATCTGTGGGCAGGGTTGCAAGAGTTGAGAACGCCTGAGTGCTGCAATCGAGTCGACAGCCCTATTGTGTTGCAACATCCAAATCCTCTGAAATCGATCGGTTGCCTGGCCGCCTCTGTCATTCAATGACGCAATCGTTCGGTCGGACTGCTGGAGGAGCCACACAGGAATAGGTCAGGTCTGTCGATTGGTCGCATTTGCACGACATGGAGCTGGGGGAACATTCGGCGATGCTCGAACGATGAAGTCTTCCAGCTGCCATGGAGCTATCGATACTCGAAATCGATCTCGACGTCGGAAAATCTGCGCATCAGGTTCACGAGGCTCGTCGTGAATTTGGCGATCTGGTGAATCGGGTAGTCGTCGCGGCCGATGGCCTCGGAGATGGGCCCGTGCACCACGAGTTTCTCGAGGCTGGGGCACCTCTCGAGCACTGCTCCAATGCACTCGGCGTACAGCTCGTTGATCACGGTGGAGCCGAGCTCCAGCCAGACGACCCTCTCCAGGAGAACGGAAACCAAGAACGGGTTGTGATTCACGCCATCCACGAGATCGTAATTCACCGCCAGGCGTTGTAGCTTGGGAAACGAGACGGCGATGGTCTCGAGATCCAGATTCTCGTCTCCGTCGATGGTCAGCCCCCAGACACGGAGGCTCTTGAGCTTGGAAGCCTTGGAGATCACGTCATAGAACTTGGGCCACATGATATTGAAATCCTTCACATCCACAACCTCCAGCAGATCCGTCGAGTCGCCGATGTCCAATTGCACCATGCTCACGTCGTCGATTTTCAGAGCCCGCAGGCTCCCCTTGCTGAGCAGCTCGAAGTGATCGAGCCGGCAATCCTTGAGCGAGAGGCTCTCCAATTTATCGGCCTCCAGAACGATTTGCTCGACGTCCATCCTTTCCAAAGCGAAGGTCCGCAAGCTGGGACTGCAGAGGTCCATGGCGGCCGTGGAGCCCGTGAGCCCGATGTCCGCGCGGCAGATGGACAGAGACTCGAGCTTGGGACAGCCCGAGAGCAGCAGATTGAGCCTCACGGCGGTAATGCTCACGCGCGACAGAGTGAGCGATCGGAGCACGGGGAACTTGTAATTGACGGAATCCACATGCGCGATCATGGTGCAGCCGAGCGTCAGGCCCTCGAGCCGCTGCTTCCCGCACCGCTCGAGAATGTTCAGATGGCTCTTGGTCTGCATGTTGTAGTTCAGAAATCGCAGCGACTCGCGCGTGTACATGAGCCAGGCCACCACCGGCGCGGCCGACAGCGTGATGGGCGGCCCCAAGCAGATGGACAGATCCTCGAGCGACGAGGTTTGCATTATCGTCTGCGTGATGATCACCTCCAAATCCTCCGTCCGGTGCTCTCGGTACCCCGGCCAGTCCGTGTCGCTGACGCTCAGCGTGTGCAGATGCCGCCTCACAGCCTCTCTCCATTTTCTGCACGTCGCCGAGGCGATCACCACATCTCGAGCTGCTCCCAGATGCGACAGGATGTTGCCGATCACCTCCACCGGCAGCCCGTCCATGTCTGTGATGTCGGAGCTGTTCACGCCTGCCATTCAGAATCCCCGTCTGCTCTCGTCAGTCGAAATGCACAGAATCGATGTTCGCAGCAGAATGAGCTGACTGATTAGGGGACAGAATCGTGCCACCACCGATCAGCAGGGCCACTCCCGACCATACGGCATCAAACCTGGATGGGAAGAGGCCTGGCTCGAATTCTGGGCCCGAGGCTCTTCCAAAATCGAGACAGGGCGTTTGGATCATGCACAATTCGAACGAGTGAGGCAGGGAGGCAGGAGGAGGTGGTGGAGAATCCAACGACCAGTTTTTGATGTATTCGCATTCCTGCACATTCGTTCGAGGTGGAGGACGATTCTGACTCGTTCGCCAGCGAGCGAATGGGCACGAGAGTGCGCGGCGACGAAGGAGGAGATTATCGACGAGCCAGAAAAAGCCCCCAGTTTCGCAAAAGCCACCGAGTGACAGAAGATTCGACCGCAGTCAGTTCTTCACTCTCCTGAAGCACGAGAGGCTTAGCTACAGCTGACAGTCGGGTTGAGGTTCATCGTCCTGTGAGCTTTGCGGACAGAGAGTGGGGGGGAGGGAGGATGAGCGACTGAGTAGTAGTCACCTGAGGCATCTCGCGAGGGTAGAAGTCGGCCGCCATCGCAGAAGAGAAGAGACGATGAGAATCGGTGCAGATCAGCTGAAAGCAGGCCGATCCAAGCCCATATCAGAATCTATATCCCCACGATCGGCACTCGGAGAAGGAGAGTCGATGGGAGAGCGAGCGAGCGCAGGATCCAGAGAGGAGGAATCGAGAGAAAGAGAGCAGAGCAGTTGGGGCTCGAGCCGAGGACGGAATCGGTGGGTCAGTCGAACGAGGCCTCAAGGGAGGACAAGGAGGAATGTTCTGATCTATTCTCCGCAACTTCCATCATCCGACAGGAACCGGTTTTTTCGAGAGAACACAACCACGAATGCCATGGCGCCATCATCCGTGCGGATCTAACACCACCATCGACGGTTGCACGTCACGTACCACCCAAGCACTAATGCCTGCCTTCCTGCCGGTCTTCCGCTCAGTGATCCGCCATCGATTTCCGAGACAGTACAAAAGCTCCAAATCCTTCGCTGCCTCTATCTCCATCTCAGTCTCAGTCTAGAGGAGGACCCCATCTCCAATCCTTCGCAGCCTCCTCGGCTCTCCTCTCCTCTCCTCTCCTCTCCTCTCTGTGTCTGTGAACGAACCGAACGCGCCCGCGCCAAGAGGCGCGTGACCTAAACGTGCCTCAGCTGACTCGTCCGCGCCGATCAACTCTGCATTCATCGGGCAAGAGCAACAAACGAGAGCAGCAACGGCAGCAGCAGCAGCAGAATCCCCGAGGTCCAGCTTTGGTTTGAACTTTGAAACAGCGCGAGCTAGGGGCTAGTAGAGGCAGAACAAACTCGCTCCCGTACGGACGGACCTGCTGCGAGAATCCAGGATCAGGCTCCAAGCTCAGCTCCAACGTCTCCGGTTGGGACCGGAGCTCGAGCTTGTGCTTCTGTCCTAGCGGGCAATTAGAGTATCTGCCGTACCCTCGATGTTCCGAGGAGCTTGCTTCTATCAAAGATCCCGACTTAGACGTGTTCTCTTCGGCCTGTAGGGTCAGAGTTTCACACTCAGGGCGTTTGTACCGACACCGAAGTCAACTCGAATCAGTCTCCGTGGTGAGAGTTCTTTGATGAACACTCACGGAATTGCTCGACTCGTGGTTTCTGTGACTTTCTAGAACTATCTCCGGGTCGGCTCGGGTGCCTCGGGTTGGTACTGGGCGTTGAGAACCAGCGCGTCCTTGAGTCTGATGACATCGCAAATCTGTTGGAAGGTAGGTAACGAATATGCTGTAATGGAAAGGTGGGGCACGTGGAAGTTCTTGCAATATGGGATTTTCGGTCCATGGCCACATTGGGAGTTGTATGTGCTCCGAACTTTGACGTCTTGCGTCTTGCAACTTGCACCGGAATCTCAACAATACTTACTTCCATATGTGATCATAGTGCTTTGATTCAGTTGCTCTGATGCACGATCATGTGAAATCTGCACACAGAGCAAAATCTGGACAACAGATTCCCACTGACGTTCTCAGGTTCTCACTTTTGTCAATAATACACCATGCTCGAGGATGATACGAGTGCACTGAGAGCTATTTGAGTGCCAAAATCGGCAACAAACAATTCACGTCCACTTGCGAACTTTCATTTCCAGTAAAACCTTTATGCGGAGATCGTACAAAAGGCCTCATAAGCCGTCTCAATCCTCCCTAACTCTGCTTCTCTAAATTCTGCCTCGCCCCGTGAGTTAAACCAGCGTACCTCCAGGCATTCGCTGGATCAAAAATATTGCCTAAGCCCTAGAACAACCTTAATTGGCACACTTTAATGATTTCGGTATCCTCTGGGTCGCTTTAATAGGTGAGATCAGGTGTATTTTACTTCGAGTTTAGCGTTTACACTTTGACCGCCTCCTCTACAACAAGAGACTGCGAATCCACGGCTAACCCCATAGCATTCAAACCGTTATCCACGTACACCACGCTGCCCGTAATTGCTGATGCGAGGGGAGAAGAAAGGAAGGCTGCTGCGTTGCCAACATCGCCTGAAATTTACAAGACAAGGACAGCACATACACATGATGTCAGCCGTTGCTACATATTTCAAACTCGCATACCTTGAGAGTTGCTGTACTTTCTCGTCAAGTCTCGTACAAGACCCAGACAATGGAATCTTTCCACAAAGCAAAAGTAATCTGACCTGAATCTAGCTCCTTGGTCAAAGGGGCGTTGGCAGTTGAGTACTCGATCATCTTATCGATGAAGCCGATAGCTTTTGCTGCTCTGCTTCTGAGAGGACCTAAAACATCACAATCGAATGGCGTTTGCAAAAGTTACTATGGTACTCATCACGAAAACAGGATAATACGTTATCTCATCATCCCGTGAGACAACTTAACCGCATCAAGGCTTCTTAAAGCAAGTGGATCTACGATGCCAATCGTCAGGCATAACCACACCTGCAGAGATGGTGTTCACTCGAATACCATGCTTTCTTCCAACTTCGAACGCAAGTACCTGAAAATGACATATGAAAAAGTCGCGATTGAATTTCAATCAAGATCGAAAAGGATTTGGACACCCAGATAAATTACATATATTAATTTGCTTTCTCACACAACTTAGTGGCCTGAGGACCTGCGTTCATAATAGGTTATATACCAAGAGTAAAGAATTGAACTTCAACAACATATAACAGTTGAACAGACATTCGATGGTGTCTTACCCTTGTGTCACTTTCCAGAGCTGCCTTCGCTGAGCTCATTCCTCCTCCATATCTGAAAGTTGCACATTCTTACAATCAGTTGCCTTCACGGCATGCGGTTGAGCTTGTATGCTGGAACAAGTTCGCCCATTTAAAAATGAAATAATAAAATGGTCCATTCGACCGAAGAGATTCATCAACCATCTCCATGCGTAAAACGCCATTGTAGTAAGTCAAAATGCACGCTGATAACTCACCCAGGGATAATCCTCTCAGAAGCGAGATATGTGAGAGAAAGAGAAGAACTACCTGCACATTTAAGACACATTACCCTCAACGTACGGTTAACATAGATATTATAAGACATCATCACAAAAGACTACCACTTAGATTATATACACGTAGAAACGTCAACCGGTAGCTGTCACATTTAAAAATCGGAGGGTACAGTTCGCTCAAACTCCACATTAGAACGGGGTTTGACAAACTCATATCCTTTAGTTACTTACTTCAAATTGGGAGGTCACCTAACTTTAGCATTTAGAGAAATAAATGGATTAATAAAGGCTCAAGGTTCACCATTACTATGTCAAACGGAAACACTATACACAACGATCGGATACAGAAAAAGGTCAAAAAAGTCTCATATGATACCTGGGTTCATGATTGGTGCAAAATACTTGAGCAGCGAAACGTATGAGTAACTTGAAGCTGAAATAGCGGCAAGATAACCCTTCCGAGATGTCTCCAACAAAGGTTTAGTAACCTGTACGATGCCGTGGCCCCTTTAGATCCAGATAAACTCTGCTATTTTACAGGAATAAGACAACTCTGAAATCGCATCACATCAGCTTCTTGATCATACCTCTGGACCATTGGCCAGTGAGTGCACGAGAATGTCAATGCTGCCGAAGTCATTTTTCACCGACTCAGCCACCTCCTGTAAGCAGATTAACAAATCAGACGATGTTCGATGTAGATGAATGGTGAACACAAAATACAACATCAATAAGAATAGTAAGAGAACCCTTGAACACTCATTTTGTCTGTCAAGTCAATCTCCTAAAAGGAAACTTGAGCACATAAAGGAGTCCATCAACAGCGAGACATCTGTCCACATTATTTACAGGTGCCTCCATCGCAGTACTTCTCCACCTGGTTTTCTTCTTCCAAAAGTTTGCATATTAAAGTTTTCACGACAACTGGCGTATGAAAACTGCACATACCTGTACTGTCCACTTTGATGATCCGGCATATCTCTTGTTGTTCTTGATCTGCGAGATAGGAATGTCTTCAGTACAACTTCCAAAGAACCGATATTTACAGCAAGCTGAAACACCTCACGTCTGTAGTTCCCAGTTGCAGGCAGTTCATTGTAAAAAATTCCAAATGTTCAAGACTGGTGGCGACTAAATCCTTCACATACATCTTCTGGCACATCCTCTGGTGTATCAAACACGGCGTCTAGAGGGTAGACTTTGGCGATATCGAACATTGATCCGTTAGCCAACCTGCACATTTAAAAGATTCAATCACCATCACATAGAAAAGTATTGGAACTGAAAGCAAGAATAGGAAAACAAAGCGTAAGTTTTGACTTACTTTCGAGACTCGTCAAACTTTCCTCTTCTCAAGCTGCTTTCAAAGATATTCAGGGCCTGAGATAGAAAGAAGACGGTGACAAATTAGAGACATTTGAATATAGTCAGAGGGCTACAAGCTTGAATGCTGAGAACATACTGATCCCGACTACGAAACTGAAAACCGAAACGAGACTATCGAAGAGCGAGGATTCAAATTAATCAGGTTTTGCTCTTCGGAAGGGAAGTGTCACATACCGGCACCCAGGTTCCGACTAAGATTTCAGCTCCTGCGGAGGCAAGAGCTTTGGCGATGGCCCATCCAAAGCCTTGATCATCAGCAACTCCAGCGATGAAAGCTCTCTTGCCTGTATGAATGGCTGGATTAGTCCATGCATAGTGGTGCGCAGAAACCGCTTTAACCACAGGGATACAATTTTATCCCCAACCGCAACAAGCCGGTGTACCCTTTCCTATCCAAAATATTTGAGAATATTTTGGTAGGGAAAAAAGATGGAGAGCAAGGAAGGGAGATCCGACTCTTCAAGATCCTTCTTTGCAACAAGTGTTATTGAATACTGCCAAGTGAGACAAGGTCACAATTCTGGTGCATTGCCACTGGAGTATGAACTTAGTCCAGACCATCTTGCAACTACAGTTTTAGTTCTAAAACAGATGAAAGGCATTAACGCGTGCCGTGAAGCACAATGCCGACAAGAGGTTGGATTTACTACAAACGTTCTGAGGGGCTCATGAGGGCAATAAAAGCAAAGCAAAGCATAAGGCTTCTGCTTATTACCCGGAGCAGGGAGTCAGGTACGGATACTTACACAGCTGGAAGCGACAAAGATGAAAATATTTGGCAGGTCGAACAAGTTCAAGCTCCAAATGTATCAAAATCGTTCTTAGCAATTGAAATATCGACAAAGGAAGAGCTAAAAGAGTGGGGCGGGCAAACGTACATTGTATCGAGGACAAAAAATCAAACATTTCACGTATAACAAGCCCGAAGTAAGGAAACATATTCTACGCTGAAGTAAAGTTCATATCATGAACTCTACTACTTAAAACAAAACAATCAGTGGAGAAGTCAATATCGATAATCACCTCTCAGGTCGATGGGCAATCCTGGCAGAGGGGCACTGGAGCCATTCGAAGAGGCTACAATCTGACCAGTTCCGTGGGCTCGAACACTGACCAACCTTGTGGCAGGAGAAAGCTTGTTCACAGCAAGAGATCCAGCGAAAAAACAAGAAGAGGAGGAATGCGCAGAGGAGCGTAGTCCGATTGGGGCCGCGCAGACAGTGGCAGAGGTGATTACGCTTCGCGATGGACGAGGGGTCGACGAAGCAGCCACGAGAGATTGTGCAACAGCACGCGCCAGAGTCAAGGACGACGCCATTGCAAAGAATTGATGACACCCGCAAGGCTCTCAAGTTCTACAAGCTGCACGGAGCTTACTCATTAATCAACTCATGACACCACGAATCTCAAATCTCAGGAAATACAAAGGCTTTTGTCACCTCTGGCTCTCGAGGAGAATATTAAGACCACTAAACTCGCAGGCCAGCAGGTATGCGGAAACCACGTCCACAAACATGTGTCGCACGAGGACCGAAAATCAAATCCGAAACAAAGCGAAAGGAAGCTCTGAACCCATGCACAAATAAAAAATTTCTGTCCGCTCACCTCACCGGGAGAGTGCAAGAAGAGTGGATCGGAGAACCCCCAAAATCGAAGAGTTCATGCACACGCTCAATCGATGTGACAGATGATGAAGGCGCAGAACAGCGAGGAAAAAGACGCAGGAAATCCAACAATTGATTTCGAGCTATCTCGCGAGAAGGCAGACGCTGGCACCGGAAATCAGGCCAATGAGGGGCTGGCGACACACCATCCTCTCCCCGTCCTTGGCTTCCTCCGCCCGAGCGTTGGAACGTCCGCCACAGCGCTGCTCTGGCCCGTCCGTCCGCGCTGATTCCAGGTGCTCCAAATAAACCCATAAGCCCTGCGCCCGCGCTCGAATGACATGGATCCCATCGGAATGGATGGACAATGGACTGAGGTTACAGAGAGCTCTGGCGCTTGCGCCATCTATCCTCTAACCCTAAGTACAACAGCAATATTAAACACAAGAGCCCGATTGTAGACATGTAGACATGGCGAGTCCCTGGTTAAGGACTTCGTTGGCGAGTCAAGAATTTGATTCTCGGAGTTGAAGAGAGAGTTTCAGAATGATTAGGACAAAGTCGACTGCACGTAAATGAAGCAAATTTATAGAATGAGATTTCTAAGAAGATAAGTGTTGACTGTGAAGAATAGTTTCCAAAATTTATATTTAATGGTATGACTTCATATCTTCGGCTTCCAAATAAGTGCCGACACCTATTGGACGACTTTGAGAAGATCCGCATTACTATGATGGAAAGATTTTCCTTCAAACTTGTCATCACCCCTATTTACTCACCAGCGAGTATAATATGCCTTCAAATATGATCTCGTTCACTAGAATGAAGCTAAAATTTTGGAGCAAGGTGATACCTCCGTTGTCAGAGCGACGGTTAATTTGCTAATACTGTCCTCACGCATCATTCCATTCTGTACCAAACGCTTTCATTGTATCTTGTGGCATACTGGTCCAGTTCAGCATGTAAATCGCATTCTGATCCAGTTCCGCACCATTATTTATTAAAGCATATCACTCCGTTCATCCCATACCTGTCTTTCATGGACACGTATAGTACCTACCAGTTATAAGGAGTTGTCTTTCTGGTCTGTTTGCTCCATCGATTCCAAAACCTTTGCTAACCCCTCCCACCTGCCTGTGGAATCCACGCTGCACACCTGAGGTGCTCTTATTCGATCATCTAAAATCACTGACCGTCGATCGATTCGTCTATCTTTTTCCAGCTGTCTGTTGAAATGTACGGGTTACACTTCTCATATTTATTTGTATTGTATTCACGATAGCCTATCATATAGTATCACATAAATGTAAAATATTTGCTATATAGTGTAATTTATCGCGAACAATGTGTATTCATTTTATCGTTTGAAGCACTGAATAGATTTATCTCATAATAATCACTTTTTTTCTAGTGTCAAATTGAAATTTTAACTTGATTTGATCAATAATGAGTGTGATTTTTTTTACAAAAAGTTGATATAGAATAAAGGATGAAATTAAAATATTATATGGGATTATAATAAATTTAATTTAATAACAATAAATTTTGTTATAGATCTTTTTCCTCCATAGAAAATCTTTAATTTGCTCGCTTTGCATTTACACATTGAGCGAGCAGATAAAAAATCACGAAGCCTACAATGGTTGCAAAGAATCATGTAAGTTTTTTTGTATGGAAAATCAACCTCTTCTGTCTCTACCTTTCTCAAGATATCACTTCGTGAAGCGTAACATCACACATAGTTTAGGGTTTAGAAAAAAGACAATTGAACATTCATTCAACTGTCTTTTAACTTGCAATGTGCTATTGAGAATTGAATCTGTTTTTATCTGTGACATGTAAATCACTGTCTTTGACTTTTTTCTTTCTTTGTCTTGTGGTACAAAGTCATTTGCTTTTAACAATTTATACTTCTTTGTTATCTAAATTGCCTTTCACAGAGGAGAGATCACATAGTTTTGCTAATCTCTTCTTCTTCGTATCTCCCATGAATAATCAATCTTTGTGAATTAAATTATGGCCCCTTCCTCTCTCTATTGATTCATATGTCTCCCATGTAGCATCAAAAAATGCTCTCATATCCTTTATACGTGGTCAATGATACAATGTAAACATTCACAACACAAACACACAGCCGACAAAAAACCAAAGTAACATTTAATTCATTTTGTTGGGCTAAATCCATGAAAACATAATATCTTTTCATTCTGAATACGTGTTTGTATCCCTGGAAGTTACGATCAGATCATTTATATAGATATAGGCTACTAAACTAGCTAACTATAATAAAGCTAGAGTTAACATAGGAGTTAAACTAGAGTTAACAATCAACTACAGCTAACCTCTAACTAAAACCATATGGCATGTTAATTTTTATTCTAGACATTTACATACAACCTTATCAATGCGATTTTTCATTGTTTTATTTAAAATATTATTTTAAATGTAACTAAAACCAACATAAATATAATTTGATTGATTGATATAAATAATAATTTCAATTTAATTTGAAATTGATGAATATTTAAAAGTAGTAAAACTGGTCAAACTACCACTATATAATAGAGCTCACTAAAGCTATCATGATATAATTTAATTTCTTATCTCAATAAAGCTGTTGTTGCTCGTGGACACAGCTTGCAATGACAAACCACTTATCTTCAACGTAGTTGCATGTATGATTTTTCGTGTCAACTGGTTGTGCTTGTGTGTTCTTGACTTTTGTGTGAGTTTTTTCGCGTTGAACTGTTTGTTCTTATGAGTTCTCCACTTTCCTTGTGATTTTGCATATCAACATATACACGTGGAATTTTCATTATTTTTGCATATGATGGGATCTGCAAAATTTGTTACAGCCCATTTAAATAATAGTAGTAAACTTAGAAACATGAAGGAAATTACATGAGAAAAAATTTAAGGATGTGACTAAATTTTATCTTAAGTGTTCTAAGGCGATCATATTCGTCATTATTTGTATGAGAATCTGACTTTTTGAGAATTGACTAGATAAACAAACCTAAGTAAGTAATATGACTAAGTATAGTTCTTTTTAGATGTGTCCCAGAATGTAATAACTACGAGTAAATTATGATATGATTGTAGAACATGAAACTACTACGCAAATAATTTTTGTTAGAGATATTTTTATGAAACAATTATCTCACAAGTTGCTATTTTATTATTATTAATGATGGAGATATCAATTGGATTGCAAACCACATAAGTGGCTTCATCTACAACAAACCTTGATATCATGGCTTTTTTTATGGTGTGAATTAATCTAGAAGAGGATTAGCTGAACTTAGAGTTTCTCAACAAAATTCCAGCTATATCGATGTGTGGCAACGTGTTGAAGTATTAATTACATGACTACTAATGTGGTTACTAATGCAATACCCAAAGATACATGGACTGCAAATATATATGAGCTTGAATGTGCCTCGTAAGAAAGTGGGATTGATAAATATATAATGATATTTTCTGCCTGAATAGGTCAAATAATGATTGTAAATTGGTAAAAGTTAGTTGTAATATATCATTACCCGTCCAACTACTAAGTTTTGTACCTCAAGTCTAAGTATAGTTGGCATAAATAGCCCACCTTGAAACTATATTTTGGAGTCATACTCATGCTGAAAATTGGACCATGGAATTTGTATATACTGGAAGTGTATCGTAAAGAGCACAAACATTGCAAAGGAGACATACATACACAATACCAGTGCTCACTTCATCAAATACTAATCACATCTTTGAGTCCTAGATAGCTGAGAAGTGATTATGAACTTAGCCATCTAGTTCAAATTCAAGTTGTCTCGATTCTAGTGTGAGAAACGTCCTCTCGAGAATTCTGAACTTAATATTGCTGCTGATGGTCCAAACGAGGGTGATGGGTACTGGCTAATCAAAGACAGTCATAGGAGCATCAGTCACGGCTAGTGACTGATGAACAGTGGGCCATGAAGAGCGACGGACTATAGGCTATTTCACTATGTTCCACAATGCTGATGTCGAAAACTATGACCAATTGTTGGAAAGGAGGAAGAAGAAGCATGGAGGTTTAGTTTCATATCAAGAGACTCGCAAAAGAGCCGATCACCTATCAAGAAGCCTTCCAGGGTGGAGATTCTGTCCAGTGGAAAGAAGCAATGGAAAACGAATCTTCTTCTTTGAAGAAAAATCAGACACGGACGCTGACAGAGTTACCTGCGGGCAAGAACGTCGTCGGTTGCAAATGGGTTTTCAAAATCAAATACAAGCCAGACGGTTCTGTGGATCTCTATAAGGCGAGGTTGGTGGCGAAAGGATACTCACAGGTTTACGGTGTCGACTTTTCGGAGACATTTTCTCCTGTGGTAAAGATGACATCTATTCGGGTGTTATTAGCTCTAGCAGCTCAACACAACTTAGAGCTGCACCAGATGGATGTGAAGACTGCATTCTTGAATGGACTGTTAGATGAAGAAGTCTACATGGCCCTCCCTGAAGGGTTGAATATCTCTTCTGAGAGAAACACAGTATGTAAACCGAACAAGTCCATTTATGGACTGAAGCAATCCTCACGACAGTGGTATCAAAGGATTGACTCGTTCTTACTGCAGATTGCTTTCACCAGAGCAAATGCAGATCAGAATGTTTACATATACTCTCAGGAGAAAGCATTTGTGTTTTTAGCACTATATGTGGACGACTGTATATTGGCAAGTAATTCCTTGGATCTTCTTACAAAGATCAAGAAGAAACTCAAAACGGAGTTCGATATGGTGGACTTAGAAGAGATCCATCAGTGTCTTGGTATGCAAGTAGACAGAAATCGTGAAGAAGGGTGGATTCGGATCTCCCAACCACGATATTTGGTTGAAAAGCTTGCGACGTTCAACATGGCTGACTGTAAGCCTATTGACACACCAATGGAACCCGGTTTGAAGTTAAGTGTGCTTAACTCTCCTAATTCAGTGGGAAAAAGTCAAGAGATGAAAGATATACCGTATCAAGCTGCTGTTGGAAGCTTGATGTGGGCAAATGGTCTGTACTAGACCTGACATATCTTATGCTGCGAGCTCAGTACCTCAGTTCATGTCAAATCCCGGATTGATGCACTGGAAGGCAGTTAAGAGAATTTTCAGATACCTGAAAGGGACTCTCGACTTTGGCCTTGTGTTCACAAGGGTTGATAAACCATCCGGTTTAGCTGGATATTCTGACGCGGACTGGGGAGCTTGCCTTGACACGAGACGATCTACTTCTGGGTATTGTTTCCAATTCAATGGTCGAACCATTAGTTGGACATCAAAGAAACAAAAGTCGGTAGCACTTTCTTCCACGGAAGCAGAATATATGGCTTTGTCCAAAGCTGGAGCTGAAGCTATATGGCTGTATTATTGAAAGATCAAGGTTTCCAGCTGGAGCGACAACCATATTCTGCGACAATCAAAGTGCTATTGCACAAATTGTGAACCAGAAGAATCACGAGAGATCTAAACATATCGATATCAGATATCATTTCGTCAGGGACCTAGCCGTGGATAGCTTGGTCAAGCTGATCTATCTCCCAACCGAGGACATGATAGCTGACATCATGACAAAACCATTAGCTAGAGAAAGGCATTGGTGTCATTGTCAGAATCTGGGTTTATTACATAAAAATGAGGAAGAGAGAAGTAAGTAGGTAGCAAGTGGGAGTAGAATGCAGATTACTCCCTACTACTTCGGGACCTGTACACTATGTCCTAGTTATTAGGACTGAGGTTACTAATAGTTAGGATGGATACTAACTGGGGATGCGACCCTTGAATGGGTGCGTCCCATGACAGGGGCATGACCCTTCTTAGAGCTGCGATCCGTCTGCTCTCTCTCGTGGCCTTTGGTCCTATCCGGATTGGGTACTTAAACCCAATCCGGGTCGCCTGATATCATCCATCAATCAAGCTTCAATCCTTCCTCAACTGTGACTGATCTCTTACTCTCTATTGCATCGTATGATCTAACATGATTGAAGGCTACTAATCATTCCAGGTTAACAACGTCGTTCAGAGCATCCATCATAATACTTGAAGAGTGCCCGAGACTGTCGAGAAAGAGCGATAAATGTAGAATCTGTTATTCCCTAATTCTTTCATGTCTCACACAGATAACACTCTTGCTCAAATAAAATCGATTCAACAACATTATGAACCGACGGCATAGCGGTGGCAAGACAATTGATGGTGAGGAAACTGTTTGGCAAAACCGCTCCCATAACGCTCTTGCTGAAATAAAATCGATTGAACAACATTATGAACCGACGTCGTAGTGGTTGCAAGACAACTGATGGTGAGGAAACCAGATCTGGTTTGGCAAAAACCAGATCCAGATCAACAACGACTGCTTAGTGCCCCGTCGTTGTTGATCTGGAAATCTGGTGAAATACCTTCTGCTGCTAATCCTTATATACACCAAACATGCAGTGACCGCTAACATTATGGGTTTTTTCTCCATTTGAAGGCGTGATTCACTTCGTTTCCAATACGTGATTCACCTGAATTACTGTAATACTGCAACAAACAATGAGGTCTCGAAGTTTTGATGACCATACCCCTCCTACCAGGGGTTTGACTCTACTTCACGAAACTAGGAACAAATAACATACTTACTAAGCCATTGTAGAGCATAGTTGCGGGTAGCGACATCTAATAATATGTAAAATCCACGTATGTGGGCATGAGAGGAAGAGATGTGATCCACTCAAAGTTGCTCTTACCGTCTCCAACCAAGAGATAGAACATGCAGCAAACAGAAAAGGGGGTATGTACTCAGTCTGAGGTGATAAAATGTCTGCTAGGGCCACGGAATAAATGTCACTGGTACAGACAGAGCTGAACGTAAAAAACTGAGCGAGGACCATGCAAAAATAGGGAGCCGGAGTCAAGGAGTGAAAAAGGAAAGCCCGTAGCTGGTCACGGTTGACACTTAAGCAAGTAAGGACACGGGAAGGGTACATCCGTGAAGGACGGTTTAACATATTCTCCGGTAACACTTAACAATTGAAAGCTTAAACCAGAGTGGGTGTAGATTTCTATACGAAAACACCTTGAATTTTCAAAGACCCTAACAGTGTCAAGAGAAATGCCAGTCCTCATCATCGACGAATCACATAAGCCTCATCGTATATTTCGATATAGACTTCAAAGGTAAAAAACAAATATGAGCAAGGCGCAAATGGAAAAAATCAAAACAAAACAATCAAAACATATTGACAACATGACACAGTCTTCAATGCAATTGTGCCTGTCATAGCCTGGAGACAGCAGACACCGCATCCTACGGAGTATATCTTTCCCAGCCTATGAGAGGCAAATGTAATCAGCAGATCTAGCCGAATATCAGACTGAGTAGAAGACGGTGGAAAATCTGAGGGTGAAGATACAAAAAAGGTAAAACAAAAACAGAGGGTAAATCGTCCTGCCTAGATGAAGCCGATAGCTTTTGCTGCTCTGCTTCTGAGAGGACCTAAAACATCACAATCGAATGGCGTTTGCAAAAGTTACTATGGTAATCATCACGAAAACAGGATAATACGTTATCTCATCATCCCATGAGACAACCTTACCGCATCAAGGCTTCTTAAAGCAAGTGGATCTACGATGCCAATCGTCAGGCATAACCACACCTGCAGAGATGGTGTTCACTCGAATACCATGCTTTCTTCCAACTTCGAACGCAAGTACCTGAAAATGACATATGAAAAAATCGCGATTGAATTTCAATCAAGATCGAAAAGGATTTGGACACCCAGATAAATTACATGTATTAATTTGCTTTCTCACACAACTTAGTGGCCTGAGGACCTGTGTTCAGAATAGGTTAGATACCAAGAGTAAAGAATTGAACTTCAACAACATATAACAGTTGAACAGACATTCGATGGTGTCTTACCCTTGTGTCACTTTCCAGAGCTGCCTTCGCTGAGCTCATTCCTCCTCCATATCTGAAAGTTGCACATTCTTACAATCAGTTGCCTTCACGGCATGCGGTTGAGCTTGTATGCTGGAACAAGTTCGCCCATTTAAAAATGAAATAATAAAATGGTCCATTCGACCAAAGAGATTCATCAACCATCTCCATGCGTAAAACGCCATTGTAGTAAGTCCAAATGCACGCTGATAACTCACCCAGGGATAATCCTCTCAGAAGCGAGATTTGTGAGAGAAAGAGAAGAACTACCTGCACATTTAAGACACATTACCCTCAACGTACGGTTAACATAGATATTATAAGACATCATCACAAAAGACTACCACTTAGATTATATACACGTAGAAACGTCAACCGGTAGCTGTCACATTTAAAAATCGGAGGGTGAGATCGGAGGTATCTGAGAATATAAAGTTAGTTGCAATATATCATTACCCGTCCAACTACTAAGTTCTGTACTTCAAGTCTAAGTATAGTTGGCATAAATAGCCCACCTTGAATCTATATTTTGGAGTCATACTCATGCTGAAAATTGGACCATGGACTTTGTATATACTGGAAGTGTATCGTAAAGAGCACAAACATTGCAAAGGAGACATACATACACAATACCAGTGCTCACTTCATCTAATACTAATCACATCTTTGAGTCCTAGATAGCTGAGAAGTGATTATGAACTTAGCCATCTAGTTCAAATTCAAGTTGTCTCGATTCTAGTGTGAGAAACGTCCTCTCGAGAATTCTGAACTCAATATTGCTGCTGATGGTCCAAACGAGGGTGATGGGTACTGGCTAATCAAAGACAGTCATAGGAGCATCAGTCACGGCTAGTGATACATCTCGAAGACATAGTTCAAAATATCAACACTCTGCGAGTCAAAACTGTTTGTGAAATTAAATTACTATATACATTCAGTCCATTCGGATCAACTAACCTAAACTTCATTATAATCTTCCCATCTCATGCCCTATTTCAAATTGTACATTCTAAATCTAAGGACAATTAGGAACTTCCACATGTGTCACAGGATTTACAATTGCAGTGGGCTAGACATTTCCTCAACAAATCTGGGGGTTCTAGTTCCATTTCCCGAGACTTGCTGAGGTGTAACTGGTAGTTCGGTTGTGACGTTTGTCCGCTGCTTTTTACGCGATCCTGGCGTCCTGATTGCTCCCTCGACTGAAAGAAGAAATACATATAGGCTTCAGAACTCTACTTTCAAAGACATTCGATGCAGTGTGCTCTGACCGACAATACACAGCTATTTTGCATCAACATTTTACAAATTGAAGCTAAGACGATGCTTTGCCCTCATCCAACAAGGAAGACATATTATTTTGGTAACAAAGTATCCTCACAATATCACTTGTGCGAAATCAACTGCTTCAACCTCCATGCAAGCAACTCTTGAATCAGAACTACCAGCCCTTTTGGACAGTGAGTGAAGTGATCTTCATCCTAAGGATATGGAGTTCTTCAAAGTGTCAATCTCGAAAGCTATGTCACGCTGTAAATAGCAATTCTCCCAAGAAAAACTGGCATGCTTACTGGGAATAAAGGGCATGGTACTTTACCTTGCCATTCCCATACTATCTTCATCTCTCCTTTCACTTTTTTTTGATATTGATCAATCCGTGAGTCTTCTTGTACCATGCGCTCAACCTGCTCAAGCCAAGGACGACCATTAAGCAAAATATTTTCGATCAGGGCCGTAATGATACCAGGCATATCCATCTGTGGAAATCTCCACCCTTTTCTCGTTTCAAGACGAGGAGCTTTCCAGGCCTTGAAACAGGCATCGAAAATCTTTACAACTAAACCGTTGCAGCGATATTCATTCATTGAACCATGACATGATGAAATGAAGTCTACTTAAACTTGCTTCTATCTGATCGGTGACCATTTGTAACACGTGCCTGGCTGAGTTCTTACCTGCTTCCAGAGTGCCACATCTTTTCTCTCGATGGTTGACAACAAATGGTCCCTCATTCGAGAAACAACAGCCCAAGATTCTCCCTGAGTTTCCTTCGCCTCCAACGCTTTCTCCTCCAAAGCTTCACACACCTTAGTTCCAAGAACGTCCAACAGTAAACTGATATTTGAGTTCAAAAGAAAGACACTGACTGTGAATTAGCTGAAGTCGACCTACAAGCGACCTTCCATCATACTGCGTTGATGCACAAACTGTTTTTCTTGCACCAGAAGTTTGAATATGAGGGCCTCCAGACCGTACCTCAAGATAGAGCTCCTCAGCCCGAGAGTTGAGTTTCCTGCGACGCAAATAGTTGATGGCAAAGGACCCCACAAAGACGATCTGTCCATAAAGTGTCAAGTCAGTGAAGTTTTGAAAGTCTCAAAAAGCAAGAACTTATTGACACGGAATCCAACGTCATGATCACACTACAGAATTCTCAACAAATGAACCTACCACGGGTGATAAGAAGAACAAAAATATGACATTCTCCCACAGTAACTCTTTTGTGAGACAGCCAACTGATTTGTAGCCTTGCGCCAAATCACGTGGACAATGAAATTCTCGTTTTCTGCAATCCATGAGGAGTAGAGAAGTCATATTGATTAAAGAGATTAAACCAAAATAGATAGGAAGAATACCTGACCTCTGATACTTCATAAAATAAGACTGTTTTCTATGACGAAGGAATGTTTCGAAGCTTTGCACATCTCACTAAGCTCCAGAAGAGAGAATGTCAAGAGTGTACAAACCCTTGAAGGTCGTCCTGGATGACAATAGTGTCGTCTCGAGCTAAAGCAGCCGTTTTCTCCCAGACTAGGTAAAACGTCTCATCTATACCAAGCTGCTCTTCTAAGCCTTCCCTCTTGAGGTTTTCCAGAACGTCAGCTTCTGAGAACTGTCATCACAAAAGTCAACAGTTTGTTACTGATGCACTATCCAATGGTATACGTCACCAAAATCATGAGCAATCTTCGGTGGTTAAAATGGGCAGTGATCTTCATTGTTGAAGCTGTTCGTCTAGGATTCAGTTACATGCGTTCCTGTATTGTTCTCTTCAGACACTGGCGCCTCTAAACTGGTTTGCATGTAGATTTCAATTTGTTGCTCCGGACATTGACATATTTTATGAGGATATTGTTCACCACGAAACCTTAAAAATGTGGCTTCAAAACCTCTACGCAAAGATTGAATCTTGCAAAAACCAGTCAACCTCTGCACCACTCACATCGCAAATACATGCAAAAAATCCTTGCCTGCCAAAAACGTTACTTAACGAGTCCATTGAACAAAATCTAGGGATTCCGGTCTTGGAGTCACACCCAAATTGATCCAGTTGCACCATCACAAAGTGAGCGAGCTGCTGCTCCACAAATGTGCTTCTTGATGGCTGTAGCCTGCACAAAGTTCCCAAAGAAACTGATCTAAGTCCTTGGCTCACTTCATGAAAACAAATCATACTGTCCAAAGGAGAGGAGACATTAGCCAATGAACCTGTGGTGCGCGCAAGTCTATGAACTGGGGAGAATACATAACTTACATAAACTTCCAATTCGTCCACTAAAGAAGGCATTTGCATCCCAAGAAGACATCGAATGAACAATGTCATTCTTGATAAAATAAAATCAACAAAGTCCTGGTGGTTTTGGTTTCGTTGCCTCCAAGGTAAACGAAAATCAAAAGAGAGAAAAGTCTCACAAGTTTCTTGGCCGTCCGATCTATCTCCTTATCTGGTGCACATTTCTTGCCGACTCGTTTAAATCCAGCGAGACATTCCAATCCTCCTCCTTGACAGTACCCATTAGAAGGGCATGGCAAACAATTGTTTGTGGCTGCAAGCATTTTCATGAATTTCCGGTATTAAGAATCTCATCATTTAATTTCAAAACACATAGACATGGTTCTTCGATTGAGTTCATCCCAGAAATCTATCTCGAGGTAATCATGATGGCAAAATTGCTACCAAAGCATGGCGCGTACTTTGTGCAGGCGAGCATACGATGTAAATACTTCTTTCTGCTAGCGTGAGCCCAAGAATGTCTCCACTATAACAGAATTCAATCCTTTATGAAAACATGATGGACTGTGCACCTGGATCCGCTGCTTCATCGGAACTGTCACAGAATGGCTTCAGCTGCTGCTTCGCCCATTCGACTGATTTGAAACCAGAACATGCGACAAGCACCGCAACGACAGCAATTGCCAGCAGTTGCCGCACTTGCTCCTGAACTGTGAGAGATTCCGCTGCTTTAGTCTTGGCGCTGCTTTGCTTACTGCTGCGCTTGATCTTCTTCGGTGTGGTTGTTGCGGATGTCGGGGACAAGGCTGGGCGTCTTGACAAACTAGCAGAAACTGACGAAACGGAACCGACATTCTCCACGGCCGAAGAACCCATCATGATTTCTTCTCTTCCTCCTTAATCTGGAAACTAAACAAACAGTGCAACAATCGCCGGCGACGATAATACTCTGCACAGTTTTACCAATCGTCGTCGATGTCCGAAATCACCGACCCTACGTAACATTCGACTCTCTCTTACTTCTGAGATTCTTGCACAGTCACCAATTTGTACTCCTTTCCTTCCAGTAGATCAGCCAACCTTCATGAATTGTTATCACTGTCGTAATCCCCTTTCTCTCCTCTCGCAATGCTCGCTCTTAAACTGAAGATTCGAGAAATCAAAAGACTCTGAAACTGGCGGTCTCGTCACAAGGTGAGACAGGATTGAATCCTTCAGTCAGAGTACTACACCCTCTGCTGCATGCTACTCAGGGGAAACCGACTCAGACCCACGTTGAGACAAAACACATCCGAACATTTTGGCCTTGGTCTTGTCCTGTCAAGCTCCGACAGCAAGGATGGATATAAGACTGCTCCAGATGCAGCTGCACGTGTCATCACGCACTCGAGTTCTCGCACCAAAGTGGTCATCTTCCCGAGGAACTTGCCCAAGAAGCTTTCACTCTGACGTCGCGTTTGGATCCAAACTGGCACGGTTGGTTAGAGGAGCAAGAAGTTAGGAGCCCGATGGGAGATTTCCACGAGGAATGTGCGGAATCAGGTGATGATCGGTCGGTCGGTGCAGAGCGACCGAAAAGATCTGTGTTAATCTTCACAGCTTTACGTAGCCCATGAGAGCTTCGGTCATCACGGTTGTGCAAAGGATTGAGGAGCTCTTGGGCGAGAGCGAAGTTTCGCCGGCATCGATTCGGATAAGGAATTTTTACTGTCATTCAGGCCACTGCTATTCCTCCATGCCCTAGGTCGGAAACGAATGGTGTTCGCTTGAGATTCAAGCTGATCCAAATCCACACGACTCCACTTTGCAGGTGGCTTAGCGGACTTCTGGTAGCTACACATCACATTGGCAATCGTATCTGATGTTCACTTCCTGAGCAAGACCCTTCTTTTGTTCTCGTTTTTTTCTGATAATCCAGTCGGGTTTGATCCAATATCCTCTGCAACTCACATAGACACGACTGACACCAAAGATTCAAGTAGCTTCACACATGTCCTTCACACTGTCGTGGGAGGTTCAATAGAGAGGTTCTTTTAGAGTTATTCATTTATATCCAAACAATCAAAAAGGATTCTCTTTCTGCGGTTGAAAGAGTTTGTTTGGCTGCCTTTAGACCAATTTCTGCTTTACGGTGACATCTCTGGGCAGCGACCACTGTTTCCAGTTCATATAGAGAGCTAAAGGAACGAAATGGGCGAAAGTGTAGGCCATTATCAGGGCCTCGAAAAGATATGGGTACCTCCTTGGAGGCTGAAGCCCAAAGTACATCAGGTGCAACACTCCAGCCCCCAAAACTGAACTAACTACGAACCCTGTCGGCAACTGTCTTGTTAGACGCGGATGGGAAGTTGCTACACTTCTCTCGAATGAGTACGTTGGGAACCTCGAGATGAGGAAGAACAGCAACATGAGGGCAATATATGGCAGAAGCAGCCCATCTCGAAGGAGAAGAGGTAGCATCGAAAAGGTTGCGAATGGTATGAACCACTGCACAACTTGAGGCTCCTCGATCGCCAGCAAACTCACTGGAATTACAGGAAGGAGAACAGACTTCTCGTGAACTGCCACACGAACATAACGCAAGTTAGTTAGCCGGCCGTGAGAGGCATTCTTAAGTGTAATGTCTCTACATATTATACAATAACGTATGACAGGAAGTGACACATGAGGCATTAGTGCAAAAACTTACCTTGGTACGAAAAGAAATAAAATGCCAAAGAACAGTTCAGCATGGAATATACGAAGCCCTTTCGACTGGGTGCATATATTTGTTGCACCATTGACGGAAGGCATGCGGAGATAGTTGCCCCTAGAGCAAGTTTCGCCAAAGTGCCCATTGCGAATTGTTGCTTCCACTTGAACAACATCGCCGTGCCACACCAAAAGTTCGCGACATAGTCCTCATATAATCCACGCTGCATAGGAGCTAGTCGGGACAGTAACTGCAGAAGAACAGAAGAACGCCAGATTGTATGGTTGAGAATTTATGACCGGAAGTCGAATGGCAACACGTGATGTTGGTACATTTGCTCACTTCGAAAGGAGTAGAGAGGAAAGTCATGCAAAAGACAGAGTGTGATCCTCAACTGGCAATTTGCAAGCCACAAAAGATATGGGACTTTGATGGGTACTTGTTGAAGACATGCTTTCAACATGCTTCAGTTCGTCGACGAAAGCCCTTACCTCTAGGGCAGTTTCTTTTGATTCCAAATAAGGCCACCAGCACACCGTGAATGTTAATATTACAGTGATCCCCAACTCGATGACTCCAAATAGAGCTTGGAAAAGGTTTTTGCTTTGAAAACACCTCCCTAAGAGATGTGCAAGAAATGCTGGAGCATAGTAGGCACTCATCTGCAACGAAAGAACAAGTGCTTAAGGTCAGCACAGAAATCATTTCTACGAATCTCCAAAAGGATTAAAAGACTGCGGATATGACTACGTTGAGAGTTCATAAGCCTTCGAGGGAACTACTCCAAGGTAGAAGCACATAGAGTATGCTACTGAATCTCTATAACAAATCACAAACTCACAGAGAAAAGCTTAGTGAGTGCGGAACCTGTTTATGATTGAGGGACAAAGAAAACAGAACGCACGCCAGTAACCTCCTTTCCGAGATAACTGCTGCAGCTGCCGCAATAGCTAGTCCCAGACTTATGCAATTGTACTGTTGAAGGCAGACACGACTGTTAGAACAGAGTCACAAAAGTCTGCTGTCTATGAAGTTGTTATAACCGATCAATTGTTTTAGGTCTCGGCATCCTTTTTAGAAGTTCTACATATTTCAACACCCATTCAGACCATATAAAGTCCGTAAGAAGTGTGCAGGACCTTCAAAATCAAGGAAAACACAACAAAGCTGACGGACCCAAGCGCACTCGACAACTGCGTCTATACATATGTAGAATGTACACATCATTCACCTCTGTTGATGACAAACAAAAAACCGTCTACGAATGCCACTCTTGCACTCACCAACGACAAAGTGGGAAGGCAGAGCTTATGATGCTCTAAACCCCTCTGATAATGCAACCGACAGCGATTCAAGTAGGGGATACTGACAATGAGACTTGAAAGATAATAATAATTGTTTCTTAAAATAAACATGATTGTACAGAAAAACACCTGAAAATGTCCATGATCAATAAGCATGAGAGCTGGGTGCAGAAGGACCATAGCTAAGGCCCAAACCCTCTGTTTCTCACGGTACTTTGAGTAGAATTCGTTGATGAACCACAGAGCTGCAGGAAAGAACACAAGCATGTCCGATGACAACACCGTCCAACGCATCAGGATCTTGCTGCACCCTCTCCACACAATTTTATTGTCTTAATCAGATTCTATACATTTCACTCATATTCTATTTTTTTCAAGCATAGATTTCACATGTCATCTACTTCACTTCACTGCCCTCATTACTTCCCTGCTAGATATGCACTCTACTCTGACATGTACGCTCGTTTCACACCGGACCCAATGTTGGGGGAAATCACCAAGTTAGATGAGTGCCATAAGAAAAGTACACGAGGATGAGAAAGACGCAGACCTGCTGGGGGATTCATAACCACGAGAGCTATGAAGAGCAACGGCTTCGGGCTCAACAGCGTGAATCATCCAACCGTGGACGAAACTTTGATACGCAGTGACAGGCGGATAGTCCAGACCCCACCAAGTCAAATCATTATCTGTTGTGTTCCGATACCACTCTGCAACCGGAGTATGGACGGTGATTTCCATCCAATGCCGCTGCGCTTCATAGTCTCCAAACTTTGGCCGAGTACCCGCCCCTGCACCAGCCAAGCACAACTTGAAAATTGAGATTCTGGGTTTAACCTCTTCTCCTCGGAGCCACGCATGAACGACCAGATCCCAGCGACTCCATCAACCCAATAAAACTCATTATCATCCACGAAAAAGAAAGTGAATTCGAGAACTGCGAGAAGTTCCAGCGGACCCAAACGAGAAGAGAGGACGCCAGATGATACAATGTTGAGGCTTGCAGCAGCCCGAGGCCGGCGGCAAAAGCCGCAGGGCAAAAGCTGATTACAATCAACAATTTGATGCGATTGGATGCGAGACAGAATCACTAACCGGAGTAAGAATGCAAAGACACCAGAACGCGAAGCAGAAACGCAAATCCCATGACCAGAAAGCATGTGGATCTATAGCGAGAGCAGTAGGGCCATCTCCACTCCTCCTGTACAGCAGCCGTCGGCTCCTTCCTTTTCCCCAATCTTCTCGGAGCTCCCTTCCTCTTCCGAGACCCTACTCTAGCCTCATCTTCTTCCTCCTCTCGAATTTCCCCTTCCTGGACTGCCATCGCCTCCGACTCTTCAGCTCCCGCCTCACTCTCACTCTACCCTCGGGCCTGCAAAACTCCCATCGACGATGCTCGCACTCCTGCAATCAATTTGCCTGCTGCCGGCCTCGAGCCACAGGAATGAGAGCGCGATCAAGACACGACAAGTGCAGGCATTCTTCTTCACATGAAGGCCCGATTTGTCAACCATGAACTTGCTCTTCACAGATTCCTCGATTTGTGCATTCAGATCTTTATACAAAGACGGCAGAGTCTCGTACCCTTGTAGCGATTTTCAGAGCAGTTTACAATGTGCCACATTCGGTAGAACAAGCAGATGGTACTACAGAATACTCCCACTTCTTTGCAGAGTAAGATGTGTTTTGAACAGAGTATATACCTACCAGCCTACAGAGTTTTATCTCGTCTGTAGATAATTATTTGCCAATACAGTCTTCACATCTGGAGATGAAGGGGATGAAAGACATTTTTAAAGACTTTGATAGTTGTAAATTTTTAGTTGTGTTGAACTTTTCCGAACTCTTCATTCTGCAAGTATCCTATTTACCAAGATTTCGACACCCTTTGTGACTTATGCTTGCTGCTCTTGTATCTTGGTAACCATGTACATTTGGTCTGTTCTGTACTCCAAGACAAGTATGGCCAGCATTTTCATAAAGTGAATAAAGTGAAAAATCTTGGTGACACGAGTAATTTATTTAGAACATTTTTTTTTATTCTTGCAGTTTTAGGATTTGTTGAAATAGGCTAAATTAAAACTTAGCTGATTAATTGAATTGATGTATCAAGTTCATTTATATAAAACTTGCACTTATCGATTATGTTTAAATTACTACGGTAATGTAGTAAAAGAGGGTAGTATTCTATATTTTGAATTTTAATTGATACAAAATGTTACAAATATTAGTTTAAAATAATAGTGAGAATTATAATGTAATATCTCTCATGAAAATCTCTCAAACAAATTTTAATAACTAGAGATAATCTCTAATCATTTAAGTTCTTTTTGACATGAAGTTGGCAAATGTGTTTATTATGAAATAAAAATAATTCAAATAATGCCAATATTCAGTACGATTGGTTAGGTGTTAATGCAAACTTGTGAAATTAAAACAAACCTAGAGCATTTGAAACTTTGCAGTATAGTGATTACATATTACATTATTGAATGATTACCATATCTCATAATTATAATATACGTTCACTTATCAATTAAAAATATTGTTAAGAAATAATTTCTTTAGTGTGTTTTAGTTATTAGATCTGAAATTAGTTTAAAGCTGTTTAAAAGAGCGGATTGTTGCTACCATAGAGTTATATTTTAGAAATTTTTAGTAAATATATATTTTTTCATGTGCGGAACTTTTTTTTGAATTGAGCCAGGTATTTTTACATAGATTTTATTACATCATTGTGTTTGATTGAAGTCTACTTTTGTTCACGAAAATTGATTTCATAACAGGTTGTTAGAATATAAAGTTCTATAACATGATAGAAATTTGAGTTTCAAATTATGACAGTAATATATGACATGGACAAAGTAATTGAAACTTGTATGATTATGCCTGTAACATTGCATGCAATGCAAAGACATCTTTGGATATTTGGAATGCTTAAGAGGTTTTAAGGTTTGAAAATTTAAACATTTCATGCTAATCAAACTACTCCAATTGTATATATATAAACTCAAATCACGACTTAAAACTACTCTACATAGTTAAAAGTCTATTATTTCAATCCTTGATCATAAACAATGTGCTCGATCTGTTTTTTATACAGATAAAAATATATATATGCAAGGTTCTTTTTGTGCAACTCTACTATAAGAAGTATAAGATTTGCAATTTTGGATGGATTTGATAAAAATGGATATGTTATATGTAGTTTGAAGATTAATGTTGTTTACATTGTGAATTGATAATTTGCACAAAACCTGACATTGTATTTGTTATAGACAATCCTAACATGTACATATGTCAAATCAAAAAGAAGGAAGCCGCTAGTCATCACTCACTTTTCGCTATTCATCACTCACCCCCAATTTTAAAAAACCCATGCGCATTTTTCTTACTCTCCGATTGGCTGGATGGAAAGCATTATTAAAAATGAACACTAATAATATCAACAACGTCAAAGCAATAGCTTTGACGTCATTATCTTTGCTGTTCCCTACTCGCCTGGTGTGCAAACAGTCACGATGTAGACTTCATCGGCAAGGTGTGAATTAAGAGCCGCGTGAGCAGCCTTTAGACTAGCATAGGTTGCTCTGGTAAGTTCTTGGTAACCATCCATGGTGATATAAGTGGTGTTTTGGACGAGCTTTTCAACGATTTGAAAATTGGGGATGTGTGGTGAATAGCGAAAAGTGAGTGGTGACTAGCGGCTCCCCAAAAAAGTGTCAAAATGTTGTGAATACTATTTTCATGTATCCGTTAGATTTTGATCTTGTATTTGATACAAATCTAATAATTTTAATCAATCATTGGCTAGATGAATGTAATCTTTATAATCTACTATTGGATATGTGTTCACTCTTGAAGATGGATGTATAAACTGATATTTTAATATTCTTTAGCTCAATCCATTACAAAAGTTGAATAAACATCATTGATCAAAGTGAAGAGGTAGATAATTTGGTTGAATAAAATGGTATCATTAACCAATAACATTGTAAATCTGGAGTATAATGTTTAGGTTTAAAAGTGGAATAAAAAAACTAGTGTTTTTTTTTCCTAGAACACGGTTGTTGTTTGGTGACGTCTTCTATGTTCACCAACTTTTAGATTTAGTTGCACTCCAAATTGTGAAAAGTAAATTAAAACACATTGAATAAGATAATTGAACTAATCAAGGTTGCAAATAAATTTAATTGTGCTTATAATTTTAGCAAAACTATTTCTCAACATTTTTCTCAAAACCTACTGCCACATTGCAAGTTTTGCACATAGATAGACGAGAAAATAACAGCAATTGATATACATATAATTTTTATATGTCAAGTTTTGATTACAATTACTTCTGGTTTATTCTAATTTATAAAATAATTTATAACATGTTTTGTTGTAAGACTTCACGCAAATATATAATGATATTAGTTATGGATATTAAATTACCCAAAATATGACTTCAAAAACAATTAATATGAGTTAACTCAATTCTTTTTTAAATCTCGTACTAGATCGCTTAAGAGTACATATCTTCATATGAAAAATACTACTATATGAAAGCATTTCAACTGATTGAAACGAGTGTATATTTTTCTGTAGACTAATATTTTGTTTCTACACCTGATTCAACGGAATGAATTATGTGTCTCTAATACTTGTAGTCTACAAATGTATCGTGGACGTGTGAGTGATTATATTAAGGATCATTCGGGTAAGCTCTTGAGAATTGGACAGTAACAGAGATAGTTGCATGTTTTCCTGTGCAGTCTATTTCCTACACTCCATATATACGGGCAAAAAGATTAATGGAAGTTTTCATTGTAAACATTGGAAATCATACCCTGTAGCATTGGAAATTGTGGGCATCAGATCCAACCTCTTTGTTTCCAAAAAACACATCACAAAAGAGCAAACCAACTGCCGTGTAATATCAAAACATAGGAGTGTTTCTCGTGTGGCGCATTCTTAGTATTTAGTTTTTCTAAATAAGTCAAATGATCGTGTCGCGAAACGTTAATTTCCAGTTATACTGCGTATCGCAATATCTACATCTTTAGCTTCAATCATTTGGGATTAAATCCGTGGTATAGGGCTTCACATCACTCGATGATAGATTACTCAAAAATCCCTCCTTATTATATAATATTTACCTCGCAGCATACTTTCTTTGAAATCTCGAGTTAAGTGACGGTTTTCTTCGCTGTAAGCTGTTGTTAAACGGCCCTTTAGAAAACGAGTACGTATGTGAAATCTCTACATCTGTAGCAACTTGCAAGTTTTCAAACCCCACACAATTTGCAGGTTTGCGTGCTAGCTTAGAACCCTAAACCCTCCACCTTAGCCTATCTATATTGACTGTTCTATAACTAAACCTAAAGATAAAAGCTTCAGAAGTGTGCAAACTAATTCAATAGTCATCTGAGAACGGAAGAACTTTTCTTTGGACCTTGGAAGAGTAGACATATGGTAGCCAGCTTACAAAAGAATTTGCATCTACCTGCCTAATCCATCAAAACAACAGATATTAAAAAAGCATATTTACTCAAAAAGAAATAGTGACGTGAGGGCCAGTCAAGATAGCCAGCAGTATTGAATTCAATCAGAAGAACTCTCTATCTGATGAAACTTTCACACGTCAAGCCCAGGCAGCCATGAAGAGTTGTTCGGACCTCCTTACATGGCCATGTAGGCCAATGAAGTTTATTGAATTAACATTCAAAAGGAGATCACCCACCGGCTTGAGATCAGCCTCTCTAAATGAAAAGTATCTTGAACAGTGGATACAAAATTCCAAGATCTTCACTGCCATGAGCAAATCCACCCGGCGCAGCCTATGCACGCTCACCGCGAATACGACGAGCAAGCTGGATATCCTTGGGCATGATGGTGACACGCTTAGCGTGAATAGCGCAAAGATTGGTGTCCTCAAAAAGACCGACAAGATAAGCCTCGGCAGCCTCCTGAAGTGCAAGAACTGCGTGACTCTGGAAACGCAGATCCGTCTGATGAAACACAGCAGGAAATCTCCATAAGTAAGATGTATTTGCCAGACACAGCAAGGACGGAGAAAAAGTTCTTTGCAGCATGGAAAGTGGAGACAAAAGACAATTTCGATGTGTAGGAAGAGAAGCTAAGTTTCCTGTCAATCACAATTCCTAAAAGCCAAGCGTTCTAAGACTACCAACCTTAACAAAGCAACTGGGAGGCAACGCTCGTTGCCTCACCTGAGACTAAAGCTATTCAACTGAGACTTGGACCCAAAGATTCGGGAGAAACACATTCAGCCAGGCATCGACTGATAAGAGGATAAATGGACTAAGAATTTCTTACTAAGCACATTAATGAATGCGGGAAACTAAAATGTAAATAGGAAGACAGATTGCACATTGATGGAAATTCACGGTGTGTCGACTTCCGAGTTACCAAAGGAGGAATTGTGATTGCTTTGAAGCTCAAACCTCCGATTCTACGGGAGCCAAGTTGAGAACTACCTTTTGCTGCTTTCGAATATGCAAGTAGAAAGGAAGAAAAATACCTTGAAATCTTGAGCAATTTCACGCACAAGTCGCTGGAAAGGCAGCTTGCGGATGAGGAGCTCGGTACTCTTCTGATACTTGCGAATTTCTCTGAATACAAGAGAACACAAGTCAACGGCCATGCGAAACAACGAGAGTTTGACGAAAGACTTCTACTAAGCAAAAAAATGTCCTCTACCAGCAACAATGCATTGAGACCTCAGATGACAGCCTCAGCATGGATAATTCTGAACTCACCGCAACGCGACTGTTCCTGGTCTGTAACGATGGGGCTTCTTCACTCCTCCGGTGGTAGGAGCTGATTTACGCGCAGCCTGTATCGTTCCAAAACAGTGACATTAAGCAACACTGATACGTGATTTGCGCACATATAATGTTCGGCACACGCATGGCATGTGCTCCACATCCCTTTAAGAGATGTAGTCCATTTGACAAGTACCAATTATGCCTTATTATAGTACAGACCAATTTCTAATTTCATGTTACCCAATTCAGGTCCAACTTGAGGCTCTAGCGGAGGACTTTCCATCACTGCAAAGTCCGTATCAGTATAATAGTAGAGCTCTGTTCGAAGTAACGGACATATGTGAATCCGTGCGTGAGCGGAGACTTTCAGTCAAGATTCAGGCTACACTATCTAGCGGGAGTCAAAGTTCACAACTTCTTTGAATTCATTCTGGGTGATCTAGGTGAAAATTTCATTCTCGGCACCTATCCTCATCTACCAAGTGTGTATTTCTGCTTCCTGTGCTGTATTTCACAGCTCCAATCCCGAAGTTTTGAGTCTGATCTGGGAAAACTTGGTTAGCATCTGCTGACTTGAGCAGGGCTTCGGTGACTTTGAAACTATTCGAAATAGCAAGTCTAAATCGCTGGTCGGTGGGCTGCTATAAACGGTTGCTGGATGTGATCTAGAAATGCATGTAAACCACAGGATCTCTTGAAACTACCTCCCGATTTAGTAGACTGGACCATAATGACAAGAGCTTCAATTTCAGATTTTTCCTCGACCTCCCTGTCGCTGAAAGAAAATCCTCACTATATCTTAAACAACCCGCAATTCTCTGTTTTCATAAGAGAATGACGTCGCAAATGGAAACCTTCGAATCTAAGGTTCAACGTTACCAAATACGAGTGACTTTCGACCGAACAGGATTTAGTACAAACCTTAGTGGCAAGCTGCTTACGAGGCGCCTTGCCTCCGGTGGACTTACGAGCCGTCTGCTTAGTACGCGCCATGATTACTCCTTACACTACCAAAACGTTGGCACAAAACAAAACAATCACTTATATAATCATTACAGCAAACTATAATGATATAATTACCATAGAAAAGACATAAACGAGAATCAAGACTGAAACGAAAAGTTCTCGGAGATCATATCTAGAATAATACTCCGGAACATACGACTATCTCAACCCATCGAGAGGAGGAAAACGACATACGCACGCAAGTTCGACCAGAACTCAATAGATATATCGACGAATGTAGAACACAACGACCATGTGCACTAGAAACTACGTAAAACGGGGCAAAAATTGAGCTTGAACTCATTAAAAGAAGACCTCAGAGCAAGGACATTGCGACCTCACTGCAAACATATCCGATACGCGGGCACCTCGTAGAGGATCCAATAAAAAACGTGAAGAACTGAGTTGAAATTTATCCCTGATTATGGTTAAGTATTTTGTTTCTTTCATTATAATGAGAACTAATTCTCTTCCACCCAACGGCGAGATTCGAAGTTGCTAAAGTTTACTTGGCACGGTTACTTGTGGGGTAATAATGACTTTGTGCATATTATTTGCTTCGACCTATAAAGAACAGCAACTGGTACATTCAGAGCAAGATACATCAACCTATTCTTGACATTCATGTCTCAAAAATATTTGGATGAAAAAGCTTGAACTATTTCAAGACTAAAAACAGAGTCGTTTACACACCAGACAGGTTTAGTTAGTTCACTTCTCCAGACGTTCTTCACACTTTCCTAACGAACAAAACACTAGGTAGTCGTAGAATGAGGAGTCGGAATCATTAAAACTCGAAACTAGGACCTCACTCATCTGGGCGGACATACTTCATCGCTGACATGAGATAGGTTTGAACAACGTATATCCAGGATGTAACGTCTTTCAGTTGAAAATATTTAGCTCGAATACAAAACTCTTGAACTTCTGGGGAACTATTTTCTTCCGAAATCAGGGAAGGAATATAACGCTAACATCACTTCTGTAACTAACCTGCGTTAATCAAGTACCTAGTAAGACAAAAAGAATACCATCCTTGAGCATACGAGAATTGACAGTCCCTCGGTTACTACAAGACCTAGCTCTCGTGTGTATTTAGAGGAAGCAGAGGGTAGCATCTAACAGTGAACGTTCAGGCATCCGAAAGATGTACTTGTGGCACAAGAACTACCCAGATGTTCCATCAAGAAGAAGACAGAGCAAGCGACATGGATGTAGGATAGCGTCCTCGTATGATGGATATAAACATGATCAACCGCAAGGGCTTAACGACCAAGGAAACCGAAGAGACAGACCCGGGAAGTACAACCATAGGCCCTATGCATTATAACTGACGAGCAATATAAAACAGAAGCATGGCATAGGATCTAAAAATCGGCAAACTCAAGGGAAAAAAACAGTCATAGAGTATCCAGAGCAGAGGACTGTAGGCGGGTAGTGGAAGCAGCCTGCCACAATCCATGGGATCAAATGCAAATATCCAAGACAGAAATGACGCATGTTTGAAACGAGTGCAAAGCGCACTGTCAGAAAAAAGTGCGGTACAGCATAAGCCAAACATAATGCAAAAGGCGAAGGAATGAGAGAATGTCAGTCCGCTAGAACGACTTCTACGCAAACAACATCCAGTAAAAACGTTATATGCAATTTCGAAAGAGAACCAAAGAGTCGATAAACAAAAAGAACAATTTTGATAAGGGAACGATAACTCAGATGCAGCTAAGAAGAAGATGGACTCATATATAACATGCCGGCCTGATCGGGAAGATCCCCACAGTGGAATGACCAAGAAGGAACACAAGGAGGCCTAGCAGGCTATATGTTAGAAAAGAAATGTACTTGGGCCTTTATGCCGAATGTTATCCAAGACACATATGAAGTCCTCCATGAGGGCCACAAAATTTGCAAGGAAGGAACAGTATCTGACATTGAAGCGGGGGCCTGTCGGACTAGTTCTTTTCAAGAGGTACATATTCTGAAATAGCGATGAACTTGGGTCTTTACTATGCCGTCTAGGTTTTGAGTAGCACAGTAAGGCGCGATCCTCCAAGAGTGCCCAAAAGATGATCTCGAGGCCAAGGAAAAGGTACATGCCTCTAACTAGAAGAAAGGAGACCGTTTTGGAGACGATGAAGAAGAGATCAAGAAGAATTTCAAAAAAGTAAATCTGAGGTCGGAAAGACAAGATGTTCTCAAAGAGATGGAGTAGGAAGAGCAGTAGTTTAGAGAAGTAATGAAGAGATCAAGAAGATCGAAGAAGTAAACTCGAGGTCGGAAACATAGGATGTTCTTAAAGAGCTGGAGGATGAGTAGCAGCAGCTTAGTAAAGTAGAGAATAAACAATACATGATAAGCCGCAAGGGCATAGGATGCAAGACACCGAAGCATCGGAAAATCTTGAATTTACACCTCAAAAATTACGACGAAAGATACTAGATGGAAATCAATAAGAAGAGGACCGCGAAGAGATTGAGGAGAACTCAAAGCCCCAATCAGCAAAGGTGAAGTTGATGGTTGTTATTAAGGGAAGGTAGAGAGCAAAATGCTGAGGCCGAGTCGTAAACGGAGTCAAGAGCTAAGAAATTCCATACTCATGTTGTGTAGATTACAGACAAGATGAAGAAGGTACAAAGACTGGATGTTTGGAACTATATGGAAGAGGAAGAGAAGACTAGGAAGGAAGAAAAAGGGACGGTGGGAACAGAGGGAGTGAGTCCACATCTAGGCTCTTCGAGTATTTCTGTGTCAACTACTAGCATATTCACGGATGAGAAGGGCCACATTTGGGAATTGAAAGAAACCACAACCAGGCCCCCCAAATATTACATCATACTCGAATTCTGATAAGGAGAGAATTTTATCCAAACCAAATATGAGCAAACTGCCCTAGAGATTGATATGAGATGGGGTCCGCAAACCAGTCAAGAAAGAAAACCTAAGTAACTCGTAATTATCACTTTGCCTCAATAGGCAAGTTCCATACCTGACTCCTACGTTATCGGGTATGGAGAATGATGAGAATTCCCTATCATATTTGACTAGCATCATATATTACCAGATTTTATGACAAGAATGCTACATCGTTGAGAAATTTGGTAATATTGATGATCAGTGTCAAGAGGACTACCATTCAAAATTGTATGTAGAAAGGCCAATGTTCTCGAGTTATCCCCACTTTACCGTCTGTACAATCGGCTTAAATTTTAGGGTTTAGTGAGTTGCCTCTGATAACCTCCCCATGATGGATAATAAAGACATCTCAAAATCAACATTCAGCCACATTTCAGCTAGGCAATGTGAAGCTAGAATAAGCATGCGAAAATGCGCGGACTTCAAACTTACCTCAACTGTGCCTAAAAAAAATCAGCTGGAACCTAATAGTGATTTACAGCAGATCCTGAAGCGTAAATCGTCTGGAGAATTGCTGAACACCAAGTTTATACTTTACTGAGACTTATTCGCGTTTACAGAGAGCAACGAATGCTGCAAACAACAACACTGCTCTACACGCGGGCAGTCTGCAACTGTCAGTTCGGGAGGAGTAAACAGAACGCATTTGCCGTGAAAACGAGCTGAGAATGGGAGGGGGAAGGGAAGGTGGGAAAGGCTTCAAAATTTCAAAATCTTGTATAAGCTATGACTACCTCTCAGCGGCCTCCGGTAAGTGGGACAAGCACACGGAGAATTCTTGAGAAGCGCAGCTCGACGAAAAATTCAAATAGAGCAACCAGAAACGATAAGACATAATCACTGATTTCCGAGCATACGCATACAAATTTCCATCAGACTCGATAAAGTTGCCGAACACGGGAGAAGCTCCAAGAATTGAAAGACTCACACCAAGATGCTGGAAAACACGACACAGAAACTAACGAGCCAACTATCCGCAGCAGCGCCACAGACGTGAAGTGGAGGTATGCAGCACAAAGGGATGCAATTACGGTCGACACTAAAAACATGAAACAATGATATGCACAGCGACGCCCCAGCTCCCGAAATTGGACACTCACCCCGCGACGATGATCAAATGCTGAAAACTGGAAAGGATGCACAACAACGCAAAATGGCGCCAGATGCGAGCTTACGAGCTACGACCGATATATGGCCCCTGTTTGACCAGACAGCGTTCCCGTTGGTCCCGGAGGGTTTGAAGTTAGATCCAACGGTTAAGGAACCTTGCTACTCGTGGCCCCCTTGGTAACTGGAATACCCGACAGGGACAGTTGAAAGATTCTTCCAAAAGAGGATGCCCCTTCTTGTTCAAGAGTTTCAAATTTTGAAAGAATCTTGTGTTTATCTTTAGTACCCGGAGCGGTTCTACGTGATGAGAAAGGAAGACGATTTAGACTAGCTCTATATCAGTTGGTTTAAGGATAGCCGAGACCAACATTGGGTGTCCATGGTTTTTGTGTGGGTTATGGACAGAAATCATTAAAAGTGGCATTTATTCAAAAATGAAACCTTTGCCACATTTAAAATTCATGTAATGCTTTGAATCTTAGAATCTAAATGTTTGCACTGCATACAATTTAAATAAGTGCTTCGCAGACGAGAAAGCCATTGCTATGTGTATGGGATCGATCAAAGCAAGCATTACACCTCATTGCCCTCAGTATTCTGTGAGTGACTTGGAGAGAGAATCTTAGGTATGAGTCTTTGTCTATGTGGACTAAAATCCAGTAAGACATGATCATCTGATGTATGAAATTTTCAGAAGAAAAGAATATTACATATACCACAAAGGTTTTCTAAAACTCAATGTCAGAATATTCTAGTTATGAAATCGAGTTTCTCTCCTATCCTAGGATTGAAGACATATAGTTCACAGTTGAAGTCTAATGTCAGAATATTCTAGTTATGAAATCGAGTTTCTCTCCTATCCTTAGGAGTGAAGACATATAGTTCACATCTCACCAAGTTTGCAAGTTGTCACTATTCAGTTGAAGTCTAATGTCAGAATATTCTAGTTATGAAATCGAGTTTCTCTCCTGTCCTAGAGTGAAGAAGTTCACATCTCTCAGATTTTGGAAGTTGTCACTATTCAGTTAAAGTCTAATATCCTCATCATTAGTATTAGTAACCTCCAACTCATTTCTTCTCTCAGATGAGAGTTATGTGCTTTGAGTATCTTCAACGGTGAATAATCATGCATGTTCATGGACTCTTCTAAATTTTTGTAAGATATCGATGGCTCTAGGTGTACTGTGAACATAACATGAGGATGGATTTTAAATTAGACACAACAGAGAAAATATGTCTGACATCCTCATGAAATAAATTAAATATCTTATGGTTTCAAGATTGGCACAAAAGTTTTTCATCACAAATGTCACTTTTCAGAAATATTATATGCCACAATTAAGTTAAAGTTGGCAGAAATGGCAAATGTCAGTTTTAATGAGGTTTGGTTATGGTTGACATTATTTTTCATGCAATGGTGGTTATTGTTTCCAAGTGAATATGGACGTGAATAGTTTCCAAATGGATATAGAAGCTATGCCTATGGATACTACTTGAAACTTGGACACGTAAATTAGTGATAGCTGGTAAAGTATTCAAGTGGATATGGATGTGAATAATTTCCAAATGGATATAGAAGCTATGTCTATGGATACTACTTGAAACTTGTACACATCAATTAGTGATAGTTTGTAAAGTATTCAAGACAGAGATAAATAATGAGTGCCAATTAGATAGTTTATAAAACAAACCTCAGACTTGGACACGTAAGTTAGTGATAGATCATAAAGTATCAATGGAAGAGAGAAATAAAGAGTGTCAATTAGATAGTTTACAAAAACAAACTTTGTTTTCACACTCTCCACATCCTACGTGGAGAGCGTGGACTGCCATCAAAACAAGCAAAGATTGACCTTTTATCATAGCTTGTAATTGTCTCTTAACATCCTTAGTGCAAGAGAAATTGGAGCCCGACCTGGTCTGTGTCCTAGCAACACTTTTGGATCACGTACTCCTGAAGAATTATATATGCATGATGGAGATTTCTAAAGGTTAGTTACTAAGGCCAACAAAAAAAAAAACTAAATGTACTTATATGTTTGATTGGCAAGGAGTATTGGCAAATTTGGATCATAAGAAAGATGATGCATTGATACATCAAACAAGAATTGACAAAAACAATCTCGCGTTTGTCTTGTTGTTCCAACTTCATCTCGTTGTAACTATATGGTGGCCACAAAGTTTGTGGAGCAGTTTACAACAAATGACACAATATCTATCTACAATGAATGTGAGTAAGAATTAGAAGAGATTCATCGTAATGAGGCTAAAACCTTAATTTTCAGCAACCTCAACGCTCGTATTGAGCTTAAGTTTAACATGTATGAGAGACCAATGATCAATGATGAGACATGACAAGATCAATGATCTTGTAATACAAGATCATTGCACCAATGAGCTTAGCATTTCTAATGAATGGGTATATCAATGCTTAATTCAATATTCACTTGTGGTCAAAACATGAAGGAGTCTTCACAATACTCATCATGTCCAAAGTGGCAAGTTCCATTTTGTGACTTTCCGCATCCAGCTCTAAATTGAAGTCAAATTTCTTGGAAGCCAACAACAACAAACTACTTTTTGTTTGTCAAATCCAACTAAGACAAGTAATACATATTACACAATTTTAATACATGGGTGCAATTTGAATAACATGAATGGACATCAGTGGACATAAATACAATAACCTTCTTGTTAGGTACGCACCCATAAAAGTACGTGTTTTTTTTCCAAAAAGACTTGATCCGTGTTTTTTTGGAAAAAAAACACGGATCAAGTTTACGGTTTAGGAAAATTCAAAAGAATTGTAGCAACAAAATACCAAAGAAAGACATTGTGAAAAAAAAGTGAAACAACCACTCTACTCATCTGTCCCTAGATCGAGTTCGCCTCATTTTGGGCACTTATTTCATCAAGGCCTAACGCTTTATTTGAGTGTTCTCTTATCAGTTCCGGTTCTGAATTGTAGTTCAAATTCCAGTTAATTTAGTTGCACTAAGTGACTGCTTAAGTACCTTAGCCAATGATCTTGAATGTTTACTCCTGACTTTGGAAAGTAACTCACAAGTATGCATTAGGAGTTGACTTGGAGTGATCAAGCATCAAATCATATACATATATGAATGATCCACATGAAGTAAGGATTAGTATTGAGTACGGTAAGAGTCAAAACAATTAAGTAGCGTTGAATACAATGTCTTCAGATTTGTTAAAAGAGAGTTTTCTATAAATCAAAAGAGAAAGATTTTGTGTTGATCCTAGCACCGATACAAAATCTCATGTCCATGGGCGGTTTTTGAGCATCCTTGGACGGTTGACCGCTGGCATTAGAAACTTTGCGTTAAGAATGTCGATCATTTCACAACAGAGTCCCTCATTGGGTACCCATACCCATGCCCACCCACTGCCCACCCCACCCATGGTGGGTAATGGGTGGGCATGGGTACGCCAATCAACCATGGGTGGGCAGTGGGTGGGCGAAGCCAACAAGCTAGATGTGTGGGTGGACATGGGTGGGCGAAGCCCACCCTATGGGTAGACGTGGGCAGACAGTGGGTGGGCATGGATATGGGTACCCATTTACCCAATGAGGGACTCTGCACCTGAGTTATTTGAGACGTGAGCTGATGAGCAAATACACCCCAGCTAGCTTGTCCCTTCTGTTTGTTTGCCCCCCTTCTTTTGTACTCCCCCTATTTTTCCCCTTTCTATTGTTGTTGCTTCCGCCCCACCACATTAGAGCAGTCAAATATGCCACTTTCTCAGGAAACAGCTGGGGATTGCGAGCATGAAACAGCGGTAGCACCTGTTCGGGACGCCATTGTGCCGCTTGCTCAAAACAAGGTGGAGCGGTCGCTGCGAAGCCGAGTGGAGCCGCGCAACTACGAAATTCGCAATCATGCTGGCCCATCGGTCATATGGAAATCATTCAGCATCGTGTACGATACAGCCACGGGTGCGAAGACGGACTTCGCTGCCTGCAAGACGTGCATCAAGACATTTGTTTTCAAGACGGGCGGCAAGGGCACCCACAACACTGGAACAAGCATCATAGGCAAACACAAGTGTCCCCTGAACCCGCCTGGCGTCGGCAACCACATCTTCAAGGTCCACAAAGTCTCAGCGCAGCAAAAGGCAAAAATGACAGCCGCCGCCGTCGACTACTGCGCGTCAGACATGCGTGCTTTCGAGTCAGTCAGCGGCGTCGGCTTCAAGCGGTCATTCAATTAGCACTTGACATCGGCGCCGCGTCGAACGGCCGCGTTGACGTCAACGACCTGCTGCCTTGTCCCTTGACAGTGCGTCGAAATGTCGAGGCACGAGTAGTGAGCGGACGTGAAACGTTGTACATAATCCTTCAAGATCATTTGGTATCTGGTGTCGGCTTTGCGACTACGATTGACATGTGGACAGACACCATCAAGAAGACGTCATACCTGTTCATTACTGCGCATTATGTCGACGCGGACATGGTTCTGCACGCCCGCACGCTGCACGTCAAGCCGGTGTTCGATGCGAGTCACACCGCCGTCGTCGTCAAGAACGAGCTCAAGTCCGGTTTCGATGTCTTGGGGATTGGGCAGGCATTCTACGACCAAATCATTGTCGTCTCGGACAGCGGTTCTAACTGCCGCGGCGCCGAAGGAATCCCATCCGAGTTTGCGTGGCTTGCTTGCCTGGACCACAAACTGGCAACCGTGCTAACTACCGTCTTTAACAAGACTACAACGATGACTAACAGAGTGAAAAGTGCTCCGTTCTACAAATACAACAATGAACAGCATGCTGACTTGGCCGTGCTCTTTAACGTGTTCGATGCAAATAAGAAACTCGTTGAGTATTTTAAACGCACCAACCTGCAATGCATGCTGAGTAAGACACTAAAGCAGGAGATTACCACATGTTGGAATTCGTTGCTATGCTGCCTTAAAAGCGTCCACGATATGACCGACGAGGTTATCGAATTGCTCAAGAAGAGTAACAACTTCGACTTGTTCAACTTTTCGCAGGACCTGCTCGCGGAGATCGTCGGTTTTCTCGACGTGTTCCAATTGGCGACGTTGTCGCTTGAACAGTTCAAGTCGCCGACGCTGCACAAAGTTGTTTATTGGCGACATCGACTGACGCAGCATCTGATGCCAGTTATGCACGACGTCTTAGATGACGAGGGCAATCTCGTCAGGAAGGCGGATAGCGCATCTCTCATCGCCGCCAAGGGCGTTTTGATGCCCATCTTCATTGAAAAATTCGTCGTCCGGGATGTGCATGTCAAGGCGGCGTTCATGTGCCCAATGCTCAAGCGCCGTCTTCTTGGTATGGGCGTCCCTTCGCACAAGGTCGAAGTTATAAAGATGCAGCTAAAGTGCGACATGGCCAAATATGGTCATCAATTGGACACCGAAGTTGATGCAGCTGTCGCACCGCCTGTCAGCAAGAAGGCGCGTGTTGGCAACGGCCTTTCCATGTACGACATGGAGGAGTACGAAGATGAGAGGTCCGACGATCTGGCCAACAGCAATTTCAGCAATCGCATCTATATTGAGTTCAAGTCCTACAACCAGCACACGGTCAGCGACAAGGAGAAGCGTGATTCGGAGGTCGGCGGCGAGTTCAATGTCTTAGCTTGATGGAAGACGACCGGCGCCAAGCTCTTCCCGATCATGGCTTGCGTCGCGCGTTCCATCTTGTGTGTTCCTGCGTCCAGCGTGATGTCTGAGAACAATTTCTTGGACGCTGGCAATACGCTCATAAAAAAGTGCAACCGACTCAAGCTGCGCGTTGTCAACGACCTCATGTTTGTGCGCTCCAACCGCGACTTGTGTAAGAAATAAACGTACACTACGTCGATGTCTGCACAAACAAGTAGAGTACACAATGAGTACCGATGGGTACGGCGCTAGCTTCAGATGGGTACATCCGAAACGCACGTGGGTAACGGGTGGGCATGGGCAGACTGAGTTTACGTGGGTGGGTAATGGATGGGCAAGGCCCACGCGCGCGAAGCGTGAGTGGGCGTGGGTAATCACGCTGAAGGCGTTGTAGGACTCTATTTCACAAGCACGGTGAGCTCCTTCCGCGGATCACTCCAAAGACACAACTACAATTTGCGACTTTCCTATGGAACCTTTACTTCATGTCTGTATAATTTTTTTACCATAAACAATGTCCATATCTAATTTAATTTAATGTCATTGAAATCACTATTATTTTACACAATTTGAGAACTTTTAGTTCATATACTTTATTTTGTTTTGAAGTTTGAAACAAAACAAAACATTGTTTTTATCTCGTTTTGAAGTTCAAAGCAAAACAAAACATTGATTGGTCGGGAACTGTAGACATTGTACATAATTCACAGAGTTCATACTACACTCAAAGTCTTTAGCTCATATAATTGTGAACAAAACAAACATTACTAGTCTGGACTTTGCTATGAACATAATGGTTGCTCTTAAGTACGCAACTCCTTGTTAAGTACGTCAAATCTTCATAGAATCAGTCTGCGTACTTAACCAAGAGATTATTGTAATGTTATGGATGTGAATAGGTCGTTGCTAATGGTTATGATCTGGATACATATGTGAAGTAAAATGTTGGCCTCTATTGGATCCGACAACTACTTTATATTACGATGACATCACAAAAGCATGAAATGATTTATTTACAGCCATTTCCCAACCTTGAAAAGAAATCTGAACATCAATTACTTGTTGTCATATGTGTAAATATATTTTTGGTCAAATGTTTATCAAATCTATCATACACATGATAGCAAAAATTTGATGTTTCAAAATTTTTCTAAAGTGATAACATGTGAATAACATCACTTATGCAAACACAAAAATAAATATGATATGACTTATTTAAAAACATTTTTTTAACAAAATCAATTGATTTCAACAATTATTGAAAAGTAGAATAATATATATAATGTTATAAGATATACAAATATAATTTTACATGTCAAAAAGATGATGAGTTTGATATGCATTAGACATGTATCTTTATCTTCATGTGTTATTAGTATATTGGGTTAACATTCACAATCATTCAAATGTAATCTTAAACAAACTTCGCTATAGATTTGAAAAGACATTTATTTCTATATTCAATCAACATATTCCAGATTCAATGTTAATTATTTCTTGTTACACTTAATTGCATTAAGTCAAATCAGAAAAATATGCCTATCTTAAATAACTCAACCAAGGTTACATATTTGTACTCTAAAATTTTTAAATATTTATTTAATATTACACCTATTGTGCACAGTGATAAAATGTAATAATGTTTAGTTGAATAAAAATTATTCAAGAATGTTATTACATTTATATAATATTCTTTCTACTCACTTCAAAAAAAATCAATATGAAGTTCAATGATCATCACTTACTTGCACTTGTTTCAGACAGAGGTGCGTAAGCACTTTCTAGACCCACAAAGTTCAGCGCGGGCCGGAGAAAGTTATAGTTGAATAGGACGCCAAAATAGGGAAGTCGGAAGGTAAGGTCGCCCGGCGTGCTTACGAAAAGGTCCGAGATTCTTACAATAAGTCTGGGAAGGGCTACAGCAGGCTTGCAGGGTCCGTATAGATAAATGATTGAGGGGCAGCACCTTAGACAACAAGATAATCCGTTATTTCCCGACGCGCTTAAAGGCGCAACTCCTAGCGTACCTTCGATTTACGAAGAGTACGGCCGCTTAAGTTTGCTTCTCCGGCAGTTAGTAATAATATAATAGTAATAATAGTAGATTTAATATAATTCTTGGAATGGCTTTACAGTTGGAAGATAGATTTTGTCGCGAAACATAAAGCTTTTATGCGTTTCACTTATCGCACCGTAGATATTTATGCTATGGTTTGAATGGTTAACAAAAACAATTAATAAAAAATACGAATTATTAGATATGGCTAAAACTAAACAAATCAAGAATTTTACTTTTCATTTTGGACCTCAACATCCTGCTGCTCATGGTATTTGAGTAAATTTTTTGTCTATTTTATTGTATGAATGGAATTAAATTCATAAATTCTGATACATATTGTGCTCATATAAATTGAAAATTCCTAATTTATTTATTTTCAATTTCAAAATATATCATGAAAATATCCATATATATAAGCATATCAAAACTAAAATATCCACGCAATTGCAGATAATAAATTCCATCCAGATGTAACATCTAAAGTAAAACATAAATATGAATATTAAAATATGACTTGAATCAAATAATATCGAATAATGAATAAGTTATTTTACTATATTGAGCTTGCAATCATAATGTCTAACATTCCAATTTTTTATCTATATGACAATAATTATAATAATTTATTGTAAATCTATGACATTATTATGATTTTTAAGAATTACGTTCATAAACCTTACTTTTAAAGATTTTTTCATATTTAATTGTCATTATAGTATGTATCACAAAAAAATGAAAAAACCTTGATAGTATTTCAAATCTCTGTAATTATATCAATTTATGAATTATATTGTTAGAAAAACATATATTTAATTTTTATCAGATGTTAGAATAATATCAGCTATAAACTGAGTAAAATTTGTAAATTAGGATTTATTTAAAATTATATTAAAATTTTGTCTGAAAAATAAATCCAATTTGCAAATTTTCCCAAAAAAGTTAACATTTATTGATAAAATAGAAATGAAAACATCTACTCATTCAATATTTTTTACAAATTATAATATATTATTATTATAAGATAATTTCTCGCAAAGTATTCAATTCAGTGACTTATATGTATTTAAAATTTTTATTTTAATTTAAATAATAGAAATCTTTGAAAATAAAAATTTCATATTTTCATCTTTATTATGCTTATTTGATTTCATATAGATTAATTTGCATGAGTGGAAATTCTTTTCAAATTTTGAAAATGATTATGATTTTATAATGTACAAAATTGCATAAAGAAATGCATAGATTCATATTCTTCTTATGAACACAATACATAAATATACCTGATTCAGATTTTTTAGCTCATTACACATGATATCACAGAAAATGTGGATTAAACAGTTGTGTATCATATAAAAATTCCGGTGGAATTTTTTTAACATATGACGTCTAACTAATTACTTAAAAAATTTAATTATAGGTAAAAATAAAATTGATCAAAATTTAAGAGTTAATAAATAAATTGAATAAAACTTTTCAATATTTAAAAAAATGATTTTTAAAATTTTGATATTATTATGTCTAATTTATACTATTTAAAAATATTTACATTATATCATATAATATAACCCAATATTGAGACGTTTGAAACTTATCATTCATTATTATGAGATTAGTTTGGAGAATTTATATAAAAAATTTGTATACATACATACGCGTATGTATGTATGTATATTTGTTACATTTTGTAAAGATCCAAGTGCACAAATTTCACAAATAAACGATACATGTGTATATTTTTAAAATAACTATACATGAATTATATATGTATATTATTACATAATAGACATAAATTATGATTTAGATCATTTTTTAACAACATTTAAAAAAAATGTATATAATTATGTGAACAATGATATGCAATGTTGATGTGATTCACTTTACATCATTATGCAAAAGGATGGTAGTAACACATCATCACAAACTATTTATTTGCCCCGGCCTTGGATGTTCATAAGTATCAATATCAATCCATCCATCATATTGATCTGAATTTTTTTTTAATCTATTTAATACGATGTGCAGAAATTTTTTATTTGCTTTGAATGATATGTAGTTATTGGAAGATAGATCCATATAAAATTAATCCAAATATTAATTTTCAAAAAACATGATTACAGATATCATAGCTTTTCACTCATTTCTGATATCCAAGAAAATCCATAGCTTGCCATCAGCCTTATTCACAGGATTGAGAAACTAGAGATCACAATTACATATTCTCAACATGAAGTGATACATTCATCATTTATGCTATATCTCGAATGGATGTATTTCCATATATTCATAGTCCAATTGACTCAATTGGATGTCTTTATGAGAAAAGTCCACTTCATTATGACAACTAGCAGGGAACACATCTGAATCAGTCCTTCCGTGTATAAAATCTAGACATCATGAATATAATACCACGATATGGATCTGTGTCAGTGATAAAAGATAAATTTTCATAATGTTCCCTTGCCATTACTAGTCCTAAGCAAAAATAAACAGTAGTAAAGGCCTAGCATATTGGCTACACCGGTTGAGTTATTTTATTCCTCGATACCCTAACCCACTTGGTGCTATGTGGGTAGCATTTTCCTGTTCTACAAAAGTGCAACCTACATGGTAGTCCTTGCCACCACCGGACGAAACTCAATCAGATGGACTTACCATTGGGTGTAGTCAGTAAGCCCATCTGTCAAGTGCTAATGCAAAACATCCAGCATTCTCGTGTATAATAAGAAAGGAAGAAAAATATCTCGAGAGAGGCCCTGACTCTCTTTGTTCCATTATCGTTGTATAGGTTTTCTCTTCATTTTTGCCATTGTTCCATTTGCCGTGAGGTTGCATGAATTTGTTGATACAAGTAGTATGGAAGAATCGCATGTGGAATCTGGAGAATGGAGAGCTCGAGAAGTTTCAAAATCTGGCCGTTTGAGCCTTGTCGGTGGGACGCTTCTTCCATGAGGCAGTTTGTTCGTGGGGTGTCACAAGCTTACGGTGTTTCGTTGATGGAGGATGTCTGGGATGATACTGAAACTTTTTCCTGGCCTTCGATTTGTCGGACCACTGACTCATCGGAAACCTGTTGGGTGACAAATCTCGGATGACCTGCTTCACGAGGTTCGTCTGCCGTTCAAGCCAAGCTGGAAGTCTTGATCTTGCTCCTATCAGGTTGCTCAGAAGTTCCACGTCATCCAGCTGCAATGAGGTTTTCACATGAACAAGAGCTTTCTCAGGATAATGACTATACATATCCATCTTCTTCTTCCCAAGGACTTGAATCAAATTTGTGTATTCGTCTAATGTGTAGTCGTTGCCTTGCTGCAAACATCAAACATCAAATAGCATGTGTTACCGATCATGAGGAGCGAACCTGGATGACCGTAGAAGATTGACATTTGAGTATCTCCAAGTTCAGAAACTCATCTTCTTATAGAAGCAATTGTTTTGGTTCTACTCTCACAGAAACAGTGCTAGCGAGTTCTCCTTAATCTGACTTTTCATTATTTGTAATAAAAAACGCGTTGGATTTTTGAATTGAGAAGGATTTTATGAGGCCGTTTGATTCTCCAGCTTCAAAGATATCTATCATTTTGCAAGTATGTCGAGGTAGACCTCGACATACTTGCACGTAGCGAAGAGGGTATGGTGCGGACTAGCTTCACCTTCAATTTGTAAAATATGACAGTTTTCAGAATGAACCAGTGTTAATATCACAGTCTACACAGCAGAGGCCAGATCCTTCGCTTCAACTTCATCCCATTGCCAAACCAGACTTCATATCCAGTCTAACTTTCTACCTTGGACGGTTCAGAAAGTGGACTGAACGTGCTCGTGATGGAAAAGCGTGCTCTAACTCAGGGCGAAACAGAGTTAAGAATTTCTTACGTCCAACACACTACGGATGTCTTGTATCATGTAGAGCTCTGTCTTGGTTGGGTGCCGTCCATTAAGGTAAGCCATTTTGAGGAGTTCCTCAAACCAGCGACACTTCTCCATGTGGGCCCGGAGAGCATCCGCCCTACGAGGAGTAGCGGCTGGATCACATGCTATTTTAGGTCGATGAGATCCTCCACCCTAGAGACACCAAGAAGCAGTAGCTATGAGCAGGATTTAAACATCGAGTTTCTTTACTGAATACACCTTTTCTTGAAGAAGAATACTGGATCATATACAGCAACACTCGAAACTCTCTGAACAAAGACCTGTACCAATATCTATTCTGTACAGTGCAGTGCTCAAGAGATGCAATCGGAGGTGTAATCCACTCTGATGACAGGGTGAAGCGACAAGGCTGTGGTAAATAAAATACTCTGGTACACACAAAAGACAAATTTGCAGCCTTCTGAGAAATGGAAACTTCGACTAGAAGGTTCATGAAGCTTCAAGCATCAAGGACTATTTGTGTAGAAAGAAAATGTTGAAAAAAGATTCACTTTTTTCATACACGCAAAAAAATTGGCTACAGCATATCACAGGAAGATAATAAAAAATTTCTTCAAAGTGGATATATGAACGAAGAGTAACAAGCAACAATTCAATACACACTTGAGTTCATGTATTGACAACCTTCAATGTAAACTCGTGGGCAAAATGATAGGGCCGGGCAGTCTCCATGGCCCTCAACGAGTTAACAAGTTTTGTGTTCAGGTCGTGCTGCATTGCACGAAAGCTTGCCTTCGTCTCCAATATACTCTCTAGTTGTCTCAGACTTGTGTCCTCGCAAGCTTTTAAAGGGAACCCATTCGTTCCGAATGTGGCAGCCTGTTGTAGCTCTCCCTCTGAAATTTCCAGTTCAGGGGATTTCGCCCTACAGCAAGTCTTCAAAGATTGGTGTTAGCACTAGTGCTTCATTCACATATTAACTAGCCTGCCCACGTTAGTGTACCATTCTCCTGGTACGCTAATGTGGAGCAGGGGTTAATTTGCATGGAGCTCCATGCATGAAATGCAGCGAGCATCTTGTGTTAATGAGCAGGTTTGTATTGTGCATAGTGCAAAATCAACACTGCATTTTGTTGGAGCTTCATAGTTTGAATTTCTCAACTATCTGGGGAAAGGTGATTATAACCCTCAAAGTGTAATTGGTACCTAAGGAGGTGTGTATCATGACACGTGTTTACGTATATTTTCAGAGTTCATTGGTCACTATCAAACCTGAGGCTCAACTGAAAATCCTAATTTCAAGGTGGACGATGGCTGCCAACACCTACCCAAGTGCTGAAGTAAATGATGAATCAGCTAACATACTCGTCCTGCCGTAGAGACCCAGGGACTTTTTTTGTCATTTCCTGCCCGGTATATGATCACCCTTCGACTCACTACGATTGTGTCATGAGCAATGAGCTGGAGTTGGGCAGTCGGTGTATATGGTCGAAGCGTGGGTCATCAAATGACCCATATGATACCCCAATATTACTCAAATGTGCTGGGGAGGAGTGGTGCAAACCTTTGAGATGCCAGCCTTTCTCTGTATGTAGATTCATCTCTGTAGGCAGAAAGTATCTCCTGATTGAAGCTAAGCTGTTCGTCCAAGTCGAACTTTGGGAGGGACTTTAGTGGCAAAGGTGGTATGAATGGTTTTGCCACTGACGCACGCTTAGAGTGCTGCCTTTTATTGAACCCGGACACGAAACTCAGATGCCTGGTCTCTTGTGGCACAGCAGAGTCATCGCTAAATCTTCCCCGTGCTGTATTCGTGTTCTGGAGAAAGTACTTCCCTGTCCTACTCCCACACATCGAACGTCATAATCCGAAAGGCTTATCTACAAGATGCTGAAGAAAACTTCCTTAAATAACCCTCATTAGAAATTCGATGCAGTTTCTAGAACTTAGAGATACATGCTTCAAGGGTGCGGCAGAAGCATTGTGCTCAGGAAAAGGAACGAACAGTCGCATGTGACGTTCCTTAAACACGAGAGAACTATCTCTGTGAGCTGACATCCAATTTACCAGTTGTAAGATAAAGTGTTGTCAGGACCTTACTTGCAGTTAACACGCCGTTTCTCCGAATTTACAATTTCTTGATACAAATAATTGAACCCACTGTCGAGCGAAACCTGACTGGCCGTTGATGTTGTTCCACACCAGCGTCCACCGCTCCAATAAGCTGCTCTTAACTCCAAGGGAAGCACCATGGGTTGGCCTCCCAGATTTGAACATATCTCACCAACAGGCTCCGCAGTTGTGAACTTCTCCCGTTTGGCGAACTGGAAGGTTTTCGGTAGTAATGAGTCATCCCTTTTGAGGTCAGGAGTTCCTGTTTTATTCATCTCGTTTATAAAGCTGAAATTTGGCTTTCTCGGGCTAGAACTGAAATGTCTGAATCTATACAGATATTCGGGAAAAGTGCATTCGCAAGATTTGCTAGATATGAAAATATGACTCATTACAAATGACAAACATAATATTCAGTGTGACTGGCATGAGGAAGAGGAAATCTATGAGAAACCCATCTGGAGCACCAAAATTGTGGCCTCGTGAAGTGTAGTGTGTAAATGCCCCAAGCTGACAATGTTTACTGTCTTTGACTTGAGCAGAGTTCAATGACCTTGGATCTTGACTCAACACTGAAAGCCGAGGTTCCGGCTGTTCGAGTATTACGAAGCTATTCCAGTGCACATCCCCTTAATATTAACAGACTGAAAACGCTACAAAGTGACACTTGGTTATGTGGAATTCACGAGTGAGTTTATGTGCTCACCAAGAAATCTGTATGGCACGATATAAGGTCCTCGCCCTATACCCTTTCCCACTTTAAGCTGGCGCTCATAGAGAGCTTTCAGGCCTTCTCTGCTGATTGTTTCCAATCGTATGTCCTCCTTGTCTTGCGAGTCTTGCTCCCGTTCTTCTGATGGAGTCTCAAGTTGACTTCGAATTAGAGACATCCTATGAAGTATAGACTTTTTTTGTGCAAGAGATTGTCCTCTTTGCAGTAAACTCTTCCTCTCCTCCGCATCGCGTTGGTATTTACTCTGCCTTTTGTACAACCTTTTTCTCGATAAGTTGGACTCCAACATCAACTGCTCTTCATTCTCGTTCACAATTTTGTCATAGTAATTCGGCTCTTCATCGTCAGTAGCTCCCATCACTTCGAGGAGTGCCGCCTGAATTTCGGCTTGCGTGTGACTCCATCCAAATTCTCCTGTCCTCACCTCCATTGCGCTTATTTATTTATCGGAAGCTCCTGCTCAAATTAAGTTTACTTCGACATGCCTTGATTACCGTTTATTCCAGTAAAGCCAACCCCGAAGCAGAGGTGAACATGTAGGAGTCTTATAACACCTCCTGCAAATCACCTTCAGGAGATGGGCAAAATGTGTGCCAGTTGACAGAGTTCTGACATGGAAAAACCTGAACTTCCACTCGACAGTACCGTCCACGAGTACTGATCTACCGCATCCATCTTGCACCGAGCAAATTACACCTTGCTTTCAGGAAATTATGTCTCTCGATCTTGACTTCATTGACACCTACATGCACCTGTGGCGGGCTAGAGTGTTTCATCAGTTTCGTTACTGCTACAATCAAGTGCAACAGTACAAATAGATACCGTCATGGTTAATCAAGGAAGAGCACAACGCAAAACCTAGCCATTGAGCAGTTCAAAGTACCGATGATTCATTTCCTTAGCTTGCTTCCAACGTGCATTCTGCCATGCTCTTGTGAAAATTGATTCTGCTTCCTTGAGTTCCATTGACATAAAGAGAAGCATGCTTTCTACGTGGAAGTACCGTGGAGATTGGAAGTTCGAAGTGCCGAAGACAACTTCACTAGATAACCTCGGTGATAATAAACGCACACAGAGTATTCTCTTGTCGGTTGAAGCTTCGTTCAGCAGGAGTGTTCAGCATTCTTGTTCTTGTGTGGATAATAAATAAGAAAACAAACTCTCGAACACATATGAAGGAAATTTCAGCCTCTAAAGAACGGTGAATAAGATGAACTTGGAGACTTGGAACTTGCAGATGGAATGCAAAGATTACATGCATAATCCAAGTTCATAAAGTTCCGAAAGAGGAGATTAAACGATGATCCGACATACAGAACGCATCCACAGAGAAGCGACTGATTTTGAGACAAAGATTATGCAGCTAAGATGCAAGCAATAAGCAAAGTCCAACCAGACTGCACCGAACCCTAAGACTCAAGTTCGAAAGTTAGTATGCAGTTATTTACTCTCCAGCCTTATGATCAGGAGCTGTTTCAGTCTTCGGGCTTCATTAAAGCACTGCTGGTGATCATAAGCCTGAAGAATAACGCCAACTTCTCATACGAGTTCCAGACATGACGGGTTTACGAGGCACAACTGTTTCGTCATCAGGCCTTAGCGCAAAGTTTATTCGAGGTAACAGCAATGTGTAAAAAATTCAAGAGACTGGTCATCCACGAATGAAAAATTGTACTCAGCATTGCGTGCCTACTATAGCCTGAAGACCATTTGTCCGGCGCTCTGGCGAATGTAGAGATCTTTGGAGAAGACATACATGGAGAAACGATAAGAAAATAATTGACGGGAAGCTTCCTAATGTGACGTCGGAGTTAGTTGTTAAGATTAGGAGAAGTTTAAAAAGTCTCGAAGGCTTCCTTCACAACAACACATGAATCTGGAATGAGCTCTTGCAATCCTGGTGGTAATCGTATTTAGGGCTCAAGCATCAACATCAGCCTATCGGAAGTGCGCAGAAAGTTTGCCTTGTCAGCAATCTTGACGGTCGCACAATTGCTCTTTCCATACACGCTTCGTCGTATGAAACAAATTTCCCTTCCTTCACCTTCCCTTCTCAGAAGTCTCCGGCATCATCAACTACAACAGTCTCCAACAATAATCCGAAATTTACTCACTCAATGCTCGTTCCCAGAGAACCACTTCCCTTCTTATCCGCTCCGCTCGTTGCTCACGTTGTCGACAAACAGATTGATGAAAGATGAAATGAAAGAATGTCCCTTTGGTGGCACAGTATTAAAGGAGATGGTCGATGAATGGTAGGTCAGGAAGCAGGTTAGGTTGCAGGGTTGGAACCGAAGCCAGCCAGGCAAGAAAACAAAGCAGAGGTCGTCTGCTTTGCCTTCCCCGACGCGGAGCTTTTCCGCCTCGTGGGTTTGCGCACGAGAAGAACATCGGAAAAGTTGTTCGCTCCCGGTCTCGATCTTTAACATCTTCTACGTTGTAGGTGAAGATCGAAACTCCATCTTCATGGAATCTCTGCACCTGACAGGGCCGTTGGCTGCTCTAGCAAGCGAGCCCAAATTGAGGTACTGAACTCGTTGTGATTTAATGGCCCCCTCTCTCCTTTGTGTTTCTGTTTTCGTTTGTTGTTTGTTTCACTTCCTGCAACAGAAGTCTGTCTTTTGAGTTTCTATCTGAAATTACTTTTCCGTCGGGATATTCTGTGGTGCCTCTTGATTTGGTTGAATTCGTTGTGCTCGAATTTCTTCGGTTTTAGATTTTCAGAATAGTGTCGATTGCTTGTGGAAGTTTTCGATAGAAGCACCGTGCAGAACTAGTGTTCCTGCTTGGGTCCAGAGGTTTACACGAGGTGCATGGTGAGGTCAATGAACTCAAACTTTGCCATTGATGACACAGAACCGCCTCAAGTAATGTCTTCCTCCAGGTGACTTTGAAGAGTTCTCATACCTCGTTGCCGATGTCGTGCTGTGCAGTGCCAAACTTTCGAAATACGTCGTTACACCGTACACGTGCACTAAAATTGCAGTGGCGAGCTTTGTCGTGGGAGTATTTGTGGGATTCAGACTAAAAAAGTCTATTCGCAGAATGGCAGAACAGCTACTGAAAAAACTTAGAGACGGTGATTGATCTTTCTTGATATAATACGCGAACCATGACATTGATTTCATTCAAGTGCGTCTAGCATCGCCGTCCTCAACAAAATTGGCATTTCTTGACATATGCCTGCTCAAGGCCATCCCTAGACCACCAAGTGCCACAGTTGGATGGAGCGAACGATCTTGCGGAAGATTACATTGCAAAAGAACAAGCTGGTAGTTTCTGCCCTGTTCACCTGATCGATCAATGCACGTTCTATGAGACACAGAAAGGGTAGAACTCATGAATCAAGACACCAAAATCGAATATCGTTGAAATCTGACTTTGATGGTCCAAAGTTGTGGTACAGATGGATGTGTGAGGCACGAAATTTGTGTTACAAATTCATGATATTCCTCGTGGAATGAAATGTTGAGAGCTATTTTATTGACCTCTGGGAGGGGTTTAAATGTGTAGGTGACAGACAATGTTCTGGATCTCCGATTTGGAGCTGTACTGGCTAATTACTTATCCACATCCGGCCATTTTCACCAATTTTCAAGTCAGTATATGTAGTCATGGACTGCTAGGATTTGTCATGCAGCATTTACGGTTCGCCATTGTTTCTTCTTGGCTGTGCATGTCTGAAAAAAAGGGAGCTAACAGGAGAAGAAGCGAAGATGTGCACATTGTTCTTCATTCTTCTTCTCCAGTCGGCTCGATATAATTACACAACTGGCTTCGAACTGGAATATCGTGGGACAATCTTCTGCAGACGATCGTATTTTGATACAGGCGTGCAGAACCGTTCACTGGGAGATATTCAGGACTTAAGCATATGAATACGAGCACATGCCAACATGAAAGAACCTTACCCGTGATCCCCCATCGATCCGCCAGCGCAAGCAAAGGTACCAAAAAAGTTCAGCACTCTTCTTGGTCCCAGATTGCTGGAGGTAATGAGAGAAAGCCTAGCCTCAGCTTGGTTAAAGAGGCCCCTATCCATCACATCCTATGTCGGTATGATGCAAAAAGTTTCCAAAACTACTTCTTTTCCTTCTTTTGCCGAATGTAGCTACATCCAGGCGAAAGGTAACAGATAAAGCTAATTATTCTCCTAAGTCCTTATCTCTAGTAGTGCACTTTTTATGCAGCCTGAGCACTGGTGCGCTGTTTGTAATTTACTCATGCGATTAAGGGCTATTAGGTCCGTAGCAAGCGTCACAAATCGAGGCCAAATGCTTCTCAATCTATGATGTACAAAGTACTGACTACAATATGCCGAAGATAGACATGTACGTTGATGTATTAATGGCCGGGTAGCTCCATTCACCTCAAAGGCTGAGAAATAATAACTTGGGCTTCCCTTTGTGCTCAGTACTCGAGGTACTCTCTTGGTATCAGCGTCCATTTTAATGCTAGCAAGCATTAAAATTTTCGAGATTGTTTGAGATCAATTTGAAGGAGAAGGAGAAGGAGACCGAAGAGCATATTTATAGGAGGTACAACTCATTAACCGATGAATGGTAACTGTGAAGCAGTAGAATACAAACTGGTATAACACGGAATACCATCCAAGTGAAGTAAATTTCAAACTGGCATAACACGGAGTATTATCCAAGTGAAGTAAAGGACGGATGTAAAGGGCAGCTTGGAGGTGGGTTGCGAAAATGGTAGCAGGCATCAACCATCCATATGATAATGTGATTAAAAGCGAGATAAAGTGAAACATGGTTACTGACCAAGCAAGATAAGCGATCATGCCAGGACAAAACAATGTGCGGTGAGGTTCTGCAAATCCACTGTGAGAAAATGAATCAGCGTCCTTTCACAACACCTATCCGAAGGGATCATCCCATAGTTACATGATCCGGCTGCTTCATTCCGTACTTTACTTCACGACTATACTATTTCTCAATTGCCTCCTATAAACATGAATACTTAGTATGGACAGTGGCTCATCTCACAAAGACTTTCAGTGATTTCCGACTGATAATGGTGACGACTATTCGATAAAATTCTTGCATAGTAAGATTTGTGAGTTCATTAAGCAATTCAATCTTTGCTGAATGACTAACTTAAACGCGTGATGGAATGTCCTATAATTTATGATGAGCTTCTGTATAAAAAATCATGCAAATTACAATGGGCATGAGAATGAATTTAATCCGAGTACAGAAGTTCACTGCAGTTCAATATGAGCCTATTATATTATCGTATTAAAATATTTATCATTCTAGTATATAGCTCTATTCTGCAACATCAAAACATATGGGACAGTGAATGTCTATCCAAAGAGTAGTTACAATAGGTAATTTTAGTATCTACATGAAGTCTACATATGTTGGTGATGAGCATGTAACAATGTAACAATAATCCGGGTTGAGGATCCGTGATGGTAAACTTTGTAACATATTTCTTCCACTCGAAGACAAGTTGTACTTATGAATCAGTGGTGTAAACTATGGGGAAACAATGTCAGACATAGATTACGTGCAGTGGGTTCCCGGACGAAAATAACTTTGTCTCCAACTGTTTCGATCAAATTTATTTTTTTGGTGGCCTACATGAATAGATCTTGAAGGCGTTAGTGTGTTGGGAATCCATCGCACATCAGCTACGTCGGCTAATAGTGGCTTCATGGGTCAATCACCGAAATCACTCTCAAGCTGCCAGCCCCGAGGGCGTGTAACCTAGCCCGAGTCGCGGCTTTAAGCCTTAAAGCCTTAAAGTTCAAGGTAAGTCGGGGCCCAGCGCGTACGAATTATGGGGTCTGCCCGTCCTCTTCTCTCTATATATATTACTGTACTCGGCTCCTCTGAAAGACAAAACAGAAAAGTTAAAATTCAAGGCTGTCGGAAAGATGGGGCGAAGAATGTTGAAGATGGACTCCCTAAGGTTGAAAAATCGTCCGTCAGTCTGGCGGTACGTCCTTGTGACCAGCAGTTTCCACGAGCTTCTGCAAGGCAGCTCTGGTGGGGGCCACCAGAAGTCGTCTCGGGCACGGTTTCCTCAAAATCAAAAAATTATGGCAGCGACCGAACTCCTCCTCCTCTTCCTTTCAGAGCTTCGCCTTGCCGTGCCTTGCGCTGCCCTGCCCTGCGATGCCTCTGCCCGCTGCCATGCCGGGGCTCGAGATCGCTCTGCTTCGCTGGTGCTGGGGCTGGGCCGCGGGGGCCGCCGGGCGCGGGCGCGGGCGGTGACTGCAATTCTACATCTTCTCCTCCCCCCCTTCTCCGCACAACACAACAACAGCGCAAGGGAGTCCGACTCGACTTCCGCCCGAGTTTGCTTCACGCCACTCCTGAGCCACACGTTCGCTCCTTCCTTCGCTGTCAGTTTCTCTTCTCCTGCCGTCCTCTGTCGCTCATTCTTTCATTCTCTCATTCATTCATTCTTTCATTCTTCCGTCCTTCCCTTCGTTCTTTCGTTGACTGTGTTCGTTCTCCTTGTACAGCGAGTTTCGTTTCGTTTTGTTTCGTGGGTGTTCTGATGTTACTGGATTTGCGGGGCTTGTGCGGAGGAGTACGATAGTGCAGCAGCGGCAGCAGCAGGCGAGGGGGCCGATGATGTAGGTTTGGGTTCTGTGGTGGCGTAGGTGGTGTAGAGTAGTGGCAATTGACAAAAGGCTTTTACCGCAGATTTCACCGCACGGCTTCTCGGGTGCTTGCTGGAAGATGTAAGGTGGCTACGGTCTCCTCTGTCGTCGGTTAGTTTCTGGAATTTCTACGATGGGGCATGTGCTGATTCCCTGCTAGGTTGGGAGATGGATGCGCGTTGATGGTCTTGCGGAATTTGTCACGAGGGTTTTCTTAGATTTGGCACAATTGCCTCCGCGCCGCTACTCTTCGGACATCGTGCTTACACGGTAATCGTCGCTGGCCTGTTTCCGTTTGAATTCTGAAGATCTTGATGAAGAACTGCTAGGTGGTGGGCGGTGGATTGAAGACTGACCACTAAGGATTTGCTGGGTCGGTGCGGCGGGTTTGACTGGGTCGGGGTCGCTCTCAGACCCCAACGCTGTATGAGGACGTGTAATCTTGTCTCGAGATCAGGAACTTTGGAGTGTTGCATTTGTTGTGGTTTCTTTTCTCCGAGGTCTGCGAATTTGGCGAATTGCGGATACTAATTCGCGAGCGTGCCCAATTTGTCTGCGACAGTGGTTCCCTATGGAGGAGAATGAGTACAACGGTCTCTGCCGGACAGATAACGTCGAAGAGGAGAAATATCCTGAGAAAAGTGGTCGATACAAGGGTGTCATTCGTGATGAGAAACCCACTTGTGCTGTCTGTATGGAAGTTCTAGGAACTCATGGTGGGCCTGCATCTCTCGCCTGCGGCCACAATGGATGTCTCGAGTGCTTACAACAGGTTAGTCTTGTTTGCCTTTGTTTGTCGTTGTTTGGCTTTTCGGTCATTTAGCAGTGCTGTAAGTCGCTTTTTTGTGCATGAATCCTCGTGGCCTCCCCTATCTTTGTTCCTTGCGCTTTTGCCTAGCAGGTTCTTAAGATGATGACTTGATGTAGGGCTTTTAGCCTGGCGTTCTTGAGGCTGAATTGCTTGGCCTGCAGGTCCAGATGCACTCGAACATGCCTGTCTGTCCTCTTTGTCGTACACCCTTTGATGGAGATATCAATTTGGCCCCGAACTTAGACTTACGGGCTGCACTCGAGTGTGCCGAACAAGCCGCCGCAGCTGCGCGAGCTGCCGAGGATCGGAGGATGGTTGCTGTGTACAATTCTAAGCAGATTGTGAAGCCGAGCAGAGATAAAACCACCAGGTCTCACCAACAGCGATTCATCTATGATTTGCCCTATCCTGAGGAAACAGGACCTTGGATTCCGGTGTCAATTCCGCCCAAGGGCTCGAAGGACTTTGATGGGCCTGACATGGGCAGTATATATGGAGATGTTTTTCCGGAACCCTTGATGACAGTGGGTGTCCGACAAGGGGCTCCGGACATCAACCTTTGGAATGTTTTGAGTGGATTTCTTGCAATCATATCGGGAAGGGGTGGTACACAAAGCCAGAATTTCCACTCACAGTCCGGTTATTCTGATAGTAGAACATCTACGTACTACCGAGAAAGTTCTGGTCATGGAAGATCTAACAGCAATTCATGGAGTGGGAATTTACACAGGCCAAGTGCACCTCCACTGCTCCTTGGCACTAATGATTCCGATGTCAGCCTCATACGAGCTATTCTCGAAGCAGAGCCCCCGGACTGGATGCCTGACAGTTCGGCCCTTTCCTGTATGCTCTGTGGCGCTGCCTTTAGGGCAATAACTTGTGGAAGACATCATTGTCGGTTCTGCGGGGGAATTTTTTGTAGGAGATGCTCTTCCGGGAGATGTCTTTTACCTGTGAAGTTCCGGGACAGAGACCCGAAAAGAGTTTGCGATACCTGCTGGGAGAGACTGGAACCTGTACAGAAGAATCTTGCCGACCGAGTTAGTAATGCAGCACAAATCGCTCTACATGATGTGACTGACTTCAGCTGTATGACAGCATGGATAAACAGTCCACTTGGGCTTTCGATGGAGCAAGAAATTTTTAAGGCAACAAATGCCTTGCGTAGCTATTTGGAGGTAGGTCATTGGCTGTCATACTTTCTTAGACAATGTCCGTGGCTACTTCTGTCAGTAGTTTATCGTGTTGCTGGTGGGGTCGTACAATTGTCTATCAGACTGACCAGGAGTGTAAGTTTTGCAGATTGGAGTACTCAAACCAGAAAGATCCATCCCCGACGCTGTTCTGAAAGGAGCCTGTGGCTTGGCAATCATCACAGTGTTCAAGGCCGGGTTTATGATGACCTACAAATTTGGTACGGGATTGGTTGTTTCACGGAGGAGAGATGGGTCCTGGTCTGCACCATCAGCTATCGCATCGTGTGGTCTGGGATGGGGAGCTCAGGTTCTCACTATCCTACTATCTCGCGTCTGTTTTATCTATTTTGTTTTGTTTTTAGTTTGTCTCTATGGATAACCTTCAGATGCATGAGTGAAATCTATATCGGTTGGTGAGTTTCTTGCATATTGAATGTGATTATTCCTCTAGTTCGTGAGCTCTTATCACAGTTTTATTACATTGTTGTTTATCATTGTCATGAAATGATAAACAAGAACGTAATGACCTATTTCATTCCCTCTTCCCCATTGGAGCTACTCTGAAGACAACTTACAGAAGAATCGTTTCATCTTGCAAGCCTTCAGTGCAACTTCGGGTTTTTCGCCTGTATTTTTGTCGCCTCCTCATTGGTGGTTGTATTCTGTGCCAGGCTGGTGGGGAGCTGACTGATTTCATCATAGTCCTAAGGACAGAAGAAGCTGTGAAGGCCTTTAGTGGGAGAGTACATTTGTCAGTTGGTGCCGGCCTAAGCGTCGCTGCCGGACCTGTTGGAAGAGCTGCGGAAGCAGATCTTAGAGCTGGTGATGGGGGTACTGCAGCTTGTTACACTTACAGTCGAAGCAAAGGCAAGATCATGAACTTATAAACATTGACGCTTGATTTCACAATTTGATTCTTTGTTGTTTAATGTTGACAATATTTAAGATGTCGCGACAAGTCGAGTATTTAAGATGTCGTATTCGAGTTTGCTTCGCTTATTCGATCGAGAATAAAATGTCGTATCTTCTCTGGTTGATTGCTTTTTTCTTCCCAGTTTGCGCGTCAAGTTGTGTTCACCGTGGAGAACCCTTGGTTCGAGTTTAGTTGTTTATTACAGTCTGCAGGTAGACCGTCTATCTCTTAACATATCTTTTCGTTATTCACAGGAGCGTTCGTCGGATGTTCAATCGAAGGCAATGTTGTGGCGACACGGTCCTCCGCCAACATGCGCTTTTATGGAGAATCTGGTGTCACTGCAGTCGACATTCTTCTTGGAGACGTTCCAAGACCTCGGGCTGCAGCTCCGCTTTATAGTGCTTTGGATGAACTTTTTGTAAAGGTGGACACATAGTTCATGATTGGAATGAAGGGCATAGTTTTAGAATCTTTCGTTCTGTGTAGATAGCAACTCGTCTGATGACGAAAATATATTTCAATTTGATTGTACATAAGTGACCAATTCTTCAACGTATGTATATAATGGGTGGTGTTATGGCTCTACTGGCTTTAGGGCAAAGCAGTCTGTCAGGCCACAAGCTGTGTCGGCCTGAAATATAGCGACCAGGTAACCAAAGCAGGGCAATTAAGTCCTGAGTTTCCCACCTACTTTGCTCGACACCGCTGATGAGGTGCTTGTACCCTGGGTTTGCTTCAATTCACATCCACACCATGAATACGCTGTCTGAATGGCTGGGACGGCCTGCCCGGTCCTCGGCGCGCTTGATTTGTTTGAATGTATCGTACTTGTAGGAGTCTTCGAAGAGCATGAGCGCAGAGATAGTATGCCTCGATAATCCAAGATAAGCGGGTTTCCTCGGTGGGATGATGAAGTTTTGTCGTCACTCCCTTGACCCCTGAGGATTCGATTTTTCTTCTGGAAACTGGCTTGTCTTCGACGATGTTAAGGCTTCTTAGGGAATGCCTGCACTTTTTAATAGTAGGAAATCTTAGGAATAATGTGTTTAGCCGATGCTGAAAGGAAGAAAAAACGATGGAGTTGAGAAGCGAGAGGTTTGATTTGCAGGACCTTAGGAAGGTTTTGACGTTGGGGTCACGAATTTCCAGTGCGCTTCTTGGAGCCGATGCTCAATTTCTCCTGCTGAGTTCGGAGGAGGTCAATGCTTCTCTTTCGCTTTTGCGATGGCCGCTTTCACTTCCATGCTATGCCTCTCGTGCTCCAAGAATAATGTCATTCTCGTACGACGCTTCTCCTTGACAAGAGCAGCTGTCCAGAGGCGAAACACATACATGTCAGTATCAGCAGTCGATCTCTCCAACCTCATGACGATGATTCTCACAGAAACTGTCATCTAAGCGTACGAGCAGACCACTTACTAGCCCGGAATGAAAGCTCCCTCCGCGCCTGATAGTTTCTGGTATACTCGCCGAGTTTCTCTTCGACATTCTTCCGAGCATCTGCTTCCAACAAAATGATTGACGAAAGTACATTAAGGCCACGAGGACACAAGGGAGATGAACTCTAGAAAGTACGAGCAAAGCTGGGATCAGCTTCTACAGCCTCTGCTCAAGAAGCAGTGCAGACTTGTGGGTCCCCATGTCGGTCGGATTGACCAGTTACTTTCACAAGGCATCAATGCCGATGATTGGCAGGAGAGAATGTTTACTCTGGTATCCGAGGCCTTCGGGAATTTCAGTTGACCTCCGCCTGTCAAACCGTATCCCATGTCCGGCCACGAACAAACCATCTCCTTCCGATTTGCGAGCCTTTGCTTTGTCCTTCTCCTTCATCGCTAGTGTTTCTCTCCTCGCGCGTAAGGAGCCTGGAGTTTGCAAAGAGAACCATAATCTCAATAACAAGCTCTTGCAAGGTCTTCGAGATAACAAAACTCATGGATACCACAAATGAAAGTATCGGAAAGAAACCCAGTGGCTGAGATTCACTGATGCGGAATGCAATTTACGATTATCACGAGCTGAATTGTCTAATTCCAAGCGAACCATGCACACGGCGGAAAGCAATCCTAAGTTCCAGCGGAAGTCGTCGCGCGATGACATGAGATTTTGATCCTCGCTGAAACGTGTCGATCGAACTTCTGATTAGAAAATTGACAATGTTCTGACATGCGGACGGACGAGACGTCTTGGCTCCTGACAGTACACGAGACGGACTGCAAATGGCCACCTTCATGCTCCAACCTTTCGGTCGTTGGTGAGCATGGTTGGCCCGAGACAGACGGATTGTAAAGCCTGACGAGGTGGAGCCAGAATCATTCGTACCTCCAAGATAGTAGGATTTCGAGAGTGGGCGCTGCTTGATGTGGAGGTTAAACGGAGGGAGTAAAACTGGCGGCGGGATCTTCTCCACTTTGTTGGTCCGAGGTTTGCGAAAGTCCACTTTTTTGGCCATCTGTCGTTGGTGGTGCGAATCGACCACGTCCGTCACCAGATTCAGCAATGTGTGAGCCTGAGTCGCCAGAAAGCATTCTCGTGGCGGTCGTATGTCGATAATTGGATCCCTCCTCTGCACGCCTGTTGTCAAACATAAGAGAAATTGTATATCCTGCACTTACTTATTCAACCTCGAGCACCATTCTCTCCCAAGCCCTCTCCAGTTTCCTTAACTTAGATTCCAAAATTCAGAATATGACATCATTCTTTTCACAGCCTCTTGGCTCTAGGATTCACAATCTTGGCAGAAAAACACAGAACGCGGTTCACTTTAGGATCTCTTGAATGAAATTGGGGACAGCTTTTTGTGACCTGTCATCGATTTGTTCAGATCGGATCTCACAGAAGGGAAGGCACATTGCATCGCAGGAAGAGAGGGAGAGATCTATCTAGGGTCATAGCGAGGAGTGTATGATCGGGAGTGTTGCTGCGGGAGAATTCTAACCGACAGTGGAACCGTAAGTGCTACGTCTGTAGGCCATTTGCCTGCCGTAGCTCTCGTTGGACAAATCGCGAGGCTTCTCGTCCTGTTTGTTGAGGACTTTGTGGGCTCTCTGGAGAGTGGTCTGCGTTTTCAAAAGCAAGGCGTCGATTTCTTGTTTCCTTCGTCTCGCTGGAGTGCACTGATGCCTCGCAAGTGGTTTCCAAGGCGAGTGCTGGATGTCGAAGGGACTGGACTGCTGCGTTCTGATGACTGCTGGCCTCCAACACCCATTTTCCATCAATCGTGCCACTCATCACCTCCATCAATACAATACTCATTCTGCAGGCTGAAGAACCTCATCAAATTCGCTCGTTTCATGATCTGGAGGCGTTGTATTGGCATTCATGGCTCTCTCCTTTATTTTCCCCTCGTGCTATTGAGGTCTCGTTCACTTGTGTCGTTCTGTGGATTATGCGGTGAAACATTGGTGGACTCCACAACTCATGCAATAGCAGTCCATCAAACATTCGTCCGGGGAATTTTGACGTCTGAGCATCAGACCATTCGATCGCCGTGATTGCAAGCTGAGCAGAGGGAAATTTTCCAACTTTTCACATTGAATATGTTGAATCCGCTTCGATGTTTATAACCACGTCATATGAACTGGAAGGGTGAAACGCTGATCACGTTGGCGCCACTTGCCGTGGTTTTTCCATGCTGCTGATTCCGTTAGGGCAAAAGTTTCTCGTCTCCATCGTCTTCGAATAGAGAAAGTTTGTGCATCAATCTTTACAAATTCCGACGTCAAATCGCACGCAGTAGCAACTCCAGGTCTTGAAAGATCTGCGAGGACTTTGAGGAGTTTCGCCCGATGAGCTGCTCATCTGTCAGAGACGGACTGGGAGAAAAATCACAAGAAACATGCCAATCTCTATTCTGTTTCATTCTGTTTCATTCGTGCTACAATCGATAGTGCTCGTGAAGAATTGCCAGTTTCGAAATCGGAGATTGGGAAACTCTATCAGGGCAATTCACGTCGAGAATTCTGGATGAGCTCTTGTCTGCAATTTCTTGTTAGAACCCGCCCTGCCAACGAAGGAGCTCCGAATTGTCCCGTTTACAGTTTCTACCAGCATGAGCAAGAGCCAATAGAGCAGATATGCATTTCAGATTGAGCAAACTCGTAACCAACCGACCATACGAGTCAAAGTTCAAGCTGTATCGATAATCTGTTTTCTTCAGAAAACTGCCTGAATTTCAGGCTTCGACTCTGAACGAACTTCCATGGGTACAAACTTTCGTAGCAGCCACTGGGGGTTACAAACTAGACGGGGACGCTCAGTGATTACTAGTGCAAGTCCAAGCCCATCCTCACCGTAGACAGTAATTAAACACAAGGCCCCCTTTACATTTGTTCTGTACACTGACGTTCTGGTGCAACAAGTGACAGTATCTCTTTTAAAAGACCTGCGCAGTGAATGGCCAGATATAACTGATACGCACCGCTCATGTTAGCTGTACTGATCAGTTAAGGCACCGGATTTCGACACTGTTAGGATAAGTTTGTTAAGTTTTTAAAAAGTGGAATTTCTCGAGAACGACTGATCAATTGCATCAGATATCAGATCCGTGAACTCTGGTAGCGTAACGGATACATCTATTATTCAGCCGACTAACGAACGTCCTGTTTGATGAAGTTCATGGTTTGGGTCACCTTTGGATTCGAATTCTTTATCATACCCAGCATGTAGTCGTAGAATTGAGAGCGAAAAGGTGAAATGCTGAACTTTGAGGCCCATTCTTCAGGATGGATCATGGGATGAAGCTGTAGAGAAATTTCTGGACAATGCATGCTTCTGGACGCGGACTTGACCGTAGACATGAAGCTAGGTTGGAATTCTTACTCTTTACGCATTCATACTTTACCAGCAGTCTCCATCAAGAAGGCTCACCGCTCGAGATTGGAATTTTTTTCTTCAAGCCTCAGTCAGTGCAACACACAGCGAAGATACATGTGCAAACACACGAAGAAGTCTAGATTGTAGTCCTGAGCTGGATGTCCGAGAAAAAAGTTGTAACTATCTCATTCCAGAATTCGAATATTCAATCGCCTCATCCACACTGAATGTAAAATCATATGAAAAAGGTCGTATCTTTCAGGTGGCTGGTTCAGAAGAAAATGTTTGCGAATCTCCTTGACTCTATCCTGCATTCTTACGAGTGTCTCCATAGGCACAGCTTCTAGAAGCTCCTTCAATTTAGGAATATCCTCCTCCAGGACTTGCAGAGAGAATGCAGTCCAGTCCAGGACATCGCTAAAAGGCAAAACAAACCTATCGGCTATGATCACTGGAATACAGTCATTGTATATAGCTTCCACCAAGCGTGGACTATTGACTTCGTAACCTCCCGGGCAGATGCAAAACTTGCTATTCTTCATGTATTCATGATACGTTATCCCTCTAGCAGGCAATCTGTGGCGGACAACTATATCAGAATCCTTCCGCTCCCAATATTTGAATAGTTGTGGACGAACGGGTCCATGTTCTGCTCCAGCAAAGAAAGCAAGGAAGGTCCTTTTTGACACTGGAAGCCCTCCTAAATCTGTTGGGACCTCGCCTCCCACCAGATGTACTTCTGGTAAGCTTACATCCTTGAAAGGAACGAAGCCCTCCGATGTGTTCGCATTACAAAGTACCCTGATGGTTTTTGAGAACAGGTTTTTGTCGACTCTCGAGACATGAGGGCCCTACCACACAATCAAGAGTACAACATGGTCAGTTGGTTCACGTGTGTATGTAGATCACAGTGCGTAGGACGTCTTGTGAGATCTGCCCAGAACAGGTTCGAAAATCATCGATCTTAAATCATAATTCTGTTTATAACATGAATCAACAATGTCTGACGGGATTCGACTCATGTACTAACCCAGTCGTGACAAGATAACATGAAGTGATCAGCACCTTCGCTCCTGTTCCAATGAGGATACTTTTTTGCAACAACTTGAGTATAGTCCTGCACGAATCTGAGAAGAGGAGACATGTCGCCAGAATCTCGTTTGTAAAGGTAAGTGACCATGTTTGCCACGCTAAATGGCAGGAAGTACACATGAGCTTCTTCAGGGTTTGAAGTCACGTAAGGATTGTTGTCATGAAGTTCCTGTATGAATCGTCCTTCGATAGCATATATTTCCTTGCATGGTCCGTCATGTACCAATGGCTCCTCACCCTCCTCGTAGATGTAGATCTTGAATCGATTTTCCATCTCTTGGTAGCTCCTGAGAAATCAGATACAAGTATCAAATTTCATATCCATTTCTGATTTCGTTCTAAATCAATCTAATACTAGCTCAATAGATAGATAATAGTCGACACTATGTCAAACAATGATAAGAGTACACAGGCATTTCGAGAATCATGTACCAAACTGTACCAGCTGTTAATCTCGTAGAATGGAATAGCAATCCTCACTGGAACATTGCACGGACTTACGAATCTCAAAAATTGCTCGAAACGACTTTGAAGAAATCTGTTTGTCTGTTTATCTAGCAAAGATATAAACAACGAACAATACCGTTGAAACAAGCACGCATTCTTGTATGCTTGCCCTTGAGGTTGGTTCACTTTACTGTCGCAGATCTCTTCAACTCTATCTCCGTTATTCATTAGACTCAAAGCGACTCGTCTAAAGGCTGCCCGAGCTCGCAGTAAGTCCAATTCTACTCTCTGGACATTCGTCAGTTCGGGAATACTTGTATTCTGCGCATGAATGGTCACATGGGGAATCCCTGTTATGCCATTTAAAACATTTTTCACCAGATGTTGCTACACACATCACTATCGCTCACCAAGACAGATCGAAATTCACAACTGTATACAAACTCTTCTATCATAACTCTGTTCATCAGAAATATATGCAGTTGAAACCTTTTGCACGCCGTGTCAAATCCTTCCTGTTAGTACTTACTGCAGCTGTGATGGGAGAAAGATAACCTTCTCCTTCATGTTTCAAATCTGTAAGATCTGATCCGTTTCTACCTCCTTCCTGTTGTTCAGGTAGATAGCCGCAATCAGCGGGCAGTCTTGGAAGATGGTCCTTGTTGTTTGGCTTTTCTTTCATCTGAGGAATCACATCTAAACCTCTCTCTGAAGTTGCAATTTCAGCTTCGAGTTGGTCCTGGAGCTCGTGTGCTTCTTCATGTACCTCAAGCTGTGATTGAATTTCATGATTTGTAACCACTATTTTTTCACCTGTTTGCAAGATGCTCTTTGATTCTAAAGATATCTGCTCAGAGGAGCTGATAAGAGACACATCCTTATTTGCACCGATCAAGAAATCGAAAGACAAAGAATTGGACCAATTAGAAAATAGCTGGTGCGTGTAAAAGTCAAAGATGATAAAGGTGCTCATAAGGATTACCACCACCAGGGCAGTTGACCTTCCTGAACAAAGTGATCTCCTCCACAGTCTCATGCCTAACAAATCGTTGTATATCATGAGACTTCTGCTTCAAGTGATCATATAAACTGTACATGATAAACAGGCATAATGGTTGTACAACATGTAAGTGTTTTTCTCGTATCAGGTACGAGGGATGCGATATTTAGTGGTTTTTTTTGTGTCTAGACTTGGTGTGTCTACCATGGATGACTCTAAAAGGAGTCGGATAGTGAACTCTTGTAGGCAGAACTCTTGAAGTCACACTGTTCTGCTCTCTGCACCAAAAAAACGAGGTGGATCTTAGTAAGACCAGTAGACTAATATAAGTCTTCGGCGGTCTGAATCACACTCACGAAGAAAGCAATAAGCGGAGATTAAGGACAATCTCGAAGGAAGCACCAGTGACACAGATTTGTTCTCCTCGTAAAGTCCATTGTCAATCACGGTCATATACATAATACAGTGTAATGTAATCCAACTCGGATGACTGAGCTTACATTTGGCATCCAAAGTTAGGAACGGTTAAACCCTGAACTCCATAACACGTGGAATATCTGTCAAGCTACCTTCAACTTATATGGACCAGCGTATAAGATTCTATCCATGAGCTGCAAACACGATACCTTCCATAGCTCAAAGCATGCACTTTCAGAAATTATATTACATGGATTCATTTATATCACTTTGAGCAGTCAGATTACAAGAAAGTAGAATGAAGAGTGAATCACCAAACCCGCTAAATCTTCTCGGACCTTCAACAGCCGGACGTAAATTTTCTAAGTGCACTACCTCACACGCTGTCAGAAATGAACATCCGCAAACCTGCATCGTGCCAGTGCAAGTGCAAGGCGTCTCCACAAACACATATCTTCGTGTTTCTTACCACACCGCTGGTTCCTGACTGTGCTCTTGCTAGAGTATCTAGATTGGGAAGAACGTCTTGTTGTGACTCTCACCCCTGTTTGTTCCAGAAGAAGAAGAAGACCATAAGGAGGTGTTTTGTGCCAACAACCAGTCATCATCCTCCCCGTGATGAACTGGAGGTGGCATGGAGACAGTCTTGTGGATTCCAGTCCTTCATTCACATGGTAGAAGCAGACGAAGCAATTGAGCAAGAGCTCTGTGCTCTCTCTGCAACCGTCACTTCCTCCTCACTGGAAAGAAGTGTGTGAGTGTATAAAACTTGCCATTGAGAACTTGAAAGATCAAGTCTTTAACGATCTCTCACAGCAAGCACGCGCATACTCTGCTCACATGGAATGAGCGAATCAGCTCGAACACTTGTTATTGAAATGTACAAACACAATCGTCAGGGATCGTGGTCATCATATCTGATCGATTCTTGAAATCTTCTAGCCAAAACCGTTGGAAAGGAAAGAAAGCTGTCGTATATTCAGATTTGCCAATGGATTCCATGAGCCTTCCAAAGTTGGAATATCATGATGACGAAGTTCTTCCGTCGATTGGGAAAGTCCGAGATTATCAGGTGAGTGCAAAAGTAAGGAAAGTAAGGAAGGAAAAGTACATATTCTAGCAATAGGAGATTACAATGTCTTAATTGGCAAGAAGATCAAAATAAATCTCCCTTACCTTACTGTCTTCTAAGAGTACACGGAGATGTGGATATAAATGAACAACCATTGCAACATATGTACTACGTACAGCTTCACTTCTAGATATCCCGTATCGATCGTATTACCCTACATTAGCTTATCCACGAAAGATCTTCTGCAAATTTGCAAGATTGATTGATCTAAACTGCTGGACAACATAATTCATATGCCAGCCTATCATAAACAAAGCCTGTATGAACCTCCAATTATATGCGTGTATATTATTCTGGTTAATATATATAATTTTATGTTGATAAAACTAGAAAAGAAAAGTTTTTAAGATGCATAATTTTCCATATCTTACAACATGAGCCAAAGAGTAACTGGTTGATTATTTCTTTGGATAATGATAACTCTAATTAAGCTTATCCAATTGGGATGTCCATGAGATTCCAAATAGCTACAAGTTATTTACTAGTAAAAGAAAAGAATGTAATCAGCTTTATCAACATTATGAGAAAATATGACAACAACAAAAAATTTCTCCAGTGGAACAAACTTGCATTGGCAAGTCATACAACATTTAATGTTGTATGTTAATCCAAAGCTGTGTAAAGCCTTTCAGTTTTATTTATTAAAACTTACTTTTGTTCCAGTACAATCTTAAATGAGAAATATAAACATAAATTTATTTATTACACAGCTATGAAACACAAAGATGCCAGTGAGAAGAACCGATGAGAAATAACCCACAGATTTAAAAACCAATTAATTGGGATAAGTTTGATATGTTCCAATTGATCACTTCATAGCAGAAGCAAAACCTCAAATAATCTTTGGAAGTTTAGTGATTATAATAAATTGAGTAGATAAAATTTTTAAAGTTAAATTCATGATTGAATTGATACTTTCGTTTGGTAAATTGCATGTCACTCGCGTTCAAAAGTCCGGTCTCAGATTTTGGAACAACGGTTTGGTGTAAACATTCTTTGATTTGAAGTGTACACACATGAGTCATTTCATAGATCTTAGAGTACAACCTTGCCTCAGCAATACCCTTATATTCCCTACAGATTGCTGGCATTATCTTACCGATTATAATTACAAGGTACATCGAACAAACATTTTTCATAGCAGAAGGCGTAAATATTAGAAAACTTGGTAGTAAAAATAGTTCATATATATTTTCAAGTCATACAATTTGAAATTAAGAGATTGAGTTTCGACTCTGTATCCATAATGTTCAATGTTGAATTTATGTTATCAGAAATAAGAGATTCCAGTTATTTACATATTGAAAAACAAAATCTATATGATTGAACTTTTCTAAATGCAATATTAAGGAAGATTTTTGGAATGATACAACATGGATAAAATTTTGAAGTTTAGTTTTTATAATTTGATAGGACATATATGTTAGATTTGCATCACGAGAATGACATTCATCAATTTAATTTAAAGAAAACACAATACAAAATATTTTATTTATTAAATTTATAAGTTGTGTACCTAAAAGCTTTACTAAGCTCTGTTACATACATATATATTGAGTAGATTAATTAAAAATATATAGAAAATTAGATATGACTTAAATCTGAAATTATATCTTACAAATTATTTTTTGATTAATGTCTAGCAACTTGTCAACTCTATATGCAATATACTTATTTTTGGAAAAATCCAAAATTATCCTAAGATAGGTCTATGCATAATTCAGAATTAAATGGAATCAAATTGCATATAAAACATGATAGGGTAAAATTATATATGTATATATATAACAAAATTTCAAAAATTTTACTTGTGATTCTTCTGCAAAATAACACAAATCTGTTACAATTCTTCAAAGAAATAATTTTGATCAAAATCATATTTTTGGAGAATAAATTTTAATCAGAATACTGACTAGATATAATTTGTTTTCAATCTTGATTGGATCAATTTTCCTATCAACAGGTTTATCGTTTATAGACACACATTTGATATCAACATGTTTCAAACTAGTATACATCATCTAGTTTGTTACAAAATGAAATGGATTCTAATTATCATAGTAAAGATTGAGATCAATGTGTTTCATTATCATCATAATGATAAGTCTTTTCAACCAAATAGAATCATTTGTTTTTCTGTTGTTGTTATATATTTGATCAAATAGTATCATGTGTTGACTCGTCTATGCAATTTTAATTAAAAAATTATTCAATCAATATCTCAATAATCAAGTGTGATTACAAGCTAGAAGCATATTTACACTTGTTTAATATTTGCATTCAGTTGTAAAAAATATCGCATAATAAGAATTTGATGTTCTAAGATAAATTATAAAATAAAATGTCATAATATTTAACATAATTTATGAAGCTTAATAATTCATAGCAATCTAATGCATTTTTCTTGATATTGGAATATACGTCTTCATATAGCTAATAGCTAAAACAATATCAATTACATTATATCATATTAAATATATTAAAAAATGAATGACTTCTATTTTTTTCAATAACATCAATTGGACATAAATTTAAAAAAAATTGTATAATTATTTTTATTTAATTAATATCCATTGTAATATACATATTTTTACATATTTTTCTTATTTATTTTATTTTCACTTGACTTTTGGATCTATCAATATCAGATTGAATATTTATCCAAATGAACATATAATCTGACTAAATATTTAAATAAAGACACAATTTTTATTTTTTATTTTTTTCATTTATATACATTAATAATACACACTCTATGAAACTTTTTTGTTTTCATGAACTTATCAAACTTTTCATTTTATAAACTTTGAGTTTTTCAAAATTCATGTAATGGTTTCAACAATCTAAAAATTAATTTGTCTTGCATTTTTTTCCAAAATGATAATGTTGTATTATGTAAACTTTTTCACTATAATAAAATATAGAGAAGTTTTATGATATATCTGTCTATTCAATAATTATACTAAATATTGTGATATTATTACTTCATGGATCCGCTGGTAAACTCAAATTACTTGATGGGATACAACAGGTTTCATATTACCGAATGGGATACCATGAGAGTAATTTAGCGACTAGTTTGCAGCGTGTCTCAGAAAACAACAGTCACTCTCAATTGGATCTTATCATAACTGGATATCAAAAGACGCAGAAAGCTTTCTACCCAAAATAACCTCTAGATGTTATTGGAACATCGCTGATTGTGGTTTGCATGTCATTGAGGTAATCCAATCGGATAAAATGAAACCTGTTGGTTCTCATCAAGTTTGTTGCGTTTCCTTGAGTTCTAGTCAAGTAATTTTCTCAAATATTGTAGTAAATGAATAAATTTTCCAAATTAACACATACTTCATTACAAAGAATATAATTTCTTTTTGTATAAAATTTCTTGTCATAAATTTTATTTTTTAAAGACTTTATTCTCATAATCTACTAACTTCAATGTACTCCCGAATGATTCTTTGAAAGCTTCACATGAGTTTCACTCTTGTTGTCAATCAACTATTGCATATTAATATTTAATGACATACGTTTGAGATTTTTAATAATTAATGAACTCCTTATTTCAAATCAAGATATTGTCATCATCATACTATGTCTCAATATCATGATCTTCAAGAATAGATGAATTAATACATAATTCATACATTGAATGAACTTAAAGCTTTGTTAATGAAGACTTTAAAGTACGTTATATCTAAAAAGCACAACTTTTTTTATTGAAATGTTTTAAAGTTTTTATAATGAAGAGTTATGTTCAGCTTTTTGGTCCACTCACACATTATTGACATATTCAATCACATGACTAACTAATTTCATCATTGACGATTGAGCTAAAAAAAAGTTAATCAAAACCAAAGTTGAATCATAACAAATATGAATGATGCCAAACATCATACTCTTAAATCCGAAAAATAAAATTTGAATTATCTTTCAATTTTACAAATATTTTACTATTTCTTGTATAAAAAATTAAAGTTGATTCAATAATATTGATTTCAAAATTGCATTATTAATGTACATAGTTCAAATAAACATATTAATGCATATTTAGTACAATAATATCATCAGCATATGCAAACATTGAATCTTGTAAACACAATACATACAAATTTAATGAAATTAAATTTTTTTTTAAAAAAATATATTAAATGGTTTAGAAAGAAAAAAAATTTATCAAAAGATCTGAAACATCTCTCAAAGTAAAAATGTTCATTGTTCAAGATAAATCATCATCTTTTACAATATATCACTATTAATCATCAAATTCGTGATTGAATACACAAATTTATTATGCATTTCATGAATATAGGAAAATTCACTTTTTATGTTTAAATAAAATCAATTTTATCAAAATAAAACAAATATGACTAATTTTAATAATATAGAAAAAATATGTGATAAAAATAACAAAAAATGTACATTATCAGTCATGATCATGTGTCTCATATTAATCAATATTGATATTAAATTTCAAGATAAGTATTATTATTAAGAAATTAAATTGAAAATAATAATTATTTTTTTAAACATAAATCATATAGACATGAAGTTATAAACAACAATGATCAATAAACTAAATGAGACATTGGGCCTTGCATTACTATGCCAAAGAGCAAAATAAAATAGGTTAAAAAGGTAGAAACAAGGAAAAAATTAAGTTTTATTTATCAAATAAAAATTGAAAAAATCAGAAAATTGATATTAGATAAATAAGAATTAGTTTAGTGAATTTTGAAAGTATCATCTGTGACCTAATAGAAATGAAAAATCAGATTATATAGCTTCAACCTTTGAATCATGAGTAATATATGTAATGAATATACCAAAAATATTTTCATTAACTATTTAAGTACTATTATTGAATAATTATAATTTAAAAATACCAAAAAATAATAAATTTGAGAGATTAAATTCATGTTATTGAATTTTATTTAATTATTGAAAAAAGTGAAAACTATTTAGATAATTTATAGTTTACAAGGTTCAACGAAAGGTAGATTGTCTGTTGATAAAATACAATCTTTATTGTAATTAAAATCATAACAAGGCAATGATCACTTGAAAAAAAGTCTAAATCTGTTGACATTGCTGTAAACCACATTTTTGTACATATATATCCAAAAATTATCATAAAAAAATACTAAATTTTTTTTTTGAAATAAATGAAATTTCATTCAGAAATTCCTGTTATGATTAGTGATGTAAAAATCAACAGCAATAAGTCGAAACAAAATAATTTCAAAACATCTAAGCAATAATTTTAATACGATTTGATTAACAATATCAGTTTGTTGATGGAAATGAACATTTGAAAATTTTGAAATTGTGAAATTTTTTAAATTTCGATTAACACATTACCTTCAAATTTGTTTTTTATCATTGTTTGTTTTTATGAATTGAAAAAGTCATGGTTCTTCCCCTAACGCTTGTCAAACAAAAGCTTTTCGTTATCATATTTTGGGACATATTCTTCTCAAAAATCTGATCTTTATTCTAGCTAATGTCTTTTCTCAAATGCTTATCTTTATCACCATTTTTTTCTTTTGGTATTTCAATAAACTTTTTTCATAGAATACTGAGTTCTAATTATCTTTGATATCGTCATTTTGCAGATATGTATTACATTGATTTCATGCTTGAGGAATAAAATCTTGTAAATACATTAATAAATTATATTAAAATAAAATAAATTATTCAGTTATCATGAAAGCGACAAATTGATGTAAAAATGACGGGAATAAAGATTAAGTGGTCACGATGATGGAGTTCCGCAAGCCTCACATCGTCGAAGATGTTGGAAGTGGACAAATCGGAAGAAAGCAGGCACCGGAATGTTGTCAACTCTCAAAGTTGACCAGTATCGCGAGTATGAAACAATTGTCCCAGCGGAACAGCGGAGATATGCGCATAACGAGAGAGAGGCAGGCATGGGGAAGAAAAGGCCGGATGCAACCACATCGACCGAGGGGCCAGAGTATGAACACAGGCAGGCGATCGTAAAAGCAGCGGGGCCGAATGAAGAAGCGGGCGCGACGGCAGGCCTACTGCGCAGTACGGGACCAAAGGGGGCCAGGCCATGCCCAAGATGTGAAGAGTGACAAGTGGGCAACATGAGCGAGTGGAACCACGTGACTGCGATGCGAACCATGCAAGCGCTGCAGTGCAAGCGAGCGGAGCATTAATTAATGACGCCGGGCGCCGATTCAGTTACGGGCTCTGAAGGCTCGCCTCGGAGACAGGACAGGAGACGAGGCCTCGGCAGCCACCACAACCGCAGCACCAGCAGCAGAAGCACCAGCTGCTTTCAAGAGAGGGGCATGGGCATAGGCATGGGCCCGGGCAGGTGCGGATGCGGCTGGGGAATGTCCGGCACTGGCTAGCTAGACGCGGGGATCAGGGGCGGCTGCAGCTTCGGCATCAGCATCGGCAGTAGTAATGGCAGAAGGCGCAGGACGACCTACTTAGACGCAGACACAGAGCCAGCCCGCGAGCCAGCCTGACGGACGGTCAGTCATCAGTCAGTCAGTCGGTCCGACCGACGACGTACCCGTGTACTGTACTGGGCTCGGCTCTCGCGCATTCGATCGCCGCATTACTGCGCTGCCCTGCAAACCCTTTTCTCGCCCTCGCTACGCTTTGCGCCTTCCGTCTGGGACCGGCCGCAGAAAGCGACGCGAGCCCGGCCCGGCCCGGCTTCAAGCAAGACAAGCCGAAGCCGAAGCCCCGAAGGCCGAGCGAGCAACGCAAGCCAAGGCAGCACGAGCAGCAGCAGCAGCAGTAGTCGCAGCAGCAGCACGAGCAGCAGGCAGGCACGCAGGCAAGCACGCAGGGCAGCTCTGCGCTCGTCTGTCCGATCGAAGAGCATACTCGGAAGACGGAAGAGAAAGGGAATCGGGAGGAGAGGAGAGAGGAGACGGGGAAAGAGAAAGAAAGCGCACGCACGAGGGGAGGGGAGGGGAAGGGAGGGAGAGGGAGAGGGAGGGGAGGGGGGTTTTGCGGTGGCGGGGAGGTCGCTTACTGGGCCGGTGCGAGGGGTGAGAGTGTGGGGGAGGAGTCTAGCTGGACGGGGAATGGGGGCGTGAAACCGGGGAGTCAATGGGGAATTTGCAAATGACGGGGGCGATGTGCATGTCAACGATTCCGGCGTGAATGTCATTCTGGTAGGCGAGAGGATTCGTGGGGCGCTGCTGCTTTTGCTGTTGTTGTTGTGGCCGTGGTAATGGAGGATTGAGAGCCTTGGGGGCAGAGCGAGGGAGGGGAGAGGGAGGGAGAGGGCGTGGCAGAGGCAGAGGGAGAGGGATAGAGAGCGTGGTGGTTACCATTGCGATAGATTGAGACGGAGAGAGAAGCGGAGGCGGCACGGGAGGTCGCGCAATTTGGAGGAATAGCGACGAGGAGAGGAGGCTCGAGTAGGAGTAGTTTCGACAGGTGCCGCGGACGAATTGGCTCGGGAATTGTGTTTGGGGGAATCAATTAGGTCGAGGATTGTGCTGGGCTCTGTGTTGAGACCACTCTCTGCGTATCCGTCCCCTCTCCCCTCAGAACCGCAGGCCGAGGGGAGGGGGGAGGTGAGGCTTCTGCAGGCACAAGAATCGCTCTCTGTTCTTCGTTCGGGCTGATTTGCGTTCGTGCGTTCGAGGATGAAAGCTGCTCTGCCTCAAGCTATGGTGGAGGGGAAGCAAACCCTGGCCTCTTCCTCCGTCGAAGCGAGCGCAGCCCTTTGCGAGCATGTTCAACGCCAGGGTTTGGATAATCATCTCTTCTCCGACATTACTCTCTCATTTTGCGGCAAGGATCACCAGCTTCATCGAATTATCCTTTCTCAGAGCTCGTACTTCCACTCCCTTCTGTCCGGGCCTTGGAGAGAGCACGGCAAGTCCCGGATTGAACTACAAATCGATGACCCGAATGTCACTCCCGAAGGTTTAGAGATCGCATTCGCCTACATGTATGGTATGAGCCCTGTTTTCACACCGGACAACGTGATATCTGTTCTAGCTGCCGGATGCTTCTTGTGCCTCGAAAATCTGTGCGAGAAGGGTGTTCAGTTTATAGTCGAGGATTTGAAAGTGGAGACATTTGTCGGATATCAGCAGCTCTCGGAAAGACATTGCTACGGTAGATTCGCAGACGCCATTCGCAACGCCTGCTGGACTTTCCTTTGCACTCATGCATCAAGGGAGCTACTTCATCTTCTGCCCAAGTTCTCTCTACAGGTTATTCTCCTACTCAATTACCTACATCTGGTCTTTGTCCTGCTTTCAATTTTCTCTGAGAACTGGTTTTGGATCGGGAAAGAAATTACAATAAGCTGAATGGTCTCCGCAAGCTTCAAGGCGTTGCCTGCATTGTACTGCTGTATAGTTGCTATGGGAATCTTCTGAGTATCCCACTTAGGATGTCCGCCTGACTTGGCCATATTCTGACGCTGGTCGAACACAGTAACCGATCACCTCATCCATAGCCGTTTTTGTGCCGAAGGCCTGTCTACCTGTCCTCAAAGAAAGCGAAGGTCAAGGTCCACTTCTCTACGTGGACGCAATTCGATGTAACCAACCCTATTCTGGCGTGCAACATGGGCTGTTATGAGTCTCCTCGGCGGAATTTGTACAGTGTCTGGCATCTTTTCAAAGTTATTCTCAGATTTGTCAGCTAACCTCGTGGGTCTTTCTCCTGACGGGGATTACTTCCTACAAGCGGTGCATCATGCGGTCCTGACGTACTGTGAATTCCTATCTGGTCGTTTCGATAGGGCTGCAGTAGTGGACTTTTCATTCAACTATTTTGGCTGTGCACTTTTTTCCCCTTTTTTTGTAACGTCTAGTTCTGCCAGCAGGTTTCTAAGTACCTTTTTGTTATGCCCCCCTTTAGGTGCTGTGTCTTCTACTCAAGTCGGACGAGTTATGGGTTCCAAGTGAATCGGAACGCTACAAACTCGCCAAGCAAGCATTGATAGAGTGGAAGCTTGCGCGCGTAAAAGCGACTAATGTTACCTCCGACTGTACAAATACAAGGAAGCCTCGTACAAAGCCGTCTTCGGCCAGAAAGTCCGCCAGGAATTCAAGCTCCGCACCTGGAACGCGATCAAAAAACTCTCTTCAGAAAACTACTCGACTCAGTGTGAAAGAGAGAGGAGCTAAGAAGAAAGAGACCACAGCTCCGGTTGTTGAGCCAGTGGAACCTGTCAGTCCACCAAAAGAGGAAGTCGTTGACACTGATCTGAGGAAGTTACAAAGGCTCTGGGAAGCAGATGATCCGTTGGACAGAAACAAAGAAGATACTTTTCAGAAGGTGGCCGAACTTTTTACCGATGGTGGTATCATATTTGCTCACATGGAGGCCGATGAGGTTCTTCAAGCAAAGAAAGAGTTGGAGGATGCAGGCTTGCCGAATGATGCTGCCAATGATAGTATGTGGCAGGGTGTGCTGCTGAAATTTTCTGTTCTTAAGGTATGTTGACGGGATCTGCCTACATAAAGTTTTGAGTTATCTTTTTTCTCTCTCCTAACCTTCGTGCCGTCTGCTGGTTCGAGAAACTTGGACAGTATTTTTTTTGAAAGTATTCAATTCCACAGCATGCTAATTCTCTTTCGACTACACTTATATGAATACCTCAATTGGTCATCATAGTTACGTTTCTTACTCATCCAGCGAACGCGAAAGTTTGCATGGTCGCCCATCACAGACGCTTTGCAACGGTGCTTTCTAGTTTTGTTCAAGCCAAGCGAGGAAGCATGGAGCCTGTATTGCCCAATATATGGCTGCCTGGTCCTAAACCCCGTAGAACTTCCAGTTGACTTCCAATACCTGATCATTTATGCAGTGTCGCTCGCATCGTCGGTCTCCGAGGAAGTCGACGACTGTTGATAGCCGTTGCGGATGGGACAGTGTCTGAAAGCCGTCTTCAGTTGCGTAGGAGTTTAGAAACTCTTTCATCAATCTACTTTCTTGTGTGATACCGTTCTACTTTCCTCACAGTATTCTGCTCTGTGACATCAAAATGGCTCCCGCTCTCCTTGGCGGTAATAGGCGAACCGCTATGCAAGCTTGGAGTTTGTTTTGCGACCCTTTCTGAGCATGAGTTACAGACTTTTCGAGAAGCGAAGCGTCTATTAGAATATCTCTGATGCAACTGGGAGTACATCACTTGTTTTACTGCGCAATCTATGTAGTGAATTGCACGGAACAACCAATGCAGTGTATTAGATTTATGCTTGTTTTCCTTTAGATGTGGTCTATAGGTAGAATAGAAGCAAACACCATAATCTTTAGGTTGTCAGTTTTGGGATTTTGACTGTTGACACATGCATGTCAATTTCTTTTACCTTTTTGCAGTTTCGGGAGACACACAACTTACTCGATGAATCATCTGAGGACGAGGACGACGAAGAAATGGATGATGACGAGGACGATGACGACGATGACGACGAGGTGAGCGAACTTATTGTTGCTGGTAGACAGACTTTATATGGATGCTCGCACATGTCAGGTGACATGAACACTAGAAGAATTTCTAGTGTTCATGTCACCTGACATTTTCTGCGTTCAGGCTTGAACTCATTTTCATCTTGTGTGGATACAACCATCAGGCCGATGATGAAGATGATGACGAGGCCAGTGATCGCGACTCGTCAGACTCAGATGGATGGAGCACTGATCGAAGCTCACAAGAAGCTGATGATGAGAGTAACAGTAGCGATGCCAGAGGACGTGATGGTATAGCTGGCACAGGACAGGTATTTGACTTTGAATTACCCATGCCATTGTTTGTGTTGCTGTGGAATGGGAGAGCGATTTGATAGTACATGGCGTTGAATAGAGTGTTTTGTCGAGAATTGGACTATACTTCTAACTTGACAAAACCTGATGATGGAGTAGCCAGGAAGAGTGGACGCATATACGTCATGACTTTTTTTGCATTGCCAGCCAGGAGTTGCCATTTTGTACTTGTCTAACGTGGTCAGTCCTGCAGCAGGCTTGTAAACGGCTGAAGACGCATAGCACAACCATCGTGTGCTTCGCATGTTCAGACTCGGTCGGTCAACCCGATAGTTTGGGGGCTGGTGGTGACGGGAAGCGAAGACGAACCACTGGAGGATTTACCTGGGCAATTAAGCCAGATGTTGGGATGCAGCTAGCTGATTTTCCACCGTTTCGGTTTGGTGCTGAGTTTACGTTGAAAGACAAACGATGGACACCTTCTGCGGATTTGAAGTCACGAGAGGTGTTTTACGGCGGATCCATGTGGAAAATTGTTGGTTCTAATTTAAACCAGGACAAAGAAGAGTGGCAGTTTGGTGTACACTGTCGACCTCTTGATACTTGGGAGCCTCACACTTACCAAGATAATCGCAAAAGGGTTCCTTTTTCTGCTAAACTCTATATCAAAACCTGCCAAGGTTTAAGGTGTGTATCAGGGAATGCTGTGCGCAAGATGCGCCATCATGCTTCACACATGCGTCACTCGGTCAGTATGCATTTGTCAAAGAAGGATATCGTAGAGAATGAACCTTTGCGGGTGTCAGCCGTGGTCCAGCTGATGGATGATTGAGAGTTGAGAAGTTACGGCAGCTTCTAAACTATGGTGCTTTGGTTCAACTCTGGGGAGTAAGGCTGATGATTGCAAGACGCTTCCATCCATAGGTTGACATGTACATGATGACGGAAGAACATTTTTGGAAACTTTGGTCACATATTACTTCCCTCACTGAGATCTGAGAAGGGTTTGGTAAGGATCATGTGCTCTCAGTACATCCATTTTGTTAGTGCGCAGAGAGGAGAGAGGCCTTCACTTAGGAGCTGTAGATTCCACATTGCAGTGGGTGTGGGAATACCAGAAAGTCACGTCTGAACAGGTTCGGTAGAATAAGTGTAAAATTCATGCTATAGAGTGTAAATTCAACAGCAACAAAACTCATAATTTTGTCCTTCATTTCGATATTCTTTGTCCAGATTGTATGATTCAGATATATACATAGATAACACAATATTCAAGGAGCATTACGAACGTGTATCATTCAAATTTGGTTACAGATCTTTCTGGAACTTTGAATTCATTACTGAGGAGGTGTATCCTTTTGCCAGTACGAATTCATCTCTCCAGTTCTGGGTCTTTGATGTAATGATAATGAAACTTTTAAAATTTCAGTTGTTCCCAGCACTTCCAGTTTCAGGTCCACTCTCCTTGGGCTGTGGCCTCCTTGGGCTTGGACGTCACATGGTTTTTTTCACCCTATTTTGATCATTAATCGATTTGTCGAGACACATGAGATGTCTGCATCATGGACCTCAGACGAAGCTCTTGCAAAGCTATCTTGGGAAATTATTCTGGCCAGCTTCTTTTAGCAATGTTGATTCTACCTTCTTTTCTCGGTGTTGTGCGTGCCATAAAAGTCAAAAGTCTTTTTCACCGACTGCTTGACGGACAGACCGTCTAAGAAATCATCCAAATCATTTGGATGGAACATCATATTGCCACATATGACTTAGGTTGCTCCAGTTTTAGGTACAGGTTCCAGTACACGTCGATCGAGAATGATTGCCATGGTGTAACGATGTTCTCTTATCTGCCTGTGGCAGATAAGATGATGATGCCAAGGAGTCTCTCGATTTGCTTAGTTTGGGTTCTGCTGTTGCGAATCTCCAGGGTTGGATGCGAGCTGGTGAGGCTCTCATCCATCATTTAGGAACAAGAACATGAAAGGTGTTGTCCTACCTTAGAGGAACAACTTAAATCCGAGTGTTATGTAGCTCAAAAGAAGGGTGTGTTGGCTGATTGCTGAAGAGTTGCCGTATGCTCAGAGGAATAGAACATTGGTCGTCTTACAGAAGTCGGCCCGTGACCTTCGGTCGGAATGCCGGGCATGTATTTCTTGCTTGCTTGCCTTGTTGTCACTAGGCGACGGGTATTGCCCATCCTAGTGACCATCATGTTCCATAAGTGCAGTGCAGGGAGCACTTTTGTCACATCCATCAGCACCATATAGTAGCAGACGATATCGTGCCAAAGACAAAGACCGTGATGGCTTCACGTCATTGTCTCATGCCGCCGTCGATCTTCAGAAATCGAAAAAATGCTTCTATCTATTCCTCGGAAATCTTTCAACCTTCCTCGTCTTGTACGGTACCCATCTTCCCCAAACGGTGGCGATTGTTGTCCGCTTGGCAAAGGCACCTCTTGCACGAAGAGTACTACGACTTCGAGAAATGTGCTTGGTACAGATTAGAGTAGCTGAAAAGGCGTTCGATACTAGGATAGAAACCGGAAGTTTACCTGCAAAAATCACTGCTGGCAGATCTGCTAGTTGCGCTTTTCCCACCCTACTTCTGCCACACTGCAACCACCGCTGAAAAAGTCAGTTTGCAATCCTACAAAACATCGTCGGTTACTACCCACAATTCTCTATATGTATCCTACCTTGGCTTCCGTTGTTAATATTGACGAAACCGCCTTAAGTCACCGGTTCTCTTGATTGTACGCCTTATTGTTCCACTCAACTGGTCTGCTTCCCCGAAGCAAAACCAAACTCCGTTCCTCAACCAAAGGAGGTTCTACTACAATGCCAGAATTGTCTGTACGTGAACTGCATGGCATGGCTGCTGGTGCCGGTGCCCCGGTTGCTTTGGGTAGATGCGGACGATGGCTTGCAGAACAAGCTGCAGTACCTGAAGGCCCTTGGGACGCGGACTCTGCTGGAGAGAACTGGTTCAAAGTTTGCAGTGTTTGAAATGTGAAATTGGCTTTTTTGGAGAGAGATCGTCTTGTGCTGCCTGTGGGTGGGGCCAGGCAGAGTACAGAATCGGGAGTTTCTACGACAAACGATCCGCGCCTGGAATGTGACTCCGATTAGGGATTGATATGCTTTGAACTTGGAAGAATGCTGTCGCGGTGGCCACTGGAGGAGGTTTCTTTACTGATCAGTGGGTAAAGCGCTGAGAGTGAAGATTGCGGTTTTCGCGCCTTTTTTGGTCGTTTTGTATTTCGATGCCGGTGCACGTCGGAGAGCAGATGCTCTCAGGAGGATTTTCAGTCGATGCGCTAGAGTACGAGTTGAGCACGTTCAATTTGACGCAGCTGCTTCTGAGTTACTGTGTCATCTCTGAGATCAAGAGTGTCGGCGTTTCAGGGAAGGGTTTGAGCTCTTCAGGAACTCTGTGTTGTTTGATGATGGCAATTTTGAATGGCGAGGTGCCATGAGCTCACGCTAGAGGATGCACCATGTTGGTGGTACCCGTTGCTTCTCTCTTCAAGGCTTCCACTGCGTTCTGCTCCTCCTCTGCTCCTGAGTCCCATCCGGACCATGGCTTCAATGAGCAAAGTCTGCACGTGCGTTCCGACATTGGAGATATACTCGGGAAGCGGAAAGAATTCGAAAGAGAATTTGTCCGGAGAGCCAAGAAAGTTAAGTCGGAATTTCAAACCTTGCAGAATACACGCCAGTGCTGCAGTTTGGTTGGTCGGTTGCAGCTGTGCAATAAGAGAAGTCACTCATGGGGCGGATCCTCTGTTCCTGGTGACTGTTTGGCGTTCACGGACTCCACGGCATCGATATGCTGTTCAATTACCGGGGGCTTGGACGTTACATTTGTTGGCAGACTTATTAGAGTAAATTCGTGGAGTTTTATCCCTCTCAATGGTTCTCGCGCACCTATCAAGCCCAATTCACGTCGGTTTGCTGCGAGAACTTCACCGAAGACCTCAAATTCCAGTTTATCCAATCCAAATGACAGGTCGAAATCCTGTATTGGCAAGTCCGAAGACCGTAAATCAGAGACGGTTAGTGGAGGAGCACCCGAAGACGGAACCGATGCATGCTGTGCGCCGAATAATGCAATTGATGTTTTGGGATATCTTGAGATCCACCGTCTGCAATTGATGAACGAACAGGATACCAAAGTGATAACATTTCCATCTCTCTGTGTGGATCCGGTCACAGCAGACATGCGTAATGCGTTGTTCGAGAGCCCATTAATTAGAAAAGAAGAGAAACGCAGTCGAATTACGATATGCGGCAAACTTCTGACAATAAGCCCTCAATTTTCCCTTCCATGTAATCTGACAGACGATCGTGGGGAATCTAAGACTATAACTAAAGTCGCAGGTTCTTCCAAGGATTTCATGGACAACTCTAAGGAATTATCCGTCACGGGTTTCTTGGTGGAGCTTCAGTACTGTCACTCTTGCAGCTGCCAGTATATCGATGCCTGGAACCAGGGTGTGAAGACAAAAAGTCGAAGATCGAGACAGCTTTTCGAAGGCGGTCACCTCAGTCCGAGACAGGGACAGGGTGGAAATCACGAAGATAGAAAGTTCGATAGAAATACTCACTTGTATTTTCCAGGTCCTCTAAGTGCATGGCGACCCATTCTTTCGGGGAGCCTAGAACGTTGTTTGACGATCACAGGTCTCCGCAGAAAGCTTGTCCTCACTAGCGTTAAGAAAAAGGATCTGTGTTTATTTGTCGCAACTAGAACAAGTTTGGTCTCTCCTGTGCCTGGCATTCATCCTTGTACTGGAAAAGCACACTGTACATTGGAAAACAGAGATTCTGAATCGAAGAAAGGAGCTCCTGCCATGCAACACGCGGATTGTGCACCAGATTGCGAACTTGTATCAGCAAAATCCAGCTCTATGTATCCCAGAGTGATCTCATACGCAGGATTTGTGACCAGTTTACTTTTTCAAGGTACTCTGGTGGAACTTGACGACCGTGTGTGGTTAATCCGTAGTCATCAGGCAGTGACTCAATTGCATGGACTGCGAGTTGGGGCAATGGTACGTAGTGGCCTTTAATATTTGGAAAGTCGTGAAACAATTCTAACAGTTTTGGTGAAAAGCCTGATCCAACATACAAGGAGTGGTTGGAGGATGTTTTATTCATTAGCTGAAGGGTCAAGCAGCGTATATTCAGCATAGTGTCTTCTTTTACCTCCTGCATGTGTTCTCTTGCCCATAGGTTGCCGCCCAGTTTAAGTATGACAAGAATCGAATACTACATATCTTGTGGTATTGCTGACGCTACTTATATCTTGTACTGGAAATGAATAACTAGGACTTAACTAGACTTGCCAGGAAGGACAATTTGACTCAGATTTGTAGAGTTTACAGCAGCATTCCACTGTCTCCTCACTTCTTCCTTTGTGTTGGACAGCTGGCCCTTCGAGACGTTCATGCTACAACCATCGAAAACTCTTCAGAAAAGGCGTTGTTGTTGGGCGCGTGTGTGCGATCGCATGTTTCAGTCCTACTGTTTTCCCCGTTACATACTCCGTATGTGAACCCTACTCTTTCTTTCTCTCCCTCTCTCTCACATGGCTGATTGGTAGTGCTTTATGAGTCCCTCAGAACTGCCGATGACGAAGAGTTTAACCTCAAAGGTACTATCACACAAAAAACTGAACGTGAAGTGTTAATGCCTTGACAATCATATTGATGATGGATTGTCCACTTAATGCAGGGCTACGGATCAACTCCATTCGCGGAACCTTCTATTCAAGTACATGCAAAAAGTAACATTTGCTTCTGCATTTTGGTAACCACCAATTGCTCTGTGGCTTTCCTACTTTCGTCTGAAATTTTTCCAATTTATTTCATGTTTGCGTTACCTCAATAGGGCTACCGGTTGCCAGCTTAGTTGACGTTGTTAATTTTGGCGTAGGATCCTTTCCGTCATCGGAAGCTTTAGAAAAAAGTTTCGTGGTATATATACCGACAAAGAACTCATGGGATCGAAGAAGGTGAGCAGTTGTGCTGCGTTAACTATCAGAAACTGCATGCTCTATGATCTGTCTATCGTAGGCGAGTTACACACACCTATGATTATCTCGATCTTGATAATGACGTCCTCCACAATTATGCTGGCCTGTTTTCTCGATCAAATACATAACTTGCCCTACTTTACATGCAAAGAAACAAGCTAATCCTTTTGCTTTGCATGTAATGTGGGCAAGTTATGTTTTTGATCGAGACAACAGGCCCGCATAATCCTTGTTTCTTTGCATTGTGAATCCATTTACTCCGCATAATCCCGATATGGGAGTCTCACCTTTCTCTACGGTAATACAGGATCCCGGGATCATTCTGAGCTACGTTCAAAGGTGTTTGGCTCCAGATGATTCTCTGGAGCGAGCAGTAAGATCTCTTGACCTGAGGTAGTTGAGACTATATTCACGATTTTCGCTCGTTGGGGATCTCGGGTTATCTCTTGTGTCGATTATCTTTTCGCTACGCTGGTAGACATGAAGATGTGAGATAGTATTTGTCACAAGCTTTCTGCACAACTTTCACTCCAAGAACGTAGAGTAGGCGCTCGAAAGACCCAGGTTAGGAATGTCATTTGTCATTTGATATGGTGTCAGGAACCAACGTAGTGTACTTTGCTGCGTTAGGATTACTTCATGGAGTTTTTCGATCACCAACACATGTCCTGTTCTGGGGGAACATTGGCCTCCGTCTCGCTTAGTAAGGTACAGGACATAAGGTTTTTTCACCTACCGGTTCCGTTTGAGTTTGTCTCATAGTTCTGGTGTTTATCGGAAAGCAAAATGATACGCTGGAAACCAAGTCCGACGTATTTTGTACGTTGGTTTTCTTGTCACAATCGACTCACTTCAGATGGCTTTTGTCTATCAGGTTCCCCCTTTCTCCAATTTCTGTCTGGACATCGAGGCTTCCATTCGAGATATAAGGTCAAATAAGTGGCTCATTCGAACGGATGACTGTTCAGATTACCAAAGGTGGCTTGAAAAGGAGCGCCTCTTATCATCATCAGAGGTCTTTTATAAAAAATGGCAATCTGCTCACATCATTAGTAGTCAAGAATTGGGTGTAACATTGTTAGGATCTTTGCAGGTCAGTACACCTACTTCAGTTCTAGAAGTTTTTTGTACGTTCGGTTGTACGTTTGAAGCACTTTTGTGGTTTTTCTTCTTCCAGAGATTCCAGACATCTACGGCGTTGTGTAAAACCAAAAATTGACTAACTTGACCCGAAGATGTGAAGTCTGAAAACGTTGATGGTTACTGTGAGCAGGTTTGTAAAAAGTCAGGACAACTGCAGTTGTGGGATGCCACAGGATTTGTCTATGTGATGGTTCCGGATTTGTTGTCAAGCAGGCACATTTCAAAGACTTACCAGGTCAGTGCTAGTTTTCGAATTTCAATTGTCGGTATCTTATTATATCTTAATTCTGCATTCTCTTTGGTTAACAGGTCCCTTCCGTTTGCATCCTTGAGCTTCTTTGTTCATATTCTACCGATGTCTGGCTGTCTTTGTAGGTATCAAGCTTTACTTTAATTGTGAAAGAGTCGACGGAGGATTCTAGCTTCAGCGATTCTAGTCGTGAAAGAAACACATACTCTTCTGTCTCATGGTCTAGTCTTCTGAAGGATACCAAAGCCACGTCTATGTCTTCAGAGGCTTCTGTGTTTCTGATCCATTTCTTCTTGAGGGATGCAACTCTTGTTGATAACTTGAGTCGGTACGAGGGCTTTGAAAGGTTCTCACAGGGCTGCAAACGAAATTCCTCAGGTCAAGCCTTTATGAAAGACTCCTGGGACTTGGTCGGACTTGAATTGAAGTACATAATAACATGGCTCCAACAGAAAACATCCGAATTAGGGAGTCCTGAAAGGGATGTGAAATTTGTTTGTTCTTCTCTCGACAGTTCAAATTCTACGAATGAGTTGTTCAGAGTCTCCTGCAAGGTGAGAAACTGCGAATCACCAGCATCTACACTGTACCGCGGCCCAGTCAATTTAACTTGGGTCTTCCTTTGCTTGAAATGATTAGTGCATGGACTTCCATTCCATTTCCAGTTTTAATAGAACTGATATACGTGAGCACTGATGTGGCGTATAATTATCCCGTGTGCAGGTAGTGGCCATTAATTTCCTCGTATTTGAAAGTCAATGCACTGTGCCTTACAAGAACAGGCAATCATCGGAGTCATGTTCATTTGCTGACCTCGGAGTTCATGAGGACTGGTTGTTTTCACTGGGCATTCCATTAACTATGGCGAGCGTCGTTATTGGTGAGTTGCCAGTTGTGTACCGTCTCTGTCGTGCGTTCGTTTTTTCTCATTTCAAACTTTCCTTTCTTGCATTTGAGGGAGTCGAGTAATTGCACCAACCCAGCCATGCATGTGTCCATTCACGTACCGAAGCTAGTATTGAAGTAGTTATCTGCAGCGTCAGTTTACCAGTTTGACTTCTGTATGTGACTTGCTTCCAATCCAGATGATGGTTATGGACTGGCTCATTGTTGGGCTCATGGTGATGCTGCTGTAACTCTCCTTGGGCTTGTAAAATCAAGTTGTAAATCAGAGTTGCCTCCAAATTTAGTGACAAAACTTAGCGAGAAATTCGAGACGGCCGACGTCCAGCTTTCTATGGAGCAATATTTGTGTTTGCTGATCAGGAGACATGGAAAAGTTGTCATTCGAAGCGAGAGAGCGTGTGGGGCATCAGTGGACACTTCATACTCGTTACAATGGTGTGGAGGAAATTCACCTGACTGTGTTGAACAAGCATTTATGCAAGCCGTAGTTGCAAGAGCTTGCCATAATCATCCCTGGGTAAGTAAGCTTTGTGTAAAGTGACTCATGCTTTGAGAATATTCTTCTGTACAGCTGCGGATGAAGAGCAGAACAAGGTGAGGAAAACTCATACCCTACCATGTGTTGGATGCAGGTTGTGACATTGGGAAGCATCCCACCCACGGTGAAAGATGCCTCTGAAAGCAGCAGGAGCCCACTGGATCGTTGTCGAACTCTAGCATACCGTACAGGTCTCCATCGCTCCCCTGTGCAGGATGACGAGTACCCTCAGCTGTTTGCGCTGAAGGTCGAACCGGCGGTCTCTCTGTCAGACGTTAGAACAGTTAGTGATGAAATCGCGAGTCTGTTAGACAACTGACTGTAGTGTGGTGTCATGTGCGGGGTCGTAGACCTTGTGCAACTCCCGAGAAAACACTAGCCCACCTTGGGTCAGGAGAATATCTAAAAGGCATCGGGACAAGAGTTCACATCCATTCTGAACGAGTCCGTAAGAATAAAGCCTGGATTCATGATCGGCCTAATTGTGAACCAGTACACACGGGTACACGTCGTGAAAAGCTTCTCATGAGGAAAATGTTTATCTATCACCCTCGGTCATGACGTGCAAGTCTCGGATGGTCTGGAACGTGCGAGCCCTTGAAGGGTCTCCGTGGAGTTGCTCTACGTGAATGTTCGATCTCCCGTGGAATAACAAGGCCGCCAAAAGCTCAAAGGAACAACGAGATGCTGCATCTTCTCGCGCCAAACCACCACGGAGATCTTCACACCTGCCTAAACGCAAAGATGAGTACACTTCTGAGATGTCACGATCAGTCGTATCCCTGATGCGAATGAAGGTATGAAAGCAAGCCCAACACGTGCAGGTGGCGTAACAAAGATTGACCTGCGGGTTGTTTATGAACGGATTCTAAAAGGACGCAAGGCCGTCCCTCGGACTCATTCTGCACCGGACAACAGCCACCGAATACTGATTGCCCCTAGAAGTCAAAAGTGCGGCTCGAAGACATCACTGGACCAATACAGAAACACTGCGCCCGAGAAGAGCTCACGGATGTTGTAGACGGAAAGGCATGGGAATGGAGTCGAGCAGGTAGCAATCGGCCAAAGAAGTACTCTCAAGGCCTGGTTCGGTGAGGGATCGATCATTATCTTAATTAAATTTGTTTTGGAGTTTTTCTTGCGGACAAGAGCACGGAGGCGGAGTTAGGTGCATCTTCTGCGAGGCATCACATGAACCCCCGAGTTGCGTCTCGAGCTCCACTGTCGCTCGTGTGCAAATAATTACGGCCCAGATAATTCACGTCAACATGGGCGACGAGATTCCTGGTCGTCCGCCGAAAGCCAATCGGACTGCATCGTCCGCAACCGATCTCGGATGCGAAACCGATTAGTTGCACGCGCTTTCTCCTCGTCTCCGTGGACGGAAAGCCTCTCGGAGGCCAGACGAAGTCAGTTCCGGCGAAACCGGAGCAACCGGACGACGTGGCCCGAGCAGCTGGCGAGGCCAGCCCAACCCAGTCAGCAAGACCCCGCTCCCCTAGGCCCCCCTTCGGACGTTTTGAAATGTCGAGATTCCCGTTACAAAACTTGAACCCCAAGCCAGAGTCAGAGCCAGAGCCAGAGCCAGGGCAGGGCCCGAACGGGGAATAACAGACGTCGGGTGAGGGGGGAGGAAGGAGACGGAAGCCGTCGAGGAGGAGTCCGTTCAGGAGAGGAAAGCAGAGGACAAGGGCACGGGGGGGCGGGGGGCTGGAAGCAATGGCATCACGGCAGCGATCGATCGATCGTCAGCATCGGGCGGTCGTGTCTGGTCCTGTCCTCTCGCATCGTGCGCACTCCCGGGCAACGTCCTCGGACTGCAATCAATGCCACTGGGCAGGGCGGGCAGCCCCCAGAGAGAACCGATAGGCCGAGCAGGAGAAAGGGCCGGGAGAGAGAGAGGAGGCGAATCATTGAGCGGAGGAGAAGAAGGAGGCAAGGCCGGACAGAGGAGGGAGGAAGGAAGGAGGGAGGGAGAGAAAGCAGAGAGCAGTGGCGGGGTGAGCTTTTTCTTGAATTCCTATGGGAAGGAGAAATTGGTCCCGGAGTGGTGAGGGCTGCTGCTTCTGCTTCTGCTGCTGCTGGTGGTAGTGGAGGTGTCGGGCTTGGTGCTGCTGCTGCTACTGCCTGTCTGCTCCTGCGTCGTCTGGTTCTACAGTGCCCTGTGGTAGCGGAGGACGGGGAGGCGGGAGGGAAAGCAGGAGAGCAGTGGGGTGGGAGGAGGAGGAGGAGGATGAGGTGTTAGGCATCCATGTACAGACAGAAGAAGGAAAATTTCACCTTATTCGGAGCATAATTTGGTTCCGTATTGTGCCGAAGAAAAACTGGATTATGAGTTCTGGAATTTTGCGTAGGCGTGTGCACCATGAAGATGTGGGAGGCGGAAAGTATGAGCGAGTGTTGTCAAATGGATCGGATGGCGTAAGCGAGCCGCTTTTAGGTGCCGATTACTACGATCAAAGGTCGCGCCAAGCTTATTATGTGAGTTTGTGAATGTGTGCTAGCTTGTCTTCTGATCCGGATCAGTCGGATTTTTTCATGTAAGACTTTGTACAAGTACATCACGGAGCATCTTTTACTCAGATCGGTTCTTGACGAGCTTATCCGAGCGAAGGTACATGTTCTGGAGAAAGTGGAAATGTTCACGGGCCGTAGCTAAGTTAGTTGGTCGTATATGTCATCCTCAACAGACTCCTACTTTTGTACGAGATCTTATGAGAGTTTTGGTCTAGGACGCATGTCATCACCTACCTGAAATAGAGCGATTTATTTTTGGGAAGGTACACATCGGTTTGATTGGTTGTATGCTTATGCCGGAGCGTTTGAGCATTCTGAGGACTGCGAGAGTACTTTCATGTTCTTTAGGCTCGAGATATGACTTCTGTTTTCTGCCTCTGTCAATGTGTGCTGGCTTTCCTCCCTGTCAGCCTTCGTAATTCTCCTTAGAAGTCAATCAATCCAGACTTTGAGTTAATATCTACCTCCAGAAGCAGTGCGTCGTAGAGAGAACTTGGAGCTTGATTTGCAGCCATTGTCCAAGACACTCTTAGTTTTTTTTTCCTCTAGGGTTTTCCTCTGAGCCTTTTTGTTTGATGAAGATAACCAAAGTTGAGCTCTGTCAAAGTGCCAGCATACCTATTTACATACGTGGATGTGTGAATCTCTTGACGAGACTGTTGACAGACATATGGATTCATTAGACTGGCTGCGAGATGGTGTCCATGTTGGCCAAGAGTAAGCCGGCCCCATATATGAATTCCCATGTGATTGTTACTAGAACTTCAGAGTACGTGTTGATAAGACTGACTGTTAGTGAAGAAGATACCCTACAGTGAGCCACAGACTTTGAGTGAGCACGGGGGCAGTAAAACTTTGCGGGAGGGAACCAGTTGTTTCAAGATTTATGACAGGAAAAATGTCGTAGTCTCTGTCAGCAATCTTCTTTCAATTTTCCGTTTGGTAGTCTCTTTGTTACTTGCAACATGCTGACAGTCGCACAATACTGGTTCAGACTAGTGACGAAGACGACGACGACGTGAGGGGCAGGAGTAAGGCTGATCAAGTGTGGTCCAATATCTTCTCTCGATTGTTAGTCCAGTGGGCTCAATGGTTCAGTAAGTTCGTTTCATCTTCTATGTGAAGCTTGCAAAACATACGTAATTGAATTCTTGAGTGCTGAACCCTTCGTCGTTTGCAGGTGTAGCAAGTTGTTACTCCGTTGTCTAATGTGGTCGTAGCGATGATGCCGCATGGACGCTACGGTAGTGTCCATCTTCAGTTTACTATTTTCAACTTCAAAATGCCGTGTACACTTATATACCTTGTTTCATCGTCTTGGATGTTTCTTCAATATTCCTTTTGTTTCTGTTTCGTCCATGCAGCAAATGTGGTTGTCGGTTCAGGAGCTCTTTTGGGAACAGTGTTTTTCCGAGTACTCCGGCGGCCCGGGCATGGTGAAAGAACAATGATAGCAGACTTATCACCACTTCAGGTAAATCCTAATAATCAGTTTACAGTATATGAGAGGAGACTAGAATTGCATTTTCTGGTCTGAGTCGCCAAATGATGGTTGTCTTTGTGGTATTGAGAAGGTTGTGCCTTCGCTTTTATGTCAAACTGAATCAAAGAGTACAGTTTCCTTCTTCAGGAAAATACACCGCATTTTCAATAGCCTTCCTGTGGGTTCTCAGCTGGGTCAATTCAAGTAGAGAATGCACTGTCATTATCCACTGCCAAGAACTTTGTTTTATTGTAGATTATATGTGTGAAAGAACGCTTCATCCTTGTCTAGTGCCAGTAACGTGTCCTGAATATCAAATAAACTGAACTGCTGGGAAATATGGACTGTCTCTATAGATCATCATATACCTACTGGGTTTCTAGTATAATTGCCAGTTTGATACCTTTAGAACCACAGGCTGATGACTATAGAACCGGCACACTGCTAGGCTCGCGCCTGGAGAAAGCAGAAGTGGGGACAGTGTCTAAATAATCGAGTAGAGAAGAAAACTCAATCTTTGAAGGCTGAAAAAATCAAGTCCTCGAAGGATAAGAAAACACAATCTTCGAAGGCTCACATGGAGATGGTATAAGCACTTCCCCTCTTTTCTCCTTCTTAAAGGTGTTGAGCTTTCTACGTATATCTTCGACAACAGCTTGCACCAAGCTTCAAACCACAGCCTTGTGGCTCTGAGGTTTCAAGGGTATAGGATCGGTTAAAGTGCATTGTGTTTTCACGTTGTTGATCACATTTGTGGGTGTCATGTCCAATTATAGACAGAATTTGGATTGTGGAAAGTCAAAACTATGGGATGAGCTTTGGTTACTTTTTTGGGTATTGTTTCACTGTCATCTACTCAGACGAAGGGTCTTGGATAACAAGGGTCTCGACAACAAGGCTGAACGTTTTTGGCCTGGACTTTTCAAATTAGGAAAGACGACTTCAGCAGCTACAAGACAAGTTGCATGTGCCTTTTGATGGAGCTCTACCTGAACACCAGGTGAAAATTATCTCGATTTACCTTCTGATCTACTCAGTCTTATTTTGGCTCACTATATGTTAATTGTATGTTGATCAAACTCTCATCTAGATAAGCTTCAGGCCGCTTTTTTTCACATACCCTATTGCGTTGGCATGTCTTTCTTGGTGACATTCCACTGAAGAACAAAAAAATGAGGAATACAATAGCTAAGACTCAATTTTCTGGTTTTGTAGTCTGGTGCCTAATATAACCGTCTTTGTCGCATCTCAGGAAGCCCTGAAATCTCTTTGGCGAGCAGCGTTTGCAAACCGTGAATTGCCAGGACTTGTATGTGAGGAATGGAAAGAGATGGGTTGGCAAGGAAATGATCCTTCAACTGATTTCAGGTTTGTTGATCCTCCTGTAGTGATCGTTGCTGATTATGGTACTCATTCCATTGCGGTCCACTGGTTCCATGTTTGTATTTTTCTTGCTTTTTTCATATCTATCAGATTTTGATCACAGCTAGCGCATGAGCAGAATACGTCAATTTGAGTAGATTAGCAGATGGTGCTGATCATTAACGCATTATTGCGTCTATTTAGTCGTTCCGTTTCATGATCTACAAGGCTTTTGGATGGAAATCAAATGTTACACCTGGAGGTATGACGAGCGAGAAATGACATGAGTGGCTAATTTTTCACACTGGAAATGCAGAGGGGGTGGATATGTATCACTAGAGAATCTTCTATTCTTGGCCCACAAATTTCCTGTACGTGAAACTGACCTCTACATATGCATTTGATTAATTGGTCGAATCTTGGTGCCTTGAGCAGAATTCTTTTATTAGCATATAATGAACTCCTTGTCTATTCGTGGGAGGTTTGTATGAGATTAATACACTTATCTGGCGTTGTCTCTCACTTCGTGCCTAAGTTGCTCTTTCATGCGGACTAAATGTTGCATGACTGTGACGGCGTGCAGCGATCTTTTCAGCGGTTGTTGCATAAAAAAGAGGGCAAGAGGGCAACATGGGAATATCCATTTGCCGTTGCTGGTCTCAACATTACATTTATGCTAATCCAGATGCTCGACCTTCGGGCAGGTACATAGTCTTTCCAGCTAACTGTTAGCCCTCGAATCACCCATAAATGTTTTCACCTTACTTTCTTCTTCCTTGCAAGGGGCGTAGTAAAATATCATCAAAATTGAAAGTTGCCCGCCGGATCATACTTTATGATCCGGCAGGCAGATATGTAGGTTTCATTGGTCTGCGTTGTTTTGTCTTTTAGGTGTAGGTTATAGGATGTTCAACTATGAACATAAATACAACCTGAGTATAATTCCTATTTTTCAAAGAGACGGGTACACCAATATGGGTGTCATTCTTAATTTACTATTAGAATAATGGAATACGTAGAGCCTCCCACACCTTGGATTTTCTCACCTTTTCTTCTCATTTTTCAGCTGTACCAAGTACACCAGCTGGAGTCACCTTCTGCAAGATTCTTGCAGGTGAGATCACTCTACTCAAACCTCGGTGTTTGTTGGTACTTTTTTGGTTTTTCGGTGACTTAAACTCCCTCACTTTTGCGCATAGCTCAGGACAAGCGTTCCTAATGAACAGTTTGTACCTTTCGGTGTAAACATTGGAGGCTGGGACCTCCTACGTAACAGTACGAACACATGGCTCAATTTCTCATTTGAGACCTTTTTGCGATCCTCAACCGAAGATATGGTTTGGGTAGAAATTATGGATCACTGAACTGGTGGATGTAATTGTGTCGTTCAACTTGCAGAGGACGAGGCAGCATTTGACATGCTCTATTGCGTTGCATTCGAAATGATGGACGCACAGTGGCTTGCCATGCATGCATCTTACATGGAATTCAATGTACTTCCAAACCATTCTACTTCAAAGTTCCTCCATTGTCTACGCATTGTCGTGTGTAGCGGTTGTAGTATCTCTTGTGTAGCGGTTGTTTTTCTGCAGAGGATATCCTGTCGACTTACCCAGAGATTGCCGAAATTACGTCTTCAGTCTGAGACTGTATTTGCTGAACGACTTGGACTGGTTGTGAGCAGGCTGTGTTGCGGGCTACACGTACTCAACTTGAGAGAGAGTTGATGTTGGAGGACGTGAACCGGGTGGAAGACCTGCCAGCTTACTCCCTTCTGCTGGCAGATTAGAAAAAGCTGTATACAAGTTCGTGTTTTGGCTCAGTCGTCAATGTAAGCTCTTCAGACCAGTCTCTGAACGGTTGACACGGCTGATTGTTTCAGGGTGCCACAACTGTGTACTCCAGGTGCCACCCACCAGCCTCTAATTAAATAAATCCGTCCCAAGGAGAAAGCGCTCAGTCAACTTCATGGCTGGATCATTGTCATTGCCCAATCCAAGGTGACTTGGATGGTACTCCTGCCACGAGAAAGTCAAAATATCTCCCAGATGACATCATCACGCTTTCGGTGCTAACGATGAAAGAGGTGCAGGTATTTATGTGATGTAGTAAATATTCCCCTGTACAGTATTACCCACATTGCAGTCACGATTCTGTTTGGATAACCACATTTTTCTGATCCATTTGCTGTAGACAGGATATTGCCCCGAGCTCCAAATCGGGGTCGCGTTAAATCTCTAACCCCGAGCCAAGTCTAGCTAAGTCCAGCATCGTCGTGTAGGTCTATCATTATTTTACACGGTTGAACTTATTATTTTCGAGACCCCGCCAAGGATCCCGGTGTGAGTGTATGTAGTGGTTGTTTGTTCTCTTGTTGAGAAACATTTGAGGAATACCATGAGATCCAGGTAATAAGTTTCAGCACAGGCTGCGATAATCGTGGTTCCAGTTTTATCCCCTGCGCTATTTGTCGTGCATACTTTTGAATATGCTGGCACTTCCGACGTGCCTCTTCTTGTGTTTCTGACTAAGGTTACTCTTCGTTATCTGTTGAGTGGAGCTGTTGATTTCACTTGACAATCTCTATAGCAGTTATTGCCTGAATGGTTTTCCCGTGCACCTTCAGTTATAAAAATCGGAACACACGATCATTGCTGGATTACCCCTTCTCGTGACCTGTTTCCGAGATGAACGTTAGTAGAGCTGGTGAATGTAGAACTCAAATGAGTCAACCATCTGGTGACAAATCAGTGGAAAGTTGACCACAATGGTGCGCGATTAGGTACGGTAGACTTTGGAAATGGCTTGTAGCAGGCCTTGAATGGGAATTTCAGGAGTAAGGGCTTCCGTCTTATTAGAAACGCAAATGGTCGTCGGTGAAAATGAGTGCAAATATGTTAATACAGTAAGGGCAATGACCTGCCGAATATCAAACAACAGCACAACAGTAGCCACATTTCTCCCAGTCATATGGCATTCATACACGTCCATTGTCTCGTGGAGTCAAATACATTACGTTGAAATTTGTGTTTGACTTCTGAAGCGGTGGACCAGTATAAGATTACTAGAGAGAGGAACGCGGGGAGAGAGGGTTTAGATAAAACGGAAGTCCAAGGCTTAAGTCGCATTCGTAGCTGAGACAGGCACACGACAGCAAACTTGTAGGAAGAGAGGGAACGACCTTTAAACAGATTTCCGCATGATGGACCGCAGCTTTAAACGTACTGACGAAAAACCAGAAAGTGCGGGACAGAAGCCCGAACGAATGAATATGGTCCTTGTGAATGTTATCCACTTGGAAGACAGTCGTGTGCAAACGAGACGTTGGCACTCTTGACCCGGACGCTGGATCTCGTCGACAGAATGTCAAACTGCCGCGTGAAGCGACACGAATGAAATGTGGACCGAGAGCCGCGAGCGATGGAGGGACGAATGGTCTGAAGCATGTTGTAGAATCGCTTCATTTGCAACCGCAGCTTCGGATTCCATGAATGTATGATTTGTGCCCAGGGAAGTGCGAATCTCGATTTCGACGATGGATCAGTGCGCAAGCACGAGCAGAAGCTTCGCGCTCGATGGATTAGCAGCAGCCCCAATCGGTCTTGGGAAGACTCTCGAGCGCCATGCACTGCCGAATTTTCAACGTGCTAAGGTGAACTGCTGCTTGGCAAGGTGTGTTGCGAGCGGTCGGGCAATTGTAAAACGACATGATTTTGATTTTGGGAGGAGGCGGAGGCGATTTTCTCTCGAGGAGGCTTATGGAGCTGGAATCGGAGACTCCAGAGTCAGAGCTATGGAAGACGCGGAGTCGGATCCGCTGGGGCCAGGGTACTGGGATCGAGCCGAAGGCAAAAAGCAGATGGAGGAAATCGAGGACATGAAGGAATTAATTGCGGAAGCGGAGAGGCTGAACAAGGCGAGCCAGACCGACTCGGCCTCGGCGGAAGAGCGTGAAGAGCGCGCTCGTCAGGCTGCAGCGAAACTGCGAGAAGAGCTCGCCAAGGTGAGTGAATTGCCTCCGTATCAAATTGTTTGATTGATTGTTCCACAGCCAAACGCCGCATTTTCTGACGATTGCCCTCCCCATTCATCAGCTGCGCGCAAACTCTGGAAGCTTTCGTACTCCTACTCCTGTCCTGATTGATTGATAGACAGCGACGTGCTGTGCTCTTCGAGCAAAGAGTTTCCTCGTCCATTTTCGTCTCCTTGTCGCTCTGCGTGAATGGAGTAGAATTTCATAGCTGGCCACGAGAGCATGAATTGACGTTGTCTGTGGTCAATTTTCGCATTGTTTATGCACCTCTTCTGTCGATACAAGGTTAGATGGGAAGATGAAGCCCGCCACCCTCCGGTCTAGTGCACTTGCAGCGATCTGTAGGCGGTCAAGGTAATTCAAGTCTGAGAAGTAATCGTCGAGAGTCCAGCTCCGGTTCGTCGGTAGAGAGTCTCAGTTTTTTAATGTCGGATTACTGGAAATCCGACACCGACGTCAGTTCAACAATTCTGCCCTCTCAAAGCATCTGATAAGGACCGAAGCACTCGAGAACATTCAGTGGACCCATTCAGCGGAATTGAACCGAGAGATTGCTTCGTACTGAACAGCTTATTTGAACATTGAACCGAATGCTTGTGCTCGTGGGATGAAGCGTGCCAGGGAACAAGCCGAGCAACGAAAGACGGCCGAGAAAATGTACGAGCTGGGGCAAACAGCTTATGCCCGGGGAATGTACGACAAATCCGTGGAGCTTTTCGAGGCTGCCTTGACCAATGTGCAAGGGACAACAAACCTTGGTGGTGAGGTAAAACCCTTTCACTGGTTGGTTCTGATGTGCGCTTCAATTTGAACGCCTAATTCTGTAGCCTGATTGCAATCAGGCGTTTTGATTTGATTTCTGGCAAGGCAATTCTGTAATTTTCCAACATGAGGCGAAGGTGACAAAGGTCCATAGGTGTAAGCCGTGCACTGGTTGTAGATTCTCGATGTCTGGTGCGTCTCCGAGTCGCGACATTCCTTCTGTGCCAATTAACTTTGACTTCGGTGACTGTTCACCATGCACGTAATTGTTCTCACCATCGCTTAAATATATGCCAGCACAGGCGGTCTGACTTACCGGATTTGATGTATGGGTTTGAGAAAGAGAGAGCCGAACATTTCCCTCAGACCATAGAAGCATGTTTTACAGAATATGTCCACGAGCCGAGAACAATTTTTCGGAATATGTCCAGTTCCATGTCCTTAGGTTTTTTTCATCCACTGTGGGTGCGTGTGTCGACGGCAATGTCAGTCTCGTTCACAATTGGACTTGGAACGAATGCGGAAAGAGGTGGAAGGAAATGAACACATAGTCCCGTTTTCTGGATGCAGATCCAGATTTGGTTGGCGATGGCGTACGATGCAAACAATCGGCACGATGACTGCATCGCCCTGTACAAACGACTCGAGGCCCGCCATCCGAACAAGCAGATCAAGCGCCAGGCTGCCGACCTGCGCTACATACTCGAGGCTCCGAAGCTCAAAATCTCGAGGGAGGAGATGGTATCAATCCCCATCATCGAGCGCGACTATGACAAGTACGGGCCTCTTACTCTTCAATGTCTGCATTTGAGCATTCAATTGTACTTGGACTCCTTTCTCCCCACGTCGAGGAAACTCGAAGCATACGATCGCAACAATAACAATGACAGAACATCTCGTGGCTCATGAAAATCTCGTGCACCTTTGGCAGAAGCGCGAGGACGTACACTCAGAAGCTGCGGGATCGGAGGCGTCCGAAGAAGAAGGTGCCGCAGGAGAAAGATTATCTGGAGGACTGGCTGGTTTGGGATCCTCCTCGGTGGGAGCGAAATCCCTACTTCTGGGTCGCCTTGACCGTCTGGCTGACGCTCGTAGGCATTTCTCTCATGTTCCAAGATTGACGTCCTATTTCGAAATGCGACGTGCCCTCCTGTACTTTAGTGTACCATCGAAGAAGCTGTCATAGATCACCTTTGTACAGATTGTAAGGCGAATCCCTCGTTTTGTGGACCACTCGTCCAGCCCATTGCCATTGTGGGCGATGCAGAGCACTTGTAGGAGAATTTCCTTTCTTTGCCCAGAGAATCAACCGAGAAGCATAACCGCACGCCAGCCAGCTGTGGAGGCAATGTCGTCCTTGCTGCTGCTCATAAGAAACTGATGACCTCCAGCTAGCTAGCCCGCAGAGAGAATTCTTTCTGCATCGATCCTGTATTATTATCTTGTATGAGTTAGCTTAGCTGCCTCCAAGTGCAAGTTTAGCGAGGCAGGCATGATGTATCCATCGGAGCAGTAAATGCTGCGCTCAGGTTTCAAGTCATTTCAATCGGACCACATTCTTGTTCCCATCTAAACCACAACTACAGCTTCTAGTAAAAACGATTCCGCTGTCTGAATCATGCAAGGCTGAACCTGGATGTCCTGAATACTGAAGGCAAATTGCGAAATTCTGACTTTTCCCGAGATTCTGAATGGGAAGGGTTTGCGCAGGTCAAGGCTAATTTTCCACTAAACATTATCAACTGTCGGGATTTTACTGAGAGGCCGCCATGGAAACGAGCATAATCATCTCTCGACTTATCACCGTGCATACGGCACTGAAGTAGTTATTCAACTTTCCCTTCACTGAGCATCACGACGGGCAGTCGGATTCGATCTCGTACAGCTGCTCTGCAACGGGAGTCAGGTCGTTACCAACGAACCTATCTATGCATTCGAATGTCAGATCCAATTCTCACTGCTGGCTACGTGAGCGAGGTCATGTCACGTAGCTCAGCTCAGCTCAGCTCACTCGATGCCCAAAGCTTACTCCGATTTCCACCACAAAGCAGAGCGTGCAGCTGCATCGTCTCCAATCTGAAATCGTCACTCGGAGTCAACATCGTGTCGACCACTGACTTGCTTAAGGCAGCACGGCAAATGTAGATTACTGTCAGTGGGAGCCATTGGCACGACGAGACTCATCGGGAAAGGATGACGAGGTCAACGCAGAGCCGTGAAACTGCCGACGCTTTGTCGTCGGTCGCTTCCTCCTTCCGCGGACATGGACAGGAAGGAAGGACCAACGACCCCCGTGTCCATGGCACCGTCCCACAACGACGGGCCGGGCGGCCAGCGTGGCAACGGTGGACCGGCCAGGTGGACGGGTAGGGGCGATGCCATTGGCCAGCGGGGGCGCAGGCGTCCACGTCGACCGACCACATGGCGCGCCGTGCACCACCTCTCTGTGCGACTGTGTTGGAGCTGGAGGAGGCCCGATGGATAAGCCAAGCGTCGCCGCTCGTCGTTGCGGCTCCGCCATCTCTCGCCTGCACTGCGCGAGCGAGCTGCTGCTGCTGCGTCGACGATCCTTCCTCGGATCTCCATCATCAGAGACAGAATTATAATATCTCCACGCCTTAAGCGCAAAAGCAGGGGCTTCCTCTAGCTCCGGCTGACATTCCCTCGGCTTCTCCCCGGCCGCATCTTGGCTCGATCCTGAGCTCTGCTGCAGCTCGTATTAAAGGCGTACTTTTCTTCTTCCTCTCGTTGGCAGAGGAGCGCAGTAGTGGATTTGATTGTCTAAATTTGCGGTTTAAAGGGGCCGGTGGTCGCTGTGGCCGGGTTTTTAGTAGTTGGACGAGAGGGCGCAGAACTGCAGCGGTAGGAGCAGTGTGGGTGAGGTGCGCAGGGGGCCAGTGCGAGGGGAGATTGCGAGATGGCTGTCATGATGCCTCAAAAGCTCTCTACGGCGGGCCGATTCCTGATCGGTGCTCCACATTCTGCTCCTCGGAGCGTCACAAGACCTGGGTTGGTGCGTGCTGCCTGTAAGAGCCCTTCCTGTTCTACTCTTCCGATTTCTGATCTTCTTCAGCTGTCGGTTTCGTTACAGGATCTGCGAGTTTCGAGCCATTGTTGCTGTTGCTGTCGCTGCTGCTTCTTCGCCTTCTTTATGCTCGGCTGTCGGAGTTCCTTTGTTGTTCTTCTTCCCGTATGACTGTTCGTCGTCGGGCGAAATTCTGAATGGCCAGCTCTCCAGAATTTGCTTCAGACCTAATTCCCCTGAAATTTGTGACTCGACGGCATAGCTGTTGTTTCACATGGGAGGGAACGTGTTTTTCGGGAGGCGAATTTTTTATACTCTGTCAGCTCCACGTGAATTCCATTTCTCGCTTGTGAATGTTCTGTCTATTCCTCTTAATGTTCTGTCATTTCCAGTTTATGGCTTCTAGTCTCCTCGGCTACTCAAGACTTTCTACTCTTCCGACGTTCGCTGTGAAGCACTCCAGGAATTCATAAATAAATTAGGCAACATTTGGTCGACCCTTATCCGAGTAGTACAAAGAAAAAAAACTGTCCAATGGTTCAAATGTTGATTGTGGTTGTGGAGACGAGTTAAGTATCTTAGTGTGGTGCGGGTGGAGAAGTAATTTGGAAAGTCGGAAATCTTCTGAAAATGCATTTGTCGGTTTAACAGCAGAACCCTCGGAGAAGTCCTTGGATGTTATGCGCAAATTTTCCGAGCAGTATGCTAGGCGATCAGGAACATTTTTCTGCTGCGATAAGGGTGTAACATCAGTTGTGATCAAGGTAAGCCCTCTCAGCTTACTGATGAGTGCACTCGAGAATTGTGTGGAATTTGCAGTAGATAATGATCTCGGATGTGGTACCCACGAAATTGCAGAACATGGTACTTCTAACCTGAAACAAAGATTGAGCCGGGAATGTTATTTGAGCTTATGGATTTCATGTTTACTGCCCGCAAAGTCTCTTTTTTGACTATCTTTTAGCTCAATTATGCTTACCAAGCTGGTGGCTTTTGCAGGGGTTGGCAGAGCATAAGGACTCTCTTGGAGCACCGTTATGTCCTTGCAGGTTAGTTCTGAATTTGGTTGTAACGGCTAATGCTATATGGATAGTATTGGCTTCAGTTACCTCCATGTGTTGTTTCCAGTATAGGTCGGAATATACACAAGCATAATCAGATCAGTCTCGAATGAGGTTTAAGAGCGGCTTGCTGGATGCTGTTTGTTGTCCATTTAGCTGCTGTAAGAGAGACTCGCGCCAGTAGATCAAATTGGGGTCATGCTTTTGTGACTGTTTTGTGACTGCAAGAGATGGTTTTCATTCTTGCAGTTTTCGAGTTTGCAATGGGTTTGTTCTGCCGTCTTGAAAGGGGAAGCTATGAATTGGGGATTCAGGTTATAGGTGCAATGTGCCGGCTTCCTTTTTAATATCTTCATCTTCATCCTGCTGCAGGCATTATGATGATAAGCAGGCCGAAGTGGAGCAGGGATTCTGGAATTGCCCTTGTGTTCCTATGCGAGAGAGGTTTGTGCTCTTTGCACCAGATTTTCCTTGCACAATCAAAGCTTTGTACAATATGTTGAATCAAGTACTGCTACTGGTTGCTCAACTCTTTTGGGTACTAAACTTCGTATTCCGGCTTCTCTCAGGAAGGAGTGCCACTGCATGTTGTTTTTGACCTCCGATAACGATTTTGCCGGGACAGAACAGGTATGGGACAGCACGCAAAGAAATATTGTTCTGTTTGATAGTTATCCACCCTGAAGGAAAGTATGAGCTTGAAAATATGAGCCAATGATTTGTGAAGAAATCATTTCTGACCGTAGTCAGTCGAGAAAACAGATTTGATACATCACAATTATGAAAACTTGAATAATTGAAGCGTCCTTTGGTAATTTTGGATTTCACAATTTTTGAGGCTCTCGGTTGACTGTCAACTTTCTGCTTTTCTCAGGCGATTACCATGGAGGAGATTAAAGAGCTTACTGCAAACTACTGATGAAATCTGACGCAATTTGTCGTCAGCTGTACGAATACTACTTGGAACCAGCACTTGATGGGAAATTTTCCATCCTTGTTGATGAATGTAGCAGATTCTCGTCTCATCTGCTGCAATGTAGGAGGATCATGTCACCTGATGTATAAGTAAGCATGTTCGCGGAAGGCAGTCTCAGTCTGTGTATAAGTGTAAAGCAAAACAACAAAGAGTGTACATTGCTTCTACTTGATTTCTGAGTTCCTAGCAGGTAGTGAAGATCCTCATCAATCATGTAACGTAATAGTTGTTGACAACGTTAGGTGGGTAGAGATGTAAGTAAGAGTTCGTCGGTCATCTGGAGTTGTCATTCAACATGAAGCCACTACTACACCGGTTTATTTAACCGGTCTAGACAGTGGTAAAGTTTTCTACTGGTGCTAAGAAGTCATTGGTCAATTATGAAGATGATTGCTCGTGCACTCATGTCAGGTGATTTACCACGCATCCATTTCAGTTGGGCTCCTTGATTTTGCCTCCTTGTTTGGCTGTTTTCGATTTTAGCTGCCTTCACGGAGGATGTCCGATAGACCTTCAAGTTGATTGGATTGGTGTCTTGTTCAGTTTACTGTCTTGACATTGCTCAGTGTGAATCTCCAAATGGCCATTTAAATCGTCCGCACACCCATTCGAACGTCGCTGTCCTTCTAGTTTATGTCAAGGAGTCAAGTATCAGAATGCGCGGTTGGGTAGACGAGAAATGACAAATAGTGAGTGACTAGCGGTCAATAGCATAACTTTAAGAGATGTCAGCATTCTCACATGGGAAAGAACTTACTCTTTTTTATATTATGACTCTGGATTCTAATGTCACTACCAAAATATGTGTTATGAAATATCTGTTAAAGAATTTTTATAGATTATCGTTTACTGAACCAGTATTTTTAAAATTAGCGGACAATTCAAGCGAATGAAGTAACTTGCTATAAATAATCAGTACGAGAGAGAGGTCGAAACTAAGTCATAGGTTACATCATGTGATCTTGCTTATTGAAGAGGAAAAGAACTAGTAAAGTATAAAGACACAGCAGAGAATGAAAATCATCACACATTGTGATGATTTTGGAGATGTGTACTTTTCATTTTCAGATCACATGTGTAGGGCTCCAATGTGTAAGAAATTGAATATCAAATACTTAAATGAAAATAAACAATGTGAGATTATTTCAAAACTGAGAAAATAAAATACCCTCGTGCGAGAGCATGAAATTATTGATGCATCTAGCAATCAGCGGATAATTTTCTGCCCCCGAGTGCCAAAGATCTTTCCAATCTCTAACATCGCAACATTACTTTTGTGGTTTTCTACCTCTTTTCAAATGCTTCCTCTCGGCTCCCACCTCCATTTATAACATGCGCATAATGCACCATATGGAACTCCCCTTTTTTCCTGGTGTCAGATAATTATTTTGGCGTTAGATGTGTCATGACATGAAGAAGCAAAAGACTAGATTATTGGAACAAGATATTTGCATCATGTCCTTGATGGTTAGATCTCTCTCCCTTCGATTCCCTTGCTCTAGGGCACTGAATGGGTCCGAAGTCTAATCTCGACTGTTGAATCTCTGAAATTGTTGATATCTCTAAAATTTGAAGTGAATTCGTTGAAAATGTTAATCCCTGAAAAGTATTATGATAAAATGCTTACTTAATTGGGATTCATACTTAAGTGGGATGCTACTGTATTTGTCCTTACTTCGAATCGGGAAAAATGTTCCACATCGTTATCTTCAAATACGATGTATTAAGTTTACATGTGAAGAAAGTTTAGGGCCCCTATCAATGTCATATACCAATCAAGTTGCATTACATCTTCGGATTTCCGATGGCGGCTCCGTTTGCGGTAGAGATGGTTCAGAAGCAAGGTGTATTAAGTTCCTCTGGGTGAAATAGATGCGAAGGATTTGAACCTTCCAGCTGAGAAGAGCCAGCTCTGAAAAGTACTGTTACGAAACGTATCAAGTACATCTTTTCACGTAAGGCAAACTAGTATCCTTTAGGCAAATTGCAGGGATCCTATACATGTAATTTGGGTTTATGTGGTAATTCTGCTAGCCTCATCATGCTAGCTCAATTGCTATTAACTTTGACTTATTTCTTTCTCTGCTACCCTCATGAAAATACATGTGTGTGCACTGAATAGTTCAACTTGATTGATGTGTATGTTTGTTTTCATGCATTTTGGAAGAGGAGCAAATACAATTCATTTGTTTGAAACAGTATCATATTGGCTAACCATGTATGTTTATGTATTGATTTGGTGCTTAGGCTCAACGTATTTTGGGTTATATTGTTTACGTGAATTGAAATCCATCCTTAATCTTGATATTAAACTACCGTTGAAACATCTATTAGAAGTAGTCTAGAAGTATAGAACTCATTACTATATAAGCAAAGGTTCAAGTAGATGACGATGTAAACCAGTTGAGCTTAAAATTTATTAGAATCCTCAATGGAATATTTTCAAAACCTTTGTCTAGAAGTTTCATAAATTTAAACTTCTAATATACTTATTACATTTATTGTAAAGTTTATATGAGATCACGGAGACAAATTAGCGAAATGCGCTTGCTCTTTAAATTGCACGGGTGCAATGCATATGCTATGTAAGGATCTGAATCCCCATAACCTACAGAAAATCCCAATCCACACACCATACAAACACAAGCATTTGTTGACGAGGTTCAGCTTAAAAGTTTACACCCCTCAAACTCCTCAATGAAGGCAGTTCGAGTATATATATCCAAGATCATACCTTCAGACTTGACCTTCCTACCGTCATTACGAGGTTTCAATCTAGTGAGAACTACACACGGGAAAAATCACTACTGTTCCCGAGCAAGACTACCACATTCCTCACATATGATTCCCACTCTCTATGTGTCTCCCCGTTCTCCCTCTCGATCATTCTTGAAATCCTTATCACTGTAATGCACTGCCTTAATTCGCTAACTGAACTTATATCATCCTTGACTTATAACGGTAATAAATCAGAATGAGTCAAAGCCATCAATTCCTACTCAGCCCATAGGATATTCAGTCATCAGCAAGCTATTACTATAGGACAAATACTCTAAAAGAGAAAATGACATGCAACTGAAGCTGATATCTCACAATCTCCACCTCAGTCTTCAGATTTGATCTTGGTCACCTATACTTGAACTTGGTCCTCGTGCTTCACTGATTCATCGTTCAATTTTTGCTCAATCACGTAGCATCAACTCCGAGAAGCTTCAAACATAATCTAAACTTTCTCAAAGTTATCACTTTAGTGCCGCAATCTGCCGGATTGTCATCAGTGCTGATTTTTGCAATGTTGATATTGCCATCAGTGATCTCTGATGAAGTGGTACTTGATGTTGACGTGCTTTATTTGTGTGTAACACTGGATTTTTGCACAGATGGATTGCACTTTGGCTATCGGAGAAGAGTGTTGTTGTACCTTGGAACACATGTAACTCCTTCAGCAGACCTTGAATCCATATGACTTCTTTCACTGCCTCAGTGGCAGCAATATACTCTGCCTTTGCTGTGGATAAAGTCACAACAGGCTGTAACTATGACTTCCAACTCACACAATTGCCGTTGATCAAGAACTCATAAGTTGTAGTAGATTCTCTGTTGTCTTTATCCCCTGCGTAGTCAGAGTCTACATAACCCTCCACCTGAACTGAACTACCTCTCTTACAACACATCAAACCCACATCAGTAGGGCCTTTCAAGTACCTTAGGAGATGCTTCATAGTTAGCTAGTGTTCCTTGCGAGGATTTGACATGTACCTGCTAAGAACACTAATGGCATGGGCAATATCAGGTCTTGAACACACTATTGTGTACATGATTGAGCCAACAGCACTTGAATATGGAACATCTTCCATGGATTGCTTTGTTGATGCTGATGTAGGACATTGACTAGCAGAAAGGCTGAAATGATTTGCCAAAGGTTGAGTCACTTGCTTTGCATTTTTCATGGCAAATTTGTCAACTAGCTTCTCCAAATAGCCACGCTGTGACAATGCCAACGAATCATTTTTCCTGTCTCTGATGATGCTAATTCCAAGGACTCTCGTAGAATCACCTAAATCTTTCATATCAAACTCTTTGCTCAAAATCTTCTTGAGTTCTGATATCTTTGAAATTGAGCTATTGATCAGTAACATATCATCTACATATAGGAGTAGATAGATGCTTTTCAGTACTTCATTACCTTTGAAATACAAGCATGAGTCATATGTATCTTTGCTCAAGCATAAATGTATCAAAACGCTTGTACCATTGATGTAGTGACTGCTTCAAACCATACAGCGATTTTTTTAGTAGACATACCATGTCTTTGCCTTTCTGCACTTCATATCTGGGTGGTTGCTCCATGTAAATCACTTCTTCCAGGTTGCCATGAAGAAACGTTGTTTTCACGTCCATTTTCTATAATTCCAGATTATACTGAACCACAAGTGCAAGCATAATCCTTATGGTTTTGTATTTTACCACAAGTGAGAAATTTTCATTATAATCTACTCTTTCAACCTGTGTAAAGCCTTTTGCCACTAGCCTGGTCTTGAACCGAGGCTTGTCAGATTTGGCAACACCTTCTTTGATCATGTAAAGCCAGCGACACGTCACTGGCTTTTGATTCTTGGGTCTTGGAACTATGTTCCAAGTTTTGTTCCTATACGGCAACTCCATTTCCTCTCTCATTGCTTACTTTCATTTTTCTGAATCTGATCCAACAACAGCATCTTGATAATGGAGAGGCTCCTTCATCTGAATCTCCAAGGCTGATGTGAACGCGTAGGCAAGTATTTCAGAGTACGTGGAGAAGCCATATCTCTGTGGAGGTTTTGACACTTTCTTTTCTCTGTCCCTAGTCAGAAAATAGTCACGTAGTTGTAGAGATTGCTATGAGTTGCTATGGCTTGTCATTTCTTGTTAGTAGTTGCCTTGCTCCTGATCAGTATGATCACTCGGTTCAGTGACCTGATCTGGAGCTTGCGATTCTTGATATTCATGGTCACTCGATGTGTTTTGGCCTTGAGCTTGTGGAGGAGTGACATGATCAGATGGCCCACCTGAATAATATTTTCTAAGGTTTCTAGTGTGATATGATTATGATAAATTAAAATTTCAATTTGATTTGATAATGTGACCTGGCCAGCAATTTAAAGTTAACCGTTGTAAAAATATTCTTGAGTTGGGGTTGGAATGCTGTAACTAGGCATCATCTTTGCAAGTAAGTTCCGAGTTTGGAGTTATGGGTATTAATGTCATCCAAATCGACTAGGCTGTTATTTTAGATCACTGCTGTTCTTTCAGATCGATGCTTTTCGGTTTACCTTACTGGCATGGGAAGCTTGCTTTCGTTTGCATTAGGCAAGCATGGACTCCTGTTATCACAAGTTGGCTGTTCTGAGGTCCTTGAGATCAGTGATGAACACCTGTCTTCGAGCATTGGGCTGGATGATAATATACATATACAATTAATATTGTCCACGATTGTACAACATAAATTGTGCAACGGGCGAGGCTTGTGGATAGGGGTGGAAGGCCGTGCGCCTTGAAGGACATTAGACAATGCAAATGGCCCTGTGGGTGGGGAATGACCCTTCCCCACCGGGTGCGGAGGATTTGGGGCCCCCAGGGCTGATGCCATCCCATCTTCTGGATGAAATATCGTCGGTTCAAAACTGGAATGGTAGACATCCCGTGACCGTCTTGCGCCAAAACTCAGCCGATAGCCATGCTATGGTTCCCTGCGGTCTGTTCCCGCTACAGGTTAAGGATTGTTTTTGTTGATTTCTGTTGGGGATAGAATAAAGAAATGCAGAGGGTAGCCAAGAAAGATAAAGTGTTAAGAGAGACTTTCTCCGAAGGTGGAGAAAGTCTAGCGTTTGCCAAATGTCGAGTCTTGTTTTCTTCTCTAACGGGCTTCATCGGCCAAGGGAGATTTATCCATCGGATCAATGCTCATCACATATCCGGGATGCAAGTTGAAATTACACACCATGGATTTCAGATCGATTTTGTAAACAGAGTTTAATTCCAGTGGTGACGAAGTGTAAGACAATCTAAACGAAAATCTTCACTTCATCCACTCTATAAACACAGCTGAGCGAGGATGGTGGCTACCCTACGAGGACACAAATGTATCAATTTGCCAGTCTGAAGAATGATTTACACAGAAAGCATCTCATGGACATTAACATTTTCCAGGGGCGATGTGCCACAATAACCTTGTGTGTAATACATAAAATGGTCATTCCGTGTTGGGAGCGGTCCAAGTCCTCCACCGTAGCCGACGAAACACTTTGTATCATTGATGCCTTCCAGGCAGAATAAGCCTCGTAGATGACCAATTACGAGAATCATATTAAATTCGTACTGAAACAGAGCATAGAATTGACATAAGGGTCAATACATGCCCATGAAAAGGACTTCCAGCTTTATGTACAGATCAGTCCAGTTCAGTTGCTGGAAGGAGCCAAATCAGATAGCTATAGTAAATCTGCCATGCAGAATGGACCACCATATCCTACGGCCTAAAAAATAGAGCGAGCTGATACCGTCGTGTTCACGCCTGTTGTGTTGATTGTGTCCTCCTTCGGCTCGTGGGATATAATGATCGACAAGTGGTTCAGTTGTAAAACTCCGTGTGCATATTCGTTCTGTCTCGTGAAGCTACCAAAGCCTAGACCAAACAAAATCCTCGCGAATATCTTGACAAAACTTCCAAAGTTCACCACCCTGGAAGCTGATACTATTTGTTCTACTTCTCGACTCTCCCTTTTCCATTTCCTCGATTGTTGCACGCTGCTGCTGCTGCTGACGCATGAGATCTCCCGTACAGATCTAGTCAATAGTTACCTCTTTGCAGTTCACACCGGCCTACGGAATGGCCAGGTCGAGATTCACTATCGTAATGCTTTATGTACATGATCCTGCAAGAGTACTCCTGGAAATGACGTCGACCAGCCTTTTCTTCGCACTGCTCCTGAATTCGTTGGTCTCCATAAAACTGCTCAGTGTTGAAGCACTTGATTCGAACAGTCAAGAACCTTGTGCTCGCACCTTGTCCAAAGCCAAACTAATATGTACATGTCAAGTACAGATGGGAGAAAGCCCGGGGCAAATGAAGCTGTGTAGTAGAAGAGCACCCCCAATTCTTCACTCCTAGCCACCACAGGAGTTCCACATTGTCTCGAGACTGTGTTATGTCAAGTTGCTTCTCGAGTGCATCATGAACATTTTCGAGTTCGTTGGAGCATCCGAATCCGCCTTCAGCGGCTCGCTGACTGCATACTGAGACTCAAAGCGGTTGCTCCGGTCCTCCACTATTGGAGGTGCATTCAGGAACGCCCAATTGCTCTTCTTCCACCTGATTTCAGTCCACTTCCATGTCAATACACGAAATCTACGACCAGTGAGATGCTGTAGCACTGACGATTGTAGGTGAGACGAGCTGAAAGCCTTCAAACGTTTGGACATGGTCCCTATGCTGATCTTTAGAGATGGAGAACCTATCCGACCAGAGCAGTGACATACTTTTCGACTGTCAAACATTGTACAGTTTTTTGAAAGCTGAGAGGTTCAAGAAGGATTACCATCCTGGAATATCGGTGCTACTGGCCTCTCTCATTGCACTTGTAGTGGGAGTGGTTGGCGTCATGGGTGGACTTCCACTCATGCTGCCAGGACTGCCGGGGCTCTCAAATCCCGAATCGTAGGTGGGCGATCCAGGCTGCAATCACAGGCAATGCGAATCACAGTCAGCTGTCAGAGTGGATATAACTGTTTCTCAAATCTTCCATCGCTATCTCAGAAGACTATGATCGGAATCCCACCTCCAACTGTAGTAATAACTTGCACATATGTCGAGTGCTTTAAGCAGGGGCAGCTTACCAGAGCGATGGTTCGAGCATGGCTCACATCCCTCTGCGCTTCTTGCAACTGTTTCTCCATCATGCTCCTCTTCGCTTTCCAGAATCGATGGACTTCCTCTCGCGTCACAGACGAGGTCGATCTTTTGAACGCAGCTGCAAAATTATGAAAAACGAGGACGCCACAATGAGGCACCATTTGACACACTTCAATTCCCTCTCATGTCAATCCAGAAGTCCACTTTTCACTGTCTATCCGAACCCTCGAGTCGCTCTCGAGTCGCTAGACGAGAGCATCCTCAAGAGAAAGTGATCATTAGGGTCTAGACCCAGCCAACTGCTGCTGGCAATTTTCTCTTGCAAAACGCCGACTGTCCATCTGTCGGTGAGATTCCTTGTTTCATCCAAGGGAGCAGGAGAAAACGACGAACATGGCAATGACAATGGCAACGGCGGCGCCCAAGGAGCACACCACAGAGTCTGAGGCAGAACTACATGGTCCAACGAAATTTCATTATGGCGAGCTCCTTCCCGGGGATTTGATGTGATGTAAGTGCGGTCATATTTGCTACTCCTATCCCTGCTCTGCTCCCCCGTCCTCATTGACTGACACACTCCACGATCGACAACGTCGAGCATGGGTCCTGTCAATGTGCTCTCGAGTGAAGGAGCCGGGGGAATGGCGAAGGGCACAGCCATAATAATATCAACATGTCCAGAGGTACGTGCCATGCCTGTCCGTCCAAAACGTAGACAACAACAATTGAACGAGAAGAGAAGAGAAGAGAAGAGACACGAAAGACAAAATGCCATAACACCTGACGGACCTTTCTCGGAGTCCTGGGAGTTAGTCTGCCATCCAGCCATCAAGGAGCCCATGTTGACGACACACAAGTCCAGAAGTTACAAAGTCGGCACTGGCGGACTCTTCACCTCCGATCTTCACCTTCGATTCCTTCGATCCAGCAGCTGAACGAGCAGTAGCAGTGCGCAGACGAACTTATCGACCGTAGACACGGCGCGACATATCAGATCAGATCAGATCACGAAGCAAGAGTACAGATACTAGAAGTGGTGCTGGTGCTGGTAGAAGCAGTCGTTGCTTGTAAGCATCGAAGCTTTCTCCATCTTATAGTCCCAGGGGGAACGAGCCAGCGTCACGAGCTGTCGAAACCGCTGTCTTGCCGGCCATCATGATTCAGGGCCTGTGTCCTTGGCGGCCGCCGTGGCAGCTGATTTGGCAAGTAAAGGCGGGGCTGATGTGGCGGGGCTCATGTACCAGCAGCAGCAGATTTACCATGCACTCACTAGCAGGGAGGGAGTACACAATTCTCCTGCTGTACAGTCAATGTCATGTCTCGTCTTCGAGGCCTCGGTATGGGTATGTCGGCCCATCCCCAATATTGTGTACAAAGTGAACACCTTGAGATATGCTGTGGGGCCAGGCTGAGTCAGAATGGATCTGTTGTTATCCTCGAGTAGTTTCTCACATGCACATTTCTGCAATTTCCTCGTCAGCAGCAGAATCTGCTGGCCTGGTGATGTCCCACTCGGCGACAAGCAAACGGGCGCAGTGCAAAATTTAGATCGCCAGCCCAGATAATTTGGTGGGTGATCATGCTGGGAGGGCTCGATGTGGGTCTGGTGAGCCGAGTGACTTGGTGATGATGGCATGGACTCGTGTATCGGGCTCATTGATAGTCTCGTTTAAGCTCGCTGACTGGGCTGGGAGCAGTCTCTTCCTGCTTTACATGCCTCGTGTAGATTGGTACAGGACGGAGTGAGTTGGTTTGGAAGAGTCTTCTACCCTGACCTGACCTTCTGCTGTATGTACCTGAACGAGTTATTATTCATGTGATTTGAGCAAGTTGACCGAGCTCCTGAAGCCAGCAATTTCCAATCTGAAGCGAGTTGCATTTGGGCACAGCAAGTGCTCTTCTTGCAGGTGAGCACCTTGTGTGCCAGACAAGGCTCTTAGAGAGATATTTGGGTAGAATTCGATTAGTCATCTATAATAGTCATAGCCCTTTGCGAAAAATGTTGTTCTGTGATTGGCCTGCAGTAGTGGGGACTGGAAAGTGGGGAATTTGAGCATATAAAATGTATAGAGATACAGCTGAGTGTGGAATCCGCTGGAAGCGGAGAATCAGAATCAACTGTCCGTTCTTTTGACAACTACGAGTGCGCTACTTTATAAGCATCAGTTCCTCTCTTAGCCTTGCTTGCTGCTGGACCTGGACCTGGACCCGCTCGCCAACAGCAGCAGCATCAGCGTTACTGAACCGGAGATCGCACACGCGAAGACCTCTGAACATTTGGGTTCGTTTCTGACGTTCACAATCGCAAGCGTAGGGCTGATTGACATCCCACACTTGACTGTATTATCTGCATCTGGAATTTCACTCAGTTTCGCTCTGTTGGTACTTGATTCCTTCGTATCCCAACTGCTGCAACGCTAAGATCCATATGCTCAGACTTCCAGACACCCAACACGCCATCATCATCCAACTGCTCTGCAAGATTCAGATTCTGTAAATCAAGCCATCGACCAAGATCTGAAGTATTATGTAAGTCTGACCTCTGCTAAATCCACCCTTCCCAAAACTCCGGTTAGCGCAGTACAGAGAACTTTGGTGCAGCTAAACTCGATAATAACGACAAGTTCGGCACGTAAGCAATTCTGGTGTGCCTGTCTTTCAATTTTGATCATTTCATGCAGCAGCTGTGGCAAGGAAGGTAGCACTGAGTCACGAAAATAGGTGAAAATTTTGTGGGACTTGGATGTATTCACTTCGTAAATATTCACTTCGATGCTCCTGAAAATCAGATGAACTTTGCCCCATTGTTTGAGGATTTTGAGCCGTCCTTGAAAACTCAATTACAGTACTGGGAAAATGACAGAACATGACCATGGTCAAGGAGATGGAGAACTAGAACTCCTGGCGATAGAATCTCGCTAAACCACCCATGTTCAGAACTTGGATGGCGATAACCACATGGGTAGAGTAATCATGACACCAACATGTTCTAGAAGTTTCTGATCGCCATAGGAGACAACCTTTGTGCAGAATTATATAGCAAGATTTAACATGGATGAAACCAAAGGAGTAAGATTGGGCCAAACGAACCGTCGAGTGATACCATTTTACAAACCTATGTCAGTATTCATGCTTTGGCTAAAAAATCAAAGGCATGCCCTGGTCACGCAGAGCATCCCAAAATTAAGATAATTTTGGCATTACGGCTTTACCTTCGTACTGCGAAGTATATAGCAGCCAAAACAGTGTCAAAATATCTACATATTATTAAACTGGGACAAGAAAGGTTTTGGTAATTTAGAAAAAAAAAACAAACATTATCAAGTAGGTCCCGTAGGATACTATCAGGGCCTAGCCCCTGGTCTCCTTTTGATTTTACTGTGACTTCCCATCTTGGGACCCTCACACTTCAATTAATCCCCCATGGCCAAAGTAGCATATATTTGAGACATCACATGAAGTTGTGTACTACATTCACAATGTACTCTTACATCGGTTTTCCCTCCTTCAAGAAAACAAGTCACATGAAAAACTGTCATTTGCGACATCCCACTGCCATTAATCACATGTCTCACGTACCTCAAAAGACAAGAGAACGAATAAGAGAAAACAAGAAAGAAAACCACTGTACAGATCATTTTCACATTGAACCTATTATATATGCTATAAATTGTTGATATAACGAGAAATCTTAGCTGTAGCTTAAGTTTACCATACTTTATGGATTATTTGTACCATTACTTATTCGAATCTTCCACAAAAAAGTATGCTTTTAGAAGAAAAGATTGTGTTCCTGCAGCTGGATTAGCGACAATTCCTGGAGAAACTCTTGTTCATTCTGGTGTCCCCCTCGCACCCACATGTGTAGTAGGTCGTTGAAGATGGGTTTGAAAACACCACTTCAAAGTAAGGGTGGCTAAATGCAGTAAATCTTTGCAAAATCAATGGGGTTGATGGTTTAATACATTAAAACTTGATATTTTGTGAGTTTTTTTTAATTGAAACTGAAATTGAATTAAATTTAATTTTGAAAACTAATAGATACCCACGCCCGCAATATAACAATAATATCCTCATTAAAATCGAATTAAACCCCATTTAAGCGACATCGGTTGAACCCTAAAACCAATTAATACCACCCTAACCCCACTTCGAAGCTTACGAAAGTCGAATCTCGTGGAGTTGCAACGGTGTAGAAGAATTTTTCGAGAGCACGAGAGCCCTGGCGCTTGACCGACCAAAGTGCAAAATGTTGAGCTATACGCAGAGGAAAGAAAGCTAGAAAACTCAAGTTGCTTCTTGTCCAATCTTGAGGATAACCGGACAAATCTAGATGGATCTCATCGAGATTTGTTAGTACCTTGACAATGAGCTTCAGTACGGTGCGCACTATTCAGTTACCTTCTCTTGAAGATGGAATTCATTAACTACTGTTGGAGTTATTGATTTCCAAAAGATTATTTCGTTATAGATATGTAGAGATGAGGTTTTTATTATTGTAATATGAAAAGAATAATCTTCCAACGTGATTGTATGAAACCTGTCATACTATTAGACAAAAGACATAAATTCATCCAGTTTATTTAAAATAATTCGTTTTTTAATCATATACAGGGCAGAAACATACAAAGATATCAATTACGTTGTGAGAACTATTGTAAAATTTTTGATACATGATTTGAATAAAGCTAAACTTTCAAATAGTGTCACTTATTAAAGACATTACATAAAAATCTGGAATCATTAGTTTCTAAGTTGTAAATCTGCTAAATAAGAACAGATTGTCACTATTGTCAATAATGACAATTTCAAGTGTAATTTTGGAATTGAAAGTCCTATCATGACCACAATACATAGCTATGAGAAAAAAGAATGTAGCAAAAATTTATTTAAATGTCTATCTCAACAATCCATTCTTTAAAATACTTTGTTACATAAATTGTAATCATTTATTTCACTCATATGCTTGTGTATTAGTCTGAACTCAAACTCAATTATAAAGCTTAGTAAACAATACAGATGTGCAAATGAAAACAATTTTGAAACCAAAGAACACATTCTATAAATGTGTCTATAATTTTATAGAATATACCTCGGATGATGTAATGTAAGAAGTCTATTGGCTTTCTTTTTATGAATGACCACTTCCAATAGTGACATTTAACTCTAAAACCAATGTATGTGACTATTAGGAGGTTATACTCAAGATTACACATTTTACTATGGTGAGTGACATCTCCCAATAGTGATGTATAATACTAGTACCAATGTACCATGGGTAGGTTAAACTCTTTATTATCACTTTTATATATATCACAGGTCTAGCGAGTACTTTACATTTTTTGGTTTTTCAAAATCTAGAAAAAAAATATCCACTTGGTACCTTTAATTTCTAGTTCATAACAAGTGCTTTGAAAGAAAAATTCCAGTTTGAAAAGGGGATGTGTCTAACTCCAAATTATAATATTGCAGGATTACAATAAATTGAAAGTGATTTCGCAAGAAGGTGATATATAAAACTTTTAGGTCGATAATGTACGCCAACAATACTTTGCTTCCATGAGCTCGGGAGAAAATGGCGCGGTACCGGCGTCCACGATGTTATCCGACCATTAGCCAGGTCCGGAACATTCGAGATCTGCCGAGCTAGGAAAGCAAGAAATCCGGGGAAAGTTTTGACGCGAAGTTGCCCGGGGAACGGCGCGGCGGCCCGGCCGGCCTCCAAAAATAGACGAGTGCCATGTCAAATGGGACCGTACGAGCGCGGAGCCCGAAGGCCGCATATCCGGATAGAAGGTCGAGGCCAGAAGGCCAGCAACGGCAGAGGCAGCGGCAGCGGTGGGTCCCGCGCGCGTGATGATGAAGGCTGGCGGCGACGACGTCGATTCGATCTTCGGTCGCTGCATCGGTTTGCATGATCGCCAGCATCCTCGAGCTTGACATCTGGGGCCGCGGCCTGCGCTGCAGCAGAGCGGGCGTCGTCACGCCAATGGCCGCTCCTCTCCATGTCGCAGCGACTCGCTCGCTCCCTTCATGCGAGTCTTGAGCTTGGCAGTCATGGCGGGCGACGGAGGTCAGGGATCTTTCTTTGCCCACCTCGGTCACGGGCATGATTGCATGATTGTTTGCATGTTCTTTCCTCGTCTGCGCTTTCTTTGCTTCTGCTAATTATTATTTGTTTCTCGAAGCTGGTTCGAGCGAGTGGAATTGACTGACTTGCCAAATTTTCAAGCTCTCCGGCCGAGCAGCAGCGAGTAGTTTCGAAGCTAGTCGGGCTCAGATCGAGGTGGTATCACGAAGTGCACTTGGCCCAAACGGCAGCACGGCTGTATGGAGTAAGCGAAACCCGTATTCAAGTTCTGGGCTGGGCATGGTGAAGTGTCTACTCAGGATCCCGTTGCCTTCATCGCAGGGCAACGCAGTGGGCATCGGTGCCTGTGAGAGAGCCAAAGCTCCAGGTCGAATTATGCCCAAAACCGAAGAAAAGTTCACTTTCCAGTTCAACTCCCGTTTCCACTTTCAACCTGCAAAGCGTATGGTAAGTTCGTGTTGAATAACGGGGTTTTTCTAACAGAGGCTTGCAGTTGCATGTAAAAGTTGATTCCACTCATGTCTGTTAGTGGAGCAACAATAACAATTATTCCAGTAATGATGCACCAACTGCGCCAAATTGAGATGATGAACTCGTAAGGTGAAAAGGACACGACTTAACACGACTGCTGGCATTATGAGCGTACTTCGCACATTGCATTACGAGAGAGATGAACTAATCAATACAAGTAGCTAATGGCTCAGTTATCTGGCGATATGAACGATGTTCACAGATATTCGCAGGTTGCTTTGCGACTGTATCTGAGTCCTAAGTATTATTTTCTCTTTTATATACGAAACGGGTAAGCCGTAGTTTGACCTGTGAAGAAAAAGCTAAACTGAGAAAAGAGTAGCCCTTGGACTGGACTATCACTCTTCTGACCTTGAACCGTTTACAATGGACAAGAAGTCTCGAGAACGTCGAATGCGATTGCAAAACAGCTGTGCCGTTCTGATATTTCTTGGTCGAATACGGGCACGGCGTCAAAATTGTTGCAGCGTCCATTCTCAGTGCCATTTTACAGCATGCAGTTTCTCCACCTCTTGCAGGAATGGTCCATGAACTTGGATTCATGTGGAGTCAAAACGTTTTGGAATGTGGGACCGTACATCGTTTATAAAGGTCGCCATAGGAAAAGCTGTATCTTACACGTGACAATAACGGTGTTCGGCCAACATTGGCTTGACAGAACGAAAGTTATTCACCGAAAACTGGAGGTCGCGTGCTAGATCGAATTTTCTAAGAAACCCACACAATACCTCCCAGCGAAGCGTTTAGCCTGGAACCCTGGGTAGGACAAAGATGGAAAGAGAGCTGCTTGGGTATCTCACCTGACAATCGTAAACCTCGCGTTCGTCTTGGCAATGCTAACCAGACCTTGTTCACCTTGAATATCCGTGAGGCTCGTGCCACTTTAGAATGCACCCTCCCTCTCACAACTGGTGTCAGAACATCCAAAAGATCTATACTGGGCTACCATACACAAGACTCTGAGTCCATTTATTAGCTGATGCAGAAGAACAAGAGTACTCCCCGAGTATGACTGCATACGAGGATCCTTCCAATCTGGAATCAAAGCTCGAGTCTGCATATGAAGGAGAAGTCGAAACAGTGCTCAAATCCACCACCCACGTGGATATCAGCTGTCCAACGTAAAGCGACCTCGCACCGATTTATCGGTTTTACAATGTCTTCCCTCATTCTGGTTGGAGCACAGCACTTTGTAAGCGGAGACAAAGTTGTCACTGCTGTTTGGAGCATTTTTCGTATTAATGCTGTCTTGTCTTCGACTCAAACTAAGCTACAGATTTGTCTTTCTGGACTGTTTGTCTGGTCCAGAAAGACCATTGTCCTGCGTGTAGCAATTCCAGGCATAGTCTAGGGATGTAGGTGGGACCATATCACCCTGGTCATGCGTTCCAGCTTTGGAAAGTCCATACTCATCTTGTTCAAGCGTCTTCATGCAATCTTGCACACGGAGGGCGAAACCTCCCATAACTGCGGTAATGCCGATACCGAACAAGAGTCGGGTACTTTTGAAGTATGTGGAGAGAACGGGGAACTTTGGGACACCTAATAATGTCTTCCATTATCGTTCTATCATATAAGCGAACGCCTTTCTGAAACTCCTTGCAAGGAATACTGAAGCTGCAGATGTTGAGATCAGGTGCAGAATGCTGTGCAGCTTACGACGAAAGTGATGGATCTATTCCAAGTTCTTGAACTTCCACCAGATTCACTTCAGCATTGCGCCAGCTGTAGAGAGCACAAGTTGTATACATGTAAAGCCGAGATAAGAGTGTAGAAAGAGGTTGCTCATATTTACAGTCTCAATATTTTCAGTATATGGCGATTGTGAAACGGACTATCACACTGCATGAAGATACACGTGTCACAGAATTGACGATGAGACCTTGATCTTCACAACTGACAGGCAGATACTGAAATAAAGTACGGGTTACAACAGAACTACTTCTTAAAACAATAGTTGCTCCTGTTACACTTCCCGACACGATTATGGTAAGAAGCAGGCCACAGGTTAAAACCTTAGATATGAAGGAGATGATAAAGATGAACTGACCGATAGCATCAAAGTCAGAAGAAATTTTTTAAGCATCCGGACAGGGTTCGAGACTGGATGTTTTGAAAGGGGAGAACACAGCCATAGCGCGACAGCAGATTCCATCTCGGGAGTGCGTAGACCAGCTGAAAATTTCATGATCAATACTGTTGTATGTGTCTGTCGTGCATGCCAGACGATTTTCTCGATTTAAGACCGAAAAAGAATGACAGGCTAGAGTTTCGTTATTGCAGCTGACCGTTTTTTATGTGTTATTGGACTCTCGTGAGCTGCAATATTCATTCAATTGTGTAGAAATAGCATCGCTTCGAGAAGCCAGAATTAAGAATGTGAAATATATCCAACATTGACTGCTGAATCCACGCTTGACACCTGATGGTCTGACCGTTTCCATTGAGCTTAGGGTCCTCTGCATATAGTCAAGGAGCCCAGCGCTGCTTGAGGTCCGTAATTGAATTCGCCAAGTTACTTCTTAGACACGGGTTTCCATATGTACGAACGTCTTTGTTTACATGCCAACATGGCATATGTTCATAAATTAGTCCTGAAATAGCGGCCAAGTTGGATGTTCATATGTTTGAGAGATGAATGCCTTTCCGAATACTGAATAAGGCTCCAATATTCCACAAGAGAAACTTGCCGACATGACTATCTGAAGAGCTCATCGACATCGCATCGAATGTTGATTTTAACAACATAGTAATGATGAGTTAATTTTCAAAATCCATTGTTACATATATAGACACATAGAATATTGGATAGGACTTGGTAAATTCCCATAAAACCCATTCACCGTTGGCACAAGGTTTTACTGCTGAACAGGCTAAGTAGTATAGATCCAGAAGAAATAGGTTCTCTTGAAATGTATACACAGGTCATGACTCAGACGGGGATGGTGTCTAATCCATAACATTTAGGGGGTGCCTTTTTCAGTATCACTTCCTACCGTTAACCATAAATCATTAAACTGGATCACCGTACAGTATTGTGTTTAGATTATGAAAACACCCCATAGATTTACTAGTAAGGAAGTAAGTCCTCGATTTGATCACGAGGTGGTAGCAGTATGTGACTTGAGCCAACAAGAAAACCAGCTTGCTCTTTGCAACTTGCAGAGTTCTTCAAGGTTCTTTCATTTCTGGAGCCACACTGTGGCTGACACCCGAGTTTACTTTACTGAGACCGTACTGCTTTACTGATTCATCTCTATTCCTTCTCTTTAGCTTTTAAGATTCATCTTGTGCGCCACATCACTCTCTACATTCTATTCCAGAATGTGGAGAGAGAATAAAGTTTCTATTGCTTTCTCAATTTGGGTCAATCAGGTTACTAAGTAAACACTACGAAGACTTATATAGAGAAATATGAGTGAAGTTTTATTTTCATTGCTTAAACTGATTTATCTCTATTAATCAAATGAGTCTTGTTTTTTTCTCCCCATTTTTTCTACGATTAAACACTCCGATCGAATTATAACTATCAAGTTGTATATTATGGATATTAGAATTAAGAGTTATGACTGTTATTAGATTTCGGTTAACCTAGTCAAACTTTCTTGATGTGAGGTGTAGTGTTGAGTTGCAAGGAAATATATGATAGTTCCGTATTGACTTATTGTGCTTTTTTTCCTATCAATAGATTAAACAATTTGACCATCCGATATTGAGCATGATTTGAGCACACCGTGTAAGTTGTGTCATTGTCTTTAAACATCTAAAGAATCTGAAGAGAAAGAGGTACCAGAAAATATGGATCGATTAATTGGTATAAGGAGAAACGTCACATCGACATTCAAGAAACATACAATTACATCGATTGTCATAAAATAAATTATTATGGAGTCAGTTTGTCTCTGCATTTAGGGTTAGGATTTGAGTACGGTTCAATCATCAATAATAAAATGTCATCAGTAACCTCAAAATTCGGGTTCCAGGTAAGGGTATCTGTTTGAAATCATGGCCATGATTTTTCTACGTATATTGCTTGTTTCTTTTAGAAATACATGTCGGAATACACACATAGCCAATAGTCATTCTAGCAAGCTTGAGCCACCAAGTTTGTATACAGATTGCTTGTATTTCTATGAAAACACAGGTCAGAACATTCTCCTAGCCAATAGTAATTGTATCAAAATGTTGGATCGCCAAGAAGGTGGAGTTGATACTTTGGCTGAATTTTGAATTCGTGATAATACAATGTCAGGAGTGTTATGTTAGGTGGTTTTAACTTAGATTTCTCTATAAATGAAAATGATATAAAGCTGAGACTTCTGTACAACAAAATGTACAGAAGGTAATAGTGATACATCTAGAGCAGAAGTTCGGTGATTGTTACAACGTTGTTCTGAATATCAAAGAAGTGATATTAATGAAAGAGACTTCGGGTACTCTGAAGAAGGTACCAGTACAGTACACAAATTGGACCTTGAAAGTGAAAAACATCTCAAGCAGGATATATCGTAGGCTTTTTGGAGACTGGGCCAGAGGCAATATCTGAGACTCTAGCAGATTTGGTCCGTTGATAAAACTCAGAGACCGGTACTGAGGCTCTATCTAAGATATCATTTAAGGTTATTCCATAGTCTTCCTTGTGCAATACATCATAAGGCTAAATGAAAATTTTGTTCTTATTGCTTGATAGCTTGTTACATAATTCGATGAAGGATAATTCATCGAATTCTTAATTTGTTTGTTTTTCTTCTTTTCACTATGGTGTCACTTTCATAGTAAAAAGAATTGTACTTGACATAGAAAGCTGAGAGCTAAATTTTAGAGATTCTAAGTAGGGGATTGGATAACATTGTCATAGGTTACACATGCCGACGGTGTAGGTTATATGAAAAGTTCAACGAACATGTTAGAACAGTGTATTTCATCCTTCATATATGGCTGGTCAACAATCATGCATATATTAAATAACAAATAAGAATCTGTTTTATCCATCTGAATTTCATCCACGCATTTTACATCCAATACTGGACCTGGATTTCTATTTCAGGTCTTGAAATATTATCTAAAAAGAATGACTTTGGGTTAATATATCATTATTTGCCCGTTCTTGATGCACATGCCTACACTTATTTTAGGAGTTTGTTAAAGTGTGATGAGAGGAATCATTTTGTTGTTTGATTCTAAAGTGCTGGGTCGTACTAGGCTTTTTCCTGTAAAGTCTGTTGATAAAATTAAAATAAGGAAATCTTCTAGCTTCTATCCGGTGATATTGTGATGTCGCAACATTCTTATAAATAAGTCATATGCATTAACCGCTTTCAGATTATCCATCAGGATTGATTTGAAATAAGTATGAATGTTGAAAATACTTTCATTTATGTGTCATGGGCATCTATCTTTTTGAAAACTTAGAGATGAAGATGTTACTTGATCAAACGATAATTTTACTTTAAAATTGTTGTACAGTTCGTGTAACTGTTTCTTGGACCACCCTCTTTAAAAAATGGTGCACCATGCATGCGCGCAATTATTGCGCATGGAGGAGGAAAGTGCAAGTAAAAGGAGTAGCAACTCCGAGAAGATTGACCGTTGTTTCAAGAAAGAGTTCTCATTTGATTCGGCAAAGCATCTTAGAGCGAATGCAGGCCAGGAACATAAACTAGATGAAAGCAGCAAGTACAGTAGGAAATGACTAAGTGGCCGATGGATGGATGGATGGAAATAACAAAATTGAAACAATAAGAGGATGGTGGAGATAAGAGTCATTGGCCATGTGATCAAAAAAGATGAAATGGATGGCAATCACAGAACAAGTCGAGTCTAAAGAATAGCGATAGCAAGGATGTCTAAAGAACACATTAGATAGCAACAGAAATGGAAAAATGATACGACACGAGACTACTAAGAGCAAGAGTTAGCATTAAGATGACTAGATGGTGCATTGATATGAGCATCTTCTTGACCGGATGATGAAATTTGACATGGCTTCAACTTAACTTTAAAATGCAGGCATTTTATTTTTTATTTCCCGTTTTTTATATATTCTATCCATGTGCTTTTAGTACAAAAAATAATAAATTCAACATATATTTTCCTAACATGGTCTTCTAATTAGAGGTGAATTCTTGGTGATCTTAAACATTAAGAAACATACACTTCATATTTACTGTTGTATTTTACACTACACCACACCAAAAGTTATTGCACATCCATGTCATGCATTAGTGGTTCATTTGGTCTTGTCCGTATCATTTTCAAATACATACTTGGAATTCCGTAACATTTGTTTTTTAATAGCAATTTTGAAATTAGTAACATGTCCATCACTCTATGATGTTCATGATAGAGTTGAGTTGTGTCTTCCTCAACATATCTCAAGAGCTATCGTTTTTAGTGTAAAGTAAAACCCAAACCATGATTAGAGTTAAACTAGAGCTAAGTTAATACTAACAATCTCCTCCTCAACTATAGATTTTAGAAATCCAAAGTGAGGGAGAAACCTAATTATAATATTGTCGTGGGACTACCACGGTAACACTAAGCATTGAAATTGGTGTAGTGTTTGAGACGACGAGCTAGGTTTTGTCGCCATAAGTAGTCAACACCGCACATATGCAGATTTGCGCTTTAGTGTTTGCGTATGTGCTACAATCAACAACACTACTGACATGATTTAACTTTCACATTAACTCATGTGATGGAGACATAATTCTTCATAACTTATAAAATCTTAAAAAAAAATACCAACATAGCATACTTTGAAAACTATAACTAATTTAAACTAAGCCGTAGTCACAATAAAAGAAAATAAAAATATATAGATAGAATGAAAAAAAATTACTTGTACTTCTCATTTTAAATAACACATTGTATCATAAAACTCTTCAAACAAATAATTTTGATTAATGCATCAAACTTGATTGAATTTATCATCAATCTTGATTAGCTCAAATATTTTATTAGAATTTAAATCTCTAATAAAGTGAAATGTGATGTCAATGTGATTTATTCAATTTCATCATTTTATTTACAACAAATTGTAATTTATTTCAAAACTACATGTTTTAATCTCAAATGAAAAACCTATTCAATCAAATAGTTTACCTTGCTACTTTGATGTCACAACATATATAGCTTCCATTGTAAACTTTGCTATTCATTTTTGCAAAGTAGATTTTCAACTAATGCATTCATCATCTAATCTAAATTCATACCTACTTATATAATTTATCTTGTCTAGATTTTTTTTATAAATAGCATAATGTATACTGGAAAGGTTTTGAAATTGATCAATATGACATCAAAAAATAAGGAGTGATTAGTTATACCTCACTTAACGCTAATTATACCTCACAGTCAGAAGAGAGATATTGGTTTGGTCAATATCATGCAAATGTAGACCAAACGTGCGATATAGTCTTCGCAGGCATAGAAAAACGGGAAGAAGTAGTGCTAAAAATGGAAAGATTAGACTAGGTGAGGTATAATTAGTTTTAAATGAGGTAAAACTAGCCGCTCCTTTAAAACATATCATAATCCTTATTACTATTCACATATCTTAATGTCTAAATTACAATGCAATCTAAATGCATATTGGACTTGACATGTATCTTCTCACCTTGCTCTTAGTTAAAGCATTATGAAGTCTTGCGCATCAAAGAGATAAGGCTATTTTTGACTTTGTAATAAAAAATTAATGACATCTCTTACTTTTCAATGGCATCAATTAAAAAATAAAGCTATAAAAAGTTTGAAACGTGTTGTCAAAGAATTATAAATTTCTTTAAAATTTTATCATGTTAAATCTCTCAAACACATATATTGTACATAATTGCCTTGATTTAATCATAGTTCTCACTAGAAGCGTAGTCTCCACGGGGGTGTAGCCAAGCCTATGATCACGATGATCATAATTGAATTATGATCATCGTGATTATAATTATCAACATGAGGATTAAGATTCATATATATATACAGATATATCCTTTCAATATCCTTGATCATCAAGTTAATTATGATGATCGAGGATCCTCATAATTAACCCCATCCTCGTGTTGATTTCTCTATCATTCAGATAATGACCTTATTTGGATCATTCATTTTACTGGATAATAATAATAATGTTGATAGTCTATCAATCGACTTGATCCTTACTTCATTTGGATCATTCATATATGTATATGATTTGATCATATACATATTTTCTATATGATGTAAATTATCATTTCCATCTAAATCACCGGATTAAAATGAAAGATTTACAAAGAGAGGCTTTATCTCATTGTTTTCAGTCCTCCCGGCTGCCGTCCGACGCGCCATCCATAAGAAAGACTTACTTTTATGTATTTATTTCCTGTTCCTTATCTGTTATGTTCAGATAAATAATAATAAAAATTCCTGTTCTTATTCTTTATTTCCCTTTCGGGGACACTGCTTTTAGTTCCAACCGTTGAGGATAGGTTATAGGCCAACCCCCCCCATTCGCCGTCTAAACCGTCACGGCAGGGCTTACTCCTTTATATACTTTATTACCTATATTTTTCTATTTTTCACTAAAAAATATATATTTTTTTTTGCCGCTATATAATACGTTTTTTCTTCTTCAAAATTCAATGAATAGGCATATATAATATCGTCTTGTCTTTATCTTCAAATGCTTTTTGCATGTGTCGATATTGAATTGATTCTTTGCCAACGTAAACATATCATCCATGTAAGATACTAAAATAATAAAATTGAAGATCTCATAATTCACTTTGAACATGTGTAGACATGGATCATACATGTTTTTGGAAATGTCATCAGTCTATTTTAAATATTCAAAAGCTTCTTTGTACCTTAGTTGAGGTGATTACATGTTATTGAGGAACTTGAAATTGATAGAAATTTCAATTGTCATTATGTCAACTTTAGATTGAATCTAAGCAATGAAAATAATAATAGTTAGTCACACCAATCAAAATCAACCTGAAATCAAAGCAATATCTTTGAATCTAGACTTTGATATGATACAAAATAGTAAAATTCACTCATAAAGTCTAGAAGCTTCATATTTCTTCCACCAAGTGTAAACTTCATAGCTAAATTTAATCATGATTAAACAAAAAATGAATAATACTTTGATTAATTCTACTATTTTTTCACAAAAATAACTACTAGTTTTATCTTTAAATCCAAGTTTCAACTTGAGTTTTTTAAAATAAAAAAGTTGTAAAAAATTCAAAATTGTGTGAGAAAATAATTCCACACAATTCTTAGATATTCAGCAATAAATAATACATTGTATAACTTCCCAGAGAAAAAGTATTTTGAAAAAAAAATCCACACACCATTATGTACATACTCAAATAAATTTTCAATATGTAAATTCCAATAAGAAAAATTTTACTATGATGTTTGACTATACACTTTGACTTGTATATTCATGTCATGAAGAGATAAATAAGTCATTCAAGATTGATTATGGAGATTTTTTTATCCTTGCTACTAGAAATGGAATGAAAACGTCATCTTTCTTGACATTGTGTTTGATGAAAATGTTTATTACTCTCATCGTATGCTATGAAAAAAACATGCGACTATTACTATTACAATAGATCACGCAGATATAGAGAATGTGTAATTTATTTTATATGGCCAAACATTAATATGTTTGGCCATATGTCTTGTCTAGATGGAAAAATTTAAAAACATGTTGCAATAATCACTTCTTTGAATTCACAATGATATGATTTTATACATGCAAATTTCAATTTTATTTTCTTTGTATGACGGAAAGAGAGATGGTTTGAGTGACAAAAGTTGGATGAATGAGCTATTGTAACCTATGAGCAATTATATTCAAATTTATGTTTAGGTGAGATGAAACATAGTTCAATCACACTTCATGTAGGTACTTATAGTGACCGTGTAGCATATATGACAACAATACTGCTTTTTAATTGGTTCCACAAAGTTTGATTGCCCTCCTACATTGCAATTAACTTTCAATGTTTGATAATGTTAAAATATTAGTCGTTGCATTTACTATTTATGTAATCTTTTGTTTAAAAATGATGAATCTCTGCACATGAGACTCGTGTTCAACATTTTTGTACTCCTTGCTTAAAAATGATGAAAATTTACACATGAAACTCTTGTTCAACATAATGTAATTTTCCAAGTCCAAGTTCAATATTTTTCAAAAATGAAAAATATTGATGATGATGGATGTGGAAATATTTTCAACTATCCAATTTAAGTTTTTAAAATAGTAAAAAGATGCATTTTGATAGCATGATAAAGTAGTTTTTTTAATTAATGTCATCAATGCACATGTACACACATACAAAATTGATGCATTACAATGTTATATACATGCATTATTCATCATATTGAAATATTTTGATGATTGCAGCATGTGATTTCAACTAAATTTGTGCTAAAATTTAGTCTTGCCATAATGAGAAAAGCTCAATCTTGAAAAAGTTACTTTATCAAAGAATCTACAATGGAATGATCATGAATTGAAACTTCTTGTCATGCATTTTGTGGAATAAAGCATAATATATATATTATTTATCTTATAAGTTTTTAATTACATGAATCTAATACAAGATGTTGACATGTAATTTGTAATGTTTCTTCAAAACATACATAAATCTGATTGTGTTCAAGACATCACGTTCTCTTGTCTTAAAGTGGAGAGTTAGATAGTTATATAGATAATAAATTTATCATATGAGTGAAAAAGAAAAAATAAATCAAGAAGAAACAACACAAAAATTGAATTTCAAGAGCAAATTTAATGAGATGAGAATCATGAGGATTTAAAAAATCGTATACCACATAGCCAAATGGAAGGAATATAATTTTATTGCTTTAGGAGAGATAAATCAAAAACAAGTTCAAAATTATAAATCTTTGTAAGATATTGAAATCTCAATCTTTCAATTTTAACCACAAAAAATTGAAAGATATATTGTAGTAAGCAAAGCAATATATAAACATTGTTGTATTATATTTTGAATTTTAAATAAACTGATCAATATTATTGTTTGAAAATCTTGAATGACATTTTTATGATGCATATGTCTAAATTGTATGTCATATAACAGTATGGTTTAAAAATTCAAGATCGCATTGATATTTTGGACTATATGTTAATCAACATTCAAAATCTTAGAAATCAATTAAATGATGATAGAAATATAATAATACATCTTCGATTATTTTCATCATATCAATCAATCACATATCTTTTTATAAATCATCTACAATAAAATTTGATGATGATACATATTCTTCATTTGTTATGATATTTAATAAATTTAGATTTAATTTTAAATAATATAAATTCTTACTGCAAAGAAATTACAACATTTTTAAGATATTAGAGTCATCTACATCGTTTAACACTACATACTCCAAACACCTAACCCTAGAACTAGCCGTTCTTAATAATAGAAAGATTTGGCAAGAATATATAAACTTATTTTTTTTAATTATCATATTATAAATTGGCAACAGTTAGAGATTTATTGCTGCTATTTCATTCATCATTTAATTAGAGATTTCTCATAACAGCATATTCTTGAAAACTTCACTTTCAGGAAGTGAAGTTTAACATGATGAACTTAACAATGATCATATATATATATATAAATAATTGCACGGATATATATTAGAAGTATACTACTTAAACAGAATCAAAACTTTATATCTCAGCAACACTAATAGTATCTCATCTATGGTACACATTCACACTACATTGCCATTGCCTCGTCAATTGAATGCATATGAAAGATGAATAATTCTTGCACTTTTGTTTGAAGGGTTAGTTTTGAATGCTAGCGAATTGTTCAAACTTGGACCACTGAAAGCTTTAAGCTGATATGAAAAACATTCGAACGTTTGTAAACTGAAGTTATGAGCTACATTTCATGGAACAATTACGATGCAGACTATCTTAGGAGTGGCTTTAGCAGTTAAAACATCATAGATTGAAAAATTGACTGTTATCAAGAAAATTGGTAGCATATTCTCTATTAAGCTATGAAAAGCACAAATGGTCAAGAAGTGTAATGTCGCTACTTTCCAGCTCCGATAGAGCCACATCCTTCTCGCGGTTAACAACTCCAATAAAAATGCATTTTAGTGATCTATTAATTACATTTTGAAAATATAGTAAATCAAAACGTACAACGAAAACTATAAGCATATAGGAAAAGTATCACCCCTGGCCCTCTTATGTATCTCTCACGAGGACTCGATACACCTGCTACACTTACTTTCATATACGGAGTTGTTCCACTAGTATATTTGTTACACACGATATTCCATTAGACATAATAATTTCGTCAAACACTTGTAACCTTATGTACATGTTACGATATGTCCAAAGATGGGGCCGAGTTAAAATGACATATCATCATGGATAGCATAGCTGCAACATTAAGACCGTAGTAGATGAAGCGTATTTTACATTTCCACTAACACCCGAGACGGTACTACACAACGACGACAAGCGAAAGCTTGAACCTCGCAAGCTACGTACGCGATTGTTTCGTAACCAACAATCGTTTCCCGACTGGAATTTAAAGTGACCGTCCGCATGACCACAATTGACTTTTTTGAAAAATGAAGATCGCAACTAATACAGTGGACGATCAGACAGAAATTGCTCTACACTTTAAGATTTTGACCTTCTTGTAGTCCATCCTTTCCATCCACAAACTTGCGACAAACTCAACTCGTTTTCTTGTCAATATTATTGTTCACCCCGCCGTGCGTAGCTTCGCAGTAAAACCACAGCTTGCAGCAAAAACATGGTGGGTAAGTGTAGGACCCCGATTGAGCCTCAACACGAGAGGCATCGGATCCCACTCGAACTTCATCCATCTTTATTCGCCACTGTGACACCTCTACAAAGTCCTAATCTTGAATGTACCAACACTCAGTTTGTCCCATGCGACAAAAGGTTATAGTGAAATAAGATATGGCCGCCCCTTCACATCAAAAAGGACCTTAAAATTTAGTAAGATCAGGAAAAAGCTACTACTTACAAACATCCATGAAGAAGCTCTCAAAAGCAATGAGGAACACCATCACAGACGAAGGTATATTATTTTCATACATACGAAAGGCCTAGTCATTCGAAGTTCATATACATCGATTTGGAATGCAAAAATGCCATAGCAGCGTAGGATTAAAAAACGTCCGTGATGATAACACTATTTCAACTTTCAGTATGCTTCAGCATAAACACTAGAGTGAGGAGGTAGAAGGTAGAAAACATCGTAACTGCTTGATATTCCATTGTTCAAGGCAAGGCTGGGTCTCCTCAAAAGTGAGACTGACAGTGCAGAAACTTGGCTCAACACCACATCTGAAGGTGACAGACAACATATGAGCACTACCGGCGACAATGAATAATCCAGCACGCTAGTAGACATTACAATTCGATAATTATCTGGCGACATGTCTTGGCACAGACCTAAGAAAGTTTCGAATAGTCACGTTGCCACTGCTCTAGTGATTCTTTGATAAAAAAGTACGCTGGCATTAAAAGTATACTATAAGAAGATGTAAGTAACGCCGGTGGAACTGTATGGAAAATACACCCAACCAATAGAATCCTCTTCTCTTGTAATGTCTACTTTACCGCAGCATTTCTAAGCGGAAAATGTCACGAATGTGTGAATCATATTAAGACCATGTCTTGGCGGTACTTACTCTTCTTTCCACCGCAAGTCCTGTAAGATCTCTGTTCACACCGAGACTGCAACGTTCAAGCCATGTAGCTTAGAAGGGCCAAGATGATTTCAAAATAACTTTGTAAATCATGACAAGACAAAAGCGTAAAAGCCTAAGTCCAGCCATCCCAGGAGTTGCACAAACATTCTAATATGTAGTCCTCAGGTTTGGAGCATGGCCGAAAACCTTTCTATATACACACTATCCAATGTCTCGCTATCCTTTTGATCAACATGATGACTGCAGCAACGTGATTCCAATCACCGCAATATCAGAGGACAACTAACTGAAACTAGAGAGAAGATTAAGACGGCGCAAAGCTTGATTGAACAATCGACAAGTTAACAATCTGCTCATCGGTTGCATAATTGTGACTACTTTACATCAAGACCCAATATGCAAAACTCCAATCACACACAAAAGTATTGATGTGGTCACGTACACTCGGTTCCATCCACCTTCGACCAACAAATCCAAGATAAGTTTCCACATTCATGACAATCGTTCAGAGAAAAACATACTCGTCAGTGCCCTAATGCAATTGCTTACTTCGGAGAAATTGTCATCAAACTACACTGCCTTGCGTATAGAGTGACACACCTAGTAGACAGCACTACTCCACGGATGGAACTCTCGTATCTCGCTATCACACAATTTGAAGCCAAACTTTTCCTTTTATTCCACTGAAGAAATAAACAAGCATTGGTAACCTTTAATAAGGACAACTTAGTTTCTCTTACAGTTCGTTTTCCATATAAAGCTAATTGCAATCATTGAAACTTATGGCAAACAAGGAGAGTTAATGCACAGAGGGCACGGGATGAACACTGGCGACTTGTGCCAGGAGAGTGAGGTGACACATCATATGAAGCACACCTTTTTCAGCCAAAATGTAAACAACCCATGACATTGGCCAAGTCCCCAAGTTGCTTACATCATCTATAAGGTTGCCCAGACAAACATCCTTCGGACTCCCCACCATATCAGATCCTGCACATGATCATAATTCCTTCATTTCAAGACTTTCTTTTTTCTTTTGATGCCGCTTCTCCTGTAGACCAGATGTGCCATATTCTTGTGGGAACACTCAGTGGTATCCATTCCAAAGTTTCCAAATGAAGAGCAAGACAAGAATAAGGCTTGTGTACGCAGAAGAAAGCTAGCTCAAGAGAACACCTTTCTTACAACTTTAAGCTTCTTGAGGATCCCACACCCGGCCATCTTTAAGAATTGCAAAAGCTAACAAACACTCGAGTGAGTCAATAAATACGATCACTGCGGACTCACGAAGCTTGTGTGGACTAACCTGCATCTGGATACCTGCCTGTTTCTTTATCCTGATGCAGATCCTTGCACGCTCAAAACCTCCACGTAGTTTGTCTCAGTTGAGCCGGCCATCCACCTCAACTAGTACGAGTGCTCATATATAGCCCCCACCAAAACAGCGTGTGTACTTATGCGTTCTCTTTCTCAAATCGCACACCACATAGGGGATTAGGCTTCATTGATTGATATCTATATGCTAACAGTTGCCTCGTCGAAGATCTGACCTTACTAACTTACTGACCCGAACACTACTGGGATTAACGAATGACGAAGCCAAGGGGATAGCCTCCTCAGTGGTCAAGTCCACTGCTAATTGGAGACGGAAGCATTCAAGCGAACAATGGTAAAAATAACACATTTGCAACTAGCTCCTATTATTTTGGAAAAGAAGGAGCAACCCACATATTGCAGATTTGTTTCCACAGCTCATGCACCTGGGATCTGTTAGGAGTACCTGCTGCAGTGATGGTATTGCAGCAACAACTGCCATCCCGCACTTACCACCAACTTAGAAATGAGGATGCACGCCGTGAGCAATGTGCTTCGTTGTAACAAAGGGCTGCTACAGTAATGTGCACATGCATGCACATTTGGATTAGTAAATTGCACGGCACCAAGCTCCTTCCCAAACCTTCAAAAGATAAGTACCATCCATAAAAGAGAGTGACCAAACAGCCGGTGATAGGCGGAAGTTCGAAAGTAATAACATATATCGAATTCACCAAAAACTCTGAGAATAAACAGGAACCACAAAAAATCTTCGGAGATGGAAAGGCATGGTCATTGCTGGAATCAGCAGAACAGTTTCTTGTCTGCAGACTAGACAATCTCAGCTGAACACCGATTTTGAATGAAACCTGTCTAGACTTTCATGTGTGACAGGAATCAGATTTGATGGTGTAATACACCAACATTGCAAATCAATCAGATCTGTTACTCCCATCGGGAAAGGTGGAGGTGATGTACTTGGAATCGACCGACTGAAGACCTGACCACCTTGCTGAGTGTTTTCTCAGTTTAATAAGTTACTCTTTGGTACAGGCCAATGATCAACAATCAGGCACAAACTAATCACCACACCATAACTACTGATCCAGTGACACGATGATACGTGAGTCCAGAAACCGACCGTGGGGTTGATGAATGGCTCCCTCCATCTTTAGCTTGTGGCCACGAAATCCTCTCCAGTCCCGTTCCACCACTCTCTTCTCGCTGCTTGGCAGACATTAGTATATCCTACAAGCAATTCTCAAGGGAAGTAAGTGGTAAGCATAAGCCGGGTCAAACACCGGCGAGCCAGCCACTAAGCAAACATGCAGCTAGAGGTCAAGTCAAGGATCCCCCTTGAATGGCCAGATCCTTTAATGCTCCAACTAATGCAATAAAAAACTGCAATTATCTACGGTTTCATCCTCCATCATGCGTACGGGTGATGCCGATGCCGATGCCTTTCCTTATCTCGCGTCACTGGATGAGCATTTTGAAAGTCCCGCTCTGCGAACAAAAAGACGAATAAGGCCACAAAACTTCTCCCAAAACTATAAAGAAATTTCAGCAGCCCTGGATCCGTAATTTGCAGCTTTCAGGAAAGTGTGGACAACTTGGAAAATGCAATCGAATTGTACATACCTCTAGACGACGAATGGTGTCGTGATTTGTCTGAATGACCTGCTGCACATGGAACGAATGATAGTGTTAGTCCACTTCCACCTAAGAGAAGTACCTGATGTGCAAGAGACATCTTCGGTCTTTCTCACAACACGAACTCAACAATAATGTTCCGCGGACATGGTAGAGCCAAAGTCCACATGTCCTAAAAGCAACAGAATTCAAATTCCAGCTCCAAATTGTATATATGAACAGAAAAAAAGCTCCTTACCAGAATCCCTACTCCTGTCCTTGATTCGATAATCTCTTTCCTTCAACCGTTCCCTCTCTTTATCCCTATCCCTTTCTCTTTCTCGTTCCCGAGCCCTGTCTCGGTCCCTTTCTCTGTCGCGGTCCCAATCTCGATCTCTGTCACGATCACGTTCGGCACCTCTATCACGTTCTTTATCCCTACTTTTCTCCACGCCTCCATCATCTCTGTCGTTTAACTGCTTTGCCTTCCCCGTAGTAGCGTGGTCCCTGGCATCACCATTCGTAGTAGGTATTTGAGCCTCGTCAGCAGGCTTCCTCGCGTCCTTCGTGGCGACGTTTTTCCTCTCAATAAGAACTTTGGTGACCGCGGCTTCAATAATCGGCGGACCATCAACACCTGAGGTGGTTGGAGGTACGGGTACAGAAACGGCTCCATTGCCTGCGGCTACTGCAGCTGTCTTGAGCAAGCTTTCCTGCAATACGAGTAATCCGCAATCGAAATAAAGAAGAAACATATCAGCATCAATCTAGCAATGTAAACTTCGAATACACAATACAGTTCAAGGTGAGCGATATGGAGGTCTGTTTGGTTCCGTCCTGTGGAAAAAAAAAGCAACAATTTCATCGTCAAGCCTTTGAAGACCTAGACTACAAACAGCTCTACCCAAATCTATCACTGTACACTACCAAACAGTCCACTACAATGCCATTAAATAACCTATGCGGAAAGAAAGTAAGAGATAACAAGCCAGAATGTTGTACATATATCGTTAACATATATATAAATATAAGCCACCGGAGATTATGATGAGGCATCAAATCGAGGTCGGCAATACGCTCTAGAATAACATCCTAGGTGGCTATTCACAATTCCTTGCACCATAAAAAAGTCCCAACAACTGTATCGCTAGAGTGGAAGCAAATTACTTTAAGATTCAAAAGTCTGTGCTCGCGATTTCAATCAGAATCAAGAACTCACGCTTGACCCAGCGAGAAATCGTCCAAACACGCAATATCTGTCCAGGCTGCTAGGTTTACAAGACTACTTCACAAGAAGAGGGAGCCAAAACGAGAAATTTAAAAGGGGAGAAAAACAACGGAAAGTCAAAGATACATATTATGGACACAACAACAAAGACTAGGTTCTGAGGATGTAAAGTACTTGCCTGAACATCTGATGGCGGGGGGTCCCAAGCTCGACTTGTCAATACAAAAGGCCTAGAATCTTTTCCAACTTCTATGTACCTAGGCCTTGGTTGCTGGTAAAGATTAGCTAGAACCCGACAGACTTCATCGATATCCGGCTTTTGAGCGTCAAATGCTTCCCACCACGGTGGATTTTCGGGCAACGCCACTAAATTCCTCCGCGCAGCAGCATAAACAACTCCACAAGCCACAACCTCGCTCTTGAATCGAACACAAAGAGTTGTCCGCAAGCTGTAGAAAAACATAATAACTACTCATCAGACTTCTGACAGAGCTTAATGTTAGAAAATCTTATAGCTTTCGCTGATTCCCTGTAAGAAGTAAAAACTACACATTACCTTCCCTTTCACACTCGATTCTAGGCGTTCAATGTGTTCCTCATTCGTGAGATGCAGCGCAACAAAAAGCAGAATAAATTCTCAACTCATTCACCTGTCATTTGCCATATTCCAGGCTTCTTGCATAAGCTCTCCTGCTTCCAACTGAGATAGATAGTTGATGATAAATTTGTGAGGGTGCTCCACATGACAAATGAACCCCATCTCCTTCAAAAGATGACGCTCAGTGGTAATCAAGTCGGTTTTCATTTCTTCGTACTTCTGCAAGAAAACATTACAACTGTAAATTGACAAATCACAACACCTCCAAAAACATGCAAGTTTTTGGCATTAAAAGGCCCTGCAATGGTGAGAGTGGAGAGTGAGGAGAGAGAAGAGAAAACTTAAACCACCTCTTCTTCTCCGGCTTTTGAAGAGAATACTACACATAGAGCGAGGAAAGAAATACATCACACTGCTCCATACAAAATGACCTCCGACAGGACTAAGGAGGCGATTCTTTAGCAGGATTGAGTACATAATTTTGTCAAGACTACCTGAAGGCATGAGACGACAAGCACGTACAAAAGTAAAGCATAGTCGGCGTACCTTGGAAAAATGATCCAACAAGTCCAACGGTAAATTTTCTCTCCGACGTTCCATGCGGTGAAAAACATTCAAAACATCACGAATTTTTCGAGGACTTTCCTCGAGCTTTGCTGCCAACCACAAGCAACTAGCACCTACCCTCTGCATGCAAAAAATCAAGCCAGGAAGCAACCACTTAGTCAACAAAGTTCGAAACTTGAAGAAATCACAACAGAGACGTCAAAGGAAGGACAAATTTAGACTTATCGTCCAATAAACTATACAAGTTTCGGGATACTCGTTACGGTAAAGGAATGAACACATCAGATCACAGACCTTCACATTGAATCGCGCAAACGACTTCTTGCAGTAAAAACGATGAAACAACACTTGTCCGGTGGCCATAACAGCTTGTGGCCTGCGAGTATGCACGGTCAAGGAAGACAAAAACCCTAACAACGGACAAAATACGACACAATGGAAGGTGCGATGCCCTAAATCAATGGAAAACACCAGCAGAATGCATTCAGACTTAGACAGTTCTACCAAATTCGTGTGTGTAAGCCTAAATTGAATAAGACAAGCCAAACGGATTCCTCCTGTACGAGTAAATAAGTCCCCATCCGAGCTAACAACAACACATAGCCCCAAGACACATGAACAACCTAAGCCCTAGAGTAAACAGACGGGCACATGATTTGAGTCTCAACCCCAGCTATGAATTCGTAATCCCGAACCTAATTTAGACCCGAACAATTAATAACCCGAACACATGTGCTCGGAACACTGCAATCGACCCTGTGAGACACAAAGGTGAACTTCCTCTTTTTGGAGGCAAACTTCAAAGGATACAATCTCAAAAAGATGCCAGCTTCCTGTATCATATCACAGCCATAGAGACGGAGACTTGCCTCCGTCTCCTCATCAACGCCTTCCTTCCGGGATGGCGAATTTTGAATTTGCTCATTCGTGAGGTAGAAAGTATCGAGAGCGGTGTAAATCATCCCCTCGCGTCGAAGGCAAAGACTGTAATGACTTCGAAGCCCGATCTTCCGGATCAAAAGCCCGAGCGACAGCAGAAATTACGTCACGCAGGGGGGAAAAGTCATCGGCCACATGCAGCACTTCAAGCTCCGGCGCCAGAAGTCAGAAATCAGATATCAGACTGGACCACGTTCGAGAAATGACACATACTGAAGGAGCGTGCGGAGGAGGAAGGGAGGGGCGGGGGCAAGGCAGGTGTGGGAGATGGACCAGATGGAGTTAGTAATGAGGCGGTGACCGAAGAGTGCTCGGCTCCTCCTTCTGACCTTCACCCGCTCATGCACGCCAAAGACACAATGGGCCGCAAGAGATACGATAGTATGGTATGATCATTCCCCGAGGGGAAACATGGAACTACCGAAGCTCTCGAGCGGCTCCGGGCTCCGGGGTCCGGACTGCGCTCGCCACGGCCCGGACGACGAACGTATCGTATTGTGTATAGTACGTAATCCTCCACGGTACGTACGTACCACAGTCAGAAACTCTCACGTGGTTGGTGTTTATCTCATTTTGCGAAAAGGCGGGGGTGATCACACCCACCCCGACCTCAGTCCTGCACACTGGCGGCTTGAGCCACCCGTTCTGAATGCGCCTCGTCCAAGTCTCATGCACGTCCCCATTGCATTTTCACGGAGCTCCAACCGCTGCCACAATCTCGGCAGGTGGCTACATTTCAATTTTTCCCAATCGTGGTGGCTTTTCCCGCAAGTAAACCCTCGATGATGTAGACTTGCATTTTACATCACTCCCTATCTCGAAAGTTTTACTACGTCTGCATCCACATCGCGTAAGTAAAACCTTCCGTTCAAGTGAATGTAAGAATGCACGTTCCTTATCAATCCTGCAGGAGAACTAACAAAACAAGTATTCCCTCTTGTTCTTATGCGGTTGAGATATTTTGAGACATTTAGACCAAGATTTATTTTATGTGAACAAATTTGTGAGAAGATGCAATACTAGTCTCTATGCGTACATTTACCTTCTCTTATTGTCCAGACTTTTTTTAGTCAATTTGTTTTCATTGACATCTCGTTGGTAGTCCAACATGTTGACATGGCCTTTTTGGGGAATCTATATTTATCTGGAAACTTTCAAATACTTGTACGTTGGACTAGCCGATGGTTATTTATGTTAATATTTTTTCGTGTGAAAAATATTCATTTATATCATTTATATGGAGAGATATTAACACCATTACGTACTTAAACACGTGCAGTAAGTGCAACAAATATCCTTCTCTTTCAATCTATTTTTTTAATTCTTCTCATACACAACAAATCTCTCTAAAAACACAAGTATACTTGCAAAAATATCTAATATTTGAAGAAAAATATGCCTGTATTCATATTCATATCTATGAACCAATTTGAAGAAGCAAATTGGAACTTTTGCAGTATCTAAGAAGAGATCATTGTTAATGCTTATTGAGATAATATGTATATATTGACAACTCTCAAACAATTTCAACGTCTATTTTTTGCAGTCACTTACAATAATTAATTATTGTTTTTGTTATTGATAAATTAACTTATTTAACCTTCTCTTTTGAATTTCAATTAAAAAAAAGGCAGCTATGAAAATTGATAGTTCACTCGCACACAATATCAAACCAGAACAATTTTTATCAAATAAATTGATTTCATGGATAAATCAACAAAAAAATAAGCATTAAATAAATTAGAAGAAAGTTTACAAAATTGCTTAACACTTTATTTAGTCATAATCTTACATTTCGTAAAATGGAAGTGAAAAAAATAAAACTTGAATGAATTTTATATCAAAAGAGGAGATTGATTATTCAATTATTTAAATTCAAAACATTTTATAAAAAATGTCTTCATTATTTTTTTCAGTAAATCGTAATATATTTAAACATTTTTATTTGGAATGATTAATGAGAATTTAACCTGTCCAACAGCTGAAAATAAATATGTTTACATTTATATCTTTCTTAATGCATTCAATGTACATTTGAATATATATAACAATATGATGAAACTATGTGTTTCATTTTCATATCATAAATTGCAGAGTTTTCATCCACTAACCACTTACATCACTGAGTAAATAATTGTTCACAATAAATATTGAAACTTATAATTTTTCATGCTCAATATATTTTTTAACTCTTTTCTATATTATTTTAACCTTGCTTTCCTCATTCTCAATACATAAAACTAAATAATGAATAAAGCAAAATAAAATGAATAGTTTTTCATATCTTCGATGACGATCTTTATGTTAAAAAAATCAATTTCATTATAATATGATATAATGTATTTTTTTCATTTTTTATTAAAAAATGCATGTAACAAATGACTCTACTATCATGTATCAAAATTATATTTATTTATTTATTTATTTATGATTCAGATCTAATATTCTTGTTTGCATGTGAGATAAACTCCATTGATACAATGCATTTAACTTCATTTCATTTTATTAGATCCATGTTAACAAACCTCTTTGCATTTTATGCAGAATTTGAATTTTATTTTTTAAACTATCAAATTCATTGCTCATGTGATGTATATAACTTTGGAAAGATTCAAAAAATGTTCCTATATCATTATGAAATTCTGTAATGCTCGTAATCTACTATATATCTTATAAAAAACTTGATCATACGTTTTTATCAAAAATAAAAATTCATGAGCATGATATAATTATGGAGGATGATGCATGCAAATGCATCAAAAAGTATGCATCCTTAAATAATAAAAAATTTAAAATTTAAGATGTGTACAAATTAAACTGAATTCAATCATGTATCATAAATTTTGCAAAAAATGTATTTTGTATAGTTTTAAAATTTTGTTTAATATTTTGTTGATTTTTTCTAATTTTACAAAAGAGAAATAAGCAAAATATATTATAAATCATAATTATATATATAATTGACATAAAAAAACATTATTATACATTAGTGCAATAATTCAAAATTAACTTGAATTTTTTGCAATAAGAATATTTATTTATTCTTTTATTTTTTTATTATGATTTTGTGCAAAGGCATTGTGGATGAATTAAATTTTCATTTTTTTATTCATATTCATTAATATATTTTGATTTTTAGCATTTATGATGTTTTTTTACTTTTTTTTATTAGTTTTGTCATTGTAAGTCAAGTTATTTAGTATTTTTAATTATATGAAATAGCCAAACAAAATTTTGAATGACATAAATCATGATATTAAAATCAATATGTTGTAATATTAAAAAAGTAGATTCCAATATTAACCTAGTTATTTTATGTTAGATGGATGTATGTAGTTTGTAAATATAATAATTCTATAATGTTTGATGTTACATCATCAAAATCTTTTGCTTTTAATTGCACTAGTTTTCAAGGAGTATATTATGAGTCAATGATGTAGAGTAAATTCTTGAAGGGAAATTCATTTGCATTGGCACAAAATGCATGTGTTTATGAAATATTAGAACATGTATAGAAAAAATTATCCCAAATTTGTTGTAGTCTAAATCAATAGAGTTACAATTAACAAATTGATGAGGTTGCTTGATGGTTCATGATGATTTATAAGTAGTAGAAAAAAAATAATTTTAGTATGAGATTGTGAGTATTTAACATATGTCTTTTTAAAATTAGAGAATATAACCATAGTCAGGATTTTTCGCATTGTTGTCACCCTGGAAAATTTGAATTTAAGTTTTGTCACTAGTTAGCTTGTAGTGACAAAACTCGTACTCATGTGTCAAAATATTTATATATGTTTGTGTTGGAAAATCACATATAAATGTCTTGAAAAAATAGTTTATGCTTGTATTAGAGTTTTAATTTGTTCGTGTTCTTTGTATGTTTTTGTGTTCTTGATGATTTTTTGAAAAATATTGTAACAATCGATTTCAAAGTGAGAGAGTAAAATTGATTTAGTAAGTACAATCATGCTTGAAGTTTTGAGTTGAGGAGAGCATGGATAAGTACTCTATCAATCTTTCAATATCTACAGTGATTATATATATATATATATATATATAATCAAAATTCTGCCGATGCAAATGCAATTAACGATTTTGGCTCGCTCAATTTGTTATAGTTGGAAAAATTGATTGAAAAATACCAATATGAAATTTTATCAACTCTTTGGTTGTGTCTCATGAACTGAATGTTCGTTATTTGTACTTGTGGACTAAAGAATGAACATTAGAGTTTAAAAGTAGCAAAGATAATGGGAATTCATAAATCCAACACTCTAAAGATTGAATGAAATGATTTGAAGTGATTTTTATGTGATTTGATAGCAATAAGTATTACAATGTTAAAATTCAATAATTCATTATATATGATCAAATATCTATTATATTAAGTAAATGATTATAATGAATCAATTCAATTTTATAACAAATTTATTAAAATATGAATCTTTAATTTTATCATTCATCAATCATTTTGTATTTATCATTCATTGACTATCTAATTTACATAAATGCATAGTTCATTAATTAAAAAAATTAAATATGTAACAACAATATAAATGTCAAAGAAGTCTATTGATTGAATGAACTTTTGACTAAGAACGTATTGAAATCTATATTATTGTTTAAAGTGTGATGATTTAAACACATCAAATCTAAAAGTAAATAATATGATGAAATGTGAAGAATAATACATTGCCTTAAGATATCACTTTTCATGAATGCAATTTTGGATAACAAATTTGAGCTAGTCATGATTAATTATAAATTCAATGTAGTTGATACTTTGATTTTATATATTACTCAACAAAAATTTATAATTTATTATTTATCGTTTAAATTTTGCCAAAAATAATGAAATTTGAATTTTTTATAGTTTTATTGTTTGTAAAAATAATTTTATGTCATCATTTTTTGATTCAAACTTAATTCTACTTAGTTTTGATTTACAAAGAAATATAATTTAAATTTTTAATAGATTATTCATCAACTTTCATGATGTGAATCAAAGAGATATTATTTGAAGTCTATTTGAATTGGTTAATTTGAGTTAATAAATTAATTATAATTAACTTGATTGGTATGCCATTATATGAATGATATGACTTATTGACAAAAAAATTTATTTTAATATTTCTTGTTGTGTAACTTATATATAATCATAAGTGATGATTTACATAATATTTATATTTAGAATGTGTTTTTGCGATTGTAATCTGATATAATTTTCATTCATATAAAATTACAAATTTTTTGTGATATCAATGTTTTTTATCATGCAATTTATTATTTATCTATGAATTTTTTGATATTATTAATAAAAAATTGTTTAAAATAAATATCTATATTTTGTATATTAAAAACTTAAAATAATTTTCCATATTCAATAAGTGCACATCATTTGACTAAAAATTATTTTAGTCTTAAATACATGTTAAAACCATAATAATCAATATCTAGCTTGTAAATGTGATGCTTGCAACTATATTTGTATAAGTGAAGTTTTGAATTGTAAGCATAATATTTATGTTATAGCAATTTATTGATAACTCACTCATATATAAAGTCATTCAAATATTAACAATATGTAAATAGAAACATCACACACGACATGAAAAATTATATGAAATAATATGTGATTCATCCAAGAATCAAGGCTACATTCACGAAAAGCCAAACATGCAAATGCAATGAATAGTGGAAGTACAAAATAGAGACCATAGGTTGAAATATCATAATGCCAACTAACAATAGTTTGCTACATGAGAAGTTAATTAAAGTAAGAATTAAGTCCAACAATCATTTCCATAACTCATGTTAAGTAAGCATGGACATTGGAAACTTATATATTCACTATGTGGAACATTTTATAAAATATCTAGCAAAATGCCACTTTTTATAACTAAAGTTAACTACAAGTAAGCTGTATAAAAAAATGATCAATTTAAAAAACAAAGAAGTATTGAAAAAATGCTAGTAAATTCTACTTGTACTTCTTATGCTAAACTTCCATAGTAGCACAATATCGCCTAAAACTCTCCAAACAAATAATTTTGATAAACACATCAGCTAAATTGATTATATATTAAGCTCATTACTTTTATCAAAATTGCATGTTTGATAAAATGATACTTGATGTCCATATGCTTTACTTTGTTGTACATTCATTCATTTGCAACCAAATGTAAATCACTCTAGCTATCACAACAAAGATTGACAACGTCATTCTTAACGACTAGATTTGATTTGAAATCTATTGTCATATGATGGATTGCTTTACTTTCATTGATCTCAATAGTTACAGAAATTGACATTCTATTTGTAACCACGCAGCATTCTACGTTCTTAGTCACACAACATGAAACTACTTTCTCTAAATTCATCTCTTGTCTTTGGGATGTGATTGGGATGGAATTATCATTTTCTAAATTGTTATTTAAGAAACAAGATGAATACATGTGATGTTGTAACAAATTTTACAAGATTGTAAAGAATGTTGTTCTACACTTTGTTCGAGGGTATGATTTGTTAATTGCAATGTTAACTAATAGCTTGTGTCAAGTTGATAAGGATGTTGTGGTTTGTTTTGTTGGAAATCTAATAGTTAATCTTGCAGCTAGAATTTTGCAGTTTGAAAGAGATAGTAACAATGCACATGCAACATCTTTAGCCCCATGTCTTCCTTGTGAAATTGTGATCATGCATGCATCAAGCTTCGTGGACCTGATCATTAGATTTTGAATTCGACTTGAGAAGAAATTCATCAACGACTACATTGATTCCTTGGAACGAGATTACAAAGAATCGAGTATTGCTTATCAAAAAGAAGTTATACTTCATGACACAATGGATCAAATGTCGGAATCTGTAGATATTTATGAAGCATGGAGTGATCTTGAACATAGATTTCCCAAACTGTGCACGTTTGCTAGAGGATGTGATAGTGTATATCTTGGTACAACGCGCGTGGAGAGTGATTTTTCTTTAATTAGTTGGAAGAAAGATGAGTACAGATCTTTCTTAATGGATCTGTCATTTGAGGTCATCATGCATTGTAAACATTTTAATTAACTTCAAGAAATTTGAAACAGTGGTCATATTTGTGAGGTGGTACTGTGGTCAATGTGGAAGCCATAATAGAATATTTTATGACAGATTTGGCAAATGCCAAATTAGTAGACATCTGCTAACGAGACATCAAACAATAAGTCAATATATAGATTACAGCAAAGCTGTTGTTATAGTAATGTTGCATGATCATAATCTTTTATTTGACATATTTTTACACCATTGTTATTTCTCTCTAAAATCACTGAACATTGGATACATAACTTGTAAACCGCATACTTCTCTAAATAATCGTTACATACGCAAGGCCATAGAAGAAGGGATGAACTTGTACACATCTCACCATAGCACATGGCTTGACGGTAGTCACCATTTTTTTTCTATTCACTTGGACATAAGGCTTAGGTTGAAGGACCTCAATGCCCCATAAGAGTAACCAATTTCAACACTGCACCGTACAGCAGCAATATCTGCATCATAGATGATAACACGTGACATGGCCAGGAGACTGTTGTTGCCGCCAACAGCGACCTCAGTGGAACGAAGTGAAAGACAGTGACAGACGATTCCCGAAGAGGAAAATCTAAAATCAGATGGGGAAAGACATCACACCCTTGCAGGAAAGAAATGTGTTCTTGAAGCGGAAGAAAGATGCGGCCAAGGACGGGGCAAAGCGAAACAGCAAGCTACACTTCACAGAGCTCTTGCGACGGGGAGCATGTGTCATTTGTGCAACTCGCAGCTGGCCGATTGGTTCAATAATAGAAGCTCCCGGCGATATAAACTTGCTAGAAAAATAATATAACACATTATTATGGACGCTTCCGTGAGATACTGGGTGAAATCTATCAGAGGACATCATACACCGACCCGCGAGCAATTATTGGTAGCGAGAGCCACGTCCAGGGGGGGAGGGCGGAGCCGAGGTCAAGCGACAGGTGACGGCAAGCCGAGCTGGTGATGAACGGCCTCAAAGGCGGAAAACCAAGTGGCGCTACAGGCGCACCAGCAGAGCTCGAATGAGTGATAACGCACGAGAACTGTGGTCACAGTCACGGCCATGACCACAGACGCAACCAATGATTGTACCGAGCAGACACGCAATCGGCACAGTTGACAAGAAGAATGTTGTAAACACAGAGCATTCCGACGGCGGGAGGGGAATTGTGTTCAAGTTCGAGAGCGAGTGCGAGTGCGCGGTAATAGTTCAAGCTCTCTCGGGGGAGTAACGAGTTTACCGGTGAGCACAGCTGGAGGGATCGGACCGCGCAGAGCGAGCCACGGGCGAGGTAGCGCGAAACCGACGGCCGATTGAGGAAGGCGGGCCCGCTTCGGGTCTTCGTCCTCTTGGTGAGCCATCGTTCTGGCAGCGGGGCCCTTCGCCTCAACGAAGAAAAGAAGGATGAACCGAATGACGAATATCCAGAGGATTCGTTGGCGAGGACGTTTGTAGGTGGATCCGGCCTGTTTTGGTGGTCCGCAGGTAGATAACTGCTGTGGCAGATCTGCTGCGAGGCGAGGGAATTTCTTGTTTGAAGTGGTGTTGGTGTTGGAGTGCCGACCTGTTCTGTCGCCACAGTGCGGACTCCCGTTCTCCTCGAGGTTTTGTGTGGACACTTGTTCGTGGGTTTGTCAGTGTGAAGGCTCGGCTCGGCGTTCGGGTGGGCAGCCAGCGAGCGAGAGCCAGTCTCCACCATCACGCCCAATTGTAAGGTTTTGGGGCCCCGCGTCGAAGGTGACGATGTTAACTTAGGGTTTTGGGTACGACATTGCTCGTTGTGTTGCGAGTTGTTTCAGAAAACCTTCGAGTCCGCTCGGGGATTATTTTTTCTTGCTGGGTTTTATTATTTTCGAAAAACATCGACGCTTGTGCCTATGGTGTCCCCCCGGGTTGAGGCAGCCGCGGTGTACAGATGATTGTCGCGGTCGACGAGGTCTGCACTCTCTTGCTTTAGGGAAAGGTGGTCTGTAGCTCGAACCTTCGTTTGCAGTGGACGAGGTTGCATCGAGCAGGTACGGGAGTTAGTTAGGGTACAGAACGGGCTGAGAAAATGAGACACGGGGGATGAAATGAGTTATTTTTATGAAACTTGATCGGTTTTGCCCCTAGAGTGGGGTAGCAGGTCGCAGGAGGTGAAAGGCCAACCTTGCTTGGAAGACGGAACGTGGAACTGTGGGCTCGGAACTTGTCACAAAATATCGAGAAGACTGCGCAAGAGATGTGATCGGTCAGATAGTGATCGGGAGGTGGTAAAAAAATAGTCGTGCAATGGGGGAACTAGAAGCAGGTTTCGCGAAGCTTCAAGGCGAGGACTTCGAATATTACATGCAAACATACTCTATCATTTTAGGCAGGAACAGTAAGAAGACTTCGGTGGATGTAGATCTGGCAGGTCTCGGTGGGGGTATGAATATATCTCGCCAACATGCCCGCATATTCTACGATTTCGAGAGAAGAAGATTTGTGCTGGAAGTGCTTGGAAAAAATGGTTGCTACGTTGAAGGTGTTTTGTATCTACCGGGAACTCCCCCAATCAAGCTCGACTCAAAAGACCTGCTGCAAATTGGCGACAAGAAATTTTACTTTCTCTTGCCCGCGAAGAAGCTTGCTAGTCGAACTGCCACTTCAGCTTCTCCTGCTTCTGGTGCCTCGAGAAAGAGACCGGCAAATTCTGCCAAGCCATCTGCGTCCTTGAAAAGTGGATTAGAGGACTCCTCTCACCTTATGCAATCTTCTAAGAAAAGTCGAGCTTCTGGCAAGCCTGATGCAGGTGGAGGACGGGATAAAAAATCTTCTTCCGTGTGGATGGGGCACGACCAGGAAGGGATTACCGCAGCTGGCAGTAGCAGTGCCCAAGTGATCAGTTCGCATTCCGGTCTGCATCTTCCAGAGGGAGGGAGAGAGAGTGAGGCGCTGACAGTTTCTTTCGACTCGCTTTTGATTTTCTGCATAAAGTGGATAATTAAACACATCTTCCTAGCAGCTCTGTCCTGTCCTCCTTGTCCCACTCCCACCTGAGAAAGTCATGGCCGTGGAGACTTTATCCCCGTAGGTGTTTTTCTCCCTCTTGCTTTTAGGAAATCCGTACCCTTTTCCACATCATGTCATAAGAAATTGTAATAAAGAACCCCTTGTTCAATTGTCCTCTGAGTTTTATGTTGTGGGCCTTAATAGCTAAGTTCTACCCTTCTGACCGGATGTGGGGTTGTGCGTGTATAGAGCATAAGGGGGATATGAGGAGGCGTGGAGAGGAGTCTGGTTTCTCTCAAGCTAAAGCAGAGGAAAGGGATGTTGTGTCAGCCATAACCACCGTGCTACAGGAGCTTTGCGCACCTGGGGAATGGATGCCTATGGCAAGGCTAAATAATGAGGTGAGTGTTTTGGTCTGTTGACTACCATGTGAGTGGAGATTTTCTATACTTGCATAAGGACGATTGTTCTGTCGAGGTTCTTGTGTCTTGTGTAAGCCAGTATGCAAGCCTTCATTTATGTAAGGAACTGGCACAACCTTAGCATTAGGGTTGTAAGATAGCCGAAATTTGGATGCCAAGAGCATTGCCCGTGGTTTTCTGTGAAGATGCATTTATTTTTCGCTCGACACGCACTTAGCCGACTCTTAACACGGGTTGGGTTTGAGTTGCAGCTGTCCGATCATTACAGCCATTTAGTGTCGCAATCGAAGCTTCGGAGAGTCGTACAAGCTCAAGAAATCAGTTCAGTAGATGGTGAAACTAGAGTGAAAGCCTGGGCAGGATTGTTGGTTTTGTTAAGAAAATACCCTCAGCACTTCGTCATCAACACCAAGGTTAAAGGCCGGATTACAGCAGAGTACGTTGCTCTAGTGTCTGATGGCATGTAAGTTATATTTAAGAAACATTCCAGACGTGTAGACTATCCCTCCCATCCGTGTACCATACTATCCCTTGCATTAGTTCAAGCTAATGTACTGATAGTAGGAATCTCCCGACACATACATGATGTACCCCGTCCCTGTTTTGGTGTTACAGCCGTGAGATGTTAACTTGTTCTTCCCCTTGTTGTGAATCCCATAATCTTACCTGACTGAATAGGCTCACTCTATCCGGATTGGAGTTCTGGATGGTTTTGGGTAGGCTTTAGATTGTCGAAGTTGGGGAATTCGAATGAAATTTTGACAAATGAAGAAAAGAATTTGACGAAAGCCTCCGGATGTATCATGGCTTGCTGCATACAAACTTTTTTTCAGCACACTAGTAGAAAAACTTCCACCTTTCACCATTGTCGGGGAGGGGGTTCACTACTCATGGTTTTCTACCAAACTCTCACTCTCCGACCTCTATCTTGGAATGAGCAGTGATGTTGGCCAAGTAGATATGACGTTTTGAATGTATAAAAAAACTCTGAGATATCTCACTTTTCCGTTGCTCCGAGAGGTGGGATACGAGGAACCACGCCATTGATGGCGGAGCTTAATTCAGAGACTTGCATCTCTGGCGTATCAACTGCGTCCGAATAGTTTTCTCTAAGCAGTGAGATTTTCACATCGTAAGGTGACGTGTTTTCTCGAAATAGCGGAAAGCTTCTGCCGGACTAAGGCATAGATTGAACGCAGAGTCATCTCTACCTATGCGAAGGGCTGTTTGCTTTCGTGATATGACTTCAGCGTTGGTCTATTGGACCTCGCGAGGCAATCATCTCGCAACCAGACTGCAGCCTCTACACGAAGCACATGCAATGTCTCATTGACCCTTTCTGGAGATGTACTGCATGGCGAGCAAGAGAGGTCCGATGTGGATCCAAGTCCAGTTCCTCGTCGTGTCGGGTCTCACTGTTAACGCTCCACTGTAAACCATTCTCACGTCCAGTTGCAGTGCGTTCGCTGTACGTGAAAGTATTACGCGAAAGCCGTACCACTGCCAGCCAGCACACGCAAACGGGTGTCAAAAACAGCCAATAGTAAGTATACACGTGCAGTAGGAAGATTGAGCACTCGCTCACTGCTGAATAAATCCTAATGTCTTTGGAAGAAATCTTCTCATGTTGGTAGGTACGTACAAGTACTTCCCTCTCTAACGCGGTTATTATGTTCTCCGAGTTCCCCCTCGTTGCGTAGCCGTCGTCAATGCCGTTGAACGTTTAGCAACCATGTCCACGTAATGGGCTATGCGGTGGAATCGTTCTCTCGTTGAATTTGTCACTTTGATTTCAATATTTTCTGTCATTTGCGCACGTCTACCTTGAGAGGGATTTCTGTCATCTTGCATTGAACAACTACCCGTCTGAGTTTCAGAGCCTGTGATGGTATTGCACTACACTAGGCACAATGTACAGATCAGTAGTGAACGAATGAGAATTCCTGGAACTATGGATGTGGTCGGCGAGTGCAATGCAAAGCTGAACACATCGTCAACGGCGACAGGAAGGACAGGGATGTGACTCGTTGCATGCACGGCCACCGTAACATTGGACACTTAGTCCTAGACCTTGATTCCACGCGAAAGAGCTGCTGTAATAACATGGCTTGATTCTCTGAAATGCAGTAATGCGTTCAATAGCAAGTTCCCGCTTAGTTTATGTACCACGAATCTGCCTGCAGAAAGGTGGATGCTGTGCACTCTCCCTTTGTTTTGTCTATCGTTCTGTCATTTCCAATTTGAAAGACGGAACGCATGTCTATGCACAGCACAGGCCCTAGGAAGTGTATTTCGTATTCGAGAGTTCATAGCTTATACACTTCCGTGGCCTATCAACAATTTAATGCTCATACTTGACCGATTTCACCAAGAGTGCGGATTTTAGCCTTCCATCGAGCATGGAAGGATTCACCACCCTCATAACGCTCATTCCTACTCGTCTCCTGTTATATAGGGAAGAGAGCATAGCCATGTCCATGCTTAAGGGACCGGTTAGTTAGGATGTGAATGTATGCCCATGGAATTCCCGACTCTAAGATTGTCCAGGAAAACTCGTGCACCGCTTACGTGAAGCCACTTCCTTCTTCGTGAATATGCAAGCGACGGAATGGATATGCAAACACTACAATGAGTTTACGGAAGTAAACAACCATTGACCCAAACCCGTTCGAAAACTTGGCGACTAAATGGAGTCTTAGGCCAAGAAATATATCTTGAAGTCTCTTCTCGAAAGCTGTTGCACGTGTATGTCTTTGGTCCATTGATTTATAATGATTTTTATACAACATCCAACATATTCAGAAAATTCTCAACTTTTTCTACCCTGTGAATAGATTGTACTATTCTCGAGGTCTAAAACGTTCTTCCCTAACACTCTTTTTCTAAAGACAGCCCCTTTCCATCCAGAATACAAGCTCAATTTCTTTAAGCTTTATTTTCAAATAAAATTTACTGATATTGATCTGGAAAAGTCTATTTCTCAAAATGAAAACGATATCCATAGCTTCGTCGATGTCCGTGCTTTTAAATAAATTTTACCCGAATAGTTGTGATATCATGGACAAATTGATATAAATTTTCCATGACGGTAGGACTAGCCACATCTTACCGCTTTGGTTTCATACATGAAATGAATGGTATTTTTAAACTTGTTTCCATATATCATCACTTGGTTATGGCTCATCGTTTAGATTGAATCCAAATGATATCAAAGTCTTGTGAGTGAAGTCAAGAGAGGAACAGTGTTGGGCATGGACCATGCAGATAAAGATGTGTACCGCTGTTTTCACAAACGAAGAAGAGCAAAAGAGGCAAAAGTGATCTTAGCCGAATACAGGTAGCGTATTCACGCTCTCCTCCTCCGCCAAGGAGATTGAAGGTCCTTGGACAAGGTGTAGACCTACCATACACTTGAGTGACCATTGGTGTTGACTTTTCAAGCCAATCTTGGTACTTTGTACGACTCCAAGTCGTGAGGTGCAGAAAGCCAAATCTGTAAAGGGCTGTTTTTCCTAACGTCAGCAACCAATTGTAATTTATGCAGAATGTTGTACTTGCAATCCTTGGAAGCGAGAAGTATTTTCCACGTAATAGTCGATGATGCTACATATCTCTTACTGGTTCCCAAAGCTTGTGAACCTTTTATCAACCTGGTTCCCGCTTCTCCAACGATGAACCACTTGTAGTTGTCAGCTCCTCCTCTCCATTTTCCTCCAGTATCAAAAACCCAAACTCAGTTTCTTAATTGAAAATAATTTTTTTCCAACAATTGAAATTTATTTATCTTGTTATATATAATAAAAACTATGAAAATACAATATCCTTTCCAAATAAAATTTGTAACTTATCATAATATATTTCAATTCTTTGATTTTATATTCATAAATATGATTCAAAACTGAAGACTGAACTGATTCTTAACAAACTTCAGTTTGAGAAGAATTAAAATTAAGAATTGTATATGTTTTCCCTTATATGAAGAAAAAGTCAATACATATATTTTCCACCTGCAATTAAAATTTGACTGATTTCAATTCCAATAAAATACAGAAAAGAAAATAGTTTAGTTTGAACATAAGTCATAAATTTCTGACTAAAATATTTTCCATCTTCCAGCAAATCATCATTCTAGAGATTAAAGTCATGAGCCAGGTGTCCTAAAAGAGAATAAGCAGTTTTGATTTTCAACAAATAGCTTTACTTGACGTGGCTAATCTGGCAATATTTCCAACACACTACCGTGTTACTTTCTTAAGATTTACTCATGGATTTGGATTTCCCTATAAATAAAAAATGCTTGTCATCGTTGTCATGATGTGAGTATGATCGACTTCGAATCACAAACAATGCTATCTGTTCAATAAAATGGTGTAAGAGATGACCTCATCACCTTGATATGTTACATTAATCAACAATTCACTCACAACTTTTTTCTAAATAATTATTAAATGAAAAAAAGACACTTGACGATCACAAATATGATGTAGGTAATGAACTCAAGAGATCTGATAATAAATAAATATTTATTAAAAATATTTAGAACAATAAAAATATTTCAGTATGAAATTGTAAGATATCATATTGTTTTTAAAATTTTAAAGTATATTAAAAAATGAAACGAAGTAACAAATTTTTCAATAAGAAATGCCTATTTTAAATTTTATTAAATTCCTTTTTATTAGTGCACTGAATTTGCATATAGTCATTTTTAATGCAAGGATTGGTTTCTATATGGAATTTTTCATCAGGTTAATTCGTTTTTACTTCATCAGTCCATAAAAATATGCAAACAAGTATCTTTTGATGTTAAGATGTAATCAAATGTTTAATTTATTAAATTTTAAAATAAAATATTTGAAGAAATGATGTTCTTTATGCAGAATGTTTATAATATGTTGCAAAAAATCATAATTTTCATTTTTTATTCACCTTGCATTTACTTTTTACATTTACGATAAGTTTATATGCATCTTATATCAAAAGGTTTGTTTTTGCAATACATCCTAACCTCGATAATATCACATCCTCCGTTTCACCATAAAGTGTGATATAAACGAGGTGTGACATTTTTGATAATGTCACATTTTGAAAATGTGATATTATCAAAAAAATTAAAATAAAACTACAATGCAAAAAAAAAAAAACAAATGAAATACTTTAAAGTTTTTAGATGTAAAATATAATTCAAAACTGTGAATGAGAACAAAAACACAGTATAATGTGTCATTGAGATCCGGTAGAGACCTCTCACTTGAAACAAAGAAATTTTTAATGTCACATTGTTTTAGTGATCTTAAATGTTCAACACCAATTCTAATGAGTTTGTCATGGATATTTTCCAATCCTAACAACTCTTGAGTGTTGAAAATCTAAGAACCTTGGCTAGCCATAAAATTCAAAAGATCCTTAGCATAATTCTGTGTTTCACTTAGCTTCACTACATTATACTCATCATCATTGCTATCAAAAATCATTGAATCTTCTTCCATGGAATCAAATAACTCTTTGCCATCTTGCACTAATAACACAAGCTCATCATTAGAATATTCTACCTCAAAATTATCTTCACCATCCATGTTTATGTACTCCAAAAAACTAAGCTTTTCTATAGGCTTGCCTTCAACATCCAAACCCAAATTCAATGCAGCGATGAGATTACCCAACTCCGAAGCTGCTTCCTCTATTTTGGACTTCATACGTTCATCAGAATTGTTGATATTTGCATTCCACTCTACAGGCAATATGGCAGACTTTCTCCAACAACTTCTGATGGTTTGATCATCTAGTTCATGCCATGCCACCACACACCATAGCATTGCTTGAAAGAGATCAACATTCAGTTTACCCAAATCTTCATCTGAGTTTTCAATTTGTTGCATAGTC